GAAGTAATAGAGTTAAAAAAAAAATAAAAAAAAAAAAAAAAGTAAAAAAAGAAAAGAAAGACCACTTCCCCTCCTCTCTCTCTCTCTCTCAAGTCTCAACTTTGAACCCTGGCTCGCCGGTCCCCATCCAGCGAGTGCCGAATAAAGTAAAGTTCACCCATGCGCCACATCCCTCCCCCGGGATCAGACAGGTACCAAGTTACTTATTGCCTGAGTCACTTCTCGTTTACAGGAGAACTGCCATCCACCCTGGGGAGTGTGTTGCAGTGTGTGCCCAGCGGCCCGGGCCCGGGTGGCCCTCCTACTGGTAGCCACACGGATGTTATCTCTTGTCACGCAGGGCCTGCGCTAAAATTATACATGCATGCACAATCCCAGTCCAATCCCAGTCCAAGGTTTAATACACGACTAAAAAAAATCATCAACCACGTCCATCGCTCATGCCGTGATTCGTCCACCAGGGACCACAGAACACGCGATGCAGGATGCAGATGCACGCACACATCGCATTGACGACTAGTGCCTGTCTAATTGTCTCTCTCTCTCTCGTTTCCCCTGCTTGTCGGCTTCGTAGAGAATTCCCGAACCAACCCGCCACAACACAGCCCACTGCTGCGCACGTCGGACATGGAGCACCGACAAGATGGCGTCAAGGGAGCCCTACACGCCTTCTGCAGCCAACGAGCCCGACACTTTGCTGGCTGCAATCGATTCGGCCCGTTTCGTCTCGATGCTATAATGTAAGCCACCAAAAAAATGCCACAGCAAACTTAGCAAGCTTGTATTTCCGCACCGTCGCTCTCAAGGTGTAGGTGCAAGTATTATTCGCAGTCGAGGGAGAGCCTCAACCAGCCAGCATCCATTCAACAGGGACAGACAGACCCATGACCCACACTCTAACAGTGCCAAGTAGGCCAAATTACTAACTACCTTGCTACTTGCTACCTAGGTAGTAGGACTTTCCAGAGTAATTAGGGCAACAACGTTAGAAACCACCAGGTGGAAAACGTGTACAAGGAATATATGCTCTTCTTGTATTCAATTCAACTATTAGTTTATGTATCTGTATATATATATCTCGAGTTTGTCAAGGACAGAAACAAATCTCAAGCTGCTTGCATCATCCAACATTAATCCGTCCAGATGCTTTCGTATCGTGCGTCATACCGCCCTTCCAAATTGACTTTTCTTCTCCAAACCAGAGGACAGCGCCAACCTCGAAAAAAATATTCAACAAGAAGAAGAGGAAACAAAAACAAAGGATCAAACAACCTGGCCAATAATACAGCTCCCAGTGAGGGAGAGATCGCCCCGTCGTCGCTCTGGGGTCGGTCCACTCACTCCCTCCCTCCCTCCCTCGACCAAGCCAGATCCCTGTAGTGCGCCCAAGACAAACCAAGACGAAAGCTAGCAGGGCTCTTGAACAAAGGAAAAGAAACAGGAAATAAAAAGAACGAGGATGAAAAAAGAAAGAAAAAGAAAAAGAAAAAGAGGAAACAAGTCGACAGTAATGTACATGTCACAGGATAATAGTACATGGGGCTCGTAAGAAAGTGGCGTGACTGCTGCAACGGCATCCCGTTTACAGCTTGAGTCGACGCTGCTCCTTTCTCTTGCGACGCTCCCGGCGTTCGCGGTATTGTACGATGCGCTTGGCAGCTGTTCAAAAGTCGCCAGTTAGCATATGCCGTTCTCTCGTATCCATGTGCCAGTATGCAGCATCCACGGCCAGTGCAGACTTACCCCAGTCGCGGGATTTGCGCTTGACTTCCGGATCCACCCAACTGTAGTTGATGGCCCGCTCAGGGTACCGTTGAGCCAGACCCAGCGGCTCCATCGGTCGGTCCTGGCTGTCACGCTCCCGGCACTTGATACTGATGTGCTTGGGCTCCAAATCTTCATCATTCTCGAAAATCAGCCAGCCATCCTTGTCCCACAGCGGGATCCGCTGGTTCATTCGGTAATACCACGCCTGGAGGCCCTGCACCGTCCGCTCCGGTGTTCTTCCAAACATGGCCGCAAAGTCCTGCTTGATGCGCTGCCACTTGAGCTTCTTGTCGTGCCATGCGTAGATGATAAAGTCGCCCTCCTCCGTCGAGTACTTTTGGTTAATGTGTCTGTTTTCCCCGTCCGGAGGCGGGCTGGGGTAGCCCGAGTGCCCGTGCATGAAAGAGTCCGAGTGGCTGTACGGAGAGTACGCGTCTTGGGGCGAGTACGCCTGAGGAGAGTACACAGGCGACGAAGAGTAGGCGTGGATAGATGGTAGAACCGGAGGAGCGGCTGCCTGGCAGGCAGCCTTGGGGTGAGGTGAGGTAGCACGAGTCCATGAAGGGGCTTGACCACCGTGGGCTCTCGCGAGAGCCTCTACACCCTGGTCAAATTCATCGAGGCTAGGTAGGCGAATATTGGCAACGCAACGAGTCCCAGGAATGGAAAGTCTAGGAACAGGCGAACAATCCGTCTTGACAGAGAGCGATGATCCTGAGTACACGTTAGTAAACCACCACCATTTACAGTCGCAGTCCACCTCAGCCGACATACTCTCAAGCTTGATTATAGGACTTCCAGAGACAGACTCAGGCGGCGTGTTGGGCTGGACAACGGATCGATAGAGGGGAGAGGGAAGCGCCTCTTCATAGAACCTCCTTGGCGTCGAGTTGTCGATTTGAGTGTTGATGCGAAATTTGCCGATCGAGTAGAGCGGGCTGCACTCTGAGTGTTGCTTCATCAGAGTAGTCATTGTTGACGACGGCTGGAGACCTTCTCCGTGTTGACTGGGCAAAGGGCGTATGGAGATTTGTGCGGAGAATATTGGTTGTCGGCAAGATCCAGACGCAGCGATGCGTACGTAGTTGGGCCGTTGTGGCACTCGTCGAGGCAAGATGGGGCTAATGAGCGTGAGAGGGAGGAATAGTATATTGGCAGTTATGAACGAGGGATGTTGAGCCAGAGGGCTTAAAAGGAAATAAGACCAAAGGGCTTTTAAAGAAGGAGCGGATATGGTTGTGGAGGAAAGAATAGCACGGGAGAGAATGGGTCCAAGATGGAGAGGGAGGTCGACGTGTTTTGTACTCAGCAGTCCAGGATACGGGGGGTTCAGAGGTTGTCGAGGACCCCTGGTGATGCTCAACGTCTGGGTATAATTTTTCTTTCTTTCTTTTATTTCTTTATTTTTTTTGCTTATGCATGGTGGTTTCTTCTGCCGGCGCCGTCCAGACCAGACGAGCAGCGTACCTGAATCACTGTTGATGAAAAAGACCGGGACAAGGCAGGATAAATTGAATGTCTTGGATACGACGAGGGGTCTGTGTGTCACCCTTGCTCCAGTCTGAACAAGAGACCAAGCCAAAGCCAACCAAGCGGCGCAAGCCAACCCAGGCAACAGGCGGCCAGGCTTCCCAGGGCAAAGGAAAACCCGGCCCAGCCAGCCCAAAGCAGCCCCTCTGGGACGAGAGCCTGATGGTTGCCGAGGCGGAGTCGCGGCGGGCTGGGTGGGCGAGATGGTGGGCAAGATGGTGGGCCATTGTGCAGAATCGACATAGTGTATCCAGTACAGACAGAGTACGAATGAATTCGTACCTTGCGCGCCGTCCATCGGCGGGCCAGGGTGTGCCGCAGCAGCTGCAGTTGGCGCGGCACACCTTGCTCACCAGCCGGACTCGTCAGTCTCCTCTTGCTCTCCCTGGGCCAGGCTGTGTGTCTGCCGTTGTTGCTTTTTTGTTTCCGCGCAGAGATGCAGGTCCATGATGATGGACGCGAGGGTGTGTGATATGGCGCGCCGTGTGGCGCCCTTTTTCTCCTGCATCGCACGACGTGGTTAGCTTGGCTTGGTGACTGGCACACCATCGTCATCATCATCACAACAAGCCAAACCAGTCTTGCTGCCTTTGCAAACACCAGTTACAATCCATGAACCTCTGGGGCATTGTCTTGGGGGGGGGTTATTCAGTCATCCAAGACACGGGCCCTTTCGTCGCCTCTGCAGCACGCTTGGAGGCCGCGGGAGCTCTCCACCTAGCCGACTCTAGTAATTATCAGGTAGCTGGCCGGGTGGTGGAGACGACACTGCAGGGCGAACAATGGCTGACCTGCTGCATCAAAACCAAAGACACCAGTTTTGAGGCACTGTTCAAATCGCGTCTCCAAAGTCCGGTGCACGTCTTCACAATGCGATCCCGGTCCATTGCTCGAGGCGAATCGCGGATGCAAGACTGGTCAAGGTTCCCCTCCCGGGATGGTGGCCCGGCATAATCTACATGCCACCATGCTGCCGACGCTCACGGCTCTTGCAGTTCGTGATAAATATGATACCAAGCTATCGGTACTGTGGATTACCGACTGCGTTAGCTTGCCGGTCACTACCAGGGCGCTCACTCCGGTTGCCTAGATGCTCGCCTGTTGCCGTGTCCCAGCCCGATTCGTCTGCCAAGGACAACTGCCACAGTCCCGACGCAATAACACTGAGGATATAGTAATGAGGAGAAATCTTTGCATCCTAACATCGGTGCTCCGCTCTCGGGCGTGTATAATCTATCGTATTATGCGACCAGTTGCCGTCGAAACAATCTGCCGTCGACAGCATGACCTTGGCGCCCAGGTAGGTAGGTACCTGTGCAACGCACGTCACATCACAGCCAGGGCCAAAGCACTCGCACAACGCAATCATTCAATGTCGGCAGGCGAAAGTAGTGGACCGCGGAGTCAAGCCATTATCGTTGATGCCTTGCTGCTATTGTTGATCAAGAGCGATCGGCGCGAGGGATCCTATTGTGCGAGGGGGTGATCTATCACAACACCTAATAGATGCTATTCTAAGTCACGAGCGGCAAAGGGGAAAAGGGCAGTCTGACACGTAACAGCGCCAGGCGACTTGGTAGGCCGAACGGCTCCGCTGGGCGTAACTTGGCTCTGCCTGATTTTCTTTTTCTCCGGAGCTAGGTGTCACAGCTAGTGAGTGTCCTATTTGTCTGAAGTGCCACACAGTCGGGGGCGAAAGGATACACCAAACGATGACGAAGACTAGGGCGAGAGATGGACGAGACGAGAGAATTCGATCAAACACCATCGGTCATTGGCAGAAATCGAGTTCTATCAAGAGCCACTGAGTCAGCATAATCACGCCGTTTCGTTCGCGAGAAGCCTGTGACGAAAGCAAAACATGCCGCTGTCAACACAGGACAAAGGCGTTTTGAGTGCGACGTGGGAACAGCAGCACTACCACCGCCAATTTCTTTTCCATCTCTGTTGGCCATTTCTTTTTCCCGCTGGGGCTCTCATTGACGTTGCACCGCGTTCGTTGGGGGGAAGGGGGGGGGCTCATGGAGCCAAAAAACTGTGATTGCTTTTGCAGCAATTCCATGAGGGCATCAAGGCGGGGAAAAGTCGTACCTGAGGCGGCGTCTTCGCACGGCGAAAAAGGAAATATTTTAGTGGCGCTAGCCTGCATCAGGCCTAGTGCCTGACGGTTCGCTTACGCCAGTTGGAGCCCCCGTTTGCCGCGGGTCGAGGAGCTATGACCATGCCTGCCAGCTCCCCAACTCCCGCCCCCGCCGCCCCGAACTGGCCGGCTGGCAGCCCTGCCAGGGCGATTTTTAGACGGAACCTCGACGACAAGACAAACGGTTCCTCTGGTCCTCCACCACCACCACCATCGCAAACCAGCTGGTGCATCCCGCATTTTCTTTTGCAACACCATACCATTACTTCATCCCCTTTGCTCCTCCTCGATGCCAGTGGCGCCCCTTTCAATGGTTACATGTTTTCTTTTTCCCACTGCCTCCTGTCCGAGTGTTCGTGTTTCAGCTGCACAACAGCCCTTTCCTCCCCCGGCCGCTTCTTGCGTCGAACGTATATCAAACGCCTACTACGCCCCAAAATCATCATCATCCAGGCACCGTTAATCGTCACACGGCTACCGCCGCATCAGGACACGTTGTTGCTTTTTTTTGGCTCTCGTTGGGCAGACTTGCTTTTGCTGCTGTCGTCCCTGAGCTTGGCTAATTATAATCCCATCTTCACAGTCTGCGGGGCGTCTGTGTGTGTGCATAAAATCTCCGTGTAACTGATACGGCGCATGGAGCTACTGCGGCTGCTTATTACTGAGCGCCAGGCTAATGCCGTGGAAATTGTCCTCTTTTCTTTTCCTTTACGCTTCCTCGTCGTGGTGCTACTGCAAGGGCCGAGGCCGCACACACACAAAGTCTGTGTCTCCAGCTGAGAAACTTCGTCTACAAGGACAACGTTTTATGGTGGCGTATTCTTGATTTGCCCCATGCAGATGCGGTCATCTCGATTAATATCCTTCATGCACGCCAGTGGTGGTCTCTTTGTTGCAAACTGATGGCTTCATGCAGCCACGCAAATCACTATCCGTCGAGTGCTAATCAATCGGCTTCTACAGATTAAAGCCCTATATCTGCCTCGTTATATCTGCCACTATGCAAAGTTGTGGTGACGTGTGCGGCGATACCCTCGCCAGGTGCAGTCAAGTACTCGAGCGAATCAGTCTCAACAACCCCGCCTATACGACGCACGTGGGTACCCGGACCTAGAAGTCTTGTGAAAGTGCCAGTAGCATTATTTGATCGCTCGTTACTAGCCCAAGCTCACTGAGCTACGTCGACGTACCTCACCGCATCGCAAATCAAGTCACGAGTTACCTGTTTTGATTCAGTAGTGACGCTATCAAGGTACAGAGGTCCCCTCGTCCCCTCTTCGTTTCCCACATATTCACCCGATCTCTACAGATACCTGATTCCTACAGGAAGTATTCAAGAACCTGGGGTGGCCAATCTCGTTTGCGACGCAAGGGAGCCATTGTCCACCACATATCGCAAGTGGCACAGCCTAGCCCGCCCTCTCCACCGGACACACAAAGCAAGTCATGAAGTGGCTTTTGCCACCACAGGATTATCAGCGTTAGTCGATTATCCACCCGATTCCACAGCGTCCGGTGGCCAAATTTGGTGGTGTTGTCGTGGAACTATTTGCTCCAGCTTCCAATTGCGGCTGCGTGAGGCGTGTGCCACGGTAGCTCTTCTTGGCACATGGCTTCCTGCAGCAACAGATAGGCTCTCCTGCAGCTCTCGCGATGAACAAATATGGCTTTGTCAGCTACACAAATTCATCATTGCCTCAACCGCGACCTCAGTTGATGTTGACAGCTTAGCCGAGTCTCTGGCTTGGCATTGTCTTTGCCACCGAGAGACTATGAAGTGATTGTCGACTCGGCAAATGAGAGACATCTCTTGCGTGAATATTTGTCGAATGATAACACTTCGCATGGACACGAGTTTGTGGGAGCAGGCCTGATGGCAAGCCTGTTTCCGGAAGTGACTTGAACTGTTTTTTATCCCTTGCACAGGTCTCATCTCCGGATAGGACTCACTCCAAAAAAGGGCGGGAGCCTCTGCTGGTCCCGGATCACATGCCCTGGCAAGATCCCCCCTGGGGACTCGAGTCACAGTCCATTAGCTCCGCAAGCAACGGATTTGTTTTCCCTGAGATGCGGAGAGTTTCCGGTCTTGTCTATCAAGGTTTTGTCCGGTAGTTCTGCGTCTCGACAAGGTGTTTGTATTCCGCACTTTGTCATGTGAACGGGATTTGCCGCCAACCTCAGACATTGTCTAGACACTACCAGGCTCGCGTGAGCAATGGCCGAGGCGCCCGCAGCAGATGATCTGACAGTCTCGGAAGCTTCCTTGCATTGTGTGGCTCTCACGGTAGACCCCAGCGAATCGTTGGTTCATGCAAATATATTTTCCTACAGCTTGGAGTCGATGGTATCGTCCCGAGACATGGATCCCGTGTCCGGGAATGATTCATCACCGGAAAACTTCCTAGACAAATGCGACTACTGTCAGCGGTGTGCATCTCTGCATGATATCGGAAACAGGGTTCATCGACAGAGAGGCAAGAGGTGTGATCGCTTCGGGCGGGTAAAGTTATCTCGTCGCAACAAGACAACACCAACCGTGCCGGTCGGACAGAGTGGTTGCGCCCTGCACAAGGATATAAAACAAGGTGGATGAAGAAAGAGTAACATACCATCCGCGCTCTTCTCCCCCGGTCAAGAAGCTACAGTCGCTATTCTTTTCGCATGTCCAATTACCCACTACAACTCGGTGGTCAGCATTGCTCTCATCGCCCGCCACCTTTCCGCGTAGTCTCTGGGTGGGTTATATGTCTTGCGGGTATACTGCCGGGAAAACCGGAAGTAGGCAGTAAAAAGGGAAAAGTTGTGCTCCAAGACTCACCTGTATCCGACTCGCCATCAGACTGTCCCTTGGCTTCTCCCCGCGCATACACGCTCAATCCGCAGGTGAACGCCTTGAAGTCTTCTGTGTCCATCTCGTCGGGGTACTGGCCGGTGAGCACCCTCCCCAGGACAATAATCGTCGCGGCGTGCGAGCAAACGACCACGCTCCGGCGCCCCTCATCATCACACCTCTTGATGAGCGCGCGCATGGCCGCACGCACCCGCTCCACCAGCTGCCCGTACGTCTCCCCGCGCACCCGCGGCCGCACCGGGGACGTGAAGTCCACGTCATAGGCCGGAAACAGGCCGTGCAGCTCCTCGGCCTCGGCCGGCTGCGGGTGCGTAAACGGCGCGGCGCCAAACCACTCGCACACGCCGTGCTCGCCGCGGATGCGCACCGCCGTGTCCGCAGCGCGGGGCGACAGGGTGCCCGCCGCCGCCGCCGCTGCCTGCCGCCGCACAAACGGTTCAATGGTCTGCAGGCAGCGGTAGTACGGGCTCGAGTATACGACCTCGACGGCGGGCGTCAGCGTCGCCAGGTGCGCCGCCAGCTCCTCGGCCTGCGCGAGGCCGTGCGACGTCAGCGGCGGGTCGGCCGCGATGCCCGTCGGCGAGGGAATGTGGGAGTGGTAGTTGCCCTTGTTATCCACCGTCCACGACGTGCGGAACTGGGGCGGGAGTCGGGTCGTATGAGTAACTGTAATTCGATGTGTGGTAAGGGTCATAAACTCACCCCATGGCGAACGATGTAAATCTTTTCCAGCGACATTGTTGTTTCGGGTAGATGTAATACGCAATGCCGCAAATACCCAAGCCGTGTGTAGGTTCGATCTTCTGGCAAGCGCTCGGAGCTGAGCAGTGGTGGTTGGGCGGAATGATGAGATGAGTTGGGATTCCCGAGGCCAGACCGCCCAGCCGAGGGTCGTCGCGGATGGCCCCACTAAGCCGTCATCACCGAAAACGTGGGCGGGCGGGCATTCCAACAGCGCAGGCGGGCAGCTGACGCAGATTTCGGAGAAATTTTAGCATTCCGATGATACTGGAGGGGAAAGATGGGCTGGAATGGAGGTGCGGGCTTACAATACGAATTAATTACCCAAGAGCCGGGGCCCGTATTACAGTTGTGAGGGTACAAGCTCGCTCCGGTGAAAGTTCTCATGTCATGTATACACAGCATGTCCATACAACAGGTGGTAGAGTTGGTGACATTTTGATCAATTTTCCAGGCTCCAAAAGGGTTTCCCATTTAAAAGGATGACAAAATGTCCACATAAGTGTAAAGAGGGAACGTATTAAAAAACGCCGGGTCATCCCATCCAATTCTACCGAATTCCCAAAAAAAACAAGACTAACCTTCCCAAGAACAATCTTGCCCAGCGGCAGAGGAGGGGGTTGCAAGAATGACCCCAAGGATCAAATGTCAAAAACAGGAGCCCGTTCTGTGTCCTAGCGTCGTCGTGTACCGGTATGCCCATCCATGCGAGACAAAAAAAAGAGAGTGAGAGAAAAGACTCCAAAGGAAGGAATACCCAACAATGCAATGCCGTGTTGCTTATACTATTCCAGAAACAAGTAAAAACATGCTAATAAAGTGATGCTATGCGCATATGTGTAAAGGGGTAGGGGAGGAAGAACAAGTTAGAGGAAGAGAAGAGTGTTACATGACGCTGCAGGATCCCATAGTGCGGGCTCGTCGTCTCCCGATGACGCCATCCTCTTCATCGAGATGCAGCGCCTGCGTTTCGCGCGCCCGCCGTCTGCGCCGCCGGTGTCCAGCACCAGCAGCGCCGGCCTCCTCGGTAGCCTGCATGTAGTCTGCCCACTTGCGCTCCAGACGGGCGGCGGCGGCAAAGTCGCCGCTCAAGACGCGTTTTTGGTGCTCGTCGACGGTCATCTGGAAGCCGTAGAAGCACTTGAGGGATATCATCTCGCCCGGGTAGGTGACGCCGACCGACTTGGCCTTGACCTGGGCGTTGCGGAAGAGCACCTCGCGCACGCCGGCCCACGTCACGTGGTGGCAGTCGTAGACGACGAGGGACAGCGTGACAGCCGGTGCCACGGCCTGCGTGGAGCGCTTCGCGCGTTTGGCGACCGCGGCCGCCGCCTCGGCGAGGACGAGGTCGCTAATGCGGGTGTTGTCGAGGTCGCAGCTGCGGAGCTGGGCGCACGTCTGCATGACGGGCAGGACGCCCGTGTCACCAATATTTGCGCAGTAGCTGAGGGAGAGGTGCTGGAGAGAGCCTGCGCAGGGCGCCTTGACGAGGTGCTCGGAGAGGAGAGAGTTGGTGAGCTCACCGAGATCTTCGAGTTCGAGGTGTGTGAGACGAGGCGTAGAGGCGAGGATCGGTTCCAGGGCAGCGTCTGTTAGGGTCTTGCAGCCCGACAGTTGCAGGCCTTCTAGCTCAGGAGTGGCATAGCCAATGGCTTTGACGCCAGCGGGGGTGATCTGCGTGCATCGACTGAGATCTAAATGGCGCAGCTTTCGTGGCGGGACAATGGGACGATCGGTGAGTATATCGATTTCGGGGTCCGCACCGTGCATCATGATTTTCAGTGCTTCATCGGTGAGGTCCACGCAGCCACTCAAGACCAGTCGCTCGAGGGTATTGGTCGTGAATATGGATTCCGCCGTCTCCAAGCTGTCAAATCCCTTGACCTCACCGGCACGTAGGTCTCTTAGATGCTTGCATGAGTCTACCACTAGTTTAATGCCCCTAGCATCAACCTTTTGGCACCAAGAGACATTGAGGCTCTCGAGCTGGGGACAAGATTCCGCCACGATTCGACAGGCAGAATTGGACACGGCATAGAGGCCAGTCAGGTTGAGATGGACCAGCTTGTCATTGGATCGGAGTAGGCTGTGCAATGTCGTCTTTTGAAAGTTGCGGCAGCCTTCGAGTGTAGCGTTGATGAGATTCCTGCAGGCCTTGACGATGGCTTCGGTGCGACGGTAGTGCTCTACCTGAACACAGCCGCGAAGGTTGAGATCTTTGATAAATGGCCCGGCGGCAACAATAATTCGGGCCAGCGAATCGGCAGGGATATTCTGGTAGAACTCGGAAGCATTGAACGAGGTCCAGAGCTGGCCATCAAAGCAAACCTTGTAAAAGGTCTTACTAACGCGTGAGACACGGACCAGCTCCTTGGGCTCGAGGTGGGCGAAAATAGCAATCCGCAGTTCCTGGGGCATCTTGTCCCAGAATGGAAATGGCGGCTTTGAGACAACTTTGGATTGGGCGCGTAGGTCGGCGGGGAGGTGGGCGGTCGAGGGTGCGGACGGGGGGATAACTCGGACGGTCCTAACGCCGGGCTGCTCCTCGACGCAGTCGTGAAAGGGAAACTCGGAGTCTGGCGTGTCGGATCGAACGAGAGGCGAGGGCTGGGGCGTCCCGTAGCGAAGCGGCGACTGAGGGGGCACGCCGGCGAGGCTGACACAGGACAGCGAAGTACGGCTCCCGCCATGGTAAGGGCTGCTGGCGGAGCGGCCGCGTCGGAGGCTGGTGAGGGACGGCGATGAGGAGATGCGCTGGAGTCCTCGCAGGAGTCGCTGGCGGCCTTTGATCTTGGGGGAGGGTGCCTCGGGCGCGGCGGCGGCGACGTCGGCCAGAGGCGGAAACGGCTCGCCACCGGGCGTCTCTTGCATCTCCGCCATGGCTAGAGGGCGAGTAGGCTGTCGAGGCGCCAAAGAGAGTATGTGGTTGGATTCGCGAGAGGGGATCGATTCTTCTTGGACGTCTGTAGTGAGTTCGTTTTGTGACGCGTCGGGGGTCGGGAAGGTGTATCACAGGTCAACGGTCGGGAATAGAATTATAATATGCGCCTCTGTAAGTGGTGGTGTGGGTGCAGCTGGTGCAGTCGGTTGGAGGGGCAGGATGCTCAGCCGGGGACCGGAATGCCCGGTACAGGAGTCTGGCAGCGGAGAGTGATTGTTCAAATCATTTCTGGAAGGGGTGTTTGCTGGTGCGAGGCGGAGGGAGAGAAACGCCGGGTATTGAAAGGAGGAGAGTTGGGAAACAAAAATGTTGAGAGGGGAATGGGTGCGGTATGAGGGGAAATGGGTTGATGATTTAGTAGGTAGGCACATGGAATGGAATGGAGGGGAGCAAACAGAGGCCAGTGGCAGGCAGGTGGGGAAGTTGGGAGGAGGCCAAAGGCTCGGTTTACCTGTATGAGGTAGGTACTACACCCACTGTAAGTTACGCTAGGTCCCGTCTCACAGCAGAGGCCCCAGTAAAAAAGGACCCTGAATTGAGAGACTGGCCTGGATGGCTGCCAAAAATGTTTGGGGTGCCGCCACCTGTGGATCTGCTGCCCACCTAAAAGTGCGGGGCAGTCAAAGGCTTCCGTTAGTGCAGTTTGCTCCGGCTCACCTTATCTACAGCGCCTCGGCCGCCAACATGTATTAGTGCAGCACTGGGCACAGGGCACATCTCCGGTCAGCGGACTCGCTGCACCACACACTATCCCGCCATCTCCCAGGGCACATGTCCTTTTGGAATGTGACCCTACAACACATGCCCGTCCGGTGACAATCTGCGTGAATCGATATATCATTAGGCTGGTATTCCTGGTTTCGCAGCCCTTTTTATTCTATTCTTCTATTCTTCTATACTGATTTACTTGCTGCATCTCACTCCTCATGTTTGACAAAGATACCTCTCAGCGCCCCGCGATCACGGTACCACACACCAACAGCCCCCCCTCCACACCATCGATGCCTCGGGCGCCGGTGGTTAAACCGCCTCTGGTTCCTTCAATCCTCCAATACATCAAGAGGCTCCATTCTCGCCACCTTTTGTCTTTGCTTATTCGCTCCCAGCCCTCTACCACTTCGTCCCCCCAAAGCCTCGTCCCACTCGTCACTCCATTAATAGTACGTACGTATAGTCTGCTGCTTTGCTGACAACCCACCAACACCTGCATGTCACTGGCCACGCCACGTGGAAATGCCTCACATACTGATTCCCATTGTTTTATGTATCCTTGTCAGTGCTGCCGAGTCAGGGATCTATCGGGTACATCTCAGACACTCAACTCTCAAAAGAACAAACTGGTCTAAGTTGCCTTGCTCAGTCTTTGTATTCCTACCAAGTTTCTCGTCCGGCTTCTCGTCTCAGGCATTAGTACCTTTCTAGGGCCTCCAGCAACCTTGTCGGCCGTGAACCCCCGCGAGCCTTGTTCCCAACAGCCAAGAGACGCAGTCTGTATCCGTATTCAAACCAACAAAATCCGGGGCGCAAGTAAGCTCACTCCCCGCCGGCCTTCTAGCGGCAGAGAGGGGAACCCTGCGAAACTCGCCGTGTGCTCCCGTAGACCCTGGTCAGCTGCCAGGATATCAATCACAACACCTCCTTCAAGCCGCGGCTGTCCCGCAACGAGCACAAGACCAAGATGCACATTTGCGAGACGCATAGAGACAATAATAGCACACAGAAAGGTGCTCAGTCAACCACCAACACGTGCTTCAATCGTAACGAGTCCAGCCCACCCGACCGTTTGGTGGCGCACCTCCTCCTCGTAACACAGTTCGGTCCGGCCGCACAGCCCGCCTGACTCGTCTCTAGTCTCTAGACTCTAGCCCAGCCTTCCAACCATGTACGAGTCTCCAATGTGCTCATTATTATCACGGGCATGACACCTGTCTCATAAAACGGGATGTAAACATGGCTTGCATGCTAGCGCCAACTGTGGCCTACAAGGATGCGGCCTCACCAGGACGGGACGATTTGCCAACTTCGCCAGTTCAACCAAATTGTTGGTTTGAAAAAATCCCTCACAACAGCGTAGAAAACTCCAAGTCTAGGTTTATCTTGAAACATCCTCTGTTCATGTTTTGTTCTTCTGAAGACCTACCATCCTGGTGTCAGTCTTGCCTTTTCTTCTCCGCACTAGTGGTTAACCTCCAGTCATGAGCCACGTCGTCGCAGTGGTAGCAACACCTGCCTTCTTGTTGATGAGCCCTACACGTGTGCATCCATCTCGACCATCTTACAATCCCTCGCAAGATCAATGCTACGTCGGTGCAGATCGAGCCGCACCTCCTTCGGGAAGTAGTTGAAACTAAAAAGACAGTGCAGGGTAGGGCGTATGTTTGGCTGCGATCCCTCGCCGCTTGGCAACTGCCGAAGACTATGCCACAATAGGCGGAACATCAATCTGCAGCCCTGTATTTACTCGCATGTCAACTAAGAAGAGGAACGACACATTGCATAACAGAACAGAAAACACGCGACAGTGTGAGCTATGAGCATCGCATCTGCCTAGTAAACGATGCTAGCTCGTAACACGCAACAAGAGCAAAATAAACCATGACAAATGGCTCCATCGACGATTCCGTAGTCGTATCCTCTACCATTAATCATGGTGCCTAGAGTCTAGTGTCCGGCATTGTCAGTCCAAATGAGGATAGAGCCGGCCGATTCAATTCTGTTGCCTGGATTATTCTGCTTTCTATATCAACGGCGTAGTTGAGCCTCATCTTTGATAGAAATGGATTTTCTTCTATAAAAAAGATTGAGTATATAAAAATGTCCGAATTTATTTTCAACCCTCAGACCACCAACTCCGTGGAGCTCACGCTACTGCTCGCCCAAGGCCAAATCACCAGCGTCCAAATTGTACAGACATATCTCACCCACATTGAGCAGCACAACCCCAGCCTCAACGCGCTCATCTCGCAGCCGCCACGCGAAAATGTCCTTCGAGAGGCTGCCAAGCTAGACCAGGAGCGCCAAAATGGGAAACTTCGAGGTCCCTTGCACGGCATCCCCATTATTCTCAAGGTGACTCTACCGGCCTGCACCAGTGGGTAGGCGCAGACTAACGCCTAGAATAGGACTGCTTCACGACGGCTTCAAGCCTGGGCATGAGCACGACATGCGGGTCCCTGGCTCTTGTCGGGGCCAGGGCGCCGAAGAACTCGGCGATTGTGCAAAAGATAATTGATGGCGGCTTGATCATCCTGGCCAAGGCCAACATGACTGAGTTTTGCGGCATGAAGATGACTTACATGATGCCGGGTTGGTCCGCGCACGGTGGCCAGACTCTCTCACCTTATGTCCCAGCTAATCGATTGTCCCTTCGCAGGCCCCCGGCGGCTCGTCCACCGGCTCCGCCGTCTCCCTCGCATCGGGCTTCGCGCCGCTGGCCATGGGCACCGAGACCATTGGCTCCATCATCACGCCGACGAGCCGCAACGCCCTGTACGGGTTGAAGCCGACGGTCAGCGCGCAGGACACGACGGGCATGTTCACCATGACAGAGTTTTACGACAGCCCTGGGCCCATGGCCAAGTCGGCGGCCGACATCCGGGCGCTGGCCGGGCTTTTGCTAGACAGGGACTTTGATGCGCCCGATATGGGATCATGGAAGGGCTTGTCGGTCGGTATTGTCGACCCGCGCCTTTGGACTCTGGACGAGTCCATGTGCCGGCAACATGATGGTACCGCGGAGAATATGGTAATAAGCCATGTGTGAGTTGTACTGTGCAATTGAAAGGAAGCGCTAACGGCAGGTTCAAGGTCGAGGAGTATGAGAACATGGTAGAAACGTTGCGCAGAAGCGGATGTTCTCTGCAGTATCCTCTTGCGTTACCGGATCTTACTGGGTTCCCAGATACCATCTCCCTTGCCCGGAAGTGCCATGGGCGACACATGAATATGTTGAGCACCTGCAGCTTGCTGATGCCAGAGGGACAGACTGGGAATTCAACAACATTTGCCTTCCGAAATTTCTCACGACGTTTGACGATTTTCCAATCCGCAGCGTCAAAGACATTGTCCAGTTCAACCTGGCCAACAAGGAACGAGCCATGCCGGAGCGTGAGTGACCAGTCCTCGCCGATTCCATGTCACGGGTCTTTGTTTTTGGGCAGCACACTGACACTTGCCAGCATACACGGAGCAAAACGACCTTATAAAGGCCATGAACAGCAATGAGCCGGCCGCGGCCGTAGACGCGCTCAAGGCGACGCTCCGCGCCAAGGCCCGGGGCGTCCTCGACACGGCGTTTGACGAGGCCGGGGTGAAGGTCCTGGTGGGCACGTGCGACTCGGCGTTTTGCGTGCACGCGGCAGCGGCAGGCTACCCGGTGTGCGCGGTGCCGCTGGCGACGCTGCGGTACAATGGGCGGCCGTTTGGGCTGTGCGCGGTTGGGCGGGCGGATGGGGAGGAGGCGCTGTTGCGGTTCATGGCGGCGTACGAGGCGGCGATGCCGGCGAGGGCGGTGCCGGAGCTGTGATGGGTGGATGTCCTGTGGGTAGGTAGTTATGCATACATATCAATTGGGGGGCTCTCATGAGTTTAAAAACCTGGAGAATATGCTGACAAAAAAGACCAGGCATGACGTACAGGCCGAGATGAAGGGCTGCTGATGACTATTCGGTGCCAAGCAACGTATACCCGGTTGAAACATGGCTGTAACGTCAGGCTGGCAGAACAAATGCAAGGAGAGTTACCATGTCGGCTCAGAACATGCCGTTGTCACATAGATTTTCAGACTTGGACAGATTGAAATCGCAAACCGTCTCATGGTGATGGAAAGATGCTCCAATCAGCCGGTGCCATGGTCGCATGCGCTCCCCACAGTGAAGCGTTGCGGACCAAGCAATTGGCAGCGGTGCCGGACCGACCTCGCGCAGGTCTAAGTTAGGTACCTAGGTAGTTTAGCAGTGTTGGGCGCTGTTGTTGGGGGAGCTCCAGGCTGCTGGGGCGCCAACAGTCCACTAAGAGGCTGCTAAAAGATGTTGCTGTCAGCAAGCGTGTACCTAGAGGCAGGTAATTTGTTAGTACTGCTGCAGCTGTAGCCTTCCCCGCCTCACTTTGCCCTGATGGCTTGCTTGGCTGCCCCTCCCTTGTACTGACTCTCTTGATGGACTGACAACTCCCTTCATCAACCACGCAGCGTCACCAACACTCTCTGTCCCGCATCGCCGCCACAGCCGCCCTCGCGACACTTCCAATTCAATCCCATCACCAGCATCATCTTCGGCACCATCCTCACCGCGTCTAGTGCTCGCTCGCCCAACAGCTCATCCCCCGCTCCAAACCAGTGGCACCAGGGCGGCCCTGGCGGGCGACTCTCTCTCTCTCTTCGTCTCCCTCTCTCCGCGCGCCGCAGCCTCGACCTCGTCCAAACCCAGCCTCGTCCGCCAGACATATACACCATCTCTCTTACACCCCCCCCCCTCCGTCGTGTCCATGACCGTTGGCTCGCGTTCGTGAAAACCGTCTCGTCGTTGCAACTCGCCATCTCGCTTCCCCAATCCCCCGGGACAAGCCACCATGCATGGTAACCGTACGCGCGCCAGAGGAAAAACAGCATCACAGCCAAAAAAATCGTAGCCCACACACATACAAACCCACCCTCTTTGCTGCACAAGCTCCCCTCCCTGCCCTGCCTTCGTCATAGCTTCAACCACTCACGCGCTCGCCTCCCCGGGCCCAGACAATGATTGCTGACTCTTCCCTTGCAGGCGCCAACAGCAGCAACAATGACGATGGCGAGAGAGGCCGTGGCAAGCTTTTGACGCCCCTCTCGCTGCCCAAGAACCGCAGCACCAGCAACCTCGCCCTCTCAGCTGACCCCGACCGCGCCCGCTTTCGCATGTCTTTTGAGGGCTCGTCATCTGCCGCCGCCGCCGACCATGACTTGATGACCAGGTCAGTTAGCTTTCTTTTTTTTTATTGCCTTGCTATGTCTGATCGTGTCCCCATCCCGTCTTGGCTCCCTTCTTCTCCCTCTCCTTCTCCCTCTTCTTTCGCTTTCCCACCGTGCTTGCTTGAATTCAATACCGGCCTCACAGCCGCAGCAACCGCCGCCGCAAGACGCGTGGAACACGACCATCATGTCGTGTCACCCAGCATCATGCCTCTGCTAACATTCTTCTTAAATTGGTGCAGACCGTCACCCGTTACCGACCACGAACATGGCCTCGGTCTCTCGGGCCTGCGCCGTATACGGCAGCATCCGCCCTCGCGCAATCCCACCATGCCAAACTCCAACGCTTCCTCTCGTAGCCCGTCCGTCGTAACTCTCTCCCGCTCGACCTCGATGAGTGCCACTCTTGTCGCCCCCGCGCCGCTCTCCTCCTTCTCCCCCGCGCCTGCCTCTCCCAGCTTCTCCGAAGATCTCTCTCGCTTCCCGACCGAGTCGCTGCATTCCTTCTCCTTTGCCCACCAGTCCGAAGACTTTCTCCATAACCGTCAAAATGTCGTCAAACGCTCTCTCGAGTTTATCAAAGACCGCCTCGGCATGCCTCTCAGCGCCAACCAGGCTGGTTTGGCCAGCGCCCACGCCAGGCTCTCCGGTGATTTGGAGGCCCAGACTATGCTGGAAATGCTCGCCAAGGCCCAGATCATCGGAGCCAGCAACCTGCCCAACCCAGATGCCTCGTCTGCCATCCCTCCGCTTACCGGGCCCCCGGATCTGTCTGGTGAGAACATCTTTGAAAAGCAGTTCAGCCCCCACATGCTCAGCGAAGAGCCTGCCACCATCCACGAAGAACCCGAGGACCTCACCGCATCACCCACCTCTACACGTCGCCCGCCTCCAAACAAGGACGGCCAGGATGATTCCGCAAAGTCGAGTAGAACGCCCACGGACGAGAGCAAGACGACGGCTACCACGTCACCGCCCGCCTCGCGACCAACGAGTTTGAAACGCACCATGACAGATACCCTCTCCGTAGCCCTCAAGGACAAGCTCATGGATACTATGGCCCAACCTTTCATGGCCCAGCCATTCATGGCCGGCCCGACATTGCATCAAGAGGCAACTCTTTCTCCCATCCTCCCACAACCAACCTTGCCCTCCCAAAAAATTTCAGGGGCTCTAAACCCCGCCGTCCATGGACATACCAACAGATGGGTTCCCGCTGCCCAAGCTATTTTCACCACCGAAGCCAAACCTCCTTGGACCATCCTCGCCGCAAACGACCTCGCTTGCCTAGTATTTGGTGTCACCAAAGCTGAAGTTCGCAAGATGGGTATTTTAGAGGTTGTGCAGGAAGAGAGACGTGCGTGGCTTGAACGAAAGCTGCTTAGCAAAGACGATGACGATGATATGCAAGATGCCGCCGCCGACATGACACCTGCCAACTCAGCCGCAACAGTCCTTCTCGGTGGACGCTCTGGAATTACGGCCCAATTATTGAACAAGCCTAATTCGAGGTCGCAAACTCCCCAGCCTCCGCGGAGAGCTCAAACCGTCCATAGCGGCGACATTGAACCACCCAAGGCCCGTGGCACCGATGCGCATCGCACTACAGGTTCTCGAGGTGTTTTGCTTTGCGGCGATGTTGTTCCTATCCAGAAGCGCAATGGACTGACCGGCTCTGCCAGTTTGTGGGTTAAGGAAAAACGCATTGGCTTGATCTGGGTCCTTGAGGAGATCCATGAGGACGTTGCCAATATCGAACTTGACGAAGATGGCGTCGTCAAAACTGTGGTTGGCGCTACCGAGACTATCTGGGGCTTTAAGGTTGTCAAGCAAGGCATCGACATTGCTAACCTTGTCCCGCGAATTCCGCGCCAAGGGTTCGACCCGTCCCAGGGCGAGATTGACTTTGCGCAGACGCGAAAGACACGCTATTTTACGTGTCCCAACTATCGAAGCGTCAATATTCCCTGCGCTGTCGAACAAGTACAGGGCAAACTCGAGCTAAGAGTTTCCACTTTCCCACACATGGCGGGTATCATTGTTGTTGACCCCGCGACTTTTACTATTCGCAGCTCCAACTCCGCGTTTAGTGGTGCGCTCTTTGGTTTCGAAAAACCTGCAGGCACATCTATAAATGCCTTGATTCCTGGCTTTGACAAGATTGTCGAGACCTTGACCGAAGAGGACGGCCTACAGTTGCTTGATGGAATGGTAATACCAGAACATCGCTTCCGAAGAGCCGCTGCCTTTACCGCCATCAAAGAACACAGGCCCAACGCTGCTGCATCCTTTTTGCAACCCAACGGACTTGCTGCAAAGCATCGCGACGGCTCCAATCTCAACATTGACGTTCAAATGCGCGTTGTGGAGAGTGAGAAACAAATCGACATTTCGCAACTGAGCACAGAAGAGGCTGTTGACGACGATCAAACCGACGTTTCCTCGACACACCCACAGACTGAAATCGTTTTCGCTCTCTGGATCACTTATTCTAGACACCTTCACGCAGTCCCCAACGTATTAGACCCAACCAAGCGTATACCTTCTGGGCCACCCACGCCTCTGCATCAGCCCTCGCCTGGCCAGACACCTGTCCACTCGCCTTTGGTTTTATCTGACACTGAAGCTGATGAACCGACACGACCTTCCGCCTCGCCCTCCACCATGAACCTCTCCGGCATGTCGAAGATTAAGGATGTTGCACTCAATGCCGCAGCAAGGCTCACAGGCAAGACTCTATCATCTCCCAAGGCAGCCCCCGCGCAGCCAATCTTGACGGCAGCAGAAGAGGAGCCTAGTAAGCTGACCATAAACGACTATACCATCTTGGAAGAGATGGGCCAAGGAGCCTACGGTCAAGTAAAGCTCGCGAGGAACAAGAAAACTGGTAAAAAGATGGTGCTCAAGTATGTTACAAAGCGACGCATTCTCGTCGACACCTGGACGCGCGATCGAAAGCTCGGCACTGTTCCACTCGAGATTCACGTCCTCGACTACCTGCGGAAACCCGAATTTCAGCACCCCAACATTGTCGAGATGGAAAATTTCTTTGAGGACGACGTCAACTACTACATTGCAATGAAGCCTCACGGACTGCCAGGTATGGATCTATTTGACTACATCGAGTTGCGTTCCAATATGGACGAAGCCGAGTGCCGCCGCATCTTTGTACAAGTAGCCCAAGCTATTCACTTCCTGCATACCAAGGCCCTGGTTGTGCACCGCGATATCAAGGACGAGAATATCATTCTTGACGGCGAATGCAACATCAAGCTCATCGATTTTGGCAGCGCCGCCTACATTAAGAGCGGACCCTTTGATGTCTTTGTAGGCACTATTGGTATGTTTTGCGACTATTTCCATCCTCGCGCCACGCTTCTAGTTGCTGACAAGCTTAGATTATGCTGCCCCCGAGGTCTTGGCCGGAAAGCCCTATGGCGGTAAACCGCAAGACGTATGGGCGCTGGGCATTCTCCTGTACACCATCATCTACAAGGAGAATCCCTTTTACAGCATTGACGAGATTATGGACCACGACCTGCGCGTGCCGTTCACCATGAGCCCCGAGAGCATCGACCTCATCCGCTGCATGCTCAACCGCGACGTGTCCCAGCGCAGCGATATTACGCAGGTGGTGGAGCATCCCTGGTGCAAGAGTGCTGCATCGAATTGATCATGACGAATTTAGAAAAGTTTCAAATATGCATGGGGCGCTTTTTAGACGAGCAAAGAGACTCGAACAAGATACAAGACAACCGAATTATCCTACTACACGATACCCTCCATCCATCCATCATTATACCACATTAGCCATCAGTCAAATTCACATTTTTTATGCTTGCATGATGCTCTTAACGTGTTTTCTTACCACTGCTAAATGACAAATTGGCGTTGCAGTGCAGTGATGACTGAGATTTTGCCATGTATAGTATTACTTTAGGGGTATATAGTGATCTACATGTTGCCATCTCGCTACTCCCACCAAACTCCGCCAGTCTAATGCAAAACACACACAAAGACATGCGCTCCCTCTAATGGTAGTTGAGCTCCGGATTCGCCCGAAAGTTGCACTTGCAGCGGCACTCGGGCACGGGACACTCGACATGCCGCGCAAACCACTGCCGCGCGTGGTCCAAGTGCAGGACATGCTCGCAGCGCATGCAAAACGTCGGGAACCGGCCGGCCATGCGGGTCTCGTCGCGCTCCTCGGGACGGTCCGAGCGCGGCACGCCAACCACCTCGAGACAGACGACGCACCGCGGGAGGTGCCGCCCGCAGTTGGGACAGCTGACGCCGGCGCTGATGCTCGTGGCGAGCAGCGGGTTGCGCGACTCCATACTGCTGGAGGGCGGAGGCGGCGGCGGTGGTGGTGGCGGTGCGGCGGCGGTGGTGCTGCCGCTGCTGGTGCGTTGGTGATGGTGGTGGTGGTGGTGGTTGGCGAGGGACGTTTCGGCGTCGCAGTAGATGCAGCGGAGGGCGACCTGCCGCGACGGCGGTTTGAGGAGGGGATTGGCGCCGTCGCGCTTGGATCGCTTGGTGGACTCGACCTCGAACTTGGTGCGCTGGAAGAAGAAGCGGTGGCGCTGGAGCAGCGCGCGGTACGCGTTGCGCCAGGCGCGGCAGCGAAAGTCATCAATGTACCGGGGGTAGCAGAGCGAGAGCACGAGCGTGGCCGTCTGGTAGTCGTGGAACTTTTCGACGTACGTGGCCAGGACGTCGACGAGGCGGTCCGAGATGCCGGTGAGGACGACGGCTTCGACGTCGCCTTCGGTGACGGCGCGGAGCACCTGCGCGTCGAGCCAGCGCGTGAGCGCGTCGTCGTGGAAGTTGCGCACGGCGACGTAGGCGCGGTCGGCGAGGGGCAGGGAGCGCTGGTCGGCCACGAGCGACCAGTCGCCGGTGGCGATGAGGGTGGAAATGGCGCGCAGGTAGGGGTCTGTTTTGGAGGCGACGGCGTCGTCAAAGTCGAGCTTCTCGGCGGCGAGCGGCTGCTTGGTGTTGTTGTTGCCGCCGCGGTCCATGAGTTGCAGCGCGAGGGAGACGAAGAGGAGCTCGGGGTGCGCGGCGGACGCGCGCTTGAGCACGGCGACGGCGTGCCGCACGTCCCCGTGGAAGAGCGACCGGCACGCCGTCATGGTATGAACAGCGGCGGGGTAGTCGGGCGACGGGTCCTCATCGTCGTCGTTGCCGTGCTCGGGGTCTTGGTGGTGGTTGTTCGACTCGGGGTCGCCCCAGCCGCAAATCTCAAGGCACAGCTGTCGCGTGTGTGGTCGCTTGGTGAAGACGGTGTCGAAGCGCGGGAACCGACGCTTCTTGCAGTACGGCCCGATGAAGCGCTCCCACTGTAGAGCGTCGGGCAGCGTCGTGGTCCCGGGGCTGACTCGCGTGGTCGGGTTGCGTCCTGATTTCTGTGTTGGTTGGGGGTTGGTGGTTGGGTGGTGTGGTGGGCATGCTTACCTAGGTCATTGGTCCAGATGGCGTGGACGCCGAGATAGCTGAGATCAGTGCCGGACAGCACCAGACTGCTGTCGTATGCTGCCAGTTCGGCGTCTATCGGGTTTGTTAGCAGGGTGCTGTGAGTGCTGGCATGAACTGGAGCTTACCGGCGATCCAGTCCCAGACGTAGCGCTTCCAGGGATCGTCGGACACGATTTGTCGATTGACCGTGGGATCAAAGAGGTACTTTTCCTTGGCGCGGAACAGCATGGCGTGATCGACGGCGCTCTGCGCCTGGGTGGGCAGGCCGCTTGTCTTGACCGTTGCCGCGAGCAGCGCCTCGTGAAACTCTCTGCACGATTCGACGCTGTTGGTGGCCAGGGACAGCTCATTCGGCACGCGGGACCGACCCGCTGTTGATGGGTTTTTGGCCTCCAGGTCTTTGATAAGGTGGCGCACGGAGCGCAGCTTGCCGGCAATCGTCTTGGCCGCGTAGAAGGATTCGGGCAGCGGCGTCGTAATCTCATTGACGCGCTCCACCACCGCGCAGCTGGTCTCCTGCTTCTTGAGCGCTGCTTCGATGCCCTCCTTGACGGCAATCTTATCGGGACCAAAAATGGGAACATGGTGCAGCGCCTGGTCTACGAGCGTGGCGGCGAGAACTTCCATGCCTTGCTTGGGGTCGAATTGCATGATGTCTTGGTAGGCGTGGCCGGATTCTAGACCGCGATGTGGTGATTTCCATGGAATGAGCTTGTATGCGTGGTCTGTCGACGCGGACGGCTTCTCCAAAATGTCAAACTTGCCGCTTGTTCGTAGAACTAATAGTCTAGGATTGAGATCTGGCGAGCTTAGTGTGACCCAGTCGAAAGACACAATACGGTCATTTTTTCTCGAGTTGTATCGATACGACAGATCAAGCTCGTGTGATTTCTCCACGTGGAGTAGTTCTGGCCCCTGCTCTGCCGTGATGCTAGATGATGGCGAGTCCTTCCTCGTATCGAGAACGCGAAGTTCGCCTGTGCGTGAGAGGATGGCTAATAGACCTCGTTGATTGCGACAATACCGGAGTGATCGAATCATAGAATGTCGCTCGTCCACAATTGATGGATCATGATCAGTCTCAATTGCTGAGTCGAGACGCAAAGCAGCTCCCCACGGCATATCATCTTCTTCCACAGTCTGCACATATGATGTTGACGCCACAGCGCGATTGCTTGCTCGCCGATCCCATATCATGACGCCAGGATGATCCAAGCTGGAAGACGCAAAGTAGTTTTGATCGGCGTAGTCGATGGCAATATTATTGTTGCATCTCGTGTGAAAGGTAACAGCCGGGTTCGGGTCACGCAGGTCGTGTATTCTGACACCATGCGACTTGATACCCGCGACAAGCGTATGCGGGCTGTCTTCAAAGAACTTGAGACTGGAAACGGAAACGCTGGGTTCCAAGTGCGCAACGCTGTCGACATGGTCGTGGGCGTCAGTCGGGAAACCGCGCATGGGAGGGTCTATCGATGACAGGCGCGAGATATCCCAGACGTGCAAGCTCTGGTCCATGCGCACACGGTCTAGGCCTACGGCTAACAGACCGGTAGTGTTGAAAGCGACGGCGTGGCAGTTTCGTGCCATCTTCAAGCCCAGCTCCACAAAGGCGTTGGAGCCATCGTCGACTCGCAAAAGATTCACAACGCCTCCACCGGTACCAATCGCAATCAGTCCAGGGTCGCAAGGCGACCAGTCATACGTCGTTAGCGGGGGAAAGTCGTCGTGCCGAACGCGCCTGACGTAGTCGAATTTGCCGTTGCGCGCAAAGCCATTCGCCTCGTAAATCTGGATATAGCGGTGTTGGAGGTTGACCTGTACAAAGCTGTCGAGCTGCGGATTAGCAGTCCACTTTATGAGACCCGGCTCTGGACGGTCCATTTTGGAATCGATTTATGCCCGTCGCGGAGTCGCAAGTGAGGTTGTTTGCATTGGACAAAGGGCAGTCGATATTTGTCGTGAAAGGGGTAGAGAATCGTGTCGAATATTGTCCGTATGACCGAGGATAGGGTCTCTATGTCAATGGCCAAAAACCAAGGCCATTGATGCTGCGTGGCGGCTGTCGCATTGTCCAGTGGCAGAGGTGTGAGGTGCAAGTTGATGCGACAAGGGTGCCATGCACCAGCTCGCCCGACAGCTGGGGAGCTTCAGGCGCTTCAAGCCAACTTCCCCACACCACGGGCCTAAGCTCGGTGCTCCACGTGATGGGACCCATCCGGATCTTTATCAGCTTATCACCCAAGAAATATTTCCAGCCTGCCGAAAAGTTCCAAATTACTTCTAGACGCCGTTTGCGAGGAAGACTGACTAGACGAAATATTGAATCAAATTCTCAACCGAGTCTCGACGGCGCCACATATTGGGCTCAATTCTCTATAGCCGCCATATCAAAGGAGCAACACTCACGAACCATGGACGAGAACCGTCGGAACCGGGGCACAGCTGGCAATGCTCACCAAAAGTACAGCGCGGGCAGGCACAAGGCCAAGCAAGGTTCGGCAGAATGGGCAAAGAAGAGGACGAGAAGCATTCAGCGCATGATTTCCCGCAACAACGATATCCCCGCCAATCTGCGCAATGACATGCAGCGCGAGCTAGTCGCCCACGAGAACACCATTGCCGATAAGAGCTTTCAACGGCGAAGAAGCGCCATGATCTCAAAATACCACATGGTCAGGTTCTTTGGTACGTCGCGAGTGAACTGTGTGCGTGGTCATCAGCTCCCTCTAACAATGACACCCAGAGCGCAAAAAAGCTGCTCGTCTAGTCAAACAGTTGAAGCGCAAACTTGAAGCGGCGACAGACGACGAAGAGCGCAACCAACTCCAGGCCGACCTGCACATTGCCGAAGTCGACGAGGCATATACAATGCACCACCCCCACGCCGAAATTTACATTAGCTTGTACGGCAATGCCAAGAAGGAGGGCGGCGACGACGACGACGGCGCGGAAACGGAGAAGACCCCAGCCGCAAAGGCGGCTCTGGCCGCGGAGCGCCCACCAATGTGGAAGGTGGTTGAGCAGACCATGGAAGAAGGTGCGGACGCGTTGAGACAGCTTCGAGAACGACGATCAGCGACCGGCAACGAGGATGCGGGCGCAAGCTATCCTCGATCGCGTGACGCCAAGCCCGCGCCTCGAAAGGAAAGAATGGCCACTGTCATTGCCAAGCAGAAGCACGCGAAAAATACAGACAAGGCGACGAGCGATGGCAAGACGGCTTCTGCAGCAGTCAGTGAGCAACAGAACAGCGTCAAGACGAGCGGGCTGAATCGTCGGGAGCGTCGCCGTCTCCAGCGCGAGGCCATGGCCTCTACTGACCAGGAGGAGGAGGGTGGTTTCTTTGAGATTTAACTGTTTCATTTCGGGTCACTTGCATATTTTTTTTTGTCATTAGCGAATGCATTATGTAGTGCCTAATGGAGGCGGTGCATGGAAGTAACCTCAACAAGGAGACGAGGAAAATATTTTGATCAATTCAATATTGACCATTAACGAGTAAACAGAACGCTTGATATATCAGCGACGTGCGATCTTTTGTCTGTGTAGACAGTGTGTCTCTGTGTACATGAATGCGCCAAACGCCACCGGATGCAGAATTGATTCTTGTAGAGCAGCTGCTCTGGGATCTATTTTTTCTATTCTTTGAGAGAGAAAAGCATAGGATGAATCAATGAAATTAAGCACTCTTCAAGGTCACAGATTCGTTCCTGTGCTCAACAATGTTTAGGAACGGGTCAAGAATGTTGGGATCCCGTAGACCAATGGTTATATCGTCAGGTAGGCGGCCAGAACGATAAAGGGCCTGCTCATGTTAGCGCCAGCCTACTCACCAACGCCGGATGGACCCCATTTCGCACTGTACTTACCCCTTTAACTTGATCGAAGCTCGCTTCCTTGGCTGTGTATTCTCGGATGACTTGCTCGGTATCAAAATCGACGTAAACGCGCGTGTCGCGGATGCGCACAATGACGTTGTCCAAGCGCATGAATAGACGGCACAGAAGCAGCATGCGTTTCTCATGGACCCTCAGCTTGGCGCTGTAGACAGAGATGCCATTGTCGTCTAACTCGCTCTCGTACAGCACGACCTCGTCAAAGAACAGGATCGGATCACGCCGCTTCAGCAGCTCGATGGGAATCACATCCGTGCTCTCCTTGAGCTGCACCCCCCCGGGCGTCGTCTCCGTGCCCGCATACTCGGTCGAGTAGCTCCAGTCGTACGGCTTGACGACCTCTTTGATCTTTTGCGTGGTGCCCTCGCGGGTGCTCTCCCAGTCGCGCGCGTACGCGACCTTGAGCATGTGCCGGTCCGTCTTGTCCACGGCGTCGAGCGCGTCGGGCGTCGCGAAGCAGATGGACCAGCCCGACGGCGCGTGCGTGATACTCACGAGGTTGTCGCCGAAGATCATCTCGGGCATGGGGATGCCGATCCGCTCCGTCATGGCGTCAATGGCGCCCGACTTGGAAATGGGCAGCTTCCGTGTGGCGATGTGGAAATTTTGCTGCACATGCGTTGTCGTCGCCGAGGACAGCGACGCCGTCGTCGGAAAAGGCTCGTTGGGCGAGGTGATGTGATTCATGGGGAAAGGCATGGCTGCGGACGTGCTTTTCTGCTCAAGCTTGTTCCCGAGCGGGAAAGGATTCGTATTTCCGGCGGCGAGGGGTGTGTATCGGATTCGATTCTATGTCTGGTCGTGTTGTAGTGCGGACGGGCAATTGGAAAGAAATGTGGTTGGAATTAGGTTGCCAGCTGGCGGGGCAGACAGACACCATCATCATCCATCATCGCGGCTGGAGGGACGACCGACCCCACAACGACATCCGCGAACTCTACGATTTGTTCGGCCGACAGAGAGCCTCTCCTATGTATTTTATGTTTTTGCCTTGGCATCAAAAACAATTGATCTAGCTTCGTGAGCAAACCTTTGGTGAAAGGTGATTTTGTACTGGGCTTGTCCATTTGTTCAGTGTTAGATGTTGTTGTTCTCCCCGTGGCAACACGGCAGGCATGATAGACACCGTACCAGCCACCATAGTAGCTTTCCTTCGTATCAATATCTTCCCTAAACTTCCCTAAACTTCCCTAGACTACTTTAGTGCACCAATTCTTTTGAAAAATGTAAAGCTTAGCCTTTACAAAATCGCAGTTAGCGGCAGGCCTTACACGCCTTGCAACGAAAACTCTCTACACACGTCACCATGGAAATTTGATCTTCTCGGCCAAGACCCAACTGGTTTCTTGCAGTTGACACGCAGAATCAGAATTTAAACGTTACTGCATTCTGCAGACCATTGGATTCATACACCCCTTCAGGGCCAATTGGAATATTTTGCGTTCCCACGCATGAGAGGAATTGGAAATTAGCCTTTATTACCCTCTATAAGCCATTGACTTTACCGGGAGAATTCGCTTTTACACATTCCCTCAAATTCAATTAGTCTCTTCAACACTGTAAGTGGGCGTACGACCGCCTTGATAGAGTTTGCAATTGCGCGAACACTGTTCGTTTCGCACTTTCTGTATGCAGTCGTAGACCAATATAAAGACTCCTCGAGTCCTTGCCATGAGTCCAGCACTTTTTAACAACATCCCTTGCCATCAGTCCAGTATCCAACGTTGTTAATTCTTGGTTGACTCTCACATCCAGGCTCACATTTATACCAACAAGTCTGCCAGCACAACCACCAACACAAGTTCAACCTCACCTGAGCTTCGACACTCAGTCAAGATGCCTTTCGACAATAATGTTCCTAAGCATAGACCCCTGTATTGCTGGTACGCCCCGAAAAGGCTGGCGCAGTCGTTTGCCGACATCAACGCGCCGCGGTGGTTCATCGAAGCCGCTGCCAATGGCGGACCTTGGTACCAGTGGTCACCTGAGATTCAAGTGTATTTCCACAATACTTTTGACAGATGCCTTGATATCATGAAATCTACTGCAGCTAGCAGCACATACCAGGCACGCAGAGATTGTCGTGCTTGGTACACCGCCACGACACCCAACAACAGATACCTCTTCGGCCGCGAGCTGAGAAACAAAGTTTTACAGTGCGAAAGGTGTGGGCTGTTCTACGACCACAAACTTCGCATGATCACACGCGCTCCCTGGCTTCCTATTGTTCAAATGTCTTTCGCTTTCTGTCCCGCCAACGGAAATAACAGATGCAACCAAGACCAACGCCCCGATTGGATCCGAGGATTGGACAACATCGATAAACACTACGAAAACGTTATTCTCGAGACAATGCGCGCCTTGAGTAGGCTAAATCCCGACAGTTTGATCCGCTCTGTCCTTCCGAACGAGGCAACACCTGCCTTACTACCTGAAGGCGGCCTATCTGAACTGAGGCGTGGTTACAAAGCGCTTCGCGTGCTCTGGATCCGTGCATTCACCGGCCCGAAGCCAGTGACGCCTAAGAAGGCTTGGAAGTACGCCCCTGATGTGCCCACACCGGTGGAAGCGCCAGTGGGGAGGCAGGTTCCCGCGCACATTGCCGAGAAATATCGCTCCCTTGGCAGTCCATCACACTGGGGAGACATTGACTACGATCTCCAACTACTGGACGAGAGCCTGATTAATGAAGAGGATCTGACCTACTTGTACGGAATGCACGTGGATGCGCTTCGTTGGATCACGGCTCACGATTGGGAACTGGAGAGAGAGCTGCTCAACGCATATGCCGGAATGCGTCAGCGTGTCGACGAGGACCACTACCGGTTAATGCGGATTGCTTGCCAGCGTGCGAACACGGCAATGGAGCGGGTTTTGGCAACCAAGAATGCGGGACTCAAAATCACTGATGGGTTTGAACATCTATACGCCTTCAACGGTGTGCGTTTCCGCGAGCTTCTCAGCGCCCTGTGTGCAGACTTGGAAACCCACCGGTCCGGCAACCGCGCCCTCGACAAGCCAGTGTGGGCGGATGCCTGGAAAAACGCGACGGTCTCTCACAAAGGACAGCGCGTGTATGCGCCTCAGGTCACAGGACTTCGGGGTTTCAGGGCTTCAAAATAGATTTCTTTTGGGACGGCGGGGGAGAGGGTTCAGGGCTTCAAGGCGGATCTCAATGTTTTGTGCTTTCTTTTGGCCTTTGTTCGGGTTCTTTTGGCTTTTGATCGGGTTCTGGAGTTGGATCTTGATGTTTTGTGTTTTCTTTGGATTTGCCTTCAGGCTCTCAAATTGGATCTCAACGCTTTGTGTTTTCGTATAACTAGGGGCGACGACACAACTATTACCGCCAAGTTCTAGACTCGAAAAAATATAGAAAGAATATAGAAAAAAAGAAAAAGAAAAAGAAAAAGAAAAAGAAAAAGAATATAAGTGTTACTACAAAAATTGTATCCTTTGCCTGCTCCACCTGCTCCTGATTTCTCGAGCGAACATTGTAAATCTTTTTATCTTCTCATGGCTGGCTGTTGGGTATGTGGTATGAGTCCGTACTGGTATTGCGTTGTCGGTTGCTGCGCCAACGACATCGCAACCAAATGTTTGGTTCGAGCCGCAACCCGATCCGCCGCACAGTCCACCAGTGCACTCCATTAAACGCAACCTAGTTTCCATTCGAAATCGACAGCTTCTTCCAGTACAATTAATACGGCCTACAAACGAATTCTTGCGGTGGTTTGGCAATCTTTTGTTGCCTGGCATTCATTCGTCCTCGGCTCTCCTACCCTACGCCCTGCTCGACTCGCTTCTCTACTCTCACACTATTCGTTCTTTATCATTCAAGACCGTTCGAGCAAAGATGGCGGCGACCCGGACGCTAGAGGCTCGTTTCGAGCGCATGTCGGTGATGGACGACCATGACTCCGGGTACACTAAGACAAAGGTACGCATGGGATGCTGGCTTAAGGCCCGTGGCAAGAAACTGGAGCGAACAAGGGCACAGCATGTATTGATTGAATGGAACTCGCTTTCCACTCTGTCATTTCTCTCCATTTACGACGGCGCAGTAGCTACGCTTTGCAGTTGCCAAGATACTAATGCAAGAGGCTGCGAATATAGGTCACGGCGACTACGGCACAGCTGCCAAACGGAAACACCCGGGCGAACCTTTTCAAGGTTGCTATACAATCACACGTGGCCAGCAACCCTGTTACAGCCTCGGTGACCTTGCCATCACAAGCCATCAACCGCAAGCTCGCCCAGCATCAGCAGCAACAGCAGCATCCAGCCCCGTCGGCCGTTCCGACCCGAAAGGCGCTTCCGTCCTCGTCCTCGTCCGCTCGCAACTCGGACGAGCCATCGGCGGGCACAGCCGAGGACAAGGTGGCCGCGATGCTCATCGCCCACCAGCCCATGCTGCCCAAGGAGTTTCACCTCGGCATGTTTGAGATTGGCCGGCCGTTGGGCAAGGGCAAGTTTGGGCGGGTGTACCTGGCGCGCGAGCGGACGAGCGGCTTCATCTGCGCCCTCAAGGTGCTGCACAAGAATGAGCTGCGGCACGGGGGGGTAGAGCGGCAGGTGCGCCGCGAGATTGAGATCCAGGGTAACCTGCGCCACCCCAACGTGTTGCAAATGTACGGCCACTTTCACGACAGTAAGCGCGTGTTCCTGATTCTCGAGTTCGCTGGCAAGGGGGAGCTGTACAAGCACCTGCGCAAGGAGAACCGCTTCCCCGAGTGGAAGGCGGCGCAGTACATTGCACAGATGACGTCGGCGCTGCGCTACCTGCACCGCAAGCACGTTATCCACAGAGACATTAAGCCTGAGAACATTCTCGTCGGCATCCACGGCGAGCTCAAGATTTCAGATTTTGGCTGGAGCGTACACGCGCCAAACAACCGTCGCAAGACCATGTGCGGTACCCTCGACTACCTGCCGCCCGAGATGCTGCGGCCCGGTCAGGGGGAGAACTTTTACAATGAAAAGGTCGATCTCTGGAGTCTGGGCGTCTTGACATACGAGTTCCTCGTCGGCGAGGCGCCGTTTGAAGATACGGCAATCATGACACAGAGGAGAATTGCGAGGGCAGACATGTCGGTACCGTCGTTCGTGAGCGCAGAGGCAGCAGATTTGATCAAAAAGGTATGCACGATTTTGCTTCCTCTTCCCTACTCTACATGAAGCCTCTTTCCGCCCTCGTCCCATTTCAATTCGTCTCCTCTTTTTGGCTGCTCCCTGAAACTTTGGAAACTACCGACAGTTGCAACATGCAGGGTGCGGATCAACAAAGCCACAAAATTCTCCAGTTCTTTACAGCCGGATACTAACCGTGATGTTCTGCAGCTCCTCGTTCTAGACCCCGAGAAGCGTATTCCGCTGGACCAGATTCCGCTGCACCCCTGGATAGTGAAACATTGTGTCAAGGGCGAGCGGGTTGCGAATAGGGAAAAGTCGTATAAGTGAGCTTCGGCGCGACACTTATGACGTAGTTACTTGAAGGGGGGTGATCATCATTCGTGCTAAGACCGCCCAACAGTAGCGCGATGCGGCCTTTTTCTCTCTTCTAATCCAATAGTTTTTCAAGGGGGGTCAGACAAACGTCTTGGGGTTTTTAATAGGTGGATGGCACCAGGAAATACTGGGGTGCCCATTTTGGCAGCATGTGAAGGAGTCATTCGGTCTTTTCAGGTTGTGGTGTTGCTTTTGGTTACATAAATTTACGTGCATGCTACTACACAGCCTTGTATACGGAACATTTCCAGTTTCTTAGAATGATTTATTCTTTAACCAACTTGATTTCCGATGGCTTGTTATCGGGGCTATGCTTTCGGGAAGGGGTATCGTCAACGTCGTATTGAGCGTTTAATGTACACAGTAAAAGAAGAGGCTGGCGGGCTGGCTGAGCCGGGCCAACGGACCAGGTGAAAAGATGCTAGCCCATCAATCAAATCAGCTCAGCCCCAAACCGACATGTAACATAATGGTACAATATACAAGTGAGCTAAACACAAACCTGCATGAATAGTGTTGTGTGAGTAAAAGGGATTCGGGAGTGCGGAGAAGGATAGGCTATATAGCCTTGTGTTGTTGGATGTTGGATGCTTAGCCCCCCACACCTATCGGTATACTTCGTCAAATGGTCTGGTGTCCGAGAAGCACGAGTCCCAGACCTGGTTGACGACTTGCGTGGCTTGGACATCATCCTTGCACCGGGGACGGGCCATGACGGATTGGATGGCACGCTTGCGGACGCAGTTTTGGAACTGCTGTGTGAGAGTCCAGTTGCCGCGGGTAAAGGCTTCGCGAGTCCAGCGACATTCACCGCTGAGCATAGATGCGCGAATCTATTGTGCAAGAAGCGGAAAGGGACCGGCATGGTTAGCTTGGACGTGTCGCGTGGAGGCTGTGGTGTGAAGCGGCTGCATGGAGGAGGGGTAGGTGGCATAGGGAACCGATGCGTGCGAGTGGAAATATGCGAGGTTGGAAGGGGAAATGATGTACGGGCATGGTATGACGGGGACAGGTAGTGAGGCTCGGCAGTGCGCGTGCATGTTTTGCGAGGGAGGGCAAGGATGAGAGGGTGAGGATGAGAGAGGCTTGTGAGTGAGAGTTGCTGAGCGTCTCATGTCTTGTTTGGGGCTACATACCTCGGTACACGCGGCGTGCTTGAGGTCCTTGTCGCCCATCCAGTCAACGTTCCAGCGCAGATGATCCCAGGCGTGGACCATCTCGTGGGCGAGGGTGTCCTCGAGGTGCTTGCGGTCGCGGATCTCGTTGGCGCAGAGCAGGATGCCGTGGCCGGGGCTGAAGCCGCCCGACTGGCGGTGGACCTGGCCGTCGTCCTCGAGGCGGGCGGGACAGCGCCGGCAGACGACGTTGGACGCGTCGAGGCGGCCGCCGAGGTCGGCAATCTTGCCCTGGAGGAAGCGGACGACGGGGGAGTAGGCAAAGAGCCAGTTGCGGTGGTCCTCGCAGCGCTTGCAGTCGCGCTCCTCGTGCACCTTGTAGCGCCATTCACGGTAGTGGAACTGGCCCTCGGGCGTCATCTGGTTGGAGAGGATGCGGAAGTAGTTCATCCACCACTTGGTCTGGGGGTCGAAGCCGGTGCGCGTAGGATCATTGACGACCTGCTTGGGGACTGCTGCGGCGGCGGCGGGAGCAGCTGATGCTGCTGGTGCCCCTATCCCGGCATCTGGAGGAGGCATCTGGTGAGTCGCGTTTGTCGTGTTTTCCCCCTTGCGGGAATTGCGAAAAAAAAAAAGCTGACGGCGCTGCTGCGAGGCGCAAAACTAGCGGATAAGTTAAAACAAAATTAAAGCAGAAAAACGACACTAAATTAAATGAATCAGGCAATGGAAGCACCGAATGAAAATTTCAATCCATGCAGTCGCAACGTCACTGCGGCCGAGTCGACCACGGTAACTCGTCGATTCTGGGGAATATGCGGGTTTGGAGGGTTTGGGTGGCAGCAGTACAAAAAGTACAAGACACGGATGTACCTTTTTTCGAAGGGACGGATGGGAATTCTGCCAGGCTGCGCTGCAGGTTATAGGCCACTCTATGTGCTACAAGTGGCAGCTCTGCTCGAATTACAGGCGCATTCCAGCTACACGAATTTTAAGGTGGAATTGGCCTTTTTAGTGCGGCGACCAGCGCCTCGGCGTGCGTCAACGTAGGGCGGTGAGGCGGATCCAGCTGGCTGAAGTACGGCTCATTATTGATCCCTATTGGGGCATCCGAGGCCAAGGGGGGCCACTAGGCAGTTTAGCTGTGCCACTGGCGAGTCAATGTAGCTCGTAGTACTTGGGATCTGGCCGTAGTTTTGGTGGTGAGTTCATGTACCCGGCAATGTCACTCGATGAGAGTTCTGCTATTTTTACAGCCCGTTCGCAGTAAAAAATCAGAAAATCTAAAAACTGCCTGCCACACCCAACACGAGCTACGTACCGCCAGCCTGCTTACATGAGCCCCTTCGAGCCCCTCCCCCCACTCGCACCGACCACTTAAATCCTCACTTCCACCAAACAGACGCCGCACCAGAGAAAAGAGCCCCTCCTCACCGCCCGCTTTCTGCCCTCATGCCGCCCGCCCTATGTGCATGCAGTGCCGCAAAAATACTTCGCATGCATTTTCATTCGAGGGCGTCTACACTGCTTTGGGCAACCCAAAACGCTAATCCTCATAATCCTCAACCCATCCCCAACCAAAGGCGCGCCCTGATTGACGGAGAGCTCTTCCGGTGGAACCCGAATTGGGGCCCTGGGCAAAGACGACGACGTATGTTCAAATGTATAGTTTCCTGTCCAGCTACCTCGTTGTCTGACTGGCTTCCAGCATTGCGGATGTTGGCTGTTGACGCACGCTACTTGAACGCTTGCGACCTTGTGTGGCCGTGCCGCCCCGTTCTCTTCCAACGACATAATAGCCTCGTACGTAGTAGCGCAGGGATTGTGTCATCGATCGACCCAACGGGCTTGTGAAAATGCTCAAAGCTACAAGCGAGCAAGGTACGTACTCATGTACCTTTTTGACAGCTGCCCATTTGCCTTCTTGTTGTTGTTTGACAGAGTTTTGCATGGCTTCGCAGAGGTCCGCGGCTGGTCCCTTTAAATACCAAGGGGGCCGCCGGGTTGGCCTGTGAACGAGTCTGCGGAGAGTCATTTCTTTTCGAGTGAAAAAAGCAGTCCTTGTTGCAAACAATTTCCGTTGGAGTAATGGCCATTAGTGTCTTCTGGTCCTCTTCTTATCAAATTACACGCTTCATCATCACTTGATACAACACACCCCGCTGACAATCATGACTGCCAAAGCTTCTTGCATCCGCAGGGCCCAGCCTCTTACTGTCGTTATCAAACTAGGTACGTATTGCCTCCCTTATCTGCGAGATTCTCCTATCTCGCCGTCTCGTTGCCTCTTATTCGCCGTCTGCCTTGCTCACACACCAATCACAGGCACCAGTTCCATTGTGGACGAAAAGACTCATGAACCTCTTTTGCCTATCCTCACCTTGATTGTCGATACCGCTGTCAAGCTGCGCAAGGAGGGCCACCGAGTCGTCATTGTCTCTTCCGGCGCCATTGGTGTTGGCTTGAGACGCATGGACGTTGCTCGCCGTCCCAAGCATCTTGCTCAACTTCAGGTACGAGGACCACCCAGCAGAATAGAAAATACCCGTGACCAATCTGAAATTAACTCTGTCTTCCCTTCAACAGGCCTTGGCTGCTATTGGACAGTGCCGTCTTATTTCTCTTTGGGACAGTCTGTTCAGTCACTTGGATCAGCCTGTTGCTCAGATCCTCCTTACCCGAAATGACATTGCCGATGTAAGCACACCATACCACACCACGATCCGATCGCCTGGCACCCCTCCATCGTGACTTTAGATCCACGCTAATCACTACCCCTCCGTCTTGCAGCGCACCCGCTACCTCAACGCCCAAAACACATTCAACGAGTTGCTCGACATTGGTGTCATTCCCATCGTCAACGAAAATGACACCCTTGCAGTATCTGAAATCAAGTTTGGTGACAATGACACTCTGTCCGCCATCACCGCGGCCATGATCCACGCCGATTTGCTTTTCCTCATGACCGATGTCGACTGTCTCTATGACAAGAACCCGCGCACCAACCCCGACGCCCGCGCGATCGAGGTTGTCGACGACATTGGCGCCCTCGAGGCCGATGGTAAGCCAACTTCCCCTTCTGCGGCATACAATCGCAAAAATAGCGCAACCTGTACTAATAAGACAACAGTTTCGAGTGCTGGCTCCTCCCTCGGCACTGGCGGCATGATGACCAAGATCATTGCTGCCAAGCTGGGTACTTCAGCTGGCGTTACGACCATCATCACCCGGTCGTCAAATCCTGGCAATATCCTGGGCATTGTCAACTATCTCTACAGTTCCCCCAGATCATCGATGATCGAAGATCCTGAGCACGCGACCCCTCCCCTCTCACGCACCGCCTCCCTCAGCCTCCTTTCCACGGGCGCCGACCTCAGCGGCCCTCCTCTTCACACCCGTTTCCTGCCTTCTAGCGATCCTATCCGTGATCGCCACTTCTGGCTCCTCCACACCCCCAGCCCCCACGGCACCGTCTACATTGATGCTGGCGCCCACAAGGCGCTGCTCGGCAAGGCTGGTCTCTTGCCTGTCGGTGTCGTCGACGTCGAGGGCAACTTTGCCTCGCACGAGCCTGTCCGCATCGTGGTCGTGAACCGTCGCAAGACGCCCGGGCCCGACGGCAAGATGTGGGATGGCGTCCCCGAGGAGATTGGCCGCGCTCTTGTCAATTACGCCTCGACGGAAATCTTCCGCATCATGGGACACCAGAGTGTCGAGATCGGCGAGCTGCTTGGCTATGCCGACAGCGAGTACGTTGCGCATAGATCGCATATTGCCTTTGTCCGCAATAATAGTCGACCAGTGTCCCCCACCCTGAGCATGGCCCAGATTTCATGATCAACATAATTTTCTACTATAAATGGCATACATGCATACCAGAGATGCTTTGGAGTTTTGATTTTGATTTTGGATATCACGGCACATCAATGGGTGCCTCTCTTTACTGTCTTGTTACTTTTGAAAATGATACTTTGACTCTGGCCTTTCTCTCTTGACCTTTTCTCCCTACCGTTGTGATTGTAATACAACAAATCTATAAGTCGCAATGTAGTGTGTGCGTACTCTCGCCTCTCTTTTGCACAAATAGTCAAGTTGTAATTGGAAACTAAACCTAGCAAACGCCTGTATATGAAAATGTGGTAAAGTAAATGTCCATACATCATGTTGGTCCATGTAACCGAATTTTGGTAGCCCCCAACGCCGAAACTCCATTTATACTGGTATAAACTTTTGCAAAAGAAAACTCTAGCGGCCTCTCCATTCGTATTAGATACGTAACCCGGCCCAGAGTGTAACCCTTTATTTTTGCATCGCATCGCATCGTCCATTGTCGTGGCCTCGCCCATCTCACCCGGTCGCAAAGAGATTGTCCTCGTCGCGCAGGAACTCGCCGCAGTCGGCCTGGCGAAAGACGACTATGCCGGTCGGGTCAAGGCGGCGGGCCTCGGCGGTGCTGCGGGCGGTGACGCCGAACCCGAGCGGCGTGTCGTTCATGTTGTAGACGACGACGCCCTGGTGCTCCGGGCAGTCGTCGGACCAGCGGCCAATGTGGGCCTTGACGACGTGGCCGCCGTACAAAAAGGGCATCTCGCCGTTGCTCTTGACCCAGACCTTCCAGCGGGCGTGCTGGCCGAGGATGGGGAGGGCGGTGATGTGCAGGCGAAACTTGCCCGTCTTGGTAAACTTGCCTGTATTTTGTATAGAGTGTTGGCAAAATGGTCGTTGTGGGAGAGGGGACTGGCATTGGGAAGGAGGGGGAGGGGTAGAAGGGGGAAAAAACGTACCGAGACAGATGCCTAGAGATAACAGATTCTCGCGCGCCATGGATGTGGCCAGGTTGGCGACGGAGAGCAACACATAGTAGACGCGGTTGCCCTGCAGGCGAAAGACGTAGCGGTCGGCGTTGGGGGAGTCGTCGAGCGGCGCGATGAGGTTCTTGAGGGAGCTGCCGGTGTAGTTGGCGAGCTTCTCGAACAGGCTCTTTGTTTCTGGCTCGGTGAGAGGACGCATTGTGGGCGTGGGCGGGCGGGCGCGTGTGTCTGTGGCAATGGGAAGGTCTTTTGGTGATGGGACGCCGTCGTCGTCAATTTACTATTTACTATGGCCAAGAAAAAAAGTCGACTGGCAGAAAAGTTTATGTGGGGAATCTTGAGAAGGCCAGCCAGTGGGGTTTGGAGATGGTCTGCTGCCTCACAAGCCAGGTAGAGGTGCCTGGACTTGTGGCCTGTCAGTCCACTAATTCGATGGGATTGATGGCTTTTGGTTCCTTCTTGGAGATGCTCCGGCGTCAATTCCGGCCCCTTTCCAACCCATTACCGCAACACGCGCCAACAACCACCCGCAGAACGCCCCTGTACAATCATTGTCGCTAACACGCTCGCTCAGATCTGCCTTACTACGTTACAGCGCATCCCATCTCTTTCCAATTCGTTCCGCGACCTGCCTCGCAGCAGACAGCACGCGCGCTCGACCCGCTCGCTATTTTTTTGCCGTGCTGCTCCGTACCTTATTTTATCCCCAGTGGAGAAGCCAAACAGTTTCATTAGGGCAACTGGAAAAACAACCACAGCGCGCCCTCTTCACTCTTTGCTGGCAGGCTTGTAGCAGCTTCAGTGCCCTGAGTCACCCAACTGGCTGGCACACGACCCCTCCGTTTGGGACAGCTCCGACGTGCGGCATTCCAAGAGTTTCTTTCTCTCGTGACTCACGCTGGACAATTCAATTGTCTCTTCTTCCCTTCCTTTTTCTCTACAGAAAAAAAAACCGTTCTCCAACAATATTTGTGAATGAATTCCATCCGTCACTTGTTTTTCCTCCCACCAGCTCCACTCAGATCCAGCACCTGCAGCCACAGCTTGTTGACAGCAGCTCGCTGCAGAAACCACCACCACCCCGCCTTGACCTGGCACCACCATCATCGTCAACCCCTCCCGCGACAACAACCACAGCCGCGGTGCTTTTCCACCGCGCCAGCTCGACGATACGCCCTCCAGGGAGCCCGCAGCCAGAAGAAGCAACCACAATCGCACGCCGCCATGACGTCGCAAGCCACGACCCTCAAGGGCCAGCCCCTCGACAAGCCCGTCCTCGACGCCATGCTGCGCCGCCGCATGTTTTACACGCCCTCGTTTGAGATTTACGGCGGCGTCGGCGGCCTCTACGACTACGGCCCGCCTGGCTGCGCCCTCCAGGCCAACATTGTCGACCTCTGGCGCAAGCACTTTGTGCTCGAGGAGGACATGCTTGAGGTCGACTGCACCGCCCTCACCCCGCACGAGGTGCTCAAGACGAGCGGCCACGTCGACAAGTTTTCCGATTTCATGTGCAAGGACCCCAAGAATGGCGAGATTATGCGCGCCGACCACTTTGTCGAGGCCGTCCTCGAGGCCCGCCTCAAGGGCGACAAGGAGGCCCGCGGCGAAAAAGTTGTGGAAAAAGACGAGGACCCCAACAAGAAGAAGAAGAAAAAAGCCAAGACCGACGCCGTCAAGCTCGACGACGCCGTCGTGCAGGAGTACGAAGAGGTGCTCGCCCGCATTGACAACTACGGCGGCCCCGAGCTCGGCGAGCTCATCAAAAAGTACGACCTCAAGAATCCCGCTACCGGCCTGCTGCCCTCGGAGCCCGTCGCCTTCAACCTCATGTTCCAGACCTCCATCGGCCCCAGCAGCAACCTGCCTGGCTACCTGCGCCCCGAGACGGCCCAGGGCCAGTTCCTCAACTTTGCCAAGCTGCTCGAGTTCAACCAGTCGCAGATGCCCTTTGCCTCGGCCTCGATCGGCAAGTCGTACCGCAACGAGATCTCGCCCCGCGCCGGCCTGCTACGCGTCCGCGAGTTCCTCATGGCCGAGATTGAGCACTACGTCGACCCCGAAGGCGGCAAGAAGCACAGCCGCTTCCACGAGGTCGAAAGCCTCGAGCTCGTCCTGCTCGACAAGAACACGCAGCTGGCGGGCAAGACGACGACCCGGACCATGACCATTGGCCAGGCCGTCAAGGACGGCGTCGTCGACAACGAGACGCTCGGCTACTTTCTCGCGCGCATCCACCTCTTCCTCAAGAAGATTGGCGTCGACATGAGCAAGATGCGCTTCCGCCAGCACATGGCCAACGAAATGGCCCACTACGCCTGCGACTGCTGGGATGCCGAGCTGTACACGACGACGGGCTGGGTCGAGTGCGTCGGCTGCGCCGACCGCAGCGCCTACGACCTGACGGTGCACGCCAAGAAGACGGGCGCGGCCCTGCTCGTCCGCGAGCGCCTGGAGCAGCCCCGCGTGATTGAGGAGTGGCAGGTGGAGATTGACAAGAAGAAGTTTGGCCCCTTGTTCAAAAAGGACGCCAAGGCTGTCGAGACGGCCCTCGAGGCCACGACGCAGGAGCAGCGCGAGGTCCTTTCCAAGCAGCTGGCTGATGGCGGCAAGATTTCGCTTGATGTCCCCGGCGTCGGCGACGGCAAGGCCGAAGTGACGAGCGACTCCATCAAGATTGAGTTCCGCAAGCGTGTCGAGAACACGCGCGAGTTTACACCCAATGTCATTGAGCCTTCTTTTGGTATCGGCCGTATCCTGTACTCTCTGATTGAGCACAACTTTTGGACCCGCGGCAGCGATGGTTCCGACGAGGCCCGCGGTGTAAGTGACTACTACCAAGATACCTGCTATTCACCAGTCGCCGAAAATGCCATTTTTACTAACACGCAATTGCAGGTTCTGTCTTTCCCTCCCCCCGTAGCGCCGACTAAAGTCCTTCTCGTGCCCCTGTCCTCCAACACGCAGTTCAAGCCCGAAGTGCGCAAGCTGTCTCAGCGTCTGCGCGCCATGGGCATCTCAAGCCGCGTGGACGACTCGTCAGCGAGCATTGGCAAGCGGTACAGCCGCAACGACGAGCTTGGCACGCCGCTGGGCATCACCGTGGATTTCCAGACGCTGCAGGACCAGACGATCACGCTGCGCGACCGTGACTCGACGACGCAGGTGCGCGCCGACGAGGCCAAAATTCTCGAGGCCGTCAAGAGCCTTGTGGACGGCAGCAAGGACTGGGCCAAGATTCAGTCGGAGCTGCCCAAGTTTGAGGGCCAAGAGGTGGAGGTTGTGCAGCGATAGATGTGCATAGGCGGAAGAGTGTGGGGAAGACGATGATAAAAAAAGTTTAGTTTCAATATATGATGAATGATGTCATCCAGCTGCAACAGACGCGCCACTGCCTCTGTGTGTGAGGACTTGACTACGAGGCGGCTGCCCATGTGATGGTCTGTTGAACAATGACTCGAAATATGGTTTGAGTTGATTGAAGAGTCATTGGATGTGTCACTGAGGCCTCTGAAGTGGTCACTTGTCTTTCTTTGTAATGTTGACGCTCGCACGTAAGAATCAGTCCCCAAACGAAGCGAGTGTCGTCGTTTGTTTCGCGAGCGTGTTCCGGCGCCGGAGGCGTTATCAAGCGGGCAAATGATATAAATGGTGAAACGGCAGTTTCTTCACGTGGAGACTGCTGGTCCCCCCGGCTATCATGACTTACCACACAGGCTATATAAGGTGTTTATCTATTTATTTCTCGTTTCTTGGTCGCCAGACTCGGATCCGTTCAATGTGGGCTCGGAGAAGAGATGTGGTGTTTGTGGTGCCGGTTTTCTTCCATGACGCCGTGTGGTATGCGTAAATGGTGAAGGTGATGGTGGCTGTGGCGAAGGAGACGAGGCCGCCGGTGGGCGTTTCAGTTGCTGCACAATGGACGCCCGGATTTTCTGCAGCGGGTAGCTTGCATTTCATGCTAGCTCGGCCCCGTATTCTGCATTCTTTTCCCTTTTTTCCTTTTCTTTGTTGGTCGTCTTGTCTGTTTATTGGTGGGGGTTGCTGGTAACGCAGGCGTGTGTGTGTTCCATCTGTAAAAAGGGTTGTGTTGGTTGTACTTTGTAGGCGCCGAATTTCACAATTTTTTTGTTTGTTTGTGTTTTGCCCGATGGGTACATATAACGAATGTGAGTTGTCGATACTAGGTTTTGTTTTCAGGCCAGATGTGTGGAGGGCGACGTAGTGGGTTCTGGGGCGGTGGCGCCATCGACGGGTTCGTGATTTCGAGAAGAAGGAATGTAGTTGCTTAGCGAGAGGCCACCAGAGACTACCTACGTATGTCATCTATCAGTTTGATTAACGGGTAAGACAGGCAATTGGCTTCTTTCTCCCTACCTAGGTTAGTAGGTAGTTACCGATATTTGATGCGCCCAAAGGTTCTAGTTAGGGGTGCTGGGCTCGGTAGGAGACTAGCCCGTTGGCGGGCCGGTGATGGGCCGGCGATGGACTAAGGAAAGTGGTCTTTTTTCTATGTTTGATACAGAAAGTGACATAATGACCATCCCGGCCGTTAATACTGGCAAGGTTATGCGCCGTTGTTGGCTTTGGGCAAAATTAGCAAAAGGTCCAATGTTTGTAGATGGAAGGGGGGGGGACAAGACAACGGGCGGGGTGCTAACTAGTTAGTAGGGAACTTTGTCGAGCCGGCGGCTCCATGCAGAAGTGGGAGTCACAGCGTTTGCAGACTTGGAAGGTGGCAGCCAACAGAGGCGCAGCTTGGATAATATTTTTTATTTTTTTCCCCTCCATGATGGACTGCGAATATGTCAACACGGATGCAGTATACGTGATCAAAAGGTGTCTGTCTGTCTGTACTCTGTAAAACTCGTCGGCACCTCGCAGCAAGTCCGGTAGAGTCCGCTAGACGCAGCCCACACAGTCAAGCGAGCCCACTGTCTCAACGCTGCCCGTCTGCCACTGAAAGGCTAGGCTGGGCTGCCTTGGCTGGGCTGCAGACGTTGTGGTGCCAGTGGTGCGGTGCCGGTGGACAGAGATGGCCCCCTTCCCCTTCCAATGTGATCATCCATAATAACGTTACGGTACGGAGTAGTTACTCCATACATACATGTGCCAGGAGCCAGGACCCTCTCTCGCTCACTCTCCTCTCCTCCTCCTCTCCTACGCTGGGCCAACCAACCTCGTCCCGCCATCATACAAGAACAGCGCCCCTACACCCGTCCGATTCGTTGGACTCTTTCCTGTGACCTTTCTCCTTTTTTTTTTTTGCGCCGGTGCCATCGTCGCGCAGCACTCTGCCATAATTGTTACTGCACGGCGCTTCTCGAGATATACCCAGTCGCGAGGCTTTCCCGCCGCCCAACCGCCGCAGCAATCCTCCCCCGCTCTCCTCTCTCCTCGTGCTCCTCCTCATTTCCGCCACCGTTGGCTGGAGAGACACAGACACAGAGACCACCACTACCACCACCACTACCACCAACCAGACCGCCTCCCCTCCCTCTCTACCGCATGTGTCCACTCCAGCTGCGCTGCTAAACTCGGCTTCGGAACCCTTACCCCTTCTTCCTTGCCCGGTTATACTTTGCACCACATAGCCAAAGTCGGTCTTTTTTCTTTTTGTCTTTTTTGTATTCCTGAGCGCTTGGTTTCGTTGTCTCGCTCGTTAGTCGCTCCGCGTTGCCGCCGCCTCATCTCGCCCGTTTCAGCCCGACCCTCTCTGGCGCCAATCGTTGCGGCATCTCCAATCCCGCCCCGTTTGCCTCGTGCGCAGCCCTTCGCCCCCCCTCAAGGAGCTTCCTCGAGTCTCGCAAGCCGATATCTTGCTCTACGCGCCATTGGACAGCACTGCACATGATACATCCTCGCTTCCATAATACTAAATCTAATCCAACATGTCGCAAAACAGGTACGCTCGTCCTCGCTAACCCCTCTTCCCCTTCGTTCCCTTCGTTCCTTTCTTCCACATTGTCTCTCGAGCCGCCGTTGTTTGCCGCCCCAACTCTCATATCTTGATACCATGTCCCCATCCCGCTCTCCAACAATGCCGTGGCTGACCTTGTCCTGCTTCTCCTTGCAGCGTATACTCGTCGGGCCAGTTCATGAACCCAGGCCCTGCGCCGCGGCCCCCCACCGACAGACCCAGGCTCAACATCATGCCAAACACGAATAGCATGCCCGGCAGCATGTCCAGCAGCAGCAGCATATCCAGCAGCATGGCCAGCAGCATGTCAAGTATGGCTATCTCGCCAATTCCCGGTACCGCCACCTCGACATATTCCGGTTCCACCATCTCCCTACCCATTGCTCGCCAGCAGACCAACCCCGCCGACGGCATGGGTGGCGTCGCTATCAAGAAGGAGGGCTGGGCCCAGGTCAGAGAAAACCGGAACTTTATTCAACCTTGGAAGAACAAGTACCTCATTCTTCGCAAAGAGTCTCTCGACTTCTACAAGACAGAGGGTGGCAAGGGCGGCAAGGTCATCTACACAATCTACCTCAAGGACGTCCTCAACGTTGGCCGAGTCGAGACCACCGGCATCATCTTTGAAATCAAGCGCCGCCTCGATTGCGCCTCCAGCAACCCCGGCGATGACGACGGTCAGACAAGAACCCTTCGCATCAAAGTCGGCACCGACGATGAGCTGTACGAGTGGATTGATTTGATTTACGGCGCCTCCCCCAATATGGGCGGTGTCAGCAATCCCACCAACTTCTCTCACGCCATCCACGTAGGCTTCGATTCCCAAACAGGCCAATTCACCGGCCTGCCTCCCGAGTGGTCCAAGCTGCTCAACTCCTCTGCCATCACCAAAGAAGACTACTACCGTAATCCTCAGGCGGTTTTCGAAGTTCTCGATTTTTACACTGACCTAGCAAAGCGTGCCGAGAACCCTAACCAATACCCCTCTCTTACACCCACCCCCCCTGCCGCCGCACAAGCTCAGAAACAGCTCGGCTACAGTGGTGCTGGCATCGCACCTCCGCGCCCAGCCCCTCCAACCCCTCAGGTCTCTCCCTACGGCGCGACCTCCGCGCCATCCAATGCCAATGGCATTCGTCAAGCCGAACAGCAGCAGCAACTCCAGCAGCAGCAGCAGCAGCGCCAGCAACTGGAAAATGCCAGAAAGGAAGAGCTACGTCAGAAGCAGCTCGAGCAGGAACGACGTGAGCTAGCAGAGTATAACGCTTCTCTGCCTCAACACAAGACCCCCCTGGCTCGACAAGAAGTTGGCGGTGGCTCTTCCACCGATTCGCCCTCCCGCGACCAATCCGATCGATTCAACCCCACCAGAGCCGCTCCGCTTGCTCCCAAAGGCCCTCAAAACCCTCAGCAACTACGCGCGCAGCGCCCTGCACCTGCTCCTCCCTCCAACGGCGGCTCCTCGCGACCTCCTGTCAACCCACAGTCCAGCGTCAGTCCCAATGGTCAACGTCCTCGTGAAAATGGCCCCTCCATCCAGAGTCCCCGCTATCCGCCTGGCAGCCAGCAGGGCCAGCAGCGACCTCCCCAAGGCCCAGGCGCATCCCGCTTGCCTGCGCCTGTCAAGCCTCTAAACGTGGCTCCCAAGCCTTCTCAGAATGCTCCTAGCGACTCGGTCAAGGCCGCCGAAGCTGCACTGTCCAAGCCTGCCGAGAAGAAGCAGGATGTACGCATGTCAACCATGTCTGAGAACGAAGTCATGGCCAAGCTGAAAGAGGCCGTCTCCAAGGATGACCCCAACCTATCATACTCGAAGCAGAAAAAGATTGGCCAGGGCGCTTCCGGCTCCGTTTACGTGGCCAAGATCAAGGACACTGCTGTAGGCATCGCCCGCGACGTCCTGCGTCAACAGGGTCCCAGAGCCCAGGTTGCCATCAAGCAAATGGATCTCGCCCACCAACCTCGCAAGGAGTTGATTGTCAACGAAATCATGGTCATGAAGGACAGCCGACACAAGAACATTGTCAACTTTCTCGACGCATTTTTGCGCAACAACAATACCGAGCTATGGGTTGTCATGGAGTTCATGGAGGGTGGTGCGCTAACCGATGTCATTGACAATAACCCCTCTATTTCCGAGGAGCAAATCGCTACCATCTGCCACGAGGTAAAACTAGGTGCTTCCCTATTTTGTTCGAATTGGATGCTAACTTTTGCAGACGTGCCGTGGTCTCCAGCATCTCCATAGACAGCATATTATCCACCGTGATATCAAGAGTGACAATGTCCTCTTGGATGCCCGCGGCAACGTCAAGATCAGTATGTCTATACCTCTTTTCCCTGACTGTATTTTTGCTAACAAATAGCAGCCGATTTCGGCTTCTGCGCAAAATTGACGGATGCCAGAGCGAAGCGCGCCACGATGGTTGGCACACCCTACTGGATGGCGCCCGAGGTGGTGAAGCAAAAGGAATACGGACCCAAGGTGGATATTTGGTCTCTCGGTATTATGGCGATTGAGATGATCGAATCTGAGCCACCCTACCTGAACGAGGAGCCCCTCAAGGCCCTGTACCTTATTGCGACCAATGGTACACCACGCCTCAAGAAGCCGGAGAAGCTGAGCAAGGAGCTCAAGGCTTTCCTGTCTGTCTGTCTGTGCGTGGACGTCAAGAGCCGCGCGTCTGCGGACGAGTTGCTGGCTCACGATTTTCTGAGGCACGGCTGCCCCCTCGGTACACTGGCGGATTTATTGGCATTCAAGAAGCAAGGCAAATAAGCGCCAGACTGCCAGGATGCTATCGGGTCAAGGGCGAGTACATGACGAAAACGGACATCAGAGGAGCGCAACAACCAACATCTAATGCAACAAGTATGGCGTTTACAGGATCGGGGACCATGGGAACATTGATTTATTTTCGAGTTGTGTCATTTCGGCCACAATGTAACGTCAGGGCTGAGCGCGTGGAAAAGTGAAGACGGCATCTTGACATTGTTTTTTTCTGGTGCAGGTGGCACTCGTAGGATGAAATGGACTACTTTTTATATTACTATGCTACGATATCCCCTTTGATTTGTCGATTGGGCAAGAAGAGGTTGGGTGGATGGAGCGTGGTGGCTCTAATTCATGTTTTCTTCTATTTTCTTTATTTTTCTTTTACCTTCATATTTAGGCTCTATAGTTGAGCGTTGCCGCTTTGTTTAACCCCATTTCTTGTTTTTTTTTCCTTGGCTCGCTTTATATAGCCTGAATCGTGCTGCATTATTTCAGGTATCGATCCAGACAAGGCATTACTTATGACGAATCCTTGATGTATATCCAAGTATAACGAACGATTCATCAACATTAGTGGCCTCCGCAATGGCGCCAGAGTGCAGAGTCCTCCGTCCGGTACTATGGAAGGCTGGTCCAGCAAGCCACAATGCCTTTTCATGGTCCAATTGGCTTCCCCTGTGGTTGGGAGAGGGGGGGGCGTTTCATATTGTCTTGGAAAGGGCGCAAATAAGAAGGGAGAGGGCAGGGGCGTCGATGTGTTTCAGAGTTGAGGGCTCATGACATGCATAGTGATTATGGCAGGGGTACAGACTATGAGATATGTGAAATGCGAAATAAGAAACTCAGAGGGACGTTCCTGTATTGAGGCGACGTGAGTTTGGATAGGAGAAGAGGCCGATTGGTATGTGATGGCGCGTGCTGAAACGTGGGTGGTGGGAACAGAGCTACACCTAGTAGGGGTGAATGCAGGTACTGGACGGGAAGGAGTGATGGGCGGATAATAATGCCCGAGAAATTACAGGATGGAGGTGTAGTTAGAGATGCAGAGTTTGGATGAAGATGTGGTCGTGGATGGCAGACCGGGTGGTAGTTTGAGTATAGTTGGTACACGGTACGGCACGCTGCATTCGAGTAGCCAGTCGATCTACAGATTGGTTTTGAGTTGTCGAGGTAAGTTACCAAGTATATGAATAAGAATTGCTAGTTAATTGCATCCCGCATTCTTGCAATTTATTCATGGAGCTGAGCAAATAGCCAGCGTCGTATGGGGAGGCGGTTGGACGGACAGTGGCTGTGGTTTTCGATGTCGCGCGGGGAAGATGCATGATGTAGATCAGATTAGAGGGAAATTTATGAGGAAAAGGGTCATTGGCCAGGGAGCGAGCCGGCGATGGGTGTGAGTGACGACTGTCAAAAGTCTGTGTCTTCTTGGATGGGGGCAGTGCTTTTGGTATAAAGAGTCGGTTCTTTGTTAGAGGGTGTGACGGAGCGATGGGGAAACAGGACCAAAGGCAATAGTTGGCTTTCTGAGGTACGCAACGACAGAGGCTGGCCTGTTTTTAGTTTTTCAGATTTTCAGCCCATGTACATTACTCCGTATTATATGAGTTCGAGGAAGCACCAGGGGCGCACAATTGTGCGACGGCCGAAGAGGGGTGGTGGTACTGACGAGTGTTGACCAAGTTTACTTTTCTTTTTTTGGCATTTTCACGGAAGAGCACTGCTTGGGAATGTCATCACACGACAAAGCTCGCAGTGCCGTGTAGGTAGTCGTTTAACTTAATTAGTCTGTCTAGCTGTAGTTAGAGGTGGTTGGATGTTTGATCCAAACCCCACACCAAGCCAAAAGACCTCGTGGCCCCCAGCTGATGAGTGGGTGAGGTGGGTGAGGGTCGAATTCCACGACCACAATATGCCAGTACTAGAACTATCTTACTCTGTAATAATTCGTACATGAAGCTTGGATTGTCTTCTTAGTTAGTCAACCTGTCGAGAAAATGCATGAGCCCGAGTCAAGGAGGGCTCGGCTCAAGGACAAGGGGTTTGTGGTGGCTCGTCTTGAGTAAAGTCGCCCCCCCCCCCCCGGGCCGGTTATGCGGGATGCTAGGGAAGCGGAAGGGACCATGTACTAGCTGGGTACCTACCTTAGTACCGGGTATGTACCTATGTAGGTAGGTACATAGGTAGGTAGGTAGGTAGAGCCCTTAAATAACAATGCAGACAACACAGTTGTTCATGTTGTTCCTGCTGTTCATTCTCCCCACAGGCTGCAGTGGAGGGAGGGGAGGGGGCCTGGCCGCATGTACCTGGGCAGAAAGCCCGCCTGCACGAAATGCGGCGCCACGACATCATGCCCCTGCGACAGGTACATTTCTCTGCCTGACGGTCTGGTGCTGTCAGTAATTTGTAGACGTTCCTTATTTTGCCTTGTGCTGCTAACTAGTGGTGTGTAAGTAGCATCCATTCCGCTGCAGCAGAAACAATTCCGTGGGTGTAATACTTAATACTTGTAACTACCTTGGGTAGGTACTAGGTACCTACCTTAGTACCTAGTTACAGTCCGTCCCATCTTGTGGCCTGCAGGTCCCCTGAAATAGGCCCGTGGTGGTGTGTCCGTTTGTGTGTGTGTGTGTGCGCTGGCAGCCAGCGACAAGCCTCGGGTCAAAATGCCTCGTCATGCTGTCCCAAGCCATTTTTGTTGTCTTGCCCAACTTTTTGCTTGATTGCTAACCAACTATTTTTGTTTTTTTGTTTATTTTTTGCTTGAATTTTTGCTGTCATGCACAGCGAGGTACGAGGCATGGCCCGCTGCGGGCTGCGCGCGTGGGAGAGTTTGGGGCCAGTGTGGGCTTTGCACCAGAAGCCAGGTGGTGGTTTTTAATAGTACTAGTTACCTCCAGGTAGAACATCTGGCTTCTAGTTAGGTACCCTGATATTGTTATAAATCGCTACTACCAGTAGCTCCTGGCCCGGCCCTGCTTGGCTCAGCCTAGTAAGACGACAAACTGTACCACACACAGTACTGTTGCTGTAATTTGTACTTTATACGGAGTACCTACTAACAGGTAATTGCTAAGGTAGGCTGAAGCTGCAGCCAGTGAGCAGCCACTCCTTGTCCTCTCCTCTTCGTGCTTGTTCCCCATCACCACCAACCTCGCTCGTAAACCTCGTCCTCATCCTTCCTCCTTCTTCCCCTTCTCCTCTGTTCCGCCCCCCCAAAATCACAGCTCCCGCCATCGTGGCGTCAAAAGTCCTTCTTCTCGCAGCATCACTTTTCTTGTAATTTACTTTTGCTGCTGCCGCCCTTTTATGACCAACACTTTTATACTTTTTTATTTTTTTTTATCTTCTTCTAAAGATCACCTACCTATTCCTCCCCCTCCCCCCTAACAGCTCCCCTCCACAAACCGCACACCCCCTGGTGCGCCCCCCGGTGTCTCGCTTCCTTTTCAACGCACCACGATACAATTTACGACGGTGGCAGAAAGCAAAGAACCACCTACCTACGCCTTGGTCGTCATCGAAAAAGCTCATCTGTTGCTTCGGGTCTGGCTATCGGAAATTGGAAGCTTCCCCCACCTGTCGTCTTCTCTACCATTACGCAGCCGACGCGAGTAGTAATTTCATCTCGACAATCCCTTTTTTTTTTCCTTCTACGTCTCTTTGCAGCGCCTACGCTCGACCGCGACGACGTCTCGCCAATCTCCGTCTTCCGAATGAGGATCGATTGATCAAGTAGTAATTCAATAATGTCGGCTCCCAGACCAGACCACCTGGGCCTGGGCTACTCGTCTCATCCTGGAGCCACCCAGGGCCGCTCTGGCTCGCCCTCCTCCAACAGCAACTCCCCCATCGACTCCTCCTCATCAGCCCGCCATTTTGGCCTCTCCCCCGGCTTGAACTCTAACACCATCATGGCCGCCAACTCGCGCTCCGGCGCCGGCTCCCCCTCCCACGAATTGGGCGCCGCCAGCAGACTCTTTTCCAAACGGTATGATCTCGACCCTCGTCCTAGTTCCTCGCTTCTCTGTCGTCTGCGTGCCCTAAGACTAGACTCCCCAAACGCGTCATGTCCATTTCGTGGCGACCAATTCCACCTTTCGCTTCCTCTATGCCCTCATCACCTAATCACCCGCTAACTAACCCACCCTTACTTCAGGGCTCGCGAAATTCAGGCACAAGAAGGCATTTCGAGCATGCCACCACTTTATCCTTGGGGCGGTCCTCCAACCAGCGGCAACTCGACACCCCTACGAGAAAATATCCCCGAATCCCCCACCGACGGTTTCCCAGACTTTGGTCAACTGCCTACCCCTGACAGCATGCCTCAGACTCGACGTGGTCGCGCCGGCACTCTACCCTCTAGACTCAACGCGCCAGGTGCCCTCGGCGCTCCTGGCCTCCTCGGTGTTCCCAGCCTGCTCTCTGCCAAGTCTGCTCGTGTCACCCCGTCCCAGAGCCCGTTTAACAAGTCGCCTTCCCCAAGCCTTGATCACCCCGAAAATGGCACCGGCGCCTCTACCCTGCTCTCCCGCCTCCGAGCCGGGTCGCTTCCTCAGCGTGGCAACTTCTCCGCCGCTCCCGGCACCGCCCCCTCTCCCTTTGGGCCCTCCATCTTCAGCAGCTGGAATCCCGCCAGTGGAGGCCGCGAGCGTGCTTCTACCCTCGCCAGTATTGCCAGCGTCGGTTCCAACGGCCCCAGCTCTCCCTCGCAGTCGCACTTCTCTCGTGACGACGGAGATTCATCCGACACCCATATGCGGACACTGGACTATCTGGGTCTCGCCGAGACTCCTCAACCCCAAATCGCTACCCCCTACTACGATTATAACGCCAAGCAGAATAATCGCTTTCGCTCCTACTCCATGAACAACAAGGAGCAGTATGACCGCCCTCAAGAGGAATACGAGGTCGACGGTGTTCGTATCGACAGCCGCTACGTCGCCGTCCTCCAGGATCAGATTGCCGCTACTAATCTCGCGATCCGTAAACACAACCGGGTTGTTCAAGCGTACGCCAGCCAAAGTTCCACTCGACCTCGAGCCCAGACAGCCAGTGTCCTCGAGATTACGCCCAATAAGAAAGTTTTGCAGATGAACGGTGGCGTCCCCGCCCCCATCAACTCCAATTCCGCCGAACGACGCCTCCAAGAGGACAGCCCCTACGATGACCTTCCCCATGCTGTTGCAGGCCTGAATCTCGGCCGATCCAATAGTCGCAATGCCGGAATGCTTAGCCCTGAGGAGCAGGGTCTTGACGGTCCCACCAGTGCTCTCTGGCTTGGGGGTGTACCTACATCCACCACCATCTCGACCCTCAACGAAATGTTCAAGTCCCACGGTCCCATCCTTTCTGCCCGTGTTCTCACCCACAAGAACTGCGGCTTTGTCAACTTTGAGCGCGTCGAAAGCGCCATCTCTGCCAAGGCTAGCATGAATGGGAAGGAAATCTTCCCCGGCTCCGGCCCTATTCGCATCAACTTCGCCAAGCCTCCCTCCGCCTCCAACACTCCCGGACACGACGGCGCTTTCCCCTCGCCCAGCCCCGATCCTTTTACCAGGGGCGAGGCTGCGCAAACTGGCGCCATTGGTGACGCACCCGTTTCTTCTGCCACTCCCACGGTCCCTCCTCTGCCTGATATGACGAATGACATGCTCGAAATCATTGCTCAATTTGGTGCCTCGGATGCAGATACTACTCAAATCTCCGCCAGCATCCAGGCAGCCATTCAGTTTACCGCCTTTGCCGATGAAATTCCTCCTGTTCGCGAGCCCACTCACACCCGCGTCCACGATGCGCCAAAACTGCGCGACATTCGCAAGCGTGTGGACAACCAGCTCCTATCCCAGGCCGAAATTGAAAACATTGCCGTCGACATGCTTCCTGAGATTGCCGAGCTGTCGTCCGACTATCTGGGTAACACTGTCGTTCAGAAGCTCTTTGACAACTGCTCGGACGAGCTGCGCGATGCCATGCTTACTGAGATTGCGCCTCACATGGCTGAAATTGGCGTTCACAAGAATGGTACCTGGGCTGCTCAAAAGATTATCGACGTCTGCAAGACTCCGGTTCAGATGAACACTATTGTCGATTACATTCGCCCGTATACCGTACAGCTCTTCCTCGACCAGTACGGCAACTATGTCCTGCAGGGCTGTCTCAAATATGGTGCTCCGTTCAACAACTTCATCTTTGAGACCATGCTTAGCCGCATGTGGGAGATTTCTCAGGGTCGCTATGGTGCTCGAGCCATGCGCGCCTGTTTGGAGAGCCACCACTCAACCAAGGAGCAGCAGCGGATGCTCGCCGCTGCAATTGCCCTCCATAGTGTCCAGCTTGCCACCAATGCCAACGGTGCCCTTCTCCTCACTTGGTTCCTCGACACGTGCACATTCCCTCTGCGCCGCACAGTGCTGGCACCCCGTCTCGTGCCTCACCTCGTTCACCTGTGCACCCACAAGGTCGCATACCTGACCGTCCTTAAGGTGATCAACCAAAAGGCTGAGCCGGAAGCACGCGACACGATCCTACAGGCTCTCTTCTTCACTCCCAACGACCGCATTCTCGAGGCCATCCTCAACGATCAGTCTTGCGGGGCTACTCTCATTTTCAAGGTGCTAACGACGCCCTTCTTCGATGAGACGATCCGCTCGCAGGTGGTTGAGACGGTCAAGAATGTTCTGCTCAACATCGGTGCTCAGCCGAACCAAGGATACAAGAGGTTGATGGATGAAGTTGGTCTCTCGACCCGTACCAGCGGCACCCCGAGTCGCGAAACTTCTGCTCCTGCCGAACAGCGCCGACCAACTTCCAGACATGCCAACGGAGGCGGAAGCCAGCAGCAGCCGCAGCAGCAGCAGCAGCAGCAGAACGCTAACAAGCCATTCTATAATGGTAACGCTGTAGCCCAGAATCCTGGCTTCGACAATGGGTATAATGGCCAGAGGATCGATGGTGGAGATCCCAACATGGTACCTTTCCAACAGTACAATCAGAATATGATGTATAGCCCCTCCAACGGACACATGGCTCCGGGTATGGCTATGCCTCCTATGCAATACCAACAGCCTATGATGAACAGAGGTCCCCAGGGCAACTACAACTACCCCCCGATGCAGACTCCATACAGCGGTTTCGTTCCGGGCCAGCATGGCGCTGACCAGTTCCGCCAGCAAAACATGGTCCAACCCAACCCCATGCCTCTGCATGGCGGTCAGGGCCAGTATGGCCCTCCTGGCTTCAACATGGCCATGGGCGGCTACGGATATGGAGGCATGCCGGGTGCCCAGGGCATGGGCTATGTACAGCAAGACCAGTCAAACGGTAGACGCGGAAGAGTAAGTGAGCTCAATACAATTATGGGCTGCAGTACTAACAATCCACAGCGCTAGTAGACGCGCTTTGTCGAATACGACCCGTTGGGCGAAGGGTTATCAACCCTCGGCCTGCCTTTTGCCCCATGATGATCAACGCATGCCATAGCCGAGCGCAGCCGGCCATGATGGAGTTTTGGGAGTTTGTATATTGAATTCTTTTCCTCTTTTTTCAACCCGGCAACGACTAGTCGTCATGTCTTGGCAGCGCAAATACTGGATGTGCAAAGGGCGGGCTCTCGGCACAATCTACCAGCCACACGCAGGGTTGGAGCTCAAGCACAGCGAGGCTCTGCCCTACTTGTTCTGCCTCGACATTTGGTGCCTCTTTCTTCCTCTTCTCTACATTCGTCGATTATTTCCATCTATACGATTGAAACGCCCGCCACCTACACACACCTGCACATTCTTTGTACTTGCCGTGTTGAGATGCAGCAAAAAGTGCCCCCAAGAGTACGGGGGACCAAAATTCATTCCATCGCGCACTTCCAGCAGATAAAACGAGCGAAAGAAGGACGCGGCAGCATGTTTGATGAAAGTGCAGGCTACAGAAAAAAGGTTGTTTGATTTATCTTTTCATGATTCATTTACCAAGCCTGGTGCATCATGTCAGCCTGTTTGTGGCGCATACTTGCTTCACCTAGTGTTTTTCCAAGTATAACCCCGCTGGTAGACCTTGAGGTTTTCTTTTCAAGGAATCACTCTTTATTTCTCTTTTTTTTTTTCCGTTGCTTGATTGCTCTTCTTTCTACAACGTGTTCTTTGTACGGTTGCTTTCTTTTTTTTTCTTATATTGGTATTGTCTAAACACAAATGGGAAAAATAAAAACAAAGCAAAACTCCCTCGTGCATTTGCTGTCAGGGACACGCACTCTTTGTGTTTTTGTTTTCTGGGGAGGAATGAGAAGACAGACTTGATGGTTGGCTGGACAGGAACAAAGGGCAATATGTATGGAAAGGCAAGGGCAAAAAAAAGGTCGTTGTATAGTACAGTTTGTTGGCACCAACGGGGCGAATTCACGCAAAAAATCCATGAAGTTTTTGTCATTTCTCAGACACGACCCGGACCAAGTAGGTGCATGCAAGAGATCAAGACACGTCGTCGTTTTTACATTGCAATGCATGAGCAGACTGGCTAGTGAGTGAGATTCTGTGTTGTGGTATGCAAATAATGCGTACATGTATCAGGAATTCAAACAAGAAGAAACACCAGTGGTTGCAATTAAAGCCTTGTTGGTTCTCTCCTTGCTGTATAAAAGAAAAGCATACACATATTTAAACAAAAAAACGCCGCTGTTTTGCGTACAAGACGGATGATGGATGATTTCAGCGTCCCTTCTTGATTCTCCCATGACAAAAAGAAAATAACCGGGGATATGGAACAAGTCAAAAGAAGGAAGAAAAAAAACAAGAAAAAAAACAAATACGGTACGGTAAGAGACTTCTCCCTAAAGTTCAATCCCTTAATGAACCCGCTGCTAGCGCTCGGAAAAAAGAAGAGAAAGCAAAAACGATTCGAATGGCTCGGTAATACAAACAGAACAGGTTGAATAGGTCAAGTAGAAACAAGACGATCAGCCGGTCATTAAGGAGGGGAAAATGGCCCGGCTAGTTCATATCCATGGGGCCGTCATCGCCATTTTCATTAGTGAGCGGCGGCGTAGGCTCCGACAGCGTTGCCATGGCAGTCAATGCCGAGTCCTCCTCCGTTTTCGGCACAATCGGGCTGCTGAGGGCGGCAGCGGTGTAGTCGTCTGCGGGCGGCGGCGTCGAGGTGGCGGCCGTGGGATCTGGCGTGGGGATGCTCGACACATCATGCTGCTGTTGCTGCCTCTGTTGCTCCCGTTTGACGTCGCCGTCGCCGTCGAGGACCTGGCGAATGCGAGCGCTCATGGCGTCCATCTGGGCAAGCGTGGCACGGAGGCTGAGGCGGTCGCTGTCATTCAGATTGCCAAGGGCCATGTTGTCGGCGTTCCCTTCTGCCATGAGGCTGATCATGTTGTCGTCGACGTTCGCAAGTAGCGCCTGCGTCAGCTCGTAGATCTTGTCCGTCGGTTGCTGCCGCAGCCCGACGAGGTTTAGCGACGCCTGTAAGTCGTTGAGGTTGCGGGCCAGCGACGATCCCCGCAGCGGGCTGGGGCTGCGGCCGTCGTCGGCTGGCGGCTGCGGCGTGGGGGATGGGTAGGGCACACATCGCTGCTCTTGCTGGCGCGTGCCGTAGCCTGCGCCTGCTTTTTGGCGCCTGACATTCCCAATGTTAGCTTGTCTGGCCAACGGGGATCATAGTCGGGGGTTACTTACTGCTCGACAAAGTCGAGAATGATACCGTTTACAGGCACCTTGTAGGTGCGGCCGAAAGAGAGGGCGTCCGGCCAGCCGGCATCCTTGGGCGGCTCCGGCTCATCGGTCCAGTCAATCTCAATGTGGCCATTATTCTTGATGCCACGGGAAAAGATGGGTGTGATGGGCTGGGCGTTTTTGATCTTGCGGAACTTGTGGGCGGGCGCGAGGCGAGGCACGTCGGCTAGGATATGGTCCACGTGAGCCGGGCACCGCCATGATTTGAGGACCGGCGGCACGGCCAAGGGGGGGTCCAGGCAATCGAGATGCCAGTAGTACGAGCAGAGGCTGCAGGGAAGAATGGCCCTGGTATCATTGGACGACTTTTGGCATGCGTGGCACAGCACCGGCTGGTTCTCGTCTCGCTGCTTGAACAGATCGGGCGTCTCATCAAAGCCCGTTCTCCTCCTACAAGTAGTGGCATTAGTCATCGATCCACGTTGCCCCTACACATTATGTCACAGGGGTTGGGCGCGCGGGGGCGAGCACAAGAAAGAAAGAAAAAAAGTACGTACTTGACAGTTTTGCCCACAATCTCTTCATAGTCACCGCCGGGGCCGGCCTTGACACCCTCAAAGCGGTTCTGGATGTGCTTGGGCAGGCTAAAAGCACGGGGGATGCTCTTTTCCAGGGCGTTGAGGGCCGGCGCAAAGGCACCCTTGTGAATCGGGACGCGCGAGGGAAACCGGCGCATAATACACTCGCTGCAGTACCAGTCGTCGGGCAGATCCTCAGACTGGGTGAGGTTGACGCACTCAAAGTGGAACGACCTGGGGCAGCCGTCGCAGCAGAGCACGTCGCCGGCGTTGCCACACGCGGAGCAGAATTCATCGTTATCCGTCGCCTAGGTTGGGAAAAAGTCAGTCTGGGTTCCTTTTTTTGTGATTCTCTGTACGGCGACGCATTTGACAGCCGACGCCCATGTTGCTTGGGATGCGCCGAGGCGCCCCGGACATGCCGTCTCTCGGGCACCTGCGACCAATGTGACGCGTAGAAGCCGCTAGTAGCAACCGTGAGTGCCGTAATCCTAGCAAGATCCTGGCCAGCACACATCCGCCACAAAATCAGTGCGCGATATCTGAGCAATCACGCGTGTCCTCTCAAGCAGACGGGTTGGGCCGTCCTCCTTTGTTATCTGCTTGCCGTTCGCGCGCCGACAATCTGCGGTCTGCTCGTCTGGGCCCGAAAAAAAAAACACGGTGTGCATCATACGTACCGGGTCCTTAGGTGTGCCGGCTCTGAACAGAGACCGACTTTCGCTCGCCAGTCTTGGAAGTCCTCCCGCGGGCCCGCCGCTCTTTTTGACTGGACTGTATAGAACGATTAGCAATAGGGTTCATGAGACGAGTTTGATTAGTGACATGAGCGCATCACCGCGTAGGACCGGCATGCGGGGCAAGGGCGAAATTTTCGCCTCCTCGGTGGTTGAAGCAGCACGCCGTCCGACTGGCACATAGTTCAACAAGGCGATTCGGACTGTGGCGCAGTCATGGAGCGATGAAGTGAAAGCCGGGGCAGTCATGCATGTGCCTGTGGGAAACTTACGAAGACTTGACGCGCAACCCTTTGGGTCGCTTGGACTGGCGCGGGCCCGTCGGCGTGACGGCGCGCGATCCTCCTACCGTCGAGCTATCATCGCCGGTGAGTGACAAGGGAATCGGCGAGACCGTCTCATCAATATGATCGTTGGGGCGCTTCGTGGCCGAGCGCGTAGCCCTCGTCGTGGGCGGTGGGTTGTTGGCAACGGACCGGCGCGTGGTCCGCCTCGTCGTGCTGACGGGCGTTGTGGCGCGCTGCTCGCTTGAGCCGCGTACCGCGCTCTCGGTGGCCGTGTAGCCATTTGTGACGTTGTGAGCGTCGTGACGTCGTGCCCAGATAGCGGCGAGGTCCTCCGCCGCCGCCTCCCCACGCTTGACGTCGTTCTGCTGCATGGGTGCATCAGAACCCTCGGGAGCTGCTGCTGCTGCTGCTGCTGCTGCTGCTGCCGCCCTCGACTTGGCACTCTTGGCCTTGGGTGGCGGCTGAGATGGCGGATGCGACAGGGCGGCCAGTCTGCCGGGCATGCCAGCCTGCCGTGACTGGGACGAGTGGTTGTGGGTGGTAGGTGAGGCAGGAGGTGAGTGCAGCTCTGACGGGGCGGCGACGATGGTGTTGGAGGGCCGGAGAGTAAAGTCGGCAGGCGTCCTTGCTGGGGCGGTAATGACGGGTCGCGATGAGACTCGACCGGTCGAGGTGTTGTTGCTGATGGTGAGCTTGGTTTGGATGTGTCTGGGGTTGGTGAGCTTTTGGGTTCGGGGCTTGTTGCTGGTGCTGGTGCTGGTGCTGGCGCTGGTCGCGGTTCCAGTTTCCGTTCCAGAAGTGGCCCCCCTACTGCCAGAACCACCACCACCACCACCGCCATCGCCAGCACCTGCACCAATAGTGGCTGCGCCAACCTTGTTGCGCATTTCGGGCGACGGTAGTGTCACGGCCGACGAGAGCGATGAATCGCTCGATGTCGAGTTGCGCCGTCGGCGTTTGCGCGATGGTGTGTCTGTGTCTGCCCTGGTCGTGGCCGTGGTCGTGGCCGTGGCAGTCGCAGTAGTGGTCACATCCGCTGCCGCTACCTCGTTTTCCTCATCATGACTGTGCTGCCCTGCGCCGCTCAGGTTTCTGCTTTTGCTCGTGCCCGATGATGAGTGTGACGTTTTGGCCTTCTTGGCAGCTCGTCTGTCGCTCTCCCCCGCCGTCGTCTCACGCCCACCAGCCGATGCCGAGGCTGCCGGTGAATGCAGCTCCTCGGGCTCCTCGATTTCCTCCTCATCCTCGCTGTCGCCCACGAGCTCGCCGTACTGCGCATCCGTCGGCTTTTGCGCTTTTTGCGCTTCCAGCCCGCGATTTGTCGACGGCGGCGCAAAGTAGTAGCAGTCGCCGCTGTCTGTCCCTCCCTCGCGCTTCTGCTCCCCGATGTGCTTGGAGAACTCGTCAAGCGTGTCATCATCTGCCGTTTGCTGTAATACATCCGTCACCATCGAGTCAAACTCGGCGTCTTGCGACTTTTCATCGTACAAGGTCCTCAGGGCCCACGCCGTAGGATAGTGTTTCAAGCCTGCTCCGTCTGTCGCGTTAATAAATGCGGCTCATGAAAAAATAAGAGCGGCATGAAATTTCCCATTCACGTCTCGTGAGACATGCTCTCATTGGAGGGTGGGTGTCATGCTTTGCTTACCTGGCGAGAGCGCTGGGGCCGCCTGCTCCCCCTCCGCTTCCTGGTTCTCCTGAGTCTTGGACAGGGCCGCCGGTTGGGACCGTCGGGCAGGCTTCTTACGCTTTCCGCCTCCGGGATTATAATCGTCGTCGTCGTCATTTTTCTTGAGAGCACCCTTGGCAGGCAGCGACCGGCGCGACGAGGCGGCCGTCGGGCGGGCTTCCGGCGATGCCGCGCGTTTTCTGCCCGCAACCGCGTTGCCCAACGACGGCGGCGTGATGCCCTTTTCGCCGTTGCTTTCTGTGCCGCTACTGGCGCTATTTCTATCCTTGTTCGCGCCTCCCGTCCTGAGAATCACCCTGCGGACGCCGTGCGCGCTGCCGCCGCCGCTGCCGCCGTCGGCATTCTCCGGCTTCTTTGGCTTGGGCAGTACGCCGAGCGGCATCATGCCCTCGAGCACGCCGCCGCGCATCAAACCAGCCTCCTCGTAGCTGGGCTTGGCCTGGACCGAAGGCTCCATCCATCGCTCCATAAAGGCCCGCGACATGGCGTTGCCGGAGCTCCTCTTGACCTCGAGGGGCGAGCCGACGCCCTGCGCGGCGACGCCTTGCTGCGCGGGACTGGAAAAGCGCGAGCGCGTGGCCCTCGTGCTCGACGACATTTTTTCTGCGTCTCCCGGGCTCTCCGGCCAATCTCCCTCAGTGACTGGGTGGTCAACACTGGCGCGCCTGGACCCGGTCGCGACCGGCTCCTATCGGCCTGCGTGATGCGTCAGGCAATGGGAGCGACAGCGTGGCAAGCTTCTCTTCACTTGATACCAGCTAAGAGGTGAGGGATGCTACATGAGCAAAGTTAGCAAGAGAGCTCGAGCGTAGAAATGCAACCGAGGCATACCAGTGTGAGAGACTACAGCATGAGGGTGTCAAGGTCAGATCGCGCTTTGAAAGCTGTTTGACGCGGTTGAAGTTGGAAAGCTTGAAATGAAGGGAAAGGAAAGGTCAAGGTTGTCAAGTCGGAAGGGGTGCGACCAGGCCCGGTGGCTCGAGTTAAGAGACCTACTAATAATACTTACAGTGGTGCCCAGGCTGCCTGGGCCGCTAGACAGCCCCCAAGTCACACCAAACAGGCGCCTGTTGCTCCATGACGGAGGCTCTGACAGCGCAAAAAGATCCTCCTTTGTAGCGCCTCCAGCGGGCTGCTGCATCCACTAATGAGAACTCTACAGTGGGTGTATAGCGCCGAACCCGAAACCGAACCACTGATAAACAGCCTGTACGGATGGATGGCTGGTACCTGTAGTACCAGGAGGTAGGTACTAACCTTTGATGCTTGCTCTTGCCCAGGCCCGCACCGCCTCACTTGGCAGCGTTCCTCTGCCAAAACATGAATTATTATCAATATTATACCATCTCAATGTGTCTCCTTCTGTCACTGTCCATTCAGCTCTTTATATTAATCCTGATCATCAAGTCCAGACCGTGATCCCACCACACCCCTGCCAAAACTCACAGTTGCACACGGCTATGAATATCTGCAGTCAAAGCCACCACAATGCAAAATCCACATCTACGCGCAAGGGGGGGGTGTCATGTTCAACATTCCCTCTCCCCAGGCTATCACATTGCCGTCCTTTACTCTGTACATTAATGCCCTTTCTTGCCCTTCTGCTCCTTCATGCCCATCCCCTTGCATAAGTACCCATGATTCTCACGTCGCGCGCGGCCTGAGTTGGTCTTCCGGATCCTACGAAGCGTAGGTGTGCAGGACCATCCATCCATCACCATCACAAAGCAGAAGAAAAGGCGCAATTATGGGTTGCCCGGATGGTTCGCCAGTGGCTTCAACTGGTCATCGCCTCGTCGCCTGCTGCCTAGCCCTGGCCTCGACAAAACGTCTGCCTGGGTAACCGCCCGGAATATCGCGCAGCATATTTGCCACTCACGCCCGTCGACTTAACACGTCACAGCCCTCAGGGGTTGGCACACCATGGATAAATCATTCACCACTGGCACCCGTCTTGCACTGCCTTGACCCATCCAACGAAAATGTATTCTCATTTCTATGTATACGCAAGACAAGGACGAGTTGGACGCACGTCAGTCTTTTCATCGCGACACAACGAAGCCTTCCACCTCTCCTCAGTCGATGCTATGATATGCGTAACATCGCGCGCAGCAATACCGTGCACTTCTGCACCGCTCCTCCTGCCTGCCGCGTGGTGTGACTGCTGACAGAATAGGCCAGACGTTTGCTCTGGGCAGGTATCCGACAGCACAATACACACATGCAGAGAAATATCAACAGCCAGATGAGACTATGCAGTCCTCGACATATCATCAGCCTTACTCGCTGTCAGACTCCTCATCATCAGACTCTGCCTTCTTAGCAGGCTGCTTCTTCTTGCTCTTGCTCTTCTTCTTGCCCGTGTTGCGGGCCAGCGGCTGCTCGAGGATCTTGAGAATCTCAGTGTCGCTAATCTTCTTGTCAGACTGCACCTTGGTGAGGTCCAGCGCAGGAGGGCCGCCAAGCTTGGTGAGGCCGTTCTTGGTAATGGCTACACAGTGTGTTAGTTCCTTCATCTGATAGCATACTGATATAGCAACGGCTGCATACCGACGGTGGTCAACAGTCTGGCCACGGGGGAGCCATCCTTGTCACCGACAATCTCGTACTGGCGGAAGACGTTGCCGCGAACGCACTCGACGACACCAGACTTGGCATCACGCTCGTCATCGAGCTGCCTCAGGCTGAACGGGAAGGTGCCAAATTTCTTCTGCACCTCGGAAAGGATCTTGCGCGAGGTGGGACGCTTCAGGCCGTAGGTGTTGGTGGTACGGCGGTGGAGGGTGGTGCGGCCCTCGAGAGTCTTGCACTTGCCCGAGCCCAGACTGACACCCATCTCGACACCCCAGACCTCACCAACCGCGGGAACGCCCTCGCCCTTGGCGCCCTCGGTGGGAGCCAGGACGATCTTCTTGGTACCCTCAATCTCATTACGGTCAAACAGCCACGAGGTGGTGCTCTCGACAAGGTGGCACTCATAAGTCTCGCAGACCTTCTCGAGCAGAGAGGTGATCTGGCTTTGGGAAGGAGCCTTCTTGGCGCTAGCCTTGGCCTTTTCCTCGTCGGTACCCTGTGCTAGGAGACCAGAAGGGACCATCAAGCGGAGGAGAAGCTCGTTAGCATAGTAGTTGGCGAGGAGCAGGTCGGCGGAACGTCCGGTGATGGTTTCCTTATCCTTGCTGGCGATGACGGTGTCGCAGACAATGGTACCGAAGCCATCAATCTGAGCACCGAGCTGGATCTTGATGGGCTCGCCAGGCTTGATCTCGGTAGCAGCCTCGGTCTCGTCCGAAGTTAGGGGAGTGTAGGGGGTGACATAGGAAGCGGGAGAGATGGTGGTGGGGTTAGAGAAGCCTGCATATATATTGTCAGTCATGGGGCAGGCTTGCTTGCGCGGCCGTCAGCCACGTACCCTTGGTGATCTTCTTTCCGCGGTACACCTTGGCCACCTCGTCTTCGAGGAGCTTGTCGCCCTTTTGGCAAATTTCGACAATCTTTGCGCCCGGGACACAGAGCTCGGCAACCTGGGCAAGGACCTTTTCGGAGATCTGACCAGCCGTCTTGTACTTGGTCAGAGTATCGGGGTTGTTCAGGGTGTAATCTGGAGGCCATGTCAGCGATTGTACAAGACGTGGGAGATAATTGTAGCCGGTCGTGTGCGCGCTTTTGGTCCTGTCGCGGGCAGCACCGCAACAAGCTTCCAGCGGCGACACGCTTTGGCGGGGTAATCTCAGGCCACCACAGAAACGAAGGAGGGGCAGCGCAAGCTGGTATTCTCAGCGGCTACGTGGTTTAGGCCAGGGGAAGGGAAGACTTGTGTGTAAATGCAATGACATACCGGTCTCTTCAGACATGATGGGCAGCTTGTTGGATGGCAGATTGTTTTGGATTTTTTGTGTAGCAGAGGGAAGAAGCAAGCTTGGTGAAAAAACAATGACTGGCTGGCTGTGAGTAAAATGGAGACTGGGATGAGAACGACCTCTTGCACCAATTTTTTGGTGTAAATGGGTGGCCTTCTGCTCTTGGTGCGTGGAAAGAGGGGCCTAACGCTGCAGGACAGGCCTAACAGAAGCCAACCAGGCGTGCAATGGCTGCTGCAGCCAATGCGGGTTTGAGGGGCTACTGCCCCTTTGAAGTGTCAGCCAGGCATGTCTGTGTACAAGTTTGCATAAGTATTTACACAATTTCTTCACAAGTGTAAAATATCGTAGCACAATTTATGAAAGCAGCATAGCTACCTCCCGGGTGCCTAGGCAAAGCTTCTGATTTGCTACCCAACTACCTACCTCCTACCGACCTTACCTATTGATGTCTCTTGTAGGTAGATCTGGTTTTACGCGTCGTCTTCTGCAAGCACATACATGTGGCTGGCCCGTTGCTGGTAGCTAACTAAATCTACCCACCTACCCTACAACCTCGTTTCAATCTCCATTACACGACATCTGTACGCGACATTCTATAAATTTTGGTTGCCAATTTTAGACAGCACCTTTTTGCAATATAATACTGTGCTGTGTTCTTTGTTCCGACCTGGAAGTGTCGCGTTTGCCGGTTTCTGTCTTGGGATTGATTGTAATCATACAAGTTCCCAGACGCCATTCTAGTCACTTGGTGCTTCACTCTTGTACAATCACTCAAGCAATAACCATAGGTACCAATATACTCTCCGTTTCCGCCAAACCTAACTAGATGAGCCATACTAATTTGTGTATACAGCACCCACCAATGAATTGGCTGCTGCCAGTCGCTATTAATCGGCAGCTTCTCAAGGTGCATTTATGTTCGAAGCTCCCGGCATATCTTCGGCAAACCAGCACGTCCACGTTATTAAACTAGTACCTATACCCAGATGACCACGCGCACCACCAGCCACTGCATGTACATCTACAAGCGAATTCGCGCACTTCAGCCGCAACAAACCACTACAGCCACGTACGCCACACCACACCAGCCATAGAAGCCTCCTGTTCGTTTGTTCGCGGCAAAGATGCAAGGCGCCCCGGAGCCCTTTGCAAACCACGCCCATTTACGACCACCCGGTGTCGCGCCCATCGCCCACGAACCGCGCCTCGCCTTCCCGCTCCCTAAATCTACATTTCCATCAATCGCCATCCTTTTCTTGCGCGTTTTTGTCGTCGTTGTGCCCCCCTCGCGCCGTCGCACTTGGTGCCTCGTCCGTTTCGCCCTGCCCTGCGTGCGCGCGCCGGTGTGCTTCGTGTGACAATGGCGGCCACCCAGCCTTCCACGTCGGCCGCGGGCTCTGGCCACGCGACGCCCACCGCCGGCGCCGGCGCCAGCTCCGCCTCCGATAGCCACAGCAATCCCAAGGCCTCGGCCGAGAACTCGCCCGCGCCGCCTCTCGAACCCATTGACCGCACAAAGGACTCCTTCACCAAGCTTATGGTGGAGCGGTACACGTCCCGCGACGCCATCGCCGCCGCCGCCCTCTCGGACCAACTCAACCACACGCGCATATCCACAAGCTACCAACGGCAAAAGATCAACGAGTACCGCCATATCAGAACTGACTACCAGCCCGTATTTACTCCCGGCCGATTATACGGCGATGGCTACCGGGGCTATGCCAATGGCTTTACCGAGAATCATGCCCCAGCCCGCATCGTCTACCCCAGTCAAAAGATCCGCCCCGGTCGCCGGACGACGCCTGCCCTCAAATACCCGCGCAAGGACATGATCAAGCAGGCAGAGCTCCACGAAGAGCTGGTCCCTGTCCGCATCGAAGTCGAATGGGACAAGTACAAGCTGCGCGATACTTTTACCTGGAACCTCCACGACCGCCTCCTCCCCGTCGAGCTCTTCGCCGCCCAGCTTGTCGAAGACATTGGCGTGAAACCGCCTGCCGCCCAGCCTGTCTTTGAGCAGATTGTAAGCCAGATGCGCGAACAGCTCACCGACTTTTATCCCTTTGTCTTTTCCGAAGAAGACGCTCTCGATCCCGAGCTGCCCTACTCGGCATATAAAAATGACGAAATGAGAATACTAGTCAAACTCAACATCACCATCGGCCCGCACACCCTGGTCGACCAATTCGAATGGGAAATCAACAACCCCTCCAACTCGCCCGAAGAGTTCGCCGCCAACATGGCCCGCGACCTCTCTCTCTCAGGCGAGTTCACTACAGCCATTGCACACTGCATCCGCGAGCAGTCGCAACTATTCACAAAGAGCCTGTACAGCGTCGGCCACTCCTTTGACGGCCGGCCGATCGAAGACTCGGACCTTGTGTCGGCCTTCCTGCAGACGCCCGTGCCGGCCGTCTTCCGACCCCAGCAGCAGGCCAAGGAGTACGCCCCATACATGTACGAGATGAGCGATGCCGACCTCGACCGCAACGAGACCATCTTCTCGCGCGAGCAGCGACGGCAGAAGCGCTCCATCAACCGGCGCGGCGGGCCGCAGCTTCCCGACCTGCGCGAGCGGCAGCGCACGATCCGCACCCTCATGGTCTCGTCGGTGCTGCCGGGTGCCGCCGAAACCATTGAGGAGACAGGCCTTTTCAAGCGCGCGGCGGGCATCCGCAAGCGGCCGACGCGCGAGGGCGACATTTCCGAGTCGGACGAGAGCGACGACTCGGCGCCCGACTCGCCCGCACCCTCGCAGTTTGCCGGCACCGCCCGCACGCGCGGCATGCGCGGCGCCGCGTCGGCCGCCCAGCACCGCATGTCCAACCTCGGGCGCTCCGAGACACCAGATGCCCTACACCACGAGGCGAGCGCCGGCGGTGTCGGCGGGCGCTCCTCGCGCCGCTTCCGCGAGGAGACCGAGGACGTGCCGCGCCTCGTCGTCACGCTCAAGGTCAACAAGGATAAGTTTCGGCGGCTGCTGCGCGGCGAGTATCGCTTCTCCCATACGACGCCTTCGCAGCCGCCGACGCCTTCGCAAGGTGGCGCCACGCCCAAGGTGCTCGCCAAGGCGATGCCACCTACCTCGACGCCATCGCGCGGCATCAGCACCACGCCCGTGCCGATTCCCCACGTGGTGGGCAAGTTTCCGCCTGGCCAGATTGGTCGCCTGCCAGCGCCTCCTCCCGTACCAGGCCAACAGCACACTCCGGTAAGGCCCACCCCTCGCGTGCAATCTGCCGCTCCGTAGAAAAGATTTTGTCTGCTAAACAAAAGTCTCCCATGTCCACAGCCCAACCCGCCCGAGTGGCTCGTCCAGGCCCTTCGGGGCCTCGAGAAGAAGTACCCCGACGGCGACCGGTTCGAGGCTATAATGAAGTACTCGTACCTCGACCCCATCACGGAGCTGCCCGTCCAGATACACCCCCTCCCCGACGGCGTCAAGTATGCCTGGCTCCCGCGCATCCGCTGCCTCGACTGCACCTCCAAGCTCTACACGCCCGGCCCGGACATGACGGCGCAAAAATTCGAGACGCACCTGCGCTTCTCCAGCCACCGCGAGGCGGTCCGCGCCCGCGTGGTCGCCGACGGCGGCGGCGGCGGTGGCGGCCGCAGCGGCTCGAGCGCGTCCTCGTAGAAGGGAGCCGGCGGGGGGGCGGAGGAAGATGCAATGTTGCACGATGGGGAGAAAACAACGCAAGGAAAAAAGGGGGGTGGGGGTATATGATGCTTTGTATACACTGGAAATAAAACGAGGAGAGAGGAAATCTTTCCCCTGGATGATCTCTCAAAGATGTGCGCTTGCTTCCCCTGCTTCATGTTATCCTGTCACTTCTTTTCGGAACAAGTCTGGAGGGAAGGATGTTGAATCTCACAAAAAAGGCAAAATCACTCGGCGTTTTCTTTTTCCTTCTTCTCTTTTATATATCCCTGGCTGGCTCATGCCGAGGAGGAAAAGACAGAAAGCTGTTTGTTTCTTGGCGGTTACTTTTGTTCTATTGGTATTGGAATGATGGGAGAGGGGTTTCTATTATTAGGTGTTGCGTTTTTGTTTGTTCAACTGTTGAATATTCGTACTTTACTTTTTCTCCCGTACTGGTTTGCTTCTTCTTCTTGACTTTTCGGAGTCTTTTTCCCCCCTTGTTTTGATAAGGGTTCACGAGAGCAGAGAAGAGGGGGACCGATCGCTGTACAGCACAATAACACACGCACAATCTGTTTTCACACATACAATGTTTCGAGGCGTCTCGACTTGGCCCACCTCTTGCATGCAACCCATGATACGAACCTTCGCCACGGTAGATGCGAAAAAGCTCATGCCAAATCACACCCGTAGGACATGTTTCCCACGTTCTGAGATATTGGTCAGTTGATGTATTGATTACTAGCTAAGCCGTAGGCACAACGATGGGAAAAACCAAGAATGCCGTCAAGAAAACCAACATACTAAACAAAGGGGATTTTTCGTACAAGCAATGACGACAGCTCCAGAAAGAAAAAGAAATTGTACTCCAGCGATGAGAAGAAAAGAAAAACGACAAAAGTACACAAAAAAGCCGATCCATCCCAAAGTAGCACTCACCCACACTCCTCCTCAAAGATATAATAAAAAACAGAAGAAGAGGTGTTTCATACACCCAACCTAACCATAAACAAACGGTCTGTCACTCGATTTCCAGGCCAGGCTTTCTTTTCGTATCCAGAGCGAATAGGGCTGCCCCAAAAGAGCGAGCGAGCGAGGGAGGTCGTTCCAAGGACAAAGTCAACTAGCCAGTAGAAATGAATAGACACAAAAGAAACCATCCCATACTTTTCTCCCCCCCGTTGCGTTCAAACATTGTCTTTCCGTACTTCTTAATCGTCAGTGTCCATGTCGTCCCCGTGGGATGACCGCTTGGACCGGGCTCCCCTGCGGACGACCGCTGATACGCTTGCCTTGATAGGTGGCTTTGCTCGCTGAGTCCGCCGCCCATTCTTCGCTGCTGGCTTCTCTTCCTCTTCCTCTTCCTCGTCCTCTTCCGCCTCGTCCTCACCCGCCTCCTCTTGAGCATCGCCCGACTCCTCGCCCGACTCGACCTCTTCTTCGCTGTCCTCGTCCGACGAGTGGGCGCCATACTTCCACTCGGCGACACCGTCGAGCATCTCGTCTTCGTCGTCCTTGTCCTCGCGCTCCTTGTAGTCGGAAGCCTTGGTGACGCGGCTGCTGCGGCGACGCTCGCCGGCCTCCGTGGCCTCTGCGCCAGCCGATCCGCGCTGCTTCACTGGGCGAGCCGCTTTGACTTTCTTGGCCTTTTTTGCCTTGGGCGGTCTTGGGGCCGCCTTTTCACGAATAACAGTCTTTATCTGTGTTCTTGAGCGCTTGGCCGACGGCTCGCCGGATTCATGCATCGACTTGCGCTTCTGTTTTTTATCGTTAGTCTCGCGTGGTGATCGTGTGTTAATCAATCGCGTGACGAACCTTTTTCTTCTCAAAAGATCGGATCAGGTTATCCAGTTTCTCATCTAGCGCCTCTGGAATGTATTGCTTCTTCGCAATCTCCTCTGCGGCTTCACTAGATGGCAGCGGCGCAAAGAGACCGGTGGCCAGTCCCACCTTGCCTGGGTAGACGCGGAAGCTCCAGTTTCTCTTTTCTTGGAATTTGCGAATGATGGCCTGCGCCAAGTCGCTGAGGACATACAGATTCTCGCTCGCGTCGGGGTTGATCGCGTCGCGCGTCTGCTTCGCCCTCTCCGCGTACTTGCTAATCAGACCCAGGTTGGACTCGGTCGCTACCGCATTAAGGTAGAAGAGAAAGTAGTTGGCAAAGTCTGCCAGGTCGTCGACGCCAGCGCTGTAATCCGGGTGATGGGCTAGCAGCGGGATGAGTCGTCCGAGGATGGCCTCCATGACCTCCTTTTTGTTCTCGGCATAGTGCAAGGCTCTGGAACGGAGCCAAGTCTCGACGCGGTGCTTGACTTCAGGCGCGGGCTCAAACGCAACAAGGAAAAGCATTGTCAGGAAGCGAGCTCGGAGCTTACCGTGTGTCAGGTAGTTCTGGAGCTTCTCCATGAAGCGGCGACGGACTTGCACTTCGCTATCTTGCACCACCTCTGCGAGCTTGTTGAAGGTGACAGGGTCGAGTTGCTCATCGTACTTCTTCACTGCGCAGAGCTTGAGCATCAGAAGAGCAGCGAGAAGACGCAGTCTCTTCTTATGATGTTGAGGAGTGTCCTTGACCTTACAGAACTCGCCCTCATTCACCACAAACGTCTTGAGCAGTTTGAAAACCGTCTTGACCCTCGTCTCGGAGTCAGCCTCGTTCTGGCTGGCAATGGCTTGGTTGGTAAGAATACGCAGGGCTAAACATTTGGCCTGGATCTCCTCATCCATATCAGCATCGTCCACCCATGATGGATCGGCCCCGGGTTTGGCATCTGTGTGAACTTGGCGAAGAATCGACTTGAGTATGAGATCTTGAATCGCATCGCCCTCATCTATTGTCACACTGGGGACTAATCGTTCCAGCTGACAGATGGTGGCAAGCTTGTTCAAAAAGTGTGGCTTTCCATAGGCAAGGTCTTGCATAGTTTTACGCAAGAGATTTGTAGCATTGACCTTACTCTTGTCGTCTTCCTTGGCGAGCATGATGTTGATAGCAAACTTGGCCGTCTTGGGTGGCGTACCATACATGGCATAGTTGGTAAGGGTCTGGGTGAAGCTTCTGTCTAGACTGACGTCTTGGGGGTACTTCTTGGCATAAGATGCGTACGCCTTCAAGATGTCAACGGAGGGGTCATTGGTTTTGTTCTCGGAAGGGGCTTGATCAATGATTTCCTTGCGGAGTTCCTCTGCGTGCGCCTTGAACAAATCAGGGTTGCGCTGCGAAATGTCGTTCAAAACGAGGTGGGCGACAGCGGCAAGACCGCCCTTGTCACTCTTGGAAAAGTCCATAATCGTTGCCAGATGACTGCGGTTGAACATGAGAGAGCTGGATCGATACAACAGGGGGATGATGGTGTCCAGCGCAACAGCAGCATTGCTGGCCTGCAGTTTCGTGATGAGTTCGCTGATGGCTCTTCGGACAGTCTTGAAATCACTCTCGGATTCAATAGCGTATTTGACAAGTTGGTAGCTTCGGCGCTCATTCAATTTGGCAAATTTTTGCAAATCTCCACGGACCTTGAGACCATCTGGGAAGAAGCGAGCAATCCAGTCGAACGTCTTGGTGAGACTAGCCTTGACCTTGTCATCATTGGAATCAATCACCCCGCCATTGTACGCCTCGCACTGCTTAATCAGGAGAAATACGCCCTTTGCAAATTGCGGCTGACGCGCCTGCATAGCGAAGAAGGCCTTTTGCGCTGATTGGTCCATGGATTTGATCATCAGAAGAATTCGCTCCGCGCGAATGCTATCCTGTTCCGCTTGGCTCATGGTATTCTTGGAGCCACCTTTCCCGGACTTGCCCTTGACCAGGGGAAATTTGAGGGGAACGAGGCACTCGAACATGACGCGATCAAGCAAAACATTGAGATCTAAGTCATTGGCGTAGAAGGAGTTGATGATCCTGGACGGCACACCGGCGAGACATGCAGTCACTGCCTCTTGTCCTTCTTCGATATCCGTAGCGCCAACAGCCCATAGCTTTCCGAGTAAAACCATGGCATCCACGCGAACGGCCGCCTTTCGGTCACGGCATCGATCAGACAAACTGGAAAAGAGGGAGCCCTCCTTATCAACACCACCGGTGGCGCCAAGCTTGAGAATCACATCTCTGAATTGGAACAGTTCAATGGCCTTGACGGCGGCCAAGCGCACCTTTTCTTCGCTATCGTTTAGCTTGTCGACTAAACCACGGACGAGCTCAGTCTCGTCCTCTCTACTTAGACCAATGCCACCAGCAGACGTAGAGAGAATATGCCCAATAGCAGTGACCCAGGCAGCACGGATGGTGCCAGACTTGTCATTTTTTCTGCTAACAAAGTTGCGGTATGTGGCGTGATGGGTTTGAGCAAAAGACAACGGCGAAAAGGGCGTGGTGAGAACGTTGGCCTCGGTAGGAGTACCAGGCTCGTCCATCAGCCGGAGAGGAGGATAGGCGGCAGGGTCGAGGGCGGGCGGCGGAGGGGGTCCAGCAGCACCAATACCCGAAATCATGTCTCCAAACGCCTCAGTGGCAATGTGGCGGAGGTGGACGTTGTCGGCCGATAGCTCCGCGTCGAGCTGCGGAACAACATTTTCTAGAATCGTGGGCGCGGCTCGCCATAGCTCTCGAATCAGGGCGTGCGCCTGCCGCAAGCTCTTTAAATCGGCCTCAGAGGGGCCTGCATTGCCGTCTTCGTCGTCGGAATCGTCGCCGTGTCCATATCCGTTCTTGGTAGCAAAACCAGAGGCATTGAGAATGACATCACTAAAGTATTGACTGACGTAACGCGACATTTTGTCGGCGCAGCCGTTGCAAATGTTTTTGGCCATGATGTACGCGGGGGGCTCCGTCTTGTGTAGCAACGTCGATTGCTTGCCATTGGCCTCTTTAGACTTATTTCCGCCGGGGGGAGCAGCCCGTAGAAACTGACTGATAATCGCATCGATGACGCTAGCCGGCACACTACCTGGGGACTCCTCGATAAGATGCATGAGCATGTCCGTCAGGTGAATTTCGACATCCTTGGCGACCTGCTCGTCGGGTGAGGCTTTGGAGCTGGTCGAGACGCCGTCAAAGGCGGAATTGAAGAGTCGCAGGAGCAAGTCATCGGCACCGTGGATATCGCAAATGAGCAAAATGCTCTTGACTTCAGTCAAGGACACGAGAACGTATTTGTGCTGGCTATCGTATGGGTTGGATGGGTCGTGGAGAGCAGGTAGGATCTCCTTGACGAATAGAGTAAACATCATCTTTGAGAACGATGTTAGCAGGCGTTGTAATTGACAGTTATTGGTAATTTGTGAGCTGTGTTGAGGCACGTACCTTAAGCTGCTCGTCTGTGAAGGGCGCGTCTGGAACATAGAGACGGAGGAGGTCCACCAGACAGCAGGCCGTGTAGGCCTTGACGCCGCGATCCTTGTGCTGGAGAAGGTTGCGGTGGGCAAGCTGCGCGGCGACCGTCTTGAGCGAGTCGAGCGCGACGGCACCCTGGTCAAAGTCGGCGAGCTCCTTGGACAGGCGCTCGAGGCGGGCCAGAAGGGTGGCGGTGGGTATGGGTTTGGCCGGGCGCCACGAGAGCTCCTCGTCAAAGGCGAGGCTGTGCTGTTCCTGGCGCTCCTCGTCATCGTCGCCCTCGGCCATCTCGTCATCGTCGCGGTTGTCGGCGGGCGTCTCCTGGACAGGCTGCGGCTCCTCGACGACGGGCTCGGCCTCGGCCGCGGTTTCCTGCGCCCGACCGCGTCGGCGCGCCATGGTGTGTGAGATTCGTTCTGCACGAAAGATGCGAAAAAAGAGGCTCCCGCGTCAATCGGTTAAGCGGCGGTGACAGCAGCCAGAAGCGCGAGAGCGACTATTTTCCCTTTTGGCGCGTGTGCGAGAGTATCTGGTTGTTTGACAAAAAGAGCCGCGGGTAGCGTGTATGGGTTTGTTGCTGGGTTCGTTTTGTGCGGCACAGCAGCGGTGGTGGTGTTTCAAAGGGGGGGGGGGACCGGATCACGGCTGCATCGCACAAGGGGGAGGAGGAGGAGGAGGAGGAGGAAGGGATGGAGCCGGGGGTCGGAGCTGTTCCAATGCGCGACGGTACGGCGTGGACAGGCGGCGTTGGCGATGGGCACCGGTAGTTGGTGAGATTTTGTAGGTGGAGGAGGCGGGCAGCTGTCGAGAAGCTCAGGCGAGGAAATGCTGATGGGTGGGCGAGGCGTTTGGCGGGCGCCAGGGAGCTGGGGGGGGGGGGGCAGGAGGAGAGCTAGTGTGAGTGGCTTTGGCCCGACAGACGGACCGGACGCGACGCGCCACACAGATAGTAGGAAGCTGCAAAGTGCCAATATTGGTCCGCGTTGGGAACTGGCCCTCCAACACAGGGAGAGCAAAAGGCCGTCGTTATATGCAGCTAAATTTGGCAAACGAAATCCCCAAAAACCCACCGGGTGATTTGATCTTCTTTGGATTTTTCGGTTTATTTTTCTATACTGTCAAACGCCGTACTCGTCCTGCATCAGCAATCGCTATCCAAGAATCGCGTCTCAGTTGTTGTAGCAAACGCAATCCACACGCAGGGACTATGGCCATCTCTGATTTTATCGGAATAACTCATAAGCCGAAAACAGACGAGGCCCCGAGACCTGTTGTCTCTGTCAGACGGCGTGAAACCTCGACTGCCTGCGCAGGTGCAGGGATCCGGCTGTCGCACCGCTTCGGTAGAGTCGTTTCTGCTTGACATGGTCATATTATCCCAGGAATTAGTCTAGAAATTGAACCTTCTCTTGCCTTCATGTTGTCTAAGCAGCTTGGTGCGGTGCCCTTGCGCGGCAAGGTACCTCACACGCCGAATCTCAAATCCACGCCTGCCATTCGATGACCTCTATCGTCGTCTCCCATCACTTCAACACCCGAATCAAGTCTCACGGCTTGCAAGCTTGGAAGAAGATAATCACACCTTGTTTGCCTCGTGGCGCACAGCATATGGTGCGATGATCCTGCATACCATACAACGGCACTGGTACCTCGGGAGACAATTCCAAACTTGTCACACGGCAATCCTGCAATCTATACAGTAATGTAGTGATCACAGTTGCACAACTCAAACGTTTACTACCATGATACACAGCAAAGGCAAAATTCTACTACGGCTACAGAAAAACGAGGATATAAACCGGCATAGCTGGGACTCTGCTTCACCACTCCTCTCCTACAACCTCCAAGGAACAAGCACCCGCGCAGCCTGCATCAATTGACGGTCAGTAAGCCATAATCAATCAGAAAAAACACATTCAGTCACATTGAATCAGCCCTGAGAACCCCCCACCTCCAAGATTGCAAAAAGTGAATGTCAAAACTGCACTACTGCAGCTCTGCCGGCCGCAACGAGAAGCACTCCGTTTGCATTTGTTTACATTTGCTGCTCATATTCGCCTGATGGCAAAGAGTTTTTCAGAAAGCTGATCTTGTGCGCTCCTAGAAAGTGCTAAATAGTCCACAAATCCGCCGCGCTGTTCACTCATTCGCCTCTTCTCACTCTTCACCATCATCACGCTCGTTTCGTTCCGACACGCACACTCTCTTGACTAGCAATTTTGGGATTGCTTGCCGCCTAATATCATCTTCGTCTTTCATCTACAAAATTGAATACACGAAAAAAGTAAGATGCTGTCACCTCGTACTCCACCCTTCCCCTACTAACTCTCTTCAAGGTTTTCTTCGGACTGTTCTCGTTCCATTCCTTCTCAGCAAAAACAGCACCACTGACGAGTGAGTATCCTGAGCTGTAGAGAATCCTGACTCCTACTAACTCACTGAACAGTGTCTACTACTTTGTTTGACCCCTACATGAGCAGCTACAAGGGCTACCTCGACGGCATGTACCAGCCTCGCCCCGAGCCTCGCCCCAAGCCTCGCTCCGGCAAGGGCACCGCCTTCAAAGTGGCTGCTGCGTTCGGAGTCCTGGCCCTCGTCGGTATCGCAGGCGTCGCTATTGCATCTGGCTGCGGTAAGTCCAAACCATGCTTTCCAACTCGAGCAACCACTGACTGGCAATTCCCAGGCTATTCCCTTCGTCACCAGGAGATCGTCAGCTTTGCACCCGTCGAAGCAGCCCAGCCCCAAGAGCAACTCTCCGCCGTTCTCCGTCGTGAGAATGCGGAAGAGTCCATCCCTGGCCTCCAGCCGTATGACTACTCTGTCCCCGTCGACACCGTCGTCAGCGGCTCTGTTGTTTCCGGCGGCGCTGCTGCTCATGCCACCGGCGAGGATTCTTCCATTGCCGACAGCTATCCCATCACGTAAGTCTAGCCTCTCGTAACAGGATTTAACTGCTGTTTTAATACTGACATCCAACTCAATAGGACCCCGAACACGCCTTACACCAGCCTCATGGAGCCCAACACCACGCAGACGTCCACCACAACCCTGACCACTACCGTTGTAATTATCCCCAGTCAGACGTACACCTGCACATCCAAGCCCGAGGAGACTGAGACTGTTCTTGTCACTGTCACCGTCGTTCCCGAGCTGTCGCAGAGCCCTACCTATGGCACCCCGGCCGGCGATGCCACCGTCACTGGTGACCCCGCCACCGTCACGGACGTACAGACGGACGTCTCCTACACCAGCGGCGCCCCTGACGCCACCGTCTCTGGCACACCTTCTACCGTCACCGATGTGCAAACGGACACGCAGTTCACCAGCGGCGCCCCCGATGCCACCGTCTCGGGCGAGCCTACTACCATCACCAGCGTCATCACCAACACGGCCGGCGAGCCCATGACGACCTTGACCTTTACCAGCATCAACACCGTCTATGTCACCGTGGCGACCGTTACACGCACTCGGAGCAGCAGCGTCGACTTTGACTCGTCCGTTCTGGGCCTGCCGCATTCCACCACCTCGGGCAACTCGTCGTCCAGCGCCGCCATCACGACGCACACTGAGACGGTCACCGTCACCGGTGGCACGCCGGTGACCAAAACCACGACCATTGAGCTGCCGGCGTATGGAGGTGGCTATCCGACCACCTATGGAACCGGCCTGACCATCAATGCCACCACCCTGCCGACCTATATCCCCCCTGTGGTGTCTGCGGGCGCCGAGGGTCGTGGTCACTCCATGGTGTGCCTCGTCAGCGTCGCTATGGTTGCCATGTGGCTCTTCTAAAAGAACCGGGTGCTTCTACTATTCTTTTGCTTTCATTCATTGCAATTTAGGGGGGGAACAGGCTTCTTGCGAGTCGCAACCTTGGCAACCTAGAATATTTGCACTTTTTAACTTTGACATGAAGAACCAACGAGGTCAACTTTAAAAGATTTTTGTTTGATTCTTTTTGAATGTCTATCTGTAATAAAAAAACGTAACGTTGTTATCTGCTTTACTTCACTACAATAGTGTTCGTGATTGTCTCGCACTCACCCTCGGGTTCAGTTTCGGCTCAAGTTCCATCCGCAACTCCCTCCATCAAACGCCCTTAAAAAGAAAAGCCCAAAGCGCCTCTGAACTAAAAGAATAAATACATGGCTGAAAATCCAACGAGCATCTCGCCCGGCTCTACTTTCGCTCCGATCTCGCCTGACGCGCCTTCCAGTTGTCGCGAATCGGCCCAGCAGCGTGGTAGAGATCCTGCTGCGTGACACGGTCTTTGATGCTTTGGAGGACACTGGTGACGGTTGTCTTGTGATTCGCCTCTAATTTGTCGTCGCGGAAACGCAACAAGCGCCAACGTTTCTTGTCATCCAGATTACACTCCACGATGCGGTCATTGAGCGGATCGCCGAGGCCTTTGAGGGTCTCCCATTCCCCTTTTGTGAGGTACAGCGGTTGAAATGGCTCGTACCGTTCCGGTCCGTTGCCGCCTGTATATACCATGAGCTCCGCGCGGGGCACGCTGTCGTAGTCAACAAACGGCTCTGTCCTGCCTGTGGCGCGCTCCGCCCTGTTGGGCTGCACTGTCGGGAAATGTAGCTTGAGAAGAAAATCAATAGTGTTCTCCTCTGGTGGCTTCCACTTGAGAATGTTGGGGTCCGTGCCGTGGCGGTACGACGTGTGGCGGCACGTAAAGATGAGCCCATCGTTCCCATGCTTGAGATTTGGTAGGACTTGCTTAAACATCATTTCGATACCGTAGGCAAGCTGGAATGGTTTCATCTCGACATAGAAGGGCTGAAATTTGAGCTCCTCGGGGAACTCCTTGAACAGGCGCTTGTATGGCGTGTGGAATCTCTCCTTGATGTATGCCAACCTCTTGTCCAATGTGCGGTCCATGAGCACCTGTCCATCCATGACGAGGCAGTCGAAGATGAGAAAACGTGGCTCCTTACCGCCGCCGGGCTTGCTGTCCCACACAAGCTCCCCATCGAGGACCGTGTCTACATGAAAGGCGGTCTGGTCGTTGTCGAGGGGGAAGTGCAGGTTACGGTTTGTGATGAACCAGTAGTCGTTTTTGCGGTCAATCAGGTAGTGCGCTTCGGCGCCGCTTTCATCTCTCGTAGCATACAGGAGGTAGCGAATACCGTCGGATTTTTCGCAAACGTAGTAGCTGTCGCGTGGCATCAGTTAGCATAATTCCTGGCCAGTCACACAAAGGCGTCGCAGATGATTTAGACGGCACGCATACTCTTGATTCTTGAGGGCGGTGATGTGCTGGCGGGAAAAGCTGACGGGTTGCGCGCCGGGGAAACCGACTTGACTTCGGCCCAAGAGGTGCGCTACCTCATTGCGCATCGTGTAGAGAAGCTGTGATTCCGCCTTGATGCCGGGTTCGGCGGCGGAGGCTATCGGGCCATCCTCCATCGCTAGTAATTGTCGCTACTTCTGCTGGTTCTTTTGCGGTGAACGTTGGTATCAATTATGCAAGCCGCAGAATGAGGAGACGCGAAACTTTGACAAAGATGGTGGTGATGATGGTGCACAAGTCATCGTTGTACGCTGTCGGTATTGGTATGTTGGTACGGACGCACGCTATCGATAAGCACGTAGCACCTCGCCATTCCCGATCATACAGGCAGTTAGTACATTGCTTTGCAGAGGGAAGAGCTCTTCATTTCTCGGTTGCTCATGTAAAATGAGTCTTCGTTTTCTTCTTCTGCTTTCCTATTTAAATTGTCTCAGTCTTTAGCTGCGCTTGTCCTTGTATCCTTCCTTGGCTACCTCGTCACGCGCGTACTCGTCAACCTAGCAATACGAGGCTTGATTAAAACTGCACTTGGCCAAGCAAATAATGGATCTAATCATTACCAAAATTATCAATAATCTACCAACTAAACAACTAGGAGCCGCCGGTGACTCCATTGAGCTCATCTCTAGTCCCAGTGGTGAATTATCTACGGACAGCGCCAACCAACATCCCAACTCCAAATCACAAGGTGCTCACTCCCACGCTGGGGCATTACAGAATTCCAATTAACTTTCATCAATCTTATCGACCTCGAGTCGAGCTTCTTCCCACTGTTGCTTGCTTTTTCTGGCCCACTCTATCTGACTCTTGGCATAGGCGAGCTGTAGATGATTAGCGCATTTTCTCGAGAGCTTGGTATAATCGTCGCTCTTACCATGTAGCGGCGCAAGTCTTCTTCCTTGTCGTTTTGGAATCGCCGCAGATCTTTAAAAACGCTGGCGCTAGCCTCTTTAACATCCTTCTCGGAAACCACCTGAGCTTGCTCGAGCTGGCCGATAGACTCTCTGGTCTTCCCAATTGTGTCACGGCGCGTGCGCTCAGGATCAACATCAACCACACCTTGCACAGCATGGCGAAGAGGACCAAAGATTCTGTTGGTAATAGAATTGCTGCTGGGCATTTTCTTGTGCGAGATGCTGGTGCTTCTCTCGGGGACACCTTGGCCAGCCTCTGGGGGACTCGATGGAAAGTCACCATGCGTTGGTGGAAAATCAGAGTCGATAGATTCGGTGTCCTCCTGGTTACCCTCACGCCTTTGGTATGTTGGGGGTTCTCGTAGGCTGGTAGACCGTCGCGGCGGCGAAGAAAGTTGCTGGCTGCTCGAAAGATATTGTTCAATGCGGCGAGCTTCGGATTCGCTGCGCTCCAGTTGATCGAGTAGTGTTCGTTTCTTCTCGAGCTCCTCTTCCGTCAGATCCTGCTGCACACGCTTCAACACGCGATACCTCACAACACTTCTAACAACACCAGCGAATTGAGCATTTTCTCTCATAGGCTCGGCGAAGCTGGCGCCGAGTGAGCTAGCCAGTTCTTCCGTAGCAATGTAGGAGGAATCAGCAGCCTGACCAACCTTTTCGATGGCGGGTCCAAGAGAAGGAGCCTGCTCAGAAAGAGCAAAGGCGTTGTATCTAGAGCCCAATTCGCAAAGATCCGTAGCCAAAGATGACAGGTGGCTAAGGGTCCGACGGTTGACTTTTTCCATCGGACCTGTTAACAAAGTCTCTAGTTCTTTGATGGAGGCTTCGTATGTAGTAAAGTAGGGGTCAAGATCGTGCTCGCTCAGGTTTGTGGTATCATTGGGAAATCGCCCGATGGTGCTGGCACCGCCTTGAATAACAGACGAGTTTAAAGAGGAGTTCCCGCCAGACGCGGTTCGAATCTTAGCGGAAGACGCGGGAACTGGCAGATAGAGATGTCCAGTGGTAGGGTTTGCCGTATCCAGCGGAGGTGCTTTCAGAACATTCTTGGGGATTGATGAAATGGGATGCGAGTTCAAGACCTCGCTCTGTTGCGAAAATTAGTTTGTATCAAATGCGGCACACATGAGACATGAGACATACCCAGCTTGCATTGGGATCGAGAAATCTTAGCCAAACGCCGTCGTTGCGGACAAGTTCCATGCGGCGGCAGCGATTCAAAAAGACGGCAAGCATGCGCTTTCGGAGATCAATTATCTGTTGATCCTGCTTTGCGCTCGTAGGATGCGCCGCATAATCCGCCATAGTGTGCTTTTCGGGGATCGGTGGGATTACAAGGGTCGGATGCAGACGGGTTAGAGCATCTCTGAGCGAGGCGAATTCCGAGTATCTTCGGCGAACTTCCAGGTCCTGTTACGAGGTCAGCTTGACGTCCCGATGTTGATTTGCGGTACATACGCCGGTACGAATGGTGTAGACAATGTGGCGACCACCACTTTCAAGGCTCTTGCCAGCGTCTGTTATGATGATTTGCATGTTTGGGTTTTCATAGAGAATCTGCTCAATGCGACTGGTATAGCCGCCTGGCTTGCGCTTAGGGGGGACGTCATCCTGGGTGGTTTCTGCGGTGTCGAGGCCGGCGGTGGCAACGCCCTGGCCAAACACCGGCGCCTCATCATCGCTAGGGGACGGTGTTGCGGCAGATTCGTACGAGTTGACTGTTGAGCGAGGCTGGTCAGTAGAGTGACGCACAGGACAAATTGGTGCTTTGGACTGTCATCGCAGAAAGTCGCCTCCAAAATAACCTACAGTCGCGGGTAGTCGGAGAAGCCGGGTTCACCGACGATGACGTTTGCGAGTCTCGGCGGTCGAAGCTGGTCCCATAAGGGTTGTTGTCCTCTTCGTCGTTCCACATTATGTCTAGAGATGATGCGCTGCGTGAATTACCGAATTAGGCGCCGGCGAAACTTGTTGATCCAATCTGGACACGAATGGTTGTAGTGGCAGCAATGGGTGGACAGCTCGGCTGAGAAATGGCGGGGAAGAAGCTAGACGCGTGATAAGAGTACAAGGGTTCGCAGGAAAGGTGAAGTCAAGGAAATTGAACAAGATGCGTCGCCATTCTCCTATGCAATCAAATCAAAAGGATGTGACCGGATTTGTGATGATGCCCAGTGGTGGGCGAGAGGTGCGCGGTGCGATGGAGGAGCAAAGCGAAGCTGCGTAGCTCCAGATTCAGAGGCTGAGCCAGGATTGCGGCGCTGAGGCAGAGTCCTGAGTACTAAGGTTGCCAGCCATGACGACCAGTGGCGCACGGGCCAGTTGCGTCACCCCTCCCACCTTTGCTGTCGTGTCCTGCCCGTGTTTCTACTGGGATTCACTACGAACATTCAAAACGTCAAGACATCGTCTTTAGCCAAGTTTCCATCTCGGAGAACGAAAAGATATTCGACCCACGTCTACGATCTTACACGAAATGGCTAGGCAACGGGCCGCCATCACTCTGGGATGTATGATGGACGGTGCACCATGACAATACTAGCACAAAGGCGACGGGAGAACCAAATTATCGGGTAACTACTATAGCATCGAATCAACCCGACAGCCGCCGCTCAATACCAAAGACACCCGGCCCTCATCATCCACCCCCTTACACCCTCGATAATGACCTCCACCTTGATGGACGGCCTGTGGCGGACTGGGGCAGCTAGAAGTACTGCCTCTGTTACTGGCGGACCTGCTGAAGGTTGAAAAAGTCAGACAATTCAATTGTGTAGCCAGGCAACCAGGCTGCCTACCTGCGTTCCCAAGCGACACGCTTCGCTTCTCTCTTACGTCGATTCTGGAGAACCGTTCGCGTCTTTCGCCCCTTGCCTACTTCGCCGTTGTCCCGACTTTCGATGTTTCGTGAATCTTGCTGGTCGTTCAGACCTGTGGTGCTACTCTGGCAGCTCGATGTTGATGTAATCGAGGCTCGAGATGAAACGGATGGCACTCGGCTGTCGTTTTCAAGCGCCAGTGTAGTCGAATCTACACATCGTTCTTCATCCCGTAACGCTCCTCCTCCCAGCTCTTCTTTCTCATCCAGGACACTGTCGCGATGCGGACGTAGACTCGGTTGAGGTATCTGGAAGTCGTCACTATGAACAGTGGCTGCGGCTATGCTCACTGTTTCTTCGGTATGCGACTCATCGGAACGATCCATATTGTTGTCCTTCATGTGCAATACTCGTGATTCTTCGCACCATAGCTCTAGTTGTGACAATGTACCGGAGCGTCAAGATGCGCCACGGTGCGCGACAGACTATGTTCGTCGTTCTTGCGTGATTTGATGCGTCTTTGTATTGGTATACGATTGAACCACTCAGATCTCGGTTCACTAAGAAAATTTAAAATCAGACAGACGACTGTCCTACCTGAAGTGACGTTCCACGGCAAGTGCTAATGATACTCAAGGCAGACCACAACCTGCCTCCGTTCTGACTACCTACGCAAGATAAACTTGTAAACTAAGTAAGAAATAAAGCATAATTCCCAAGGAATCCCCTCATTCTTTTTTGTGAATGGTAGTCTCGAAACATTGTTTCCAATCTCTTCGATTTGGTCTAGGCCAAGATCGAATCACGACCAAGTTACTGGTGCGTGCCAGTTAGCCGTGCACGGACCACCTCCTTCCATCTAAAGACCGCTGTCGCGAAATCTATCTTCGCTTCCCTGCCGACATTCGCTGTATCTGCCAGCGCCCTCAATCCCCCCCCGCGGCCACAATACAGCGCCAGTTTTATTTCTTGTCATAAGTAATGCAATCGGGGAGCTCTGGAAGCTTATAGTACCGGAAGCGGATCCGCCATCTGCGCGCTGGTGGTTCGGCGCGAAGCTGTGCACCCCCGACGCCATAATTTAGGCAACCTGCGAACCCTTTCTCAACCTTCTTCATCAGCCTACGCATCATCATGGCAACGATCGCTAACGGGGCGACCAACGGAGTCGCGAATGGCGATGTCGCCGCCGGCCCCGTCAGCATCCGATTTTCTGACATCCCCTCGGCAATAGACATCCCCGTTCAGGGCGATCAAGAAGACGAAGCCGTCGAAATCGATCTCGAAGATCTAGTTGATGACCCAACTGAGCTGTGTACCCTCTTCGAAAACGAACATGCGGCGAAAACGTACTGGATGACCGTCTCCCTTGCGTACGCGAAGCAACACAAAATCGACCACGCCATCGAGATGCTCATCCGTGGTGGCGGCGCTATCCAAAGTAATGCTAGCAACCCACGCGACAAGGTCAGCATGATATGCTGTCTCTGCTGGATGTACCTCTGGAAGAGTCGCGAAGCTCCGCGTGTTGCCCCCGACGGAATACGTGTCTCCGAGGCCAAAACCAAAGAATACTACCTTCAGCTTGCGACATCGTCGCTAAACGACGCCGCGCGACTCAACCCGTCATTTCCGCCCATCTTCCTCGCCCGCGGTGTTTTGCTTCTACTAAGAGCGTCACTTCAAGCCCCGTCGAAAACCGCTGGCGGCATTGGCTCCGAAAAGCAGGAGCTCTTGAAAACCGCCGTCAAATCCTTCGATGACGCGCTCAGAGTTTCTCAAGGCAAGAACATGCTTGCTTTGATGGGCAAGGCGCGCGCATTTTTCTCTTTACAGAAATACCCCGACTCTTTGGCTATCTACCAAGATGTATTGCAGAAGAAGCCGGATCTGGTCGATCCTGATCCGCGCATCGGCATCGGTTGCTGTTTCTGGCAGCTTGGGTTCAAGAAAGATGCCAAGACTGCTTGGGAAAGAAGCCTTGAGATCACCCCAGACTCCAAGGTCGCTAACATTCTGCTTGGTCTATATCACCTTGATGCTAGTGGCCACGTCCCAGTCAATAGCGAGGACTTTGTGAAGTTGTACAAAAAGGCCATGACCGAGTATACCCAAAAATCATTCAAACTCGACAAGGATCTCCCTTTGACCTGTTCGACATTCTCCAACTACTTTCTCTCTCGCAAATCGTGGGACAACGCCGACAAGCTGGCTCACAAGGCCATTCAGTATACCGACGTCAACGCCATTGCCAGTGATGGCTGGTATGTTCTGGCCAGAAAGGCCCACTACCATGGTGATACAGAGAATGCCAACGACTTCTACCGGCGAGCCGATGATGCGCGCGGAGGAACAGATACTGGCTACTTCCCTGCCAAATTTGGTGCTGCACAACTATCGGTGATGAAAAATGACCTCGGCGAAGCTAAGCTGCGCCTTGAAAAGATGATACAACAATCAAAAAGCCATGAAGCCATGATTCTTCTCGGCACACTGTACGCCGAGGAGATTTTTGCCAACCAAGCAAGCGATGCCAAGGAGGACAAATCAGCCGAGATGAAGAAGGCCATTAATCTCCTGGAAGCGGTCAGAAGTGCCTGGAAGAATGCGAAAAGAAACATCTCTCCCGACGCTTCTGTCCTGCTCAATCTCGCACGGCTCTATGAGACCGATAACCCTGAAAAGGCGCTCCAGTGCTTGCAGCAAGTAGAGCAGCTGGAGCTGGAACAGATCCCTTCTTCAGAATACCCCGAGGGCGTTACAGAGGAAGCAGAAGTGCAGACTGCTATACGCAAATTCCTTCCTCCCCAACTCCTGAACAATATTGGCTGCTTCCACTTCCAGGCCGAGAAGCACGTGCTGGCGAGCGAAATGTTCGAGGCAGCCCTCGGTGCATGCCTGAAAATGAGCGAAAAAGACAGCACGGTTGATACCGATGCCCTAGTGTCGTCAATTAGCTTCAATCTTGGCCGCAGTTACGAGTCTCAAGGTCTCTCAGACAAAGCGGTCGAAGTGTACGAAAGTCTTTTGAACCGCCATGACGACTACGCCGACGCTCGTGCTCGTCTAGCATACATAAAACTGCGACAAAGCCCGAACAAGGAGGGCCCTGACGCCGTTGCCAAGCTCTATCAGGACAACCCTAGCGATGTCGAAGTGCGTGCCCTTTACGGATGGTACTTGGGAAAGCTTTCGAGAAAGCGGCCTGGCAATATTGTCGAGGACCCAGAGTTCCGCCACTACAAGCATACTTTGCAAAACTACGACAAACATGATCGATATGCCCTGGTTGGTATGGGAAATCTTCATATGATGCAAGCCCGCGAGATGAGACGCGAGACAGATGCCGACAAACAGAAGCGCAGTGCGGCCTATGGGAAAGCTGTTGAGTTTTACGAAAAGGCTTTGTCATTGGATCCGAAAAATGCGTACGCCGCACAGGGAGTCGCCATCGCTCTGGTAGAAGATAAGAAGGACTATAAGAATGCACTTGCCATCTTCAACAAGGTGCGCGATACCATCAGAGAGCCTAGCCTCTATGTCAACCTGGGCCACATCTACGCCGAGCTGAAGCAATTCTCCAAAGCCATCGAGAGCTACGAGATTGCCCTGTCGAAAGAAGGCAAGCACAATGACCCAGTCATCCTGGCCTGTCTTGGCCGTACCTGGCTGAATCGGGGCCGCGCAGAGCGTGACATTGATGCATATGGCAAGGCCCTCGAATGTGCTGAAAAGGCATTGGAGGTTGCCCCTGACCAAGTTCACTATAAGTTCAACGTTGCGTTCGTCCAGATCCAGCTGGTGACCACCATCCAGGGCCTGCAGGAGAACAGGCGCACGGCAGAACAGTTGGAGAAGGCAGCTAAGGGCCTCGAGGCAGCAATCGAGTCACTGGATGCTATCGCAGCTCACCCCCAGACGCCGTACCCCAAGCATGACGTCGAGCAACGTGCCAACATGGCTCGAAACACGCTGCGCAAGCAGCTTGAGCGAGCCATTGGGAAGCAAAAGGAGTGGGAGGAAGTTAATAAGGAAAAGATTGCTGCCGCACAGAGCCAGCGGGAAGCGGAGCTCAAGCGTCGCGAGGCCGACCGTGCCGCAATCCTAGCCAAGGAAAAGGAACGCCAGGACAAAATCCGCAAGGAGCGTGAAGAAATGGCTGCCCAGGTCAAGCTCGAGACGGAGGAGCGTGAGCGAGAACTGGAGGCAGAGCGCACGCGTAAGGAGGGCGAATTGACAGAGGACGAAGAGGGTAACAAGGTGAAGCGCAAGCGCAAGCCTGCCCCTCGCGCTCCCGGGGAGGGCCGGTCGAAGCGCTCCTCCAAGAAGAAGGGCGCCAAGGACGATGACGAGGACTCTGACGAAGGCATCCACGTTAAGAAGAAGCGCCGTCTGACGACGCGCGAAAGCTCCAAGTTCAAGTCGGCCGAGATTGTCGTGGACAGCGACGAAGACGAGAACGGCGGCGGGGGCGGAGGAGATGACGAGGACGATGTCCTCGAGCGGGCGGACCGCATCGGTCACTCCAGTCCGGCCGCCTCGGAGGCGGGCGAGAATGAGTCCAACGCGGGCGTGGGCGACGACGACAAGATGGACGTGGACGATGCGCCGCGCGGGCAAGACGACGATGACGACGAACCTGCACCCCGTCAGCCTGCCAAGAGGGCACGCCGCGGCCGGGTCGTCGACAGCGACGAGGAAGAGGACGAGTAAGTGTAATCGGGAAGGAGCAAGTACCGAGCGTGTTTGTGTCAACAGGAGAGGCGGTAAAAAATTGCAAGGAAATACGGCGTAAAGGGTGAACGTCAAACAATAGGACGTGCGGGAACATTTACTAGCAGGAAATCTCAGCCTAAGCTAGATGAAATCGATCTCTTCTTCACTATGTGGTTGTTGAGTTTATTCTTGGGTTCTTTTATTGTATTGTTGTTACTAGATTCATGGCAAGTCGCAGAAGATAATTCATCAATGCTTGGTCAAATGCGTCGAAGCAATTTTTTTTTAAATATACGTCTATATTCGAATAGGCTGCTAACACGCAAGATGTGAAAGTGCCATGGACTTGTTTCACGAAGGAGTAAGCAGAACTTTGGATCCACCCACTCAAATTAGCATACAGTGTATTACGGCATCCTCTGCTTTCTAGTTTCTCATTTGTTCTTCCTTTCTATTCCTGGTGCCCAGCCCTTTACTTTTTTTGCCCGTTCATTTCATACGGCAGACATGATGCATGGCCACAGGGCCAAAGCGATCTGTCCGCCCTTTCTTTTTGCACAGTAGTGATGCCATGAGCTGTCGCGCTTTCTGCTTTAAAAGGCAAAGACCTGATCCTCGAGCTTGCTGACGGGACGGGCCTTTTTGAAGCCGAGGCTCTCGGTGGCCTTCTTCAGACCGCTAATCATGGGAGGGGGACCGCAGAGCAAGATCTTGACGTCATCGGCAGGCTTGGGGAAGAATTTCTGACGCAGGTGTTAGTCTTTATCTGAAGAAGAAAAAATATTTACGCCGGAGTATAGTAATGGCGTGCTTACAGAGATCATGTCGGCCGTGACATAGCCGACGCTGCCGGTCCACCCCTCGGGGGGGTTATCAAGGACGTAGTGGACGCGAATACCCTTGTCCTCGGCGACGAGAGCGTCGAGGTCCTCCTTGAGGAGGATGTCCTGAGGGGTGACATTGGCAAAGAGCAGGTCGACCTCGGTGCGGTCGCCGGCCTCGCGGCCGCGGGCAATGGCGCGGATAATCTGGAGCATGGGGGTGATGCCGGTGCCGCCAGCGACCATGCCGAAGTGGCGAACCATGTTGGGAGTGTAGACAAAGGCGCCCTTGGGACCGCGGACGCGGATCGTCTGGCCAACGATGAGCGAGGCCATCATCTTGGAGATGTTGCCCTGGGGGTACGACTTGATGAGCAGGTCAAAGAAGCCCGGCTGGTGGTCGCCCGAGACGGGCGTGTAGGAGCGCACAATCTCCTTGGTGGTGCCGTCGGGCTGTACCAGGGGCGCGCCGATGGAGATGTGCTGGCCGATGGGCAGCCCGAGGACCGACTTGGACGAGGGGAGCTTGAAGCGGTAGCTGTGGAGGGCGTGAGCGGAAATGGTCAATTAGAGGCGAGGACGAGCGCTCGGGAACGTACATGGCTACATTGTGAGAGATGACAGTCTTTTCCTGGAGCTCAAACTCTTGGAAGACGTCGGGCTTGAGGACCTTTTTGATTTCTGACGTGGTTTGTCAGTTTGGTCGTGGGCTTGGCATAGGGGGGGTTTTGTTGGGGCCGCCATCGGAGGCGGCATTGCTCTGCGCCAGCCGAGCACACAGTTACCGCGCAGGCAGGGCAGCGCAGAAAAGGAGGGTATTCTGAGGGATTGCGACTCACGAAAGTTCCAAAAGTTGTAGGCACCAAAGAGGAGGGCCACGGGAATGGCGTAGATGACCCAAGAGGCCTTGACAATGGCGGTGCCGATGATGAGGAGAAAGCCGGGTACGTAGACGTAGTCAATGTACTGGCGCGCAAAGAGGGAATCGTCGGCCATTGTGTCTGTTTTCTTCGTTTCGTCTTGTTTTCTATAGATGGTTGGAGAATGAAAATTGAGAATCGGTCGACAGTGAAATTCGTCTCGGGTCGTGTCAGCGTTGGAGCAGGGCGGAGGGAGGAGGAAGCGTTGCCGAGCAGGACGTTGATGACACGGAACAATAGGGCGTGGGACGAGATGGTGCCCGCAGGAGAAGCGCCTTTCGAATGGGATTGGAGATTTTTGGCAGGTCTCGGTTTGTTGCAGGGGCCAAGAAGAGCTGCGCGATTAGCTGCTGAGAGTTTGACGTTCCCGAAAAAGGGTTTGTTTCTGGGGGACCAAGAAAAGTGGCGGCTAATTGGACGGGCAGCAAGCAGCAGCATCTCAACTCAGGGCCAGAAGCTTTTTCCCATTCCCCTGCGATGGGTTGACCCGAGCTCCTTTGTTGTGAAGTACTTGGGGCTGGTAATTTGAGTACCTTATACATGGATTTACGATGGGAACACGGCTGTGGTAGGGTACATGATACATCTAGCGCCAATGGCTGGGTACCTCGGACAACTTGGACCCGGCAGTGAGGGACGGGTGGGCAATTGGGCTACGGGTATGCACTGATATTTTACCTACCTACATATCAACCTATGTCTGATGTGTAGGAACAACTTGAACGTCCAGCACCACGTTGGATGTAGAGACTACGATATGCAGCACATACAGTAGTTACGGCCTCCACAAAGACTACACATGGAGCGGAATCGGAAGGACAAGCCGAGGAAGCTGTAAAGAGCGACACGTGATCGGATCTAGATGTACTCTTGAAAAAGGAGGTATTTCATTATTCTACGCTACCGAGTACTTTTAAAAAAAGAGGTATTTCCTCTAACTGTGCTGTGGGATATCTCCTTGTAGAGAGAGCGACTAATAGTAACAGACTGGAGAGCAACTACTAAGGTACCTATGCAAAAGCGACACACTGTCCCAAATCCCAAAGTGTACTCCGTATATAGGTAGGTACTAAGGTACCTAGAGTATATGTTGTGATTTAAGTGGAGATCACAGTACACACAATCAGCTAGAGACCTACTTATAGTAGAAAGCTAGAAAGGGATAGTAGTATATAGATAAAGGAGTTAGGTTTAAAGAAACTAATCCTAATTACTAATAGAATTAGGTAATAAAAAGATATACTAAAGGAGAATAATTAGGCTAAATAACTAGGCTAGAAAATAGGTATAAGAAAGGAGGAATTTCCCCTCCTAGTTAAAAAAGAATAAAGTAAAAATAGCTATAAGTTTTAATATATATTATTCTTTAACTTTACTATATAAAATTACTCTTAATTATAACTAGTTATTTAATATTTATATTAGCCTGCTTATATAAATTCATGAGAGTATATCATCAGCCACTACCTGTAATTCTTCAGCCCCAGCCATCTCAAAGGCGCGATTACAAGGGTGGTTCACGCCAGCTCCGGCGTACTTTTGCCTTTTCACCTGCAATCACTAAAACATCGCTGTTCAGTTCCGGGATATACAGTGGACAGATCGGAAAATGGGGACAGCTGTTCAATTCGTCTTGTATGACTGCTGCTCCTGTCATTCAAAGACACAGCTACACGCCCTTCATCGTTGCAAATCTGCCGAGGTCAGCGATGGCTGTAAGTGGGAGCGCCTCCTAGTTAGAGCGCCTCCTCGAGCGCCGCCAACATCGACATCCCTCCGCCCGAGCATGCTCTTTAAACTCTTCTAACACAATTCACGCCAATGATTCACTTTGCAAACACCTCTCATCCATAGTATCGAGTCCACACCGCCGCTGCCACCCATCTCCAGCTTCTAGCATGACACTTTCCTTCGTCCATGATGCTCAACAGCTGCGTCGTCTGCCGCAAACGCAAGGTACGTTGATGTCGCATCTTCCCTTCGGCCTTTGCTGGCAGACGGAAGAAGTGCTAACAACAGTTAGATCAAGTGTGACCGAAACCCGCACTCGTGTCGGAATTGCATTCATTTTGGCACGAGCTGCGTCTACACCACCGTCCCACGGTCCGAATTGAAACGCAGCGCCACCACCCTGTCACATCATGACGAATCCAGTCGCACCTTTACGCAGACCGGTCTTGTGCGCCGCCGCGTCCCTCGCTCGTGCGTCGCCTGTCAAAAGTCCAAGGCCAAGTGCTCGGGCGAGCAGTCCTGTGCGCGGTGTGGCAAGAAAGGGCTGACTTGCCGCTACGCGGAGCAGACATCCATGAGCGAGCCTGCACCGAGTCGCTCAATCGCGGCAACGGCGCCGCCGTCGCAAACACAGCAAGGCAGCGTGCCTACTTGGCTGGGCTCGGCTCAGCTCCCATCATCCCATCGCGTGCGCGCGCTGGTGGACATGTACTTTGCTCAGGTGCACACTGTGCGGTGCCTGGGCTTCCTCCACATCCCGACATTCATGGATCGCTTCCGCGAGGACGAGGCGCTCCTTGCGGATTCTTCGGGGCTCGTGTACATCATGTGCGCCCTGGCCGCGCCCTTTCTGTATGCCAAAACGGTCGACTCTCCCGAGAGCGACCCGGCGAGCGGCCTCCGCTATCACGAGGCGGGCCGGGGCTGGGCGGCGAGCGCCCTGCAGCGCGTCTTTGCCAACTTCGGCGCCTCGACGGTGGACAGTCTCGCCGTGTCCGTGCTGGTCCACGAGCATCTCATCCGCACCGGTGACCACACCAAAGCGCTCCTACTCTCCGGCATGGTGGCGCGGCACGTCCAGATCCTGCAGCTCAACCTCGAGCACGACGACGACACCCTGTGCGAGTCCGCGGGCTCCCTCCCGAGCGAAACGAGGGAGTCTCGGCGGAGGCTGTTCTGGGCCTGCTACCTGCAAGACGCACTGATTGAGTGCGGCATCGACCAGCTCAAGCTCATTTCTAGCGACGACGCGCGCTTGCAGCTGCCGTGCCGGGAAGAAGACTTTCTCCGCGGCCGGCCGTGCGTGACGGAGACGCTGGGCGCGGGGACGCTGCTACCGTCGGCCGTCGGCGCGAGGGGCGCGCGCGAAGCGGTGGACAACTTGGATCTGCGGGCGTACTACATTCGTGCCATGGCGCTGCGCTCGAGCATCCTACGCTACGTCAAGCACATTGACGGCGACGAGCCGTGGGACGCGCTCGGCGGCTCGCAGTTTCAGCGCCTGGAGAAGCGCCTTGCCGCCCTGGAACAGTCCATCCCGCACGCTCTCCGGATGAGCAGCGGAAACACCTATCTGTACAAGTCCTCTGGCCGCCTGAACCTGTACTATGGCCTGCACATCCTGCTGGCCCAAACATGGACCGATCTCTACCGCGTCGGCGTGGCCGGCCTCGTCTTCCCCAGCTCTGCCACGGCACGGCTGCGACAGAACGCGCCCGTTGAATTTCGCCGGCGATGCCACCAGACGTGCGCGGACCAGGCGACGCTTATAGCAGGGCTGCTCGAGGGCCTCTACAAGTGCCACCGCGAGAGCATGATTGACATGCCCTACGCCATCAACGCCCAAGTCTGCAGTAGCACTCTGGTGACGACGCTGGCATCCGCCCGCGCGGTGGATGAAGCAGGGTTTCTGCCCAGTTACACCGAGTCCGAGTACCGTCGCATGCTGCGGTTGAATCTCGTGATGCTGCAGCACATGCAGCAGTACATGAAAGTGGATGCATTTGCCGAGTCGGCAAGTCAGGCGCTTAAGCACTTTGAGTGCATCGTGCAGCGTCAGGAGGCTGGTCTTTCAAACGGCAAGGAGAGCACGACCGAAGCAGGACACCCTTCGCACTTTTCGCTCGATTACATTCTCAATCCGCTCGGCGTCTTTCCCATCGCGCGGACCCAGGCTCGCGACAAGCATATACCAGAGAGATTTGCGAGCGCGCGCAGTACGGTAAATACAGAGCGTGCGGCCGTGTCACATTCAACGCAAGAGTACACGGGAGAGAGAAGAGAAGTGACCGAGGCCGGGTCGCTGTGGGACTGGGATGCGCAGCTACCGCTTCTGGAGAGCATGGACTACCCGACGTTCCTAGACGATGCATTTCTAAGCGAGCAAGGTCTAGGTCTGGGAAACACCAATGGCTTCTACTAACGAGGAAGGGAGAAGCTTGCGAGCGTGCTGATACTATCCATATTGCCTTGATCGAAACGGCTTGCCAAGCCGTCATTGTACACTAATGTAAAAATGAACTATTTGACAGCTCATCGCTGAATTTGTGGACACGATGTTCGAGCAAGCATAACCTCTAGGCATGTCGAGCAAGCATAACCTCTCGACGTGTCCAACCCTGCAGAGACCGAGACTTCGGAGAACGCGGGGCCGCGATCCGTGATTCCGTCCGTGATCCGGTCCGCGATCCGCTGGAGAGGGTATGTCAATTATCTCGCCTCATAAGTGGCATGTATGGTGCCAACTGAGTTATTCTGTATAAGGTTACCGGAAATTTCAATTCCAAAAGATAAATAGAGCGTTCAAGCCACTTTCATTATATCCACACAAGCGCGCCTCATCCTCTACATGTGTAATACCTAGTCCCCATCTACACTCTCAAACTCCAATCATGCTTCCCCTTCTAGCTACCACCTTTGCCATTCTGGGTCTTGCCAAGGCCCAAAACCTGCTCGTCTTTGACAGCACCGCCTACACCAACACCAGTATCGGCTTCGGGGCCTCCAACATCAACTGGATCCCCGCCTACGTGTGCAACCCGCTCGTTGCAAACGGCGCGGTGCCGGCGCGGCAGGACTGGCAGGCCATTGTCGCGCAGTGGAACGTCTATCCGGGCTACCCGCTCGTGCTCGACTGCGAAAACATCTACCTCAGCTCGGCGGCGACGGCCGACGCCAACCTGGCGACGATGCAGAAGCTGCAGACCTGGGCCGCCGACGTCCTCCCTCGAGACCAGATTATTGGCTGGTATGGCCTGGCGGGAAACACGCCCGCGTCTCTCTTCGGATACTACCGGGCCCTAATTGCCAACCACACCCGTCACGCCTTCTTCCCGTCGGCATACACCTTTTCCAGCAGCCTCGGTACGTGGAACGCTTCTCTGACAACGGTGCTCGCGCAGGCAAAAGCCATCAACGACTCGCTCCCGATCTGGCCTTTTGTGTGGCCGCAGTATCACAACAGCCCTTTTGCCTTTTACCCCGTCAGCCTTTGGCAGAGTCAGCTCGCTGTGCTCAAGGGAAATCCGGATGTTGATGGGTTTGCGATATGGGGTGGAAAGAACCACGCCGTCTGCAACGATGCTTGCCAGGCCATTGCGGGTGCGCAGCCCTGGCTCAACGCCACTCGTTCCTATCTAAAGGACTTGTACGGCATCTTCAATCAGTCACCGCAGAGACCCGGTCGTCAAGCCTTCGTGGGGGTTTGATAATATTTAGAGAATAATAAACGATTTGAGTAACCGCCGTGCCCCTTGAAAACTGACTGCTACCTCTGGGTACTAAACTCTTGCTGACCACAGTAAAACAGCTAATCGAAATGCCTTAGAAAAATAAAAGCCATTGGAATAATAGCTGCGAAAATGGCGAACTCGGTTATTGTCGGGTTTTAAGTACGCTCCACAAAGCGCCTGGTGAATCCTCAGTCAGCCGTACAAGGTTGAAGACATGACACACAAAGCAATCCGGTATCGTTTAATGCGATTTACTTTGCGAGAGTATCAGATTACCCCCCTCAGTGTATTATATAAAAGTACGCCCCCCATAACACAGACCCAGGAGGAAAGACGTCATTGTACCACATTCGGGTCGTTCCATCGACTTGACAAGATACATACAACATTTGCTAATAAATCGTCACATACGGCCATAGAGGATAGAAAATACTGGGTCCCGTCTGCTCCCCGATCGTCAAACTATCCATCGGCAGATTAGTAGTTGGGTCGGTGACGACCAGCGAACACCGGCTGCTGTATGTTTTTTGCCCTGTCTTTTTGTTATTTTTGCCTCGTCACATTCATTCTTCGACTGGGGGTAGCGCAATTCCTTTCAATCGTCATCAGCGAGCATGAAAATTGTTTGAAGAGTGCTTCATTTCTCAGATGCTACCTGATACACACTAATTATTCCAATCTTTCATCGGCAATGTCGAAACTAAAGCTTCTCCTGTACCACCTCCTTGACTTCCTCCACATCAGCGTCAGAATTGTTATCTTCTTTGCCAGTGACGAGAATAGTCGGGAGGGCTACCAAGAGACCCCCAACCGCCATTCCCCAGTTCATGGCAAACTGTGTCATGGCCGAATATTTCTCGGCGTTGATCCGCCATGCCATGGCTGCTCCTCCCGGCTTCAATGCAGAGTAAGCACCCACCACCACAGCGTTGACCACCGGGTTATGCGACTGTGCCCCAATGATCCAGTAGCAAAAGCTTTGCCAGAAGGAGTCGAAAGCGCCGTAGAAGATGTAGAGAAACATGGGGCCGAGGAAGACGCTGCCGTCCGTGTAATCAATGTCCTGCTTGTGGCCGTGGCTCAGTCTCACGTTGTTCCACAGCTGGAATTTGTATCCGCCCCCCCAGATGGCCAGAGCTGACACCAGAAGCAGAGACCAGCCCGCCCGAGCACGGGTTGGCTTTCGAGCGAAGCTGGAATCGAGAACAAACCCCATGAACAGGCCGCCAAACATTTGCGCCATCCAGTACAGCGCCCCGTTGAGAGATCTGGTTCGTAGAGTAAAAGTCGCACCGTTGACGTTGTTTTGCTGGTACGAGTAAAAGACGTTGGCGGTGAAAAACATGGGGTACAGACACAGATTCCTCCAGCTCAATACAATCTTGACCGCTTCGGCCAGCGTGTTTCGCAGATTTCCCCACGTAATCTTGTGCGTCTCGCGCCTTGTTCTGGTTCCGGTATACTTGGCAGAAAGATCTTCCGCCGAGACAACAAGTGAAGACAGCGCCCAGCCAAAGAGCATGACGACAATGTAGGCAATGTAGGTGGAGTCGGTGACCGTGCCAGACTTGGAATGAAAGTTGAGGCCAAAGCTGGCCAGAGAGCCAATGGCCCCTCCGAGGTTGAAGATGACCCAGAACAGGCCAATGGCGCGACCTCGAGTACGGTCCGTGGTGTAGGAGACCATGACTGTTCCCTGCGCGACCCAGAAGAAGGCGGCACCGATGCCGAGCAGGGCCCCAGACGCAATGACAAAGGGCCCGTTCTTGGTCCTGTTGAAGTTGAGGAGCGAGCCGGCGTACAGGGCGTAGGTCCAGCCTCCCAGGATCAGCGACGTGCGGGGGCCGAGATAACGGTAGAACGTGCCCACGAGGGGCAGAGCAACGGCGGCGGTGCAGGCGTGCGTGGCGACGTTGGAGTTGGCGGCGACGGTCCCGTTGACCTGGCCGGACCCCCCCATGCCGGTCAGCGCATTGTACATGCCCGGGTTGCAAAAGGCGATGAGCGAGACAATGGCGATTTGCGTCCAGGGATCACGAAGGAAGGAGCTGATGCCCCGTCGCTTCGGGGGGACAATGTCACTTTGAGAGTTGGTCGTCGACATGATTGCCTGAGTATGAGAGTGTAGTTGAGGAGAAGGATGCGTAGATATGACAGAGCGATGAAGGAGCTGAACGGGCCTTTATATGTGGGATGATTTTGGTATGAAGCTGCAATTTGATGGCTGATGTCAAGCGATTCAATAATGATGGCGTGCTTGGCTAAAACGAGGCGTCGGTTTGGCAGCGGCGCCGCGTTCCGACATGTAATTTACTATGGTGGAGATGAGGCGTACAACATGTCACCGAGTTCAATGTAGTTACTTGCCAACATGAAGGAGTAGCACATCAGTGCAGAGAATAGGACGAGATAAGGAAGTTGATGAAAATGAAAAAAGAGTCGCTTAAAATAAGCATAGAGGAGAGACCTGGGGTAAAGATAGATCAACAGTAGATTTGACGAGTCTTACCATGCATGATGGGATGGGTAGGCGGCAGTGGGTTTGCAATGCCGACACGGGGCCGGATCGCGGCCGGATCGCGGGGCCGTGATCCGACGCCTCTCCGGCGGGTTGAACAGGTGAGCACAAATGACATTTTCAAAGCCATTAAATACGCAATCCAGCTGAAAAAACTCTTTTCCTAGTAAGATACATCTTTCAAGACTTCTGACATTTCATCATTGCACAGCATGGAGGAACCAGGACACGACCAAATGCCCACCCTCGGCACTCTCCAAACAGAGGCCATCGGCCACCTGGCTCAAGACATGGACACCCTGAGCACCCTCGGCCTCTGCCAGGCCTTTCACCGCGAAGAAAGCCAGGTGCCGTCCGCGATCGCGCCATGCCTGCCCACCATTGCCCTGCTCATCGACGCCATGCTGCCGCGCCTGCGCGCCGGCGGCCGCCTGCTGTACGTCGGCGCGGGCAACAGCGGGCGCATCGCGCACATGGACTGCGCCGAGCTGCACGTCACCTTTTCCATGTCGTCGGAGCAGTGTCAGGCGCTCGTCGCTGGCGGGCCGCGCGCTGTGCTCGCGGCGGTGGAAGGCGCCGAGGACAGCCGCGGCGACGGCGAGGCGCAGATGAAGGCGCTGCGGCCAACGGCGCGGGACACCGTCATCGGCGTGGCGGCGTCGGGGAGGACGCCGTTTGTGCTCGGCGCGCTGCAGAGCGCGCTGCGGGCGGGCGCGCTCACGGCCGCGGTCACGAGCGCGCGGCCGGCGGCCGTGGAGCGTCTCGGCGTCGGGTTCTGCATCGCGGCGCTCGCGGGACCAGAGTTTGTGGCGGGCAGCACGCGCCTAAAGGCGGGCAGCTGCGCGAAGCAGATCCTCAACATGGTGAGCACGTGCGCCATGGTTCGGCTGGGCAAGACGTACCGCGGGCTCATGGTGGACGTGCGCGTGCACAATGAGAAGCTGCGTGTGCGAGGGAGGAGGATCGTGCGCCAGGTTTGCCAGGGAAAGGATCTGCACCAGACCACGGCGGCGCTGCTCGACCTTGGTCCTCAAGTCGAGCTGGATGATGTTGCTGATGCCCTCATTGTCCGTTGCGGAGGCAGTGTCAAGCTTGCCTGTGCCGTGGGCTTATCTGGCCTGGACCTGCCCGACGCAGAACGCAGGCTTCAGGATGCGCATGACTGCCTACCTGATTTCGTCTTGCTGCTGGAAAACGGTCCTCAGATGGCAGAACGTGGGCATCAGGAGAAGCAGCCACCTCTGTTCCTCGCCATCGACGGCGGCGGCACGAAATGCGCAGTGTCCATCGCCACGGCGCACGGCGTCGTCGTCGCCCGCGCCACCACCGGGCCGTGCAACCCGCTCTCGGCATCCTTCCTGGACGTCGTGGCGCAGATCCAGACCGCCGTGTCCCAAGCCGTCGCCGCGCTCCCCACCGCCAGCATGCCCACCTTTAGCCGCGTTTGGGCCGGCCTCGCCGGCTTCCACCACATGCGGGAGCAGGCGGCCGCCCTTTCCCAGGCGCTGGAGCGACTATTTGGTGGCGTGGGATGCCGCGTGCGGCTGTCGTGCGACACGTCCCTGCTGTCCTGCTGCCTGGACGAAGACGCGGAGACGGAAGCGGGCATCGCGCTGGTCGCCGGAACGGGCTCCGTCGCCGTCGCGTTCCGCCGGACGGCGTCGGGCGAGGTCGTGCAGGCGGGGAGGACGGGGGGCTGGGGACACTTGGTGGGGGACCAGGGCAGCGCCTTTGCCATTGGAAGGCGGGCGCTGCAGGCCATCCTGAGCCGGCGGGAGCGGCACATCGGCCGCGACGCCGGGGCGGACGCGGAAACGACGCTCGAGGCGGATGTGCTGCGCCATCTCCGCTGCGAGGATGCGGCGGACCTGTTGTCGACCGTTCTCTCGCCGGCGGGAGGGTCTGTTCCGAGACTGGTGATGGGAAGCGTGGCGCGCGTCGTCACGCAGGCCGCGTTCCGATCCGAGGAGGCGAGCGTGGAGGCCTTGGGGATTCTGGACGAGGCGGCCGAGCACCTCGTCGCGCTCGTGGAGCCGCTGGTGCGTCCCGGGCTCGCAGAGCCCGGCAAGACCGTCTTGATTCTGTCCGGTGCACTGATGGGCGTGGACGGGTATCGAGACATGGTGCTACAGAAGTGCCGTGAAAGGGGCTTCCAGTTTCGAAAGATCAAGGTCATCACAGACGCTTCAGGGAATGCAGCCAGTCATCTTTCAAAATTGCCGAGAGAAGAACAATGCACAAATGGGAGCACTTTTCTATAGCGTCCCATCTTGTTTTACAGTCCAATCAGTATCAGCTATCTCGCATTTCAATCTTGTTAATCATTCCTTACTAGATCGAAAGAGGTGTATAAAATACTAACATATAGGTACTCTCTCAACTTGAACTTGTGAGGGAAGATGCCTGTATCATTGATTTCTTACAATAATTATTGTACTCAATCTAAAAATCATGACAACGAGGCTACAAGCCGGTGTGACTCAGGTCTTGGTTTCGTTATGGGCGTTACAGCGTAGTACGGCTGCTTCCGGCGGACTCTGGAAACAGATAATGGAACCAGGACTTCGTCCGCAAACGCCATATGCGGCAGGTGGCCGTGTAAGGCCTTCATTGTCAACCTATAGCATGGGTAACTAGAGGAACGACGGCCTCAACCTCGACAGCGACCGCCTCACAGACGATACTGAACGGCATCGACCACACCATGTTATTTCAGTATAGGATACACCGTTGCCAGGTGGTTTGTTGCCTAGCAGCATCAGCAATCCTCCCCGGATACATATTATTACAGATCGATGGCGCCGCCAGAGCGACAGCCCCGTCAGCCACCAGCATTCCAGAGCCGGGCACAAAGCGACCGGCTCAATACATCGGGAAAACGAACGGCTGAGGCACTAGTTAGATGACAGCTCTCAAGACTTCGACTGCTTCAGTTCTGGAGGCTCATTTTGATCCTGGCCGGTTTAGTCGACGTTTTCGGGCCGACTAAGTAGTCATCACTTGCCAACACCGGAGGTTATGTTGGCTTCAGTAGTTGTACGGTTGCACGGCTGCTAGCGCTCTTCCGCAACCAGACAGGCCGAGTCTGGAAAAAGACAGGGTAGCAATTTATGTATGTCATAAAGGGGAAAAAAGGAAACAGAAGCTCATTTCCATCGTAATCGGTCGGGGCTTGCTTCCTAGTTCCGATGCCAGCGGCAGTTGTTGTGGGAGCAAACTCAGCAAGAGGCAGCCCACCAAGACAATGCAGGGTCGACCGAGAAAAGTTAGTTATTTCGGTTATCATGAATGGAGCCGAGAGCCCAGTGGTCGAGATATGGCGGTTCATCGCGCGACGACTAGCTAGTTAGTTCCACAATGTCGAAGAAATTCCGGGCATGGCAGGATCCGTCATGGCAAATGGCAAGGTCGTTTTCATGTCTCATATCCCGGTGAGCAGATAGGGCTAGAAGTGGATGCCGCGGATTAGTACCAGCATGTAAGTGAATCACGGTCATTCTCTTTCGCAGACTCTCATCTCAAGGCGCTACCCGGAACCCCCACGAGAGATTCATTCAACATTGCGCATATCCCCACAGTGATTGCGGAGAGCCATCTCCCGCCGCACCCTTGTCGAGCTGGAGGAGGCCCAGCTGGGTGGCCACTCGTGCAATTTATACTTTTCGCCTAGAAGACGCATGTCCTTCCCTTTGTTCGCTTCCCTCACTATTGAGCGCGGAAGCGAGAAGAAGCTTCCTGAGTTGCTAGTTTATTAGCACACAGCATCCTCGTGTCTGTCTTCCTTGACCATGCTAAACTCTGGTAAAACCGCCATAGCAGCGTCGAGCAATGGGTTCCCAAAGGAGCAAGTATCAGAGGTGTCGATACGGGGGGGCTTTTCGCTAGCGTGCCGCTAAATGCCATCATGCTGCATGGTCTGCGAGGGCTGCATACGAGATGGCTTCGGGTGGACCGGGAAGCCGGCGTCGTATGGTGTATGCGTGGCTGCGATGATTGGTTGCAGACTATGCAGGCTTTGGGCTGCAGATGGAGCAATGCTATGATTGTTGCATGGGGTGAATCTCTGATTTCGAACCTGCTGCGGAACCCTTCCTATCACTTTGCTGGGCTGATTTTGGCGTAGCACCGCATTTTGTTGATGCGAGGGCTGCGCCTTGGCTGGATCGGAGCCTGATGCTATGTATTACAGTCTGTAACTAGACCAATGGATGAATGACGGCAAACCGCGATGCTGTTGTCGGCCCAAGCACACACGGCAGCCGCCGTATTAATGCTCCGTCAGTCCAAACAAGTTGTACACGGCCTTGGCTATTCGTACGGATTCGAATAGAATGCCGTCACGGGACTACCCATGTCGTGGCAGGTAGATGGCCAATATACTTGGTGGTCTTTGCGCAAGTACAAAGTACGAAGTATCAGATGGTCGCTAATGCCTGTCGGGCTGTCAAGCTGTCATGACACGACCCTGCCGGTTGAGGCTAATAATGACGCTCGCAGGAGCTGGCTGACGGGCTGTGTGTGTGATGTGTGCGTCCAGGACTTGGGCGGCGAGGCGTGAGTGACGGGCTGTCCATTATTTTGCTTCTTTTCACCTGTTTGGTCGTTGTTGGACAGCCTCAAGTAGCTGTTGCAGACGACAAACGCAACAGAGGCAGTCTCTACCTGTAGGTGGAGGTGGACAGCCCAAGTGGGTTGCCTCAACTTGTCGCCCAGATCTGGGCCACCACTGGATTACGTATGTACGTACCCAAGCCCCTGGTAATACCTTGCCTGACACCTAACCCTGGCAGCAAGACAAGTCACATTCAAAGCGCCCGATTGACGACGTGGTTTTCTAGTTAATTTGATGCTGGATGATACGGAAATTATATCAAGTACAAGAACAATACAACACTAAAAAGCGTGAGATATGAGCCGTACCTGGTTACTCCGTGCCAGATAACTAAAAAGAAAAAAAAAGAAAAAAAGGCAGACAGACCCTCGGGCCTCTGCTGAGCCGCTGACGTATTCTTGGCCGTCGAGTAGCACCGCAGCAGTGTTGATAGGTTAATTAGAGGTACCTGTAGCCATCCCGGCCGCTAAAAACCTGCCGTAACCGTAACCGCCGAAGCAAACCCCCCCCCCCCCACCACCCCTGCCTGGCCGACGTTTGCGGCCAGCTGCCAGCCAACAGCGGACAGCCCGCCAGTGGCAGCCACCAGCAGACAGCAGACACACCCCTCACACCACCTTGACAGGCACATACATCATCAACTCATCAGGCACCTGCAATTCCCTGCCAACAACAAAAAGCCCGCTCCAAACCTCCATCGCAAACATCACCATTGCCGACTTTGCCTTTCATCCACCATTCTTATCCACCTCCCATCTACGCCAGACCATCACATCTCCACCTCGGCCCGCCCGTCTTTCGTCACTCTTTGTCGCTTTAGTCCTGATCCCGCGCGCTACTGCTATTGCTTCCTTCCCCTTGGCCCTAGCCTCGTTCGACTGGCCCAGCTTTTCGCTCCTCCTTCTCGCCATCATCTTGCTCGCTCCCTCCCACACTCCTCCTAGCTTCACACGCCGCCCTGCACTAACTAGTCGCTTCTTTCAACTTCGGCCAGTCTTGGCCCGGCACAGAATAGCCTCGCTCAGGCCGCACTGCCGCACCCAGTTGCAGCCCACCAAGCTCCAGTCTCCAGAGCTCGCTAGCTTGTCGATTTGGCATCAACTGCCAATTGGCCTCCAAGCCTCGTCCTCGAGTTCCCTCCTCCCCAAACCTTGCTTGCTGCCATAACTACTAGCCCCCAAACTTTGCCATCTGTTTTGTCTTGCTCTTTTTTATTTGCCCATTTGGTGACCCTTTTTTCTCTAGCTCGCCGCTCGCTAGCTATTCCATCTGCTATCCTGCTATCCTGCTATTCTGCTTGTCTGCATTCTCACTGCTCCATCCTCTGCTTCATCTTCTGCTTTCGCCAGTCCCCGTGCACTGCTGCTTGCCTGACTTGCTCCTCTCTTACTCGCTTCTGCGTTCGTTGGCCAGCTTGGACAATTCTTCGACGTGCCTGCCAGCTTTGCCGCTTCGAAATTGCCTGCCCAGGCGCAACCCGACTTCTCACTGCTCAGTCCCACGACATTGCACTCGCCCGAGACAAACGCACCTGTCGGCGCCATCGCAAAATCCCGCACCATCTGGTACACAATATCATCATCTTAATATACAATTGATCGAGGCGGAAAACTGTCTCGCCTGACTTGACCTCGCTGTTCTACCTGAACCTCACACGTTCTCGCCCGCCTGCCGCGCCGGCATGACCGCTTAATACGGGCTGGACACACTTGCGGCACCCGATATCCTTCTCTTCGCCTCGTCTTACGACATTCAACCCACAGCCAATTGGCTCCCATCACAATCATGAGTCTCGACCGCTGGAGGCGCCGAGGCTCCATCCCCAGCAATTCCGATAAGCCTCCTTCGCCCTCCTTGTCCCCTCAAGACTTGGACAATGCGCCTGGCAAGAAACCTCGTGTGCTTACAAAAGCCCTGCGCTCCCTCAGCAACTCGTCCATCGATTCCATGCCTGCCTTGCCCTCGCGAAGCTCCAATTCACAACGCCGCCTGCAAAAGACAACCTCAGGTTCTGGCTCCATGATCGAACGATTCCACCGTCGAGTCTCCCGCGATTCTACCGCCAATCCGCCGGCTGATCCTTGCCCGAGCCCTCCTCTAGACTCATCTCACTCCTCTATGCCAATTATCAAGCGCGGCTGGTTGAAACAGGATTCATCTAGTCGCAAAGCCCGCTCCGGCTACATTGTCCTCACCGACCAGTGCCTTTCCAGGTTTGCAAGCTTCGAGGCTGCCCGTCTCACATATCCACAGCTTGCCGCTCAGGAAGAGCCATTTATTGGTAGATCGGCCTCTTCTGCTTCCCTCTCTGGCAAGGCCAGCACTGCTGCCGAACATCGCCTCGAGATTCCTCTTACCGCGGTCGTGACCATCTTCACTGAAACCAACACCGAGCATGCTGTTGACGTGTACTGGTCATCGCCTGCCCCCAGACTAGCCTACCTGCGTACGCAGCTGTCTTTCAGCACGGCTAGAGAGAGGGACGAGTGGCTCACCTTCTTGCATCGCGCCTGCAGACAGAAGATGCGCCAGAGCCCTCAGCCGGATATCATCCTGGAGAATGTTCGAGAGAAGATTCACCAGACTGTCCGCGACAAAGAGACAGTCGGGGATGAATCCAAGATAATCATTTTTCCTGTCGTGAGCCGTGTCACTTCCTCGTCCAAAGCCGCGGGCGATGACACCATCTATTCCACCGACGGCGGCCCTTCTAGTTATCTCGTCATTGGCCCTCTTCTGTGTTATCTTATCGAGATCCTCAAATCCGATCACGCTACACCTTCTTGTGACCTCGTGGCAAAGGTACAATCTTTCGGCACGGTTACGCTCAGTAAATTCCAGGCCTCCGTTTTAACTCCTGAGCAAACCTTTGTCATGTGCTTTCGAGTTCCTTTTGGAAACGAAACCCGTCTCGCACTAGCCAGTCTTCACTACCGTCGCATCATCGAGAGCATGATAAAAATGGACAGAATCTTGAAGCCCACCTGGCCCCAACATCTTCAACAAGCCATCTTTGACATTCGTGGTCTCTCTCCTCCTTTACAACTCACATCTGGCAATGACTTGGGTGGGTTTGATATCAGCTTGCCCGCTTACTGTGCAGCCTTTAATGTTTCCATACCAAACTGGCGTATCGACTGGAACACACCATCACAGCCTTGTTTTTGCCTTCTGCCGTCCCATGACAGCTATTCTCCCCTTCAACTTCTAGCTGTCTTCAGGGCTCTGCGATACAATGGCTTCTTCAAGGCAGTCTCTTTCGCAAATGTCGACCTTACACCGTTGGCTGTTTACCAGGATCCTTCACAATCTGGAAACTTCATCGTTTATGCGTCGGCTAACCGTGTCCGCGTGCCCGACGATCTCTTGGTCATCATGTCGCAGTCATCTGTTCTCGCACAAGAAATCCACTCGCTGCTTTTTGCCTCGGATTCTTTTCGATCCATCAATTTATGTAATGTTCTCGGCTTATTCGATCCCAAGAAGGGTCGCCGCCGCAGACCTGCCAATGTCAAGAAGGTTGAAGCTATGACGGCCGGGTTGGTCCGTCCGATCACGGAACTGCTCAAACGACAGCTGTCCCACTGTCATAGCATTGTTCTCTCCCACAATCTGATTTCTACTGAAGATGCTGAGGAATTACGCGACACCCTGAACCTCCATCATGTCCGCATTCGACGACTTGAGCTTGCCGAGTGCGGCCTTTGCGAATTTGGCTTATCCGACATTTGGACGGCACTGGACCGCCAGGCAGAGACTTTGGAGATACTAGACTTGTCCAACAACCCGGCAGTTGTTCGCTTTGAAATTATCTGCAATGCTCTCAGCCACCTCAAAGGCATAACTAAGCTCTGCATCGCTCGGAATGTGCGACTGGCGACGGAACTTTCACTCTTCGACGATGACGCTCTAGCCACTTGGCAGCTTCAGGAACTAGACTTATCTGGTATTATCATTAATGATGCCACCATTGAAAGTCTCGCCAACTATCTGTCTGCCAGTGGCTCGCAATCTCTTCGGAAACTGTATCTCAATTCCTGCGGGCTCAACGGATCTCAAGTCGCTCGGCTTTTTCGCAGCATGGGGCCGAGCCGCGAGATGGAAGTTTACCTGGACTCGAATCGCCTAGATGACGGCATCGCGGATTTGTGCGATGCCATTGGTGCCGGGCTAGGTCCGTGGTGTCTGTTTCTACAAATGATAGATTTCGCCCGCGAGGAAAGTTATGTCAAGCTGCTTCGGGCGCTGGCACTAAACACCTCCATCCAATGTCTGAGCTTGGCTGGCACTTCAACCCCAGATGCCGCGAGCGAAACTGCCTGTCAAGCTGTTTTCGACTTCTTATCAAAGAACACGTCGGTTCGCTACTTGGACATGTCTGGTTTCGATTCCAAACTCGATGAGGGCAGGCTAGGGAGAGGATTTTCACGAGCGCTCGGTGGAATCCGCCACAACACGCGGATTGAGCACCTTCGGGTCCGCAGTCAAATGCTCAACATCAACATGGGTGATTTTGCAGGAGCTCTCGCCGTGAACAAAGCCCTGCAAACTGTCGATTGCTCATTAAACGACTTGTCATTGTCCAACCTGCGGTTCCTCATCAAGAACCTCGAGGGCAACCCGTCGATACGTAACTTTTCTGCGTTTACAAGTCAGGAACTTGCTCGTTCGATGAACAAGTCTATTCGCGATGCGACAACCCCAGTCGCTGTCAAACGGCCGTCTGTCATGTCACGATTTAGGCCTGAGAGGAGCAGCCAGCCCCCACAGGACGCAGCCCTGATTCAGGAGCTCAAGGGTGAATGGGAGCATGCTATTACTTGCTTGCAGAGCATCACGGACGAGAACCTGCGAAACCATGTCGACGTGGTAACGTCGGATACCGCATTAACAAGCCAGGCCTCTGTTGAGGGTGACAGTGTGTTTGCAACGGCCTTTGGTGGTCTTGCTGTAGAGGACTACGAAGGGCTCAAGAGAGTCTCAAGACGCAGCGCCGACGCATCGCAGCGCATGAGTCTGCATGCTCGCACCAACTCTAGCAGATCTACGGCTGGACGGCCCGACTCAGTTGATTCGAGCGAAGTCGCTGCCAGCCCCAATAGCGATATCGCTGTGAGCCCCAATAGCGAAGCCGGCAGCAGCGAGTCTGGTGCTGCAACACCACTCGACGTTGACTACGGAGTCGAGGCTGAGCCAAAGCTGCGAAGCGCCCAGGAGCAGTGGACTGTTTATGGGGACAGTCCTGAACTAAGTTGTGCTTGTGGCGATGGTCAAGATGCGGATGTCGGGCTCCAGATGAAGCGCTACCGACGATTTCAAGGAGACCCGACAGACCGGATCGAGGAAGAGGACCAGGCGAATGAAGCAGAAAATGGCTCGCTGTAAGCCATTCTGCAACGGGAGTTGGACCGAGAAGGCTCTGTACAATGATGTTATCCTTAGTTTCTGTACAAGGTGTTTGGCGAAGGGAGTCTTTGGATTCTTGGAACATTTTTATCCCATAGGAGGACTCTTTCTTTTTTCTTTTTTCACAGCCTGCTTGCTTTTGTTGTGAGAGAAAGCCGATACCCTAGTAGTGCTTTAATGGCGAATGAGTAATACCCAAGAAGAGATTTGTATTCTATTAACTACGGGCAACCGAAATGTGCATGTAATAGACTTTACCCGAGCAAAAACCAAGGCTGATGTGAGGCGCGATGCATGGTACGTACCTTTTGATGCTTCTCCAGGCTGCGGCTCAGGTGGCTCAGGTGTGTCAGCAACATCAGCAACGCCACACAGCTAAGCCACTGCGTCTCGGTAGCCTTCGTCATCTACCTCGCTACACCACACTGTCTTTTCCACCTTGGCTGTCGATTTGCTCTCGCTCCCCGCAGGCCTGCCTTTTCATGCCTCGCAGCGACACAGAGCCCACCCCCTTCATCCATCTCCAACTGATCTATTTTCAATTTCGCTTTTGTCGACGCAGCGCCAGCCGTGAAAGCCGACGTTCCCCCCCTGGGCTCCATCTACCCCCCAACCCATCCGAGCCGCCGAAACCAACCACCATCCGTGCCTAAGCTCTGCGACAAGATCCTGACGGCCCCGGCCCGCTTATGCCTCTCGGAAACGATCAGCGACCGTGGTAATCAATAAACGCATTCGCAATGTATTCCAATTTCGGACAGCAGCAGCAGCAGCCTGGCACCGGCCAGCAATATGGAGGGGGCTTCAACAACTTGGGCCAGCAGCAACAGCAGCAGCCCAGCCCTTTTGCATCCCAGCCGACTGGCTATGGCCAGCCGCAGCAGCAGCAGTTCACCGGATACCCCATGCAGACCCAGCCGACCGGTATGCCGCAGCAGTCGCAGTCACAGCCGCTCCAGCAGCAGTACACGGGCTACCCCTCGCAAGGCTTCAACACGGGCGCCGCACCGCCGCCGCTGCCTTCGATACCGAGCCAATACCAGTCGCAGTTTCTGCAACAGCAAGCGCAGCCGCCGCAGCAGAACTTCCAGCCTGCGCACGCCACGGGCTTCTCCGCATCACCGCAGCAGACTGCTGGACCTACGCAGCCGCCGCCCGCTTCTGTGAAACCCCAGGCTACTGGATTCAGCCAGATGGCTGCTTCGTTCAACATGGGGGGTGGATCCTCCCATCCGCAGGATACTCGGCCGGTCAAGACGAACAAAATTCCCAACATACGACTGTCGTTTATCACCGCCAAGGACCAGGGACAGTTTGAAACTCTTTTCAAATCGGCTGTGGGTGAGGGCTCCAGCACCATGTCTGGCGAGCGCGCACGCGATCTGCTTCTTCGCTCGAAGCTCGACGGTGACTCGCTCTCTCATATATGGACGCTGTCGGATACCACGAGGGCTGGGGAGCTGTACTTTCCCGAGTTTGCTCTGGCCATGTACCTCTGCAATCTGAGACTCTCTGGTAAGACACTGCCCCAGATGCTGCCCGAAAATGTCAGAAACGAAGTCTCGAGCATGGTCGACATTATTGGTTTCAGCGTTGTTGACGAGTCTGGGGGCTCTTCTCTCGCTGCGACCAATAAGCCGGATTTCCAGTCCAACAGCCAGACCGCCGCCCAGCAATCCCAGCCTCAGGCGTCCAACTCTCAGATTCTGCAGTCGCAAATGACAGGCTTCCCGACTCAGCAGACTGGCTTTGGCAACATCCAAAGCATGCAACCACACGCGACTGGCTTCCCTGGTGTGCAGAACCCCCAACCGACAGGTTATGCCGGCCCCAGGCCACCAATGCCGCCTATGCCTACGGGCTACAACCAAAGCGGCATGTCTATGCCTTTGAATGCGCAGCCAACCGGTGCACCAGGCCAGTGGGGTCTTGTTAACGCTCCATTGTCTGGGTTACCTAATATTGATGCTTTGCAGGCGCAAATGATGCCTCAGCAGGGCCGCGAGGGTGGTACATTTACCACTCAAGGGCTTCAGGGCAATGCCGTCATCCCGTGGGCTATTACCAAGGAAGAGAAGACACGATACGATACTCTTTTCCGAGCATGGGACGGTTTTGGCAAAGGGCACATTCTGGGCAGTCAGGCTATTGAGATTTTTGGCCAAAGCGGTCTCGAGAAGCCCGATCTGGAGCGTGTCTGGACGCTGGCCGACCATGGCAACAAGGGTCGTCTGGATCTGGACGAATTCGCTGTCGCCATGCATTTGATTTACAGAAAGCTGAACGGCTACCCCATTCCCAGTAACCTGCCTCCCGAGCTCGTTCCGCCCTCTACGCGCAACTTTAGCCGATCGATTGGCACGCTCAAGAATATGCTGCATCAGGAGTCCAACTTCCGCAAGGACTCTGGCGCTGCTTTGCTGCCGCAAAAGACTGGCGTTAGCTACATGAAGAACCGCTCGCTGCGTGGAAACAACTCTCCCACTACTGCTGGCCGCAAAGATGCCACCGTATTCCGAAATGACGATGAGAGCTTTGGTTACAAGTCTAGTGCTCGCCGTAGGGTTGGCAACAACGCTGGGGAGCGCTCTGAATCGCCCTCGTCTGTTGGCTCCAACGATGAGCTGAGTCTGGAACAGCTCCGAAAGAAGATCAAGGAGAAGGAGGTCCTTCTCGATGCCATGGACTTCCAAGATGAGAAGAACATGGAAGAGGACGATATTCTTGACAGACGCGATCGCCGCGAATCGGAGGAGTTGTACCGCCGTATCCGTCGTATCCAGGGAGACATTGATGCTCATCCCAATGCGTCTTTGGCGGGCGGCGACTCTGATGCTGAGAAACGCGCTCTGAAGCGTCAACTCCAGAACCTTCTTGACAAAGTGCCTGACCTGGCTTCGCAGGTTCGCAGGACTGAAAAGGCCATCATGGATGCCAGACTTGAACTTTTCCGTCTCAAGGACGCCAAAGCGAACCCTGGTAGTGCTTCGAGCATTGTTGGAACTGGCCCCGGTGGCATTGTCACCGAATCCGATAGACTGAAGGCACGAGCCAAGGCCATGATGCAGCAGCGTACAGCTGCCCTGACTGGCAAGAAAGTTGACGTCCCGCTCACTGATGACTCTGCCTCCAAGCGGCTAGAGGAAGAGAACATCAAGGTGAAGAATGAGAAGGAAAGCAACGAGAGAATGGTCCGTGATGTCGAAGAAAGCGTTGGCGAATTTGCCCGCGGCATTGAAGATAACCTCAAAGACGGTGCCCGCGACAAGAGTAACGAGCACGAGAAGCGCCGGTGGGAGGATGCACTGGGCGTCGAGGATGAAGTTCGCGATTTTATCTTCGATCTCCAGCGCGAGAGCCGTTCTTCCCGCGTTCGGTCCCAGGACAAGCGCACCACTCGAACCACGGCGGCTGAGCAGCCACGTCAGGAGCGTGCTGCTCCCGCCCCTACTCGAGTTGAATCCCCGGCATCAGCTTCACGAACCTCTACACCCCCCGCTGCTGGTGGTTCCTACGCTGCTTACAAAACACCTGAGGAGCGTTCCGCCTTCATTCGGCAGCAGGCGGAGCAGCGCATGGCTGAGCGTCTTGCTGCTCTTGGTATCAAAGCTCCTTCCAAGCCGGGCGAGAGCGCGGCACAGCGCATTGAACGCGAAAAGGCGGAGCGAGCAGCCAAGCTCAAGCAAGCCGAAGAGGAGGATTCGCGCCGAGAGTCCGAACGTCGTGCTCGGTTGGCAGACGAGCAAGGCGTGCCCCCTCCAACTGCTGCAGAGACGCCTAAGCCCGCGCCCCCTCCTCCTCGAAAGGCACCCAAGGCCGATGTTGTTGAGACCCAGGCAGCGGAAGAGAAGCTTGTCGAACAACATCAACAGCAGCAGCAGGAAGCTAGAGACATGCAGTATGTACGACCATCAAACAGCTTGAAGTGCAACACTAACAAGGAATTTAGAAACACGGTGAAGGAGGAAGAAGATGACTATGCCAAGGAGCAGCAGGCCACCTCGGCACGCCTCAAGGCCTTGGAGGAGCAGGTGAAGCAGGGCAAGCTACGCAAGGAAGAGGAGAAGAAGAGGAAGAAGGCTGCTCTGGCCGAGGCCAAAGAGAAGGAGACTAAGCTGGCTGCCCGACGAGCAGAGGCGGAAGCTGCAAAGCAGAAGGAGCTGGAGCTGCAGCGCCAGTTGGAGGCCATGGACGGTGACTCTTCGTCAGACGATGAGGATGGCCCGGAGCAAATTACGCCCTTGGAGTCTTCCACGCGCAGCCTGGACGAGGAGCCCAAATCTGCACCACCCCCACCTCCTGTGCCGGTCACCTCACCGCCGCCGACGATAGTGACGTCGCCCCCCGCCGAGAGGGAGAGCAAGAACCCATACAAGAAGATGATGTCGCACCCGTCCGAGGCCACGTCTCCTGCGACCACGTCGCCCGAGGCCGCTCCTGCGGCCGCCGTCGCCGTCGCCCCTCCCGTGCCCAAAGCTGCCACACCACAGGCCGATGCTTCGACGAACCCCTTTCACCGCATGACCCAGCAGGGCGGTGGTGCTGCTGCCGTTCCACCTCCTTCGCAGGCTCCCATCTCGCGCAAGAGAGCCGACGACTCGGACGACTGGGGCTCGGACAGGGACGAGGACGAGGACGACTCGGAGGACGAGCGCCCAGGCGGTGGCAACGCGGCCCAGCTGGCGTCGATCCTGTTTGGCACCATGGCACCACCGCGGCCGCTTTCTGCGGCCGGCAGGGACTCTAAGCCGGCCAGCCCAGCGCCGGCCAGAGAGGCTCCCATCGCGTCGCCCCCTCCCCCTCCCCCTCCCATGACTTCCTCGGATGCACCTTCTGGTCCGCCTCCGCCTCCTCCTCCTATGCCTGGCAGCAGCGACTTGGGGGCACCCACTGGCGCACCGCCTCCGCCTCCTCCCATGCCTGGCATGGCAGCTCCTCCTCCGCCTCCTCCTCCGGCTGGCGGCGCACCACCGCCTCCACCGCCTCCCAGCGGTGCACCGCCCGCGGCGTCATCAGTTGGTGCCCCCCCGTCGGGGTTCCTGGGCCAGATCCAGGGCGGCTTGAAGTTGAAGAAGACACAGACCAAGGAGAGCTCTGGATCAACAGTCGGGAAGGTTCTTTAGGTGCGCGGAGTGGTAAGATGGAAGGACTAGTGGACTATTCTTATTTTTTTTTTATTCGTGTTCGTTTACTTAGTATTAGTGTACTTGTTGACGGGGAAGGTCTCCCGCGAAGAGCGTGGGGAAGAAGGATTGAAGAAAGATTTGCATCTATAACTAGTGGAATCTCATTTTTAATTGACGATTTCTTCGGGTATCTAATTTGTATGGATTGTCAACAAATACGAGCTTAAAACGATTCACAATGGGATTGTTTAGAGGCGAATTGGGAGGGAGCCTCTTGGACGTTCCCTCGCTGGCTAATGCAAGGTTTCCTTGGTGACGGCAACTACAAGACGGCCCGATATACGCAGGGATGACAGAGCCGCTATTCCACGCTTGTGGTCGGCTTCACATCTCTGTAGGGAGAATAGGAGACCAGAACAAAAAAGCAGATGACAGTGGTGGCGTCAAGGTACAATGAAGATGCAGAACTGCAAGGGCGGAAGTGGCGTCAAGGGAGCAAAGCCTACCTGTGCGTCCAAGTTGAAATGAATGTGAACAAAAGCTGTTCTTTTTTACATTCTTGTTTGCTTGCTTCTGTTGAATCAAAAAAAGACTTCCGGCTTTAATAAGGTAATACAAGAAAGATAGGAGATGAAGAGCAGCAGGGGGGGCGTATGCATGGTTTGGCCAGAGCGCTTCTGGAGCCATATAAGCTAATAGAGAGGGTTAAAAAAATAGGAGAGTTGGGCAGCAAGTGTCATTTTAATAGACCCTCCTTGATGCGTTGGCAAAAAAATGCACGGTGATGATGGATGACGCCCCTTGTGACCTGGAATTGCGTCTGAACATGGGCTTGGATCTGGAAGTGACGGGGCCTAGCTCATTGGTTGGCCTCTGCTGGGCTGGCCGGTATTTACTGCGACCACCCGTGAACCTGGGCTGACCAGACCAGACCAAGACGAGGCGACATAACAACGTGTTCGTTGGAACAAAAGCAGGTTGCTTTTTCTGGGTGGGAAAAAGAGAGTTGCACAGATCGCTGGTGAACCTGAACGCCTTGCCGAGGGGGACAAAGGGCCATGCGGGAACCTAGCACAGCGTGACTCCTAGGTCATACGCAAGATGGGTTCGGAGTTTGATTAAACAAGTCGATGTTTCAATTTCGACATGATGGGTTTGCGAGGGCAAGGGCGGGAGGTCGTCTTATTCTGTTTGCTCTTCGTTATCATGGTACCGCGGCAGGGCGGTGCAAAATTACGGCGGAGAGGGGAGCGGTGTCACCGGCGGCTCCGTGGGCGCAGCGGCGTCTGACCGGGATCAAGGGCAGGCAAGTTCACGGTTTCAGTTTGGGATCTCGGTGCCTAGATATTAGATATTGATGTACGGGGGGATTGGGCCATGACCCCCTCTTTGCTTCTTGGCATTGGTAGTTTCCAGAATGGAAATATCAAATATCCTGGAAGAAACACCGTAAAATACCTGGTCAAATTGTATGGAATTCCTTTTTAGCTGACTCGAGCAGCAAGCACTGGCCAGGCCGGGGAAAGCTATGAGAGCTAGCTATAACAAAGTATTACCGACAAGCTTAAAAAAAAAAAAAAGCTCCGAGATTGGAGCAGTTTATGCAAGCTCTTGGCTTTTTGAAACTCGAAGCTGAAAAGCTCGAACCGCCTTGCCGCCCAATTGGAACAGCGGCGTTCTTATGCATGCATGCTGATAGCTTAAAATTCGAATATAGTAGGACCGGGCTGTTTTACGAAACACGAAGCGCATTGACAGGTTGACAGGATACGCGCTTTGCTCCCGGGGGGGGGGGGGGGGTGTGAGCCTGTGAGGGCAGAAGCCAACCAACGCCAGTTACTGATCTGATGGGATTTTACTGATTTAGACGGTGAAACATTGAATTGTCTAGTAATTCCTTTTTTTTGGCTATTTTTTCCTTCTTGAGTCAAAAGGTTGGCTCAAGTTCCAGACTCGATCGGGTCCGATGGCGGCCGGCCGCTGGGGGTGTGACGCCTTGTCTCCTCCCCCTTGAAGAGGAGCCCGCTGTTCCATTCCAGCAGGCCGGGACGGCGAGGATGGAATGCCGGCGTGCGGAGAAGACTTTGCTTTCTGACAAAAAGAAAAGAAAAGAGGAGAGGGTGCCATCCCGGGACCCAACAATTTGTATTAGTTACTTGTACACTTGAAGTCGACTAGCGAGAATCATGACGGCATGGGTTCTGCACATCATACTGGACATGCGTGTAAAAGATAGGTACACGTACATAACTCTAACGAACTAACGTTGGGCGCTCAAAATGTCGTGCTGCAGGAGCCGAGCTAGTTTTGTGGCTTGGGCGGCGTAGGCGAGGGAATTTGTTGGTCATTGGATGGAGAGTTGGATGAGTGGCTTGCGCGGTTTGGATTCTGTCGTGATCAAGTCATGGTGGCAGAATATGTCCATGTGCGGATAACAGGTAGAGCATCTCGAGTTGATAACGGCTCACGGTCAGCAGCCAAGTGTGCGCTGTAACGCGCTACAAAACCGCCAGCCAACCACTGTAACATTTTCCGTGCCAACTTGTGGGCGGCTCTCCACAGCTTCTGATTGGTCACCTTTTCGCGTAAATCAAAACAAACCGACGCGTCTTCCTAGACGCGTCTCCAAAACGGACAAGCTTTTTTTTTTCTCTCAAGATGGTGTGTCAATGGGCAGCTGAACCAGCGCTCGGCATCGAATCAATTCCCGCGCCACGATGGGGTCTGCAGAGTTTCATCCTTTTTGGAGGCCAAGGCATCATCCATCTAACTATCTATCCCTTCCCAGAATCCACTCGTCTTTGCTCGTCCTAGCACATGTTTCTGCCCGTTTGTTCCCTCGAGCCAGCGAGTGTGTGTCAATGTAGTTTATGTATACGTTGATACGTTGTGTGAGATGGAAGTGTGGCAGTGTGCCCCTCCACCCTCGGCAGAAAGGTGCACGTAGATGCCCCCTCTTCTTCGGGTAATTGAGTCGGTCTTGTGATGTCGACGTTTTTTAACCTTTTTTTTCTTCATCTTCCTTGTCGGTGGTCCTGTCATCGATCAGGAGGCGACGTTGAAACAAGAGTGCCGCCGGGGAAGCAGCTAAAAAAAGACGAGCGCACGGCAGTACAAAGGAGATTGTGATACATGTACAACTCGACATAGCCGAGGAACCACACAGGAACCATTGGAAGAAAAATGACACAAAATCCGTTCTCCCGTCGGGGGCCTTGTACGAGGTCGAAGGGGGATAGCTGCGTGTCGCACTGGAAGCTAACTATTAGTTAAGTTAGACTAGTAGCTTCTTACTTGGACTAACTGTCTATGGGGATGTGCCAGCTCGGCTCGTGCAAGTCTCCCATCATTGGCTGCCACCCACCGAATCCGAAACCAGGTTTATCATTCAGTTTTTAAAGTGGCTTCATATCGAGATCGTGAATCCATAACTGGAGCTCCACATGGTGTACCTACTTTTTTTCTTTGCTTTTTCTTCTTGACCTTTGGACGGGATGTAGGTACATACATAGGTACCTAGATATCAGTTGTCTGTCCGTCAGTCAGTGAGAGAGAGTAAGTCCCTGCGCTATGCCCAACGCGCATCATGTTTGTGAGTGCTGGGGGATTGTAGAGAGATAAGTAAAGGGCTTGGACGTAAAACACGAAGGAACGTGGCAAGTGATGGGCGCGTATGAAATCCTGTGCATTCCGAGAACCCCGCTTCGGCCGGCCGTGAACGCGGTTGAGGTTGTTGGAGTGGTCGCAGGCTGGGGTCAGGGCCGGCCAGGCCAGGGCAGCGAGCTCAGCCCCTGCTAGACCAGCTGATGGGCGTCAATGGGGGGGGTCTCGGAGTGGGATGGTGGATGGTTTGCAGGCTCACAGCCCTGCAACCTGCAACTGCATCAGAGGTATCAGAGGTCTATTGGAGCGATTTTGACCATTCTGACCCAGGGACCGGCCTACATACCACTGCAGCCTGCAGCACCAAGACGGGCTTGTCGGAATGACACGCCACACACCACACACCACTGGCCTCGAATGCACAGCACCTCGTTCTTGCGCCTCTTGCGCCTCTTGCTCCTCCTGCTCCTCACCCGTGCATTGAATGCCTTTCAACAAGTGCCTTGTATATCCGTTATAGCTGCAGCTACCTACTTGGCCCACTGCCTACTCGCCCTTCTTCCAGTCCCTCTCCACCCGCACCTCACTGGAGTCTGGAGCCAAGCTGCAAAAGCTCCACTGCTCCAAAAGCCTGCTTGCCTGCCTTGCTTGGTTGGCCGCTGGCCGCCGACATGGCCCTGGGCTCCAGTGCGCTCGACCGCTGTAACCTTGCTTAAAAGTGCACTGGTAGGCCTGCCAGATCAATCTATTCCTGCCCAGCTCTCCTCCTGCAAGCCGCTGCAACTCGCTCCACCCATCATCTACCTCCCCCATCCTCCCTTCTCTTCCACCTACACCCGGCCCCCTCTCCCCTCCTACATCCTTCACTTCTTCCTCACCATTGCTCCCTCATTTCTTCCCTTTTTCCCTCGCCACCGTTTCTGCCGCTTTCAATCTCGACTTTGCTCAATCACCACCTTTTTTTCCGCCCTCATCGACGACCAACACACATCGCACAGCTTGCACAACTCCCACCCCGACGCCGCCCGACGCCCCTGACACGTACATCCCACACCCAGCGCTGCCGACGTGCAACAGGCACGCCTTCATCTACACGTCGGCTCTCCTCCCCGACAAGACCGCGCCCAGATTTCTTTTACACGCGCCCCACAGCTATACAATATCACCCTTGGGTAAGCACGCCTTGCCATGTCCTCTTCTTCTTTTTTTTTTTTTCCTTTGTTCTGGCTTGCTGCCGAGCTGGCGTCATCATCGCCCGTCTCCGACTACCGTGAATGCCCGCAACCGCGTTTGACCGCTAACGTTACAACCCACTACTCTAGCTCAAACACGCCGCGTTTGCTTCCGCGCTACACGCTTAGATACCTCACCCCATTGACCTGGCCGCCATGGCCAAGTCGACGCGTTATTCCGGCCAGGACGAAAATCTTCAAATCTTCCACGACGACATGTTCGAGATCGCACGTCCCATGACCAGCCACGCTCCCATGCCATCCGTCACCCGTCCGCCACGCCGGCCCCTCAGTGCTTCCAGCTCCAACGTCATTCTCGACCCGCCTTCCACGGCCTTGTCCGGCTACTCGCCCTACAAGACGAAATCGTCATCCCCTCGCTCTCCTCTCAAGTCCTCCCAAGGCGCCAGACTCAACATGGTCTCCATGGCCCCTCCAATGGCAAAACGCCACACCACCGACAACCTTCAAAAGCGACCCCAGCTCTCCAAGTTTAAGACAGGCCCCCAAAAACCTACCTTTGACCTTAACTTTGGCAAGGAGAATGTCCATCCTCACATCTATCCCGCCCCTCCCCCAATTACCATTTCCATGGAGAATTACTACCACCAGCAAAGACCCAACGCCAACGGCAAGCGTGGCCTGATGGATGCCGCCCCGATCCGAGACGCCCGCGTCAAGAAGCCAAAGATGGACGACAACGCCTTACCGCCTCACGACTCCTTTCCTCCCCTCTCCGACGACGGCACTAAGCCTCCCCATAGCTACGCCCAGCTCATCGGCATGGCCATTCTCCGATCACCCATGCGTCGTCTCACCCTCGCTCAGATTTACAAGTGGATCAGCGACAACTACTCGTTTTACAACCCCAACGACGCTGGCTGGCAAAACAGCATCCGCCATAACCTGAGCCTGCACAAGAACTTTATCAAGATTGAACGACCCAAGGACGACCCCGGCAAGGGCAACTACTGGGGCATTGAGCCAGGAACCGAACACCAATTCCTCAAGGAGAAGCCTCCCCGAAAGTCGGCACCCTCTGCAGAAAATCTTCCCGTCATGTCGACACGTCTGGAGCCTTCTATGCACACCACCCCGAATCTGAGTTTCCACGAGCCCACTCTGCCACCCCAGGGCGTTCGTCGCCAGTCTGCTCTGCCACCACTGCCTACCTCGCAGGCCACCTTGTCGATGCCCGCCGAGGTTTCCTCCGACGCCACGATTCCCGTCTCTGACTCGGCGGCTCCCGAAGACGTTGCCGACCGCCACGACAACGATCTACCTCACGACGCCATGTACTCGCCACTGCCTGCTACCATGCACTCGTCGCCACCTGTGCCTCGACACGGCGAGCGAACCGGTACCCCGCCTCCCATGACAGGCCAGCCCGCCTCATCCATCACTCGCTCCCACAAGCGCAAGTTTGCCTCGATGGATGACAGTGGCTACATTTCTTCCCTCGAATCTTCTGCCATGCGTCCCAACCAAAAGGCTATGCTCCTAACCTCAGAAGCTGACCGTCCACGTATTAAGCGTGGCCGTGCCGAGGAGGAGATTGCCCGCCTGCGCCACTCGTCCCCCTTTAGCCCGACCAAGTCTCGTTCTCTGTCCGTCTACGGCCCCGTCTCTTCATCTCCCTTGAGACAGGCTGGCGAGGGGCATGCTCTGCTGCCCCTTACCCCCATGGTCAAGATGAAGCCTCCCGCGCGCCCCCCGCCCTCGGCCTCTCCTAATACCAATTTGAGGATTCATCGCGACAAGGTCCGCCACATGCTCCAGTCCCCTCTTCGCCGCGTCATAGGCGTGACCGAAGAGGCTCTGCCCTGGAGTCCGGCATTCAATCTCGACGAAACTCTTTACGCCTTTGATGACCTTCCCAATAACGTCGCCGATTTCGACATTTTCCAAGACATTGCTAGCCTAGACGAAAATAGCTTTCCCGTCATCGGCTCCGCGGATTCTGGCTCTCCAGTTAAACGGTCTGCCAAGCGCGCCCGCCTGGACCGATCGCTTTCTTCGTCTGGTATCGAACAACTGACGGGCTCGATCAAAAAGTCGATTACTTCTGCTCCTCTGCTCCGCGTTCCTGAGCACTCGCCTCTGCATTTCCTCGACACCCCTAGCAAGGTTTTTGAGGGGATGAGCTCTCCTTCCAAGATGTTGCTCGAGTCTCCCACGCGTGCGTCGCCCAGTAAATTCTCCACTGCCATGCTGGAAATGTCTGCCGACGACTCGTGGCCGTCGCTGGTCCTGGATCCCAGCCAGTTCGCTTCGGGCAATGAGAATACAGAATTCAGTGGCCTTGATATTCTGCAAGGCTTCCAAAAGATTGGTGCGGGCTCTCAACCGTCCAAGTCGACGCGCCCTACCAAGCCCGCTTTTGGACGCAGCTACTCGACGGCGTTTTAATGATGTGAGCCTCGTGGAGTCGTGTAATGAATGATGTTGATGAATAATGATACCCGCTGCTTGTTGGCAGTGACGGCTGGTACAAAATAGAGCAGAGGATCCAGGTGATTCTGGCAACCTACTTATTGGCTTCGCAGCCACTCTTTGCTTTTTTATTTGCTTTTTATTTGCTTTATTGCTATTGGCGAGCTATGATTTGGAATCGAAAAGAGGAACATATGTTAGGAGAATTTGCTTTTACCATGGAAGGTTATCTGAGGAGGCGCTTGGTTCATTGGCGTTGCTCTACTTTACTGTTGGCTTGTTGGCTGCATGCTATTTTGGTTAATAATGTTTCTTTTGTCTCTTTTTCTTCTCGGAAGGTATCTATCTATTCTTTGATGCGCTCTGGGAAAAGACTCTTGTTTTGAGTACTGTACGGCACGGACAGGGAAACGGCACGGGAACAGGATTGTGATGAGTTTGAAATTAGCTGGCCAATGGCCAAGAATGAAGTTTGAATTTCCATTTCTACTCTGGAGTTTATTCGCTGTTGTTGAGAACTGTTGCGACTGATTGTGGTGTATGTATATTGAAAGGGTATCTAGCAACGAGGGTCTATATGCGCTCCCAAACGCCAAAGTATGCAGGAAGATCTAATTACAAAGAAAGGGCCATGTGATGTGATGGACATGTGCGGCCGAGGGAGAGTCGGGGTTAATAGATGCGCATGCGCGCCGCCCAGCCTGTGCTCTCCTTTTGCTCGATGCTAATCTTGCAGGGAAATGGGTTGCCGCCCTGGGTAGTGATGGGGGGAATGTGATCCTTGTGTGTGTTGGCGAAGGTGACGATTTTCATGGCAGTGGTGAGGAGGGTCTGCTCCATGGCTCGGCGGACCTTTGCGCGTTCTGTTTCCGAGGTTAGTTATTGTCCATTGGCCGACTGCGGAGGAGAAGAGCTCACCAGATTCCGTCCTCGGCTCAGCGACGGTCACCTTGACCGTCCAGCACTCCCAGCAGACTTCATCATCACCGCGCGCGAGCCAGGCCTTTTTGCGCCTCTTTTCAAAGAAGCGGACCGAGATCTGGCCGCGAGCGCCACTGGCCGAGCTGCTGGTGACTGCGGTGGTGTTGTAGTGGTGGCGGGGCGAGGCGCTAGCGGCGGACAGCGGCGAAGAGGAGGAGGAGGACGACGACGAGTGACGCTCGGCGTCGAGTTGCCGCTCGAGGGCGGCGGCGCGCTGCTCAATCATGGTGGCGAGCTCGTCGTCGTCGACATAGGGCAGGGTGAGATCGAGGACGTCGCGGGTCGAAGGGTGGACCGAGGGGAAGAAACGGTTGAAGAAGATTGTGTGCAGGATGGCGCGGACGACGTCGCGGACGGAGCGCGGGTCGGCAAAGACGTCGAGGATAAACTCGGGCGGCTCGGCGGTGGCGGTGTCCATGCTTTGGGGTCGTCGGTGTCGTCGTAGTGGGAGAGGCGGAGGAGGGTTGAGGAAAAAAAAAAACCGGGCGAGGGACCGACCGGGCGGGGTGGCGAGGGAGGGGAGGGGGAGAAAAACGCGCCCGGTGAAATGGCGCGATCGGAGAAACCGGTGAGCTTGACCGTTGAAGAAATTGCCGGCGTGCGGCGGACGATTGAATTGAACAGTCAAAGGACAATTGGATTGGAGTATGCGCGGAATCGTAGAGAGAAGAGATTTTGAGAGACGATAAAACTGAGAGAAACAGGCTTGGAGGGGAGGGGGGGGGGGCGAAAAGGGAAGAGAGGGAGGCTTGAGAGGGATGAGGTGCAGATGATGACAGTCAGCTGCTCGCCGGCGGACGTCACTGCGGGGGATGAGCGTTTGGTGGGGTTCAAGCTAAGCTTTTGGCTTTGGAACGGCGCTGATTGGCGGGCTTGGAGGGGGAGCTTATCAGCTGTTGGGCAGGAAAAAGGAAAAAAAAGCAAGACACAAAAAGTCAGTCTTGTGGAAGAGAAAAGATGTGGAAGAAAATTAGTTGATGAATTGGGGATTTTATACAGATTAGTGAGCGTGAGAATACAATTGCCAACGTGAGTGTGATGATTGACAGCGACGCAAGGAGAAGGGCACAGCTAACTGTACCTACCTACCTAGGTACCTATATATAAGAGCCAGTGTCAAAGAAGGAGGCTACTGGATCAGAGGTGTACAAAAACTCATTTTGGGGACATTAGAGATATCAGGTGGGTGCTCACTCGAACAAAGAACGAGCACGCTCTATCCTGTTGCTCTTCGCTTAAAATTAGGGCCTTGACAGATGAGACGTATCAGCGTTGCATCCGATACCGAGTATGAGGAGAGCTCTAACCAAAACAGGCCACTCTTGACTCCAGAGATGATGATGCATAGGAGATCAGGCGACTACTAGGTACGAGCGGAGGCGGACTTCTAACTATTCTGCTTGGTGCCCCAGGTTTGGAAGCTTTGGGCTTGTGACATACTCTGCCATTGCTCACTCGCCAGACCCGAACATTTTTTTTTCTTCGTCTCCTTTGTCAGACTCCCCTGTCGCGACACTGTCAATTTTTTCTTTGACACCAATTTTTTTTCAACGCGCCAACAAACATTCTGTCAAACCACATGCCAAGTTCCCATCTTGGTGAAGGGAAGCCGAATCGGGCTAGCGCGCGCAAGCTCTCGATTCTGGGGGCATTTGTGGCGCAGAGGTGGCACAGGCATCTGTACGGAGTACAAGCGAGGTACATGCAAACTGGCGGCAACCCGCAGCTGATCCCAGGTAGTGTTAGCTCCCGCAAGCTCGGCTGTCTTGGCCTCCGCCCATTTTGTTTTCGGGGGGCCGAGGTCTCGGCTCGCGCGTCCCAAAGTTGGTCAGTTTGTGCGCGCCGCGCGAGGGCTCCAGATGGATGGATAACTAGGTAGATAGTTAGCTTGAAAGCTTCCGACACCCTCACCACACGTGCAATCATTAAACGCCCATCTCTATTCTCGCCTTGACTCACCCCAGCCCTTCTGCTGCTCTGTGTAAAGGCTTCTCCATCGCCAATTCCCAACTTACCCTGTACTTGTTGGCTAAGCGCATCGACGCCCGAACCCTCCCTCTCCCATGACGACCATTGCCACCACGCGATCCATCTGAGCTCACTTCTCCGCAAAACCTTGCCATTCGCTCCGCAACAACTCTTCCCACCCCCCAACACACACACACACGGCCCAGAGTCATGATTTCCTCTGTACGGGGGTGGCTCCGCCGGAACCGCACGCCCATTGCCATTGGCGCGGGCATCGTCGGCGCCGGGTACGTGGTCAGCCAGTACGTCATGTCCAAGATTTCCGACGCGCGCGAGCGCATGACGAGCGAGCGCATCTCGAAAGAAAAGTAAGAGCCCCCCCTTTTTTCCTCAATGAAAGCACACCGCACCGCAGCCTATATAGTCTATGGTTTGTCCTAACACGCTAGACAAAACAGCCTGCGTCGGCGCTTCGAGCAGAACCAGGAAGACTGCACCTTTACCGTGCTCGCCCTCCTCCCGACCGCCACCGCCAATGTCCTCGCCGCGATGAACACGGAGCAAATCACCTACGAGATTCAGCAGGCCAAGACGGCCAAGGCCGTCCGCGCCAACCCGGCTGCCGACGCCGCCCCGACGCCGCCCAGCATCGCCGACACGGCCCTCACCGAGGACGACGCAAGCGCCAGCAAGAGCTCCGTCGTCAGCGAGAGCGGCGTCCACGCCAGCCAGGCGAGCCTGCCCCCGCTGACCTCTGTGCCCGAAGAGCGCGCCTCTGTGCCTGAAGAGCACGCCTCCGCGCAGCAGGAGAGTGCGCCGTCCACCAAGCCGCGCCGCTCCAAGCGCCAGCTCTGGGACGACTTGATTATCAGCTGTACACCCCCTTCCCCACCCTCTCATTGGAGCTGTGGCTAACAAACTGGCAGCCGTGACGCGCTCCTTTACTCTCATCTACACCCTCGCCCTGCTCACCATGCTCACCCGCGTGCAGCTCAACCTCCTCGGCCGCCGGAGCTACCTCTCGAGCGTCGTCGCGCTCGCCACCGGCACGCAGTCGGCCACCATTAGCCTCGAGAACAACGACGACGACAACACGGACCAGGCCTACGGCAGCGATTTCGACACGAACCGCAAGTACCTCACCTTTAGCTGGTGGCTCCTCAACAAGGGCTGGGTCGACATCATGACGACGGTCGACGGCGCGGTCCGCGCCGTCTTTGGCACGCTCCAGCCCCGCGACCTCGTCAGCTTTGACCGCCTCGCCGACCTGGTCCTCGAGGTCCGCCGGAAGGTCGAGGGCGGTACGCCCGAGGAGCGCCGCGGCGCGCGCTGGCTGCCGTACCTGCTCCCGCCGCAGGACCAGGAGGACGAGGTCATTCGGCAGTCGGGCATCCTCGAGGACAACAGCGGCGTGCCGCTGCCCGCGCACGCGGCGCCAGAATCCCTACGCCGGCTCCTCGACGAGACGGCCGACCTCGTCGAGTCGCCCGCCTTCTGCCACGTGCTGACGCTGCTCCTCGACGCGGGCTTTTCCACGCTCGTGGACAAGAAGCTGGCCGCGGAAGCGTTTGAGCTGCCCGTCGACGAGAGCGGCTTCATGGCGCCCGTCATCACGGAGAGCAAGCAGACCAAGGTGGTGCTGCTGCCCAAGATCCTGTCCGTGCTGACGCGCCAGGCGCACGTCATTGGCCACGGCGTGCCCAACACCTACCTCCAGGACATGGAGGCCGTCGGCGCCCTCGAGGCCTTTGCCGCCGTCGTCTACTCGAGCAACTGGGAGAGCGAGATGCGCGGCGCCGAGGGCATGCCGGCCGAGACGAGCGGCAGCAGCAGCAGCACCCCCGTGCCGGCCACCAAGCCCGCACCGGGGGAGAAGCAGACGCTGGCCAACACCACGCAAGTAGACCGGAGCATCGTCATGGTGGATAATCAGGGGAGCTTTGAGAGTGCCTGGGAAAAGGCCGTCGAGGCAAAGTAATAGATGCAAGGAGAGGCAATGAAAAAATAAACAAAAGAAAGAAAAAGGAAATGGCAAGGGGGATATAATAAATTTTATTAGAACGGCATTGTTGGGTGGCGTGGAGGCACAGGCATGTATGAGTAGCAAATGGGAATCACTTCTTTTGCATTGAACATGGGGATGGGTTTGCTGGAAGCAGAGCTTTTATTCAATCTGCCAATGTCTTAACTCCTGCAATTATTTGCTCAATTTACAACCTTGCTCCGTCTTGGAGTTTGCACTTTCGAAGATTCTGGTGTTGGATGCGTTGAGAATACCATAATATTTTCAAAATATTTTACTAAACACATTGAGAATACCATAATATTTTCAAAATATTTTACTAAACACATTGAGAATACCATAATATTTTCAAAATATTTTACTAAACACACTATTGTTCCATTTCGAACCGAGCTGGTGTGGTCTGATCAACTACCAACATTTCCCGACCACATACAAAATCCTAATCCATTCATTATGCCTTGCTGTAGTTGCAGTCGCGAAGTAGTTCCTTATCGGTGAGCTGCCCACGCTTGGTCCGAATCTCGCTGTTGAGCTCGGCGGAACGATCGGCTTCAAACTCGATGTCCTGCACCGTGTATCCCGGCATGATGCTAATGTAGCCGGACTGATCGAGCTGGTAGAGGGCCTGCATGACCCAGGTGCGGCAGGTGAGCCTGCCAAACTGGTTGGGGTCGGCCATGCCGATGCGCGACTGGGTGGTGCCGATGAAGCTCTGGAGCGCGCCGTGCATATCCTTGGGCCTGATAATGGCGACCCGGAGAGCGACCATGATGGTTTTCGATGTCATGATGGTTTCGCTCCTCTTGTGCTCAAAGTACCACGGTTCGTGGGCAGAGTTGCGAATGTGAAAGATCCAGCCTCCAGCCTCGTCGACATGGAGGTAGATCCCCCAGTGCCATGAATTGGGCTGTGACTGCTCGGATAGAATGACGTATAAGCTGTCGATGTCGAAGTTGATTCTTCTTGTTGTTGTTTCGGCCATTGTTGCAACGAACAGAGCTCGAAGCAGAACGCGGGTGCTCAAGATGAATAGAGGCTTAAGATGAATAGATGCTCAAGATGAATAGATGCTCAAGATGAATAGATGCTCAAGATGAATAGATGCTCAAGATGAATAGATGCTAAAGAGGAATCAAGACGAGAGAGCAGTGAGCCAAAGCTCCGACTATATACCCCTCCATGGCGGCCGAATGCGAGACCGCCGGACCAGGCTCTGGGCGTCTTCCTCATGATGCTGTGGGTGTGCCCATCCATGGTTGGCTGTTGATGGAGGAGCCGGCCCCCAAGGCCAAGAGGATCTCGCCAATACGAGAGCCAGTTGTTGCGCGAAGGATGGGAATATATGGTCCCTGTGTTTTTCGATTTCAAGAAGGAGTAGGGAGCCACAAAAAGTGACCAACCACTCTTGTTTCCTTGCCGCCAGCCTGGTAATTCGATTATGTTAGTCGGGCGGCTGTTTTTTTTGGAGTGGCGCGCCCCCTGCATATCATTTATTAGTTGTCCCCCGCAGCTTTGAGTGCTCCCAACCAACCAACCTGCATCACTTCTCACAATGTCGACGCAGGCCGCGGATGTAGAGGCCGTCGAGGACGTGAAAAACACCATTCGCTCATGCCATCTCGAACCGACCGAGCATTTCATTCTGATAGACTCGTTTCTGGGGGGTTCATGCGACCAGGAAGCGGCCGCCCGCGAAGTACGCCGACGCCTCCTTTCGAGTCCAGGCGAACCAGTCGAGCGAGTGCTGCGCCAGCTCAAGGCAGACTGGCATGCTATTCTTTGCACAGGTCCGTGCTCCCTTGCGCCCGCGCATTCTTCTACCCTACCACGCATACGCTTACTGGATATGTTCAGCCCTGGAGCAAACCGCCGTCGACGAGGGAGTGGCCGCCTTGCTTAAGCGCCGGGACCAGGGGCGCTGCTGCCTCAGCCCCCCAACCTGCCCTCAAGTCAAGGTCCCCATTCCAGAGTACATGTTGTCACCAAAGCTTGAGCCCCTCCTACGAGTCGAAAACCAAGAACCCGAGGCGAGGCTCCTACAGGCCTTTGTCTCGCCTAGAAATGTTCCCTATTTACGGCGCGTATTTAGTGAGAATACCGCTAGCATGAGCAACGCTTTGTTCTTGTCTCCTGGCCTGGGCATAGCTATTCGACAGAGCAAGCTGAAGCTACTCGGGGCGTTTACGACCTCAGAACAATACAGGGAACCAGTCAGCATGGAAGATATCAGAGAAATAAAGGTACTTGTAGAGAAGCAAACATCTTCCTTTGTTAACTCCCGTAACTCATCCAACTTCTCTATAGCTTGCCAGCTCGCCATATGTTTCGGACTTGCAGTACTGTGATGGGAATCCATGGAAAAAGCACGATTTGCGCATTACCAAGCTAAGAACAAGCTCGCCTTCTGAGACGCCGCTGCCCTCGCCTTATCTGATCCAACTTCAAAGCACATTTGCATCTGCGCTGAGCGTATTCTCTGTCGAAGAAGAATGCGCACAACCATGGCCAGAACGTCAGGCACCTAGTAAGTTGGACATTGATTGCTTGAAAGGCGTAGAATGCGGCTAAATAGGTTTCTCGCGCCCTCGCATTAGAATTTTGGAATCGATCTTGGCTACTATTCTTCCGCAATCTCTGGCATTTGGTGCCTCGGTTCCTCCGCACTTGGACGTACCGGCGGATGCTTCAGTCTCGCGAACGCGGCAGAGTTGTGCAACTATATGAGTCTAAATCTGCTGGTCTGATTGCGAAGATGGATCAAGGAAACGAAGCAGCAGCTCTTGCGCTCTTGGAAGCAGAAGCGCCCGAGGTCCCAGCGCCGCTTCTCATCGACACGTTTCAGAACGACAAAGGCATGAGCTTTGCCGTAATAACGCAATTGCCAGGCGTGCCAGCCAAGACTGTCTTTTACCGCATGTCATACGAAGAACAGCACCAATTCGCTGACGACTTGGGGAAAGCCCTCGCTCACATGCGGCGCGTCCCTAATCGGTCGGGACATTTATTTACTGGCATCTCATCACTAGGTCGCAACGGTTCCAAGATCCACGATCCACATGCCGGCTACGAGGCCTGCGGCCCCTTTGAGAGTGAGCTGGACTGGACCATATCCATGACTGGCGGCAGGCATGAGCTCTGGCGCGCAAGCCATCCCGAAGCGCTCTTGTCCGAACACAAATCTGTATTTACGCACGGCGACCTACACCTGTATAACGTCCTTGTTGACGGGGGCAAATTCTCAGGCATCGTCGACTGGGAGAGTTCGGGGTTTTATCCCGAGTACTGGGAGTGTGCTAAGAGTATGAACACAGGCTTGGATGCGGCCAGTTTTCGCCCTGTGCATAGGCAAATATGGCAAGGCAAATATGAAGCCGAAAGCGAGTTGGTGGGTGCTCTTATGAACGCCGGTCCATTTGGACCGCCACGTATCGTGGAACCCTAAGTAACCCGAGTGAGTGGTCTGTGTGGAGATGGAGCAATAATGTTGGAATGTATGCCTTCTATAGTTTGTCAAATGAGGCACCGAATTTATCTATTGATGCATTAATGTATTTTATGTATTGATATTTTTTTAACAACGTACAACTGTACGTCTCACCCAGCATCAGCGAGGGCGTGGTTACACATAACCTGTTCCAACTCCACAGAGTTGGAACAGGTTATGTCCGAGGGCGGAGAGACATATACATCCCGCAAAATTGTATGATAGCTTCGCCCCTGGCGTCAAAATACATTCTCTATAACGACTAGGCCTCTTGCTTGTTGGTCATGCCGCTACTGCCAGCCACACACACGGTTGAGCATGGTTGTAGCTCTCATTACAGATCTGATAATCCGATTATAATTATGTACAATATAATAAATTTTCGTCTTAGTGTAATAGCTAGTACAAAACTCACAAGCAAAGCATACTTTGTCTTGCCAATCGATATACTCCCCGCCTCTCTAAATCAAACAGCACCTACATTATGACAAAGGGTAGGATGTCGCAGGGAGAGATTCGAGGTGCTTGCGATGGTGCTCGTTGGCCTAGAAAATTATCAGCGAAAGAAATTCCAAGAAAAAGTATTTTATTTCAACGCACGAATGGTGTGCCGCAGTAGTTGCAGGTAGCGATCTCGGCCTTGTCGGTGTTGATGAAGATCTGGGGGTGACCATGGGCGGCGCTGCCGCCACCATCGCAGACCACGATTCGGTCGTGAGTCCATCGAACTGGCTGCTTGTGGACCATCTCCATTGCAGAGAGAGGTTGGGGCTACACATTGAGATTAGTATCCCAGCTCCCAGCACCTGCCAACCGGTTATTCCATCCGAGGGAAACCACCGGGTTCCCGTACCTGAACTTCGAAGTCGGTCTGCTCGAATCGAGGGCCAGTCATGGCAGTAGCTCGCGGCTTCTGGCTTCGGGACCAAATTCCCACGCGGTTGGGAGCCTGGCTGATGTCAACAGGGAGGGCGTCGTCGGTCTGCGTGGGAGTCTTGAACTCGTCTCGTGTCGTCGGAACAGTCGATTCGAGCTGACGGGCGGAGACGCTGAAGGCGCGGCGGGAGACGCGCATGCTGCGCGCGAGGCCGCCAATAATTCTCAATTGCGGCGCGGCCATGGTTGTGCGTATGGTATATGAAGCGAGGACACAATTGAGCCCGGTTGTAGGATTGCGAGCTCGGGTTCGCCTTCGACGGGAGCCAAGTTGACGAGCCAGATGAGTGGATTACAGATCGCGGAAAAAGCTATTTTCCGTGGCGCGCCGATAACCTAAGAGGTCCAGAAAAAAGTCCGAGAAACGCCTTGAATTGTCAACCAGGTTTTCCACAGACACGCAAGAAAACCAGCGACACGAACGGAAATTCGAATTTTATTTCCTATTCGAAAGAGTTATTACACAAACCTTCCGCGACCCATCTCTCGAAAATTCGCATCTTGCGCAACGTGTGCTGTGAAAGCTCTTGCCGCCCATCATGGCGCCCGACACACCAAAGGGAGTCTCGTCGAGGCTACTCACGATGAAGTTCATGCAAAGAGCCATCGCATCCAATTCCGCCCCTGCCTCGCCAGACTCGGAACCAAAATCGGCCAAAAAGAGGAAATTAGACCATGGCTCGCCTGCCGGCAGACTCAGTATGGACTTTGACCAGGCGTCCGTGGATGCCGCCATGCAAGCCCAAGAAGCCAAGCGCAAAGCGGCGCTTCTACAGCATGCCACTGGCGATACACACTGGGTTCTCAACACGAAATTCGAGAAGCCAGCTACCGCGAAAGCTTCCAAAATATCACGAAAAATTGTTTACGTTGGCTACGGTGACATGGACTCCGAAAACGACAGCGGGGACGCGGGGGATGTCGCCGCGAATGGGCGCACCTCAACACGCAAGCCAAAGCCAAAGACTGAGGTAAGCGAAACTGGACGACGCGATTCCGCGCCAAAGCCATTACTAACAAGGGGAACAGAGCTCGCAACATCCAAGCGATGACGAATCCGGGGACGAAACGGGACAGGACTCAGACGGCAGCGACCGCCCGAACCGCAGAAAACGCAAAGAATCGGGCTCGCAACGAGACCAAAGTAGATCGCGGTCCAAGTCGCGCACCCGCCCATCCGCGGCAGATACCAAAGCCAAAGAACTACGCGACAAACGTAGGAAAAAAGAAGTGCGACTGAACAACAACAACAACAACATCACGTCTATTTCCGGGTCAGGCGACAACTCGTTAAAGAACAAACCCTCCATGACTTGCTATAACTGCCACCAACCTGGTCATCGGGTCTCTGACTGCCCCCGACGTAAGCCTGGTGGACGTAGCAAGTAACAGTCTCGCGAAACGGCCCGTGTAAATCATATGATGCGTTGACGGAGCTTGTAGAGCTTGAGAAGCAGCCATCGTATCTTGGGCGGGTTCTTGGACCAGATGCAGCTGGCCTGCCTGATGAGTTATGATATAGATACCAGTTCTCCGATGCTGGAGAAAGAATAATATTCTAATTGAAATAACAATTCTAGCCCTTCCTTCGAAACCAAGTGAAATGATGTCTTGAGTATGTGATATAACTAATTAGTAGAGATGGCATTGAGCGTTTGGCTTTCTGTGTGGATCGTAGGCTTGCTGGAGCCGGCTTCTGGTTTTAGTGCTACAGAGGTGGCGTGAGCAAGGCCAACTGCCATTTGCGCCCGACATCCTTCGATCAGAACTACATCACCACAACCACGAGGGCCCCAAACCACGCGAACTCTCAAAGCATCGTGACTTTAAAATGCCCGGCTTAAATCTGGAGGTGTTCAAGGTAGGAACGGAACCCTTGCGGCCCACCCCGCGACCCCTTTGCTCAGCAGCACTGACCTGGACAAACTCAAACCAGTTCGGCATCTATGTCATGTTTCCCATTGGCATCATGTACTACTTCGGCACGAACCTCGATAACCGCTTCTCCGTCCCCGACTTTTGGCCGCGACCCGAAGAGTGCAACAAGCTGCCGCGCGACCGCGACGAGCTCAAGATTGAGTACGAGCGCATGCTGGCCCGTCAGCGCTTCAAGCAGGCACGCCTGGAGGAGGAGCGCAGCAAGGGCGAGGGGGCCGGCAGCAGCGGAAACGACTCTTGATTGAGCATAGACGAAAGACATGCAGTAGCAACGCAGGGCTGGTCACAGCCCTGCGTGTTGCGTGCGCTGTAACAACTTGTATGATGGGAAAAAGAGGGACAGAACAAATTCTCCGATCCGGGACGGCGCATTGGGTGGCGTTTTTCAACAATGGTAACAAGGAATAACAAGAAACCAATTTTTTTACAATATGTCATGGAGATGCTACAATAGTGTACAGTAGTGTACAGCAGTGTACAGTTGCAATGTGCAGGATGTCAAACATCAAGACGCCTCTCTACAGCCTCCCACGCCTCTTCTGAGGCACGTCCTTGCTTGGTGTTTGCGAATATGGCCTTGACTTCCGAGTGCTCCCTCAAAGTCGCCAAAAGAGAAGACAGCGCAGCCGCAGAATCGTCCGAATCCAGTTTCACCATGGTATCCTCGTTGGGCGCCCAGACGATCTCTGCGGCGAGCAGCTCGAGGTCAAACTTGGCCGCAAAGGCCTTGGCGATGGCCATCAGCGCCGACGGCTCCGTCCACAACACATAACCGCCCTCGTCACTCTCCTCTACGTCCTGCGCGCCGTCGTGCTCAATGGCCTCGTCCAGCAGATCTGCAAGCGCCGCGCCGTCGTTTGGCTTGAACACGGCCCGGCCGCGGCGGGCAAAGTTGAATGCGGTTGAGCCTGTGATGCCTCCGGCCTTTTTCACGGCGAGCTTCAGATCCTGAAGCGTGCGCTGCTTGCTGTCTGTCTCGATGTCGATTATGAGAGCGATATCGGGCGGCAAGAGGAACTCCATTGTCATGGGCTCCAGCTTGGCGCCGGACGTGGATTTGCCCTGGCCACTGGCGATGGCACCTTCTATAAGGGCCTTAGGGATGCTGGCTGATAATCATGTCAGATATGTTTATAATTTGAATTATTTTATATAGTACCTTTATTTGCAGCCGCAATTGCACCGGCCAGTGCTGGATTATACTGAATGTCGTCACCATACACTACTGCCGTGTTAGAAGAGGTGACCTGGCAATATCACGGAGGTAATCCACATACTCCTGGAGTACATTGTAATCAGTTTTGTAAAGGCTGTACGTTCGACCATCTTCTTCTTGTCTGTCACGGCCTTGATATGTTTCGTCTTGGACCATTTGTTATGTCCCGCCTCTCTGGGCCTCGTGGTGCTTAGGCGCTGTCTGCATGCTAGGCATATCTCTAGACGAGGGCCAGCAGTTGGGCGTATAAGCGGTGCCAGTGCGCCAGTAAAGCGCCTTGATAATGACATTGCTACTATCCAAAGCGGAAAAGGGTCAGCAAGCGAATTGGCCTCTTGTAATTTGTAAAAAATGTACAGATGTCAATTCCGTCATGGCCAGATCCGCGACGGGTTAATAATCTTCCCCTGAGCTCAAGGCTGCCCCGCTAGCAAGCTTGCAATGTGCCCCGAAAAAGGGAGCAAAACCCACCAAAGCTCCTCTGGTCGTCACTGCCCGTGGCTGTCGCTGCCCCTGTGGTCTGCAGCATCTCGTCCGGACTTGTGAACCTCTGCAAACCGGCACACGACGACTTACAACGCCACCGTGGGCAACGATATAGCCTAGTGCATACGGCATCGATTCTGCGCTCTATGATTTGAAAGAGCGTCAGAACCATGTCATCCAGCGAGGAGCCCGACGCTCCACCCCCGGCCGCCGAGTCCCAATCCACGCCACCGCCAGCTCTACCGCCCGCCGACGACAAGAAAAGCGACAACCCAGAGCTCGACCTTCAGAAGCTCCAGTCTCTACCAGCGGAGCAGCAGGAGCTGTTCCTCCTGACCTTTGTCACCGATTTAACGAAATATGTACGCCAGCTCGACGCCGACGACTGCAGCGCGCAGCAGTTCTACCTCAAGAAGGAAGTCTTTCGCATCATCAACCTGGCTGCCCCTCAGCCGTCCAGGGTGGTCCGAAACAACCTGGGACAGTGCCTCGCCCACGTCTTCACCCACGGCGACCGCAAACTCCTCTTCGAGACGATAAATGACTTGGCCGGTATTATTTCTGGCGCCAGGTCCAAATCCGACACGGAGACCCGCGCAAAGCATGCCGCCGTTGTCTGCCTGGGCGATGTCTACGCTGCGGCTGGAGACAGCGCGATTGGACTGCACCAGCTCTGCTGCTCAGCGCTTATCAAGCTCCTCAAATCATCTTCCAACAATGCGGGTCTTCGTGGCGCCGTCTTTACGGCTCTGGCCAAGATGATTGGCATCGTTGAGGGCTCCATGGAAGAGAGCATCGCGCGTGACATCTGGAAGCAGGGTAGAAACCATGCCTCCAGTGACAAGGGCTCCCTAGTTGTCATCGCAGCTTCGCAGTCCCTCGGAGCTCTCTTAAAGCACACCACCTACTTTAGGAACTCGTCTGACTTTGACAAGTTGGAGTCGGCCATGTTCAAAGCCTTTGACTCATCCATTGCGCAAGTTCGACACGCCGCCGCTAGCTGCCTCGCAGAAGCCTACGCGCAAGGCTACTCTGAAACTGCATCTTCCAAACCCACCAAGAGCAAGAAGGCAGCTCCCAAACTGAAGCGTCAATCCACACTCCCCGGCATGGTCGGTGACGACGATGACATTCCTTCTCGTACAGCTAGTCCTGCACCAGGGACGAGGCGCAAGGAGGATCTTGCCCTGTCACTTGGTGACATCCTCCATCAGCTGGTTGCCCATTATGTGAGGCCTACAACATCAAATCGCGCTCGAGCTGCTGTCGGTGTATGCTTTGGCAAGCTGTTCCGCCGACTCGGTGAAAATGTCATTGAGCCAAACTATCTACTCATTGTTGATACACTTACCACGGACATTCTGGGCAATCCAAGCATTGCCAACAATCGCTATCGACTCTTGATTTCGCGCAGAATAATTGATACTATCCTGTACGACGTCATTGGAAGCAAAATACTGGGAGAATCTGGCCAGGTCAAGATTGCTGAAGTCTTGATTAACAACATCCTGAAAAACTATCCTGCCGCTTTACCTCAACGTCCCGAGCCCTCAAAGCAGACCCTCATCACAGCTCTGCGCGCCGTCGCAGCTTTGATTCAGTCTTTGGGATCTGCTACAAATAAATTTGCCGAATCGTGCCGCGATGGCTTGCTGCAAGTATTCCAGCACCCCAGTTATTCCGTACAAGTGTTCGCCTCACAGTGTATGAAAATTTTCACAGTGGCGTGCCCTCAACAACTGTTACCATGCTTGTCTGTCTGCATGAACAGCCTGAGTCGAGAGCTTTCCCTTCTCGCCGGTGGGAGGAATTCCCAAAGACGGTGCATTGGTTTGGCGCATGGTTTGGCAGCGACTCTCAGTTCAAGCCCGCTGCGACCACTACACGGCTCGCTAGATATCAACAGTCGCGTTCTTACCATGGCGACCAATCTACTCAAATCTTCGGGCCAGTCCGAGCTCCGAGTCTCAAGTACCCAGATTCAAGTTGCCTGGATTCTGATAGGCGGCCTCATGTCTCTCGGGCCGAATTTCGTCAAAATACATCTATCACAGCTTCTTTTGCTTTGGAAGAACGCGCTGCCGAAGCCACTGGCCAAAGATAGCACTACATCGAGGAGTCTCCTCGAAGCTTCGTTCCTCACACATGTGCGGGAGTGCTCTCTGGGGTCCATATTGGCGTTCCTTGAATTCAACAATCGCCTATTGACGGTGGATGTATCTAAACGCATTGCCACCATGCTTCAGAGTACAACAGCCTTCCTGAAAACCCTTCCAAACAAGAAGACCACTGAGGATGTTTCGCAGCGCTTAACGCCTGCAATTCAACTCCAAGATCTTGAAAAAATGGTTCAACGTCGCGTTCTGCAGTGCTATGTCAAATTGGTCAATCAGAGCCCTGCGGGTGGCAGCGAAGCTCTTCTACAGTCCAACCTACTCACTCTCGCCATTTCTCTTTTTGCAGACCCCGAAAACTACTCGGCCAACTCACTAAGCGCCTCCATTGCCAATGCTGCGGCCACCTATGAGTCTATTTGGGATGTGGGTGACAATGATGGCTTTGGCCTTACTGGCCTTGTTTGTGGCTTCAATGTCCGTAGCTTGCCTGGCCAGCACGAGTCCACCATCCAGGTCGTATCCAAACCCAACTCGCCCGAGGAAGTCATTGACAGCATCCTGCTATCACCCATCTGCGGCAGTCTGGAGCATGATGCCTCTGCCCTCTACATCGGTAGTCTGGATCTCAACGAAGTCAGACCTGATCCGCCAGCTACGGAAGTAGTCAATATGGCAATCCAACTGTTCGCCTTTGCTTTTCCCCTCACACCCGCCAAAGTTCAGGAGAGTATTCTTGAGCAGGTTCGAACTTTCGGATCTTCCGGTTCTCTCCAGCGCGATCTTGCAAGAAATGCAGCAATTAGTGTCAATGTGGCCACGGCGATATTGGCGACTATGCGAGTTGCGACAAAAGAGACAAAGTCTCCAGCTGGCGATGTCGCCAACTCTGCTGTGGAAAAGCTACTGCAGGATATCGTTCGGGACTTTGTCATTGACCAAGATCAGTATGTGCGAAGCCTCGGATATGCAGCTATGGCTAGACTCTGCAACGTATATGGAAACGCATTCACGAATCACGAAATCAAGTATTTGGTGGATACCATTGTCAGTAACCGCGAGCCTAGTGCACGGGCAGGCTGTGCCATGGCGCTTGGTTCCATCCAGACCAAAGTAGGTGGTATGGCCGCTGGATATCACCTCAAGACTATTTTGGGTATCCTAATGTCTCTCTGCAATGACCCTCATCCGGTTGTGCACTACTGGGCTATAGAGGCTTTGTCTCTTGCTGCCGATGCGGCCGGCTTGAGCTTCTCAGCTTACGTTCCAAGCACTTTGGGAATGCTTGCGCAATTATTTGTCTCTGAGACACATCACCCGGAGATTCCGTCTGCGATAACAATGGCCCTTGAGACTGAGCTCTCTACGTCAGCAGCCATCGCTCGATGCATTGATTCCTTGATCAACGTACTAGGCCCAGACCTGCAGGACTCCAAGAAATCGAGGGAGCTCATTTTCACGCTCGTTGGACAGTTCCAAGAATCTGAGGACAAGCAAGTTGAAGACGCTGCTTTGATGTGCTTCGAACACCTCTCTCTATACGCTCCCGGAGAGATGCATTACTCGGACTACGTTCGGTTGCTTCAACGATACCTGTCATCCGAGCATGGCGAGCTGCGAGACGCTGCTATCGAGGGAATACACAACATGATGAAGCGAAACCCGCGTGATGTCTTGAGAGACGCCGAGGCTGGATTTGAAGACAAACTGTGGCTGCTGCTCGACGCCGCGCCAGAACACGACGGGATCAAAAATATTATTAGGAACTGGCTTCAACAGACGTGTCTCGTTGAAACGAATGAATGGCTGGACCAACTTCAGAGGGTTCTGCGGCTTACGCGCGTCAAGGAAAAAACCGAGGTGGCTGTGGCAAAGTCATCTCGCGGCGCGGTCGACTTGAACGACGAAGAGGTTGCCGGCTTCGCCGCCGCCGCCACTGAAACGACCAAGGATGGCAAGGATGGCAAGGATGGGAACTCTGATGCTGAGCCTCTGCGTTGGCAGGTGACCACTTTCGCCATCTCTTGCATTGGGGATATCTTTACCCTGGTTGCCAAGGACGTAGCTGCGAACGGCGACTCGGTGGCTCAGATAGCACTCCAGAACAAGATTGCTGAAGTTGTTCGCATGGCATTCTCCGCGTCGACATCTGGCGTCCTGGAGCTGCGCATTTGGGGACTAAAGATCATCGGTGCCGTCTTGAAAATGTTTGGCAAAACACCGGACCCCGACTTCGAAGAAGCTATGCTACTTGAGCAATATCAGGCACAAATCAGTTCCGCTCTGACGCCAGCGTTTGCTGCTGACTCGTCTCCGGAGCTCGCTTCGGAGGCAGTCAATGTCTGCGCCAGTTTTATCTCCATTGGTATCGTTACGGATGTCGAGCGCATGGGCCGCATTCTAAAAACCCTCGTCAGCGCTTTGGAAAATTTCTCATCGGACAACGAGAATGCAGGTATCGGCGATCTCAAAGGCCTTTCGTCAAACGCTCAGACCATGGTCAAAATTGCCGTTTTTTCGGCCTGGGCCGAGCTTCAAGTCGCAAGCAGCGAGCAAAAGTACCTGCTGGATGTTCTCAAACCGCATATTGGCACGCTGACGCCGCTCTGGCTGGAATCACTACGCGAGTTTGCCCGTCTGCGATTTGAGCCCGATATTTCCATGACACTAGGACCTCCATCACTGTCTGGAAGTCTGGACTCAATCTACGCTGCCCTAAATCGTGAGACGCTTCTCAAGTTCTACCAAGATGCGTGGTTGAAGCTTGTTGATGCCATTGCCTCGCTGATTGAGCAGGACAGTGAGTTTGTTTTTGATGCCCTTGACGGCAAGGAATCGAGCGAGGCCACTACGAATGGACATCGCAAAGCCGGCATCAACTACCGCGATGAGCCCGTGGCCTTCTTCTTCGTCCTATTCGGGTTGGCCTTTGAATCACTTGCCATACGGCCTGGCCACTCTGATTCGCTGGCTACACGCGACCAGACACTCGCCATTCTCCAGGCGTTGAAGCGTATCCTGCATCCCAGCGTCTCTGGACACGCCATCTACCGCCCCGACGTATTTGCTGAGACGATGGACCTCCTTGACCGCCTTGTATTGACAGAAGGCATTGACGTGCAAACTGTCATTGTCGACATTGCCCGCGCCATGTGTGTCACACACCCCTCTGCCCGCCGCCAAGGGTCTGAAGAAGGTGATCTGTCAGAGGACATTGATCAACTTTTTGAGCTGACAAGAATCATTGTCCTTGTCCTGTCGGGCTTGTTGCCAAACTTGAACGAAGGAAACCAGCCAGTACGACACCAAATCAACGAGGAGACACTTGTCCTAATCCGCTCATCTCTGGATGCTCTTGTCGATGCCGCCGAGGTATTCCCAGCCATAATAAAGTCGGATTTGCATGCATGCATCATTCACATCTTTGCAACCATACTCGCCACACCTAGTTGCCAGGAACTTATCGTCCCACAATCGCTAGCCACGTTCAAACGCTTCATTGGCAGCATGAGCGCCTCGCGGAAGATTGCGCCCGATGGTTCCTCGGCGACTGATGTGCAGCTACAGGGTTGCCTGCGCCGCTTCCTCTCCATCTATCTCAATGCTCAAAAGCGTGAAGCGTCAACGTCACTCATATGCGTCAGAAATTGCTTGCTAGCAACAACCATTCTCTTTACTGGTGGAAATAACCAGCTTCCTGCGTCTGAGCCGCTAGTCGTGAGATATCTTGACGAGCTTCTGGACTGTCTCACCGACCGCATGGTACGTTCGCCACCAGCAACAAACACCCATGCACTGCTAACAACTGAAATAGACTGCCAAAATTGCCGCCAACTGCATTCGATCGTTGCTCTTGCAAAGTTCGCCCTCGTCGTCCGACGCCACCATTGCTCGGTACCTCGTGCCCCGTCTTATTACCTTTGTCACCAACGTGGAACCTGAGGACCCCGGGCAAGCGCGCTCCCTCGTTGCGCATAGCTTGTGCCTTTACGTCGGCACCGTCGGCGTCGAGCGCACCGCCGCTGCCATGTCCCTCGTCATTCCCATGCTCATGGCCCGCGCGACGGCCGAGGGCGAGGAACGATACCCGGAGACGAGCGCCCGGCTGCTCGAAGTGGCAGCAGTCAATCAGGACGCCTTTCGGAGCATCGTCGGCGGCATGAGCGCCGCCCAGCGGAGCCTGCTGGAGGAAGTGGTGCGCTTGGCGCGACAGGCGTCGAGCATCGCGAGCCAGAATAATACGGACGCGTCAGGGCAGCCAGCTATTCAGCTCAAGATGAACTTTGGTGGTACATCATGATGACAAACGTAATGAGACATGTTTGATTTTTTTTGTACAAGCATAATACATATGCTGATGGGGAGGGTTGAATTGGGTTAAGGCACATATCTCATAAAAAGGGAACGGTATTTTAGAAGGTGATATCAAAAGTTCTCTTTAGCGACTCGTCTGACACCTGCATATGTCTTTGCCCCTACTATTTCTTGCCCGGCGCCGCCACCGTCCTGACGTCAAAGGGCCTTCCCGAACCGTTGGCAATCACCACGCCGTTTGGTGCTATGTACCTGTCGTTGTCGTTGCGCACTGCCTGGGACGGTCTCATGCCAACGGCAATGACAGGCCCTTGCGCGGCCCTTGCGTCCTTGTTCTCTCTGCTACTCATAGCCGCGCCCTTTTGCCCACCGCTGCTGCTCGCTTCCTTGCGTGCGGGTGGTTCCTGCTTGTCCTTGACCGGCGGCTTGTTGTTGGGCCCGCCGCTGTAGGAAGGCTTCTTTGTCTGGTTGGCGCCTCGGTTCATGGTTCTTGGGGGTTCCGCTTGTTGGTTTGTTTGTTTGGGGGGTATTGGAGAGGTGGTAGTTCGCCGTGACTTTGGGAGTTGGGCAAAAAAAAAAACCCCAAGAGGAGCTTGTGTTCTAGATGTTTGTAGGGATAAGTGTTGATTTGGGAGCTGTTGGTATGATTTCCTCGAGACTATATACCCCCAACGTGTTGGTGAATCGCCGTGACTATACAGTGCTTCACAGCCATTTACATATCCACTCTACGGCAAGACAAGCCCATTGTACGAGGCCCGTATGACATTGTGCTGGCGTGAAATAGGTGTTGAGTTTCTTTCACATTGTCTCGCTGTCAAAGCTGCAACTCGACTCTCAAAACTCGACTCTTAATCTCTGTGATGCGCCGTCTCACGTCTTCCGGAACTGAAAAGTGTCTTCCACCGCCGCACCATCATCCATCGATGTATCAGAAATGTCCGGGTCGAACCCGCCGCCATTGCTCTTGGGCGGCGGCTCGTTGTCCCACTTGGACGCGCCGTGCCACGTCTCCGGGACCTCGTCGCCTTCGCCCAGCGAGAGGATCCGGTACTGCTGTGGCGTGGACAGCAGCGCCAGCGGGATATCCATGTCTAGGTTGATCCACGAGATCTGCGCCTTGGCCGGCGCGCCGACCGAGCTCCCCCTCGCCGCGATGAACTCGTCCGGCACCACGGGCGTGGGCCCCGGCAGCAGCGGATCCCACAGGTACGACAGCCCCGGGCGGCTCTCGCTGTGGGCGGTGATGAGGAGCAGCTCCCGCGCGTGCTTGTGCCAGGCAAAGGTGACGACGGAGTGGAACACGAGCACGGCGCGCAGCTCGGCCGCGACAATGTCCCAGATCCAGATGGTGCCGGGTGCGTCGTCGAGGCGCGTGGCGAGGAGCGTCGAGGAGGCGTCAAAGGCGAGGCTGGCACAGCCGGATTTTGTGTCCGTTGGTTTCCCGTCGGAGGGTGTGCCTGGCGGTGAGATGGGCTGCGTCGCGCGCTGAAATGTGTGCACTGTTTCGCCCTCTCTAGATATTGTGAGCTGCTCCTGCCATACCTATACCCAATGGGTTAGTGAATTGGGCTCCGACGCGGGGTGTCGAGATTGGAAACATACATGTAACGCATCCCGAGGTTCAATCGTCACGGGGTGTGTGAATATTGCGCTCTTCCGCCATGAGTCTGTTTGTAATATCACAACGCCACGACTGTGGTCACCTATGGCGCAAAGCTCCGAGCTAGGACTCGGCTGGCAAGTCCTGATGCCTAGCTCCAGGAACGCATCTGGATCATCTGACAGATTCGCGCCGGTAATTGTTCTAAAGTGCTGCCCATCCGCTGTGTAGAGCACCAACTGGTGCCCATGCGCGGCCGCCTCCCAGAGCATCAGCCACCTCCCGTCCGGCGTCCAGCACACGGCCTGGGCGTCCACCACCGACTCCACGGCCCACGACTTTTGCACCTGGCGGGAGACGGGATGGTGTATGCTCACGAAATCCTTGCCGCCGCGCCGCGTCAGCACGGCCAGGTGCGCCGTCGCGGGGCGCATCGAGTAGCTCCGGTGCACCGAGGCCGGCTGGTGAAACTTGGGGTGCGCAATCTCGACCGCCGTCGCCGTCGCGAGGTCGAAGACGGCCAGCTTGAGGCCCGAAGGCGAGCAGACGAGCACCTCGCCGTCGCGGGCGCCGAAGCGTGCCAGGGTGGCCTTTTCGCCGGGCAGCAGCGGGCTGTGGATGGCGGCGGAAAATTCGCCGTCAACGGCGGTGGCGGAAAAGACGTGGACGCTCTCGCCAGCGCAGACGAGCAGCCGCGTGGACGCGGGCGACCATTGCAGCGACGTCACGGGGCCGAGGCCGGACGGGAGCGAAACGATATGCTCTACCTGCAGCGTCACGACGGAGCGCACGGTGATGGTCTGCGCGCTCAGCGTGGCGACGAGGCGGCCATCGAGGCTTGCTTTGCACAGTGGCGTGGCTGTCCACGGAAAGCTTGGTCAGCACGCGGTTTGGGAAAGTTGGGGTTGATCGCGGACGCAGAGGGCATACAAGGAAAAACGGGAGAGGCATACATGGCGCAAAATGTGACGTGTAGCTTGTATATCGCCTTGGGCGCAAAGGATGAAGTGTTGTTGATTGATCCCGAGCCGTTGGATGTTTACCAGGTTGCCTAGGCGGTAGTAGGGCGCGGCAGCGCTTGGTCTCGCGTAGCAGCAAAATGGGAATCTTGGCCGGCTAAACTGTTCCACGACCCCAGAGTTTATTAGAAGAAAAATATTTTCATGAAGTAATGATATATCACATCTTGACTATCCAACCTTCCTGGGATGACATCCATCCCTTATTTTCTTTTTGGCTTATTACTAGGCAATTTGGGCGGCTTTGTTTCGTCGTTTGTGGAGGCTCCAGAGCCACTTTTGCACCTATACACCTTCAACACAGGCGCTTAAGAGTCTGAAAAATATCAAAATGAGAGCGGTATACTGTTATTCCAATAGATAGCTAGCTTGGACACTGGCGAGCTGACAAACACTGCCGAGTGAAGTTGTTTGCAAATCCTCACCCCCACCGCACACCGACAGGGTCTCATAACTAAAAAGGGCCAACGGCTGGCCAGCATCGTCATCACGCATCACGCACGCCTCTGCCCAAGTGCCAGGCTTTCCTACCCAACCAACCCGTGTGTTTTGAGCCATGGGGACACAGGCAGGGGAAATTCGAGCTCTCATCCGGTCCTCGGATCTGCACCCAGTAGAACATGCGATCCTGACTGATTTCTTCCTCGGCGCCGCAAGTGACCAAGACGCGGCCATGCACGAAATCCGCCGGCGAGTCCTTGCAAGTCCCAGCGAGCCTATTGAGCGCGTGTTGCGCCAGTTAAAAACCGATTGGCGCAGTGTAGCCTCCGCAGGTCTGCGCTGCCATCTGCGGTCGGTTCTTTGGCTAACTATCAAACAGCTCTGGAGCAGAATCCCGTCGGCGACAGGCTCACTGCCTTGCTTATGCGCCGAGATCAGGAGCGCTGTTGTATCAGCCCCCCGCATTGTCCGCCGCTCAAAGCTCCCAGCCCAGACTACATTCTGTCGCCCGGCCTCGAGCCTCTCCTCCGCCCGGAGAGCCACGACCCGCAAGCCAAGCTCCTGCAGGCCTTTATCGCACCCAAGAATGTCGCGTACCTGCGCACCGTGCTAGGCGAGAGCGAAACCAATACGAGCAATGCGTGGCTCCTATCGCCCGGCCTGGGCGCGGCTATGCGTCGTCACAAGTTGACTCTACAAGAGTTGACTGGTCTACCACGCCGTGCCCTGGAGCCCATCAACATGGCAGTGATCAAAGAAATGCGGGTATTCAAAAAAGAGCCAACTTGTTGCGCTATTCGAAATACTTATTCGTGTCACAGTTTGGCGCATTCTCCTATGACTCTACCTTGCAATGTTGCGACGGAAGCCCCTTGCCACAAGACCGGATGAACCTCGTCAGGCTCAAAACAGACTCGCCCGAGCTTCCACTGCCGTCCCCGTATCTTCTACAACTACAAAGGGCATTTGCAGAGACCCTCGAACAGTTTTCCGTCGAGGAGGAATGCTTGAAGCCATGGCCAGTACGCCAAACAGCCAGTATGTTAAACACAAGCCCCCTTACACCTTTACTTTCATCTGAATTGTGGACTGACCAAGGACTTTAATCTGCTAGAATTCTGGAATCGAGGTTGGCTCTTATTCTTTCGCCGCCTCTGGCACTTTGTGCCCCGATTCATTCGAACCTATGTCTATAGAATGCTTATTTCATCTGAAAAAGGAAGACTCGTACAGATATACAAGTCACAGTCTGCTGGGCTAATTGCGAAAATAGATGGGGGGAATGAGGCGGCAGCTCTTGCGCTTCTGGAACGAGAAGCACCCGGCGTGCCGGCACCCCTACTTATAGACACGTATACCGACGAAGGCAATGATGTTGTCATCATGACACAAGTACCAGGCCAACGGACTTTGGATGTTCTTTTTCGCATGACATATCAAGAGCGCCGTCAGCTTGCCGACGACTTGGGCAAAGCAGTTGCGCAGCTGCGACGCGTTCCCAACCGCTCCGGGTATTTGTTCACTGGAGTAGCGAGGAATCGCAACCAAGGAGCCCGAATATGCGATGCCGTTGTTGGCGATCAAGCATGCGGCCCTTTTCATAGCGAAGACGAGTGGAATCTCTCCATGACGGGCGGCGAGATTCAGTCGTGGCGCTTGAGACATCCTGAGGCACTTTCGTCGCCTAAACATGGATCTGTCTTTACTCACGCTGACCTACACCTAAATAACATTCTTGTTGATGGAGGCCAGTTCTCTGGCATTGTTGACTGGGAGATATCAGGGTTTTATCCGGAATACTGGGAAAATGCCAAGGGTATGAATGCCGGCTTAAATTGCGAAGAGTCTCAACCGATACACAACATAATCTGGAAAGATAAATACAAGGCTGAATGCGACTTAGTGGCGGCTCTTATGGCTGCCTTCCCTTGGGGGCCACCACGCATTCAGGCGGTATGAAGCAGGCGGATTTCATGGATCCGTCTTGGCCACGCTGTATCTTGTGTTGCTGCCCTGCCTCTCACGCCGTGCATCAGCTAAATCGGACGAAGCCACCAGTCAAGGCCCAATAATGTTTGTTCAAAAAGACTAGAATATGGTGAGGAATCTGGTTTATGTTAACCCCTTTGCTCCAACCATCCGCCTCGTGTAGTTGCCACCAGCCAGGACGAGTATGCTTAGTTAGCCTTGGATACCTTGACAATACTCTTACGCAACGGCCCCAAAAGTGTTTCTAGATACAGCTTGAATTATAGGGGAAATTCAAGAAAATTTGGATCCACCCAATCTAGCTATGAGCACATTGATGCAACATGTCCACGAGGCACACGAAGACCGCGTTGCCCTAACAGGACCGAAAATAATTTGTCCATACGCCCAACACCGTCGCCAATGAATTCAAACGCGCTAATTTGTTCCATTCTCCTCCTTCATATCTGTGTCATCGCCAACGAGGACTTTTGTCTTGGGTGGGGGGCGTTCGCCGGCTTTGTAGCCCTCGCCTGGTGTTACCGTGACCACCTTGCCGTCCTCGTCAACAAATTCAAAGTTGTAGCGGCTCAAGATGTGTGGAATCGCGGCAAGTTGAGGTCCGTAGCGACCGCTGTTTTCGTAAAGCTCAAAGAGCGGAACAGCGAGCAGCTTCATGTTCTTGGGAACGCTAAGTACCTCTGCGTGAACTGTTAGCAAACGCGAAACTAGAGTCAGGCCATGAGTTGCGGGCGGAGCATCATACTGGTCTTGGGGAGGTGAATGAGGTAGATTTTCTTGCACTCCTTGGGACGGGTGATGTGAGCGGGCAGAAATGGGTACATGAAGGTTTCAAAATTGGGCCGCCACCATTGCGACAGGCAGTCGCCAATCTCCCACTCGCCAGGCTTTTCATCCGCGCCGAGGCGGCCAACAGGTGCCAGACGCTCATCGAGGCGCACCTTGAAGCCGTCATTCTCGTCGTCCTCGGGCCGCAGGTAGTCGCCGGGGAGCTTGAAAAAGGCGTTTGCGATTTGCAGCATGAGAATGTGGGCGTGGTTGTGCTCGTGGCAGACGAGGATGCCCTCGCAGGTGCGGCGCATGCCGTGCTCGGCATAGTGCTCTTCGAGGCGCCTTAAACGTGCAATGACTGAGGGGTCCTCTTCGGGTTGTGTCTCCTTGACGCCAAAAGTGTAGTTGGAGGAGGGATAGACGCGGATCGTGGGCGGCTGGTTGCCGTTGAAGTCGAGGGGGAGGACGGGCGGACTTCCCGACTGGGTGTCGTCGACGCGTATTGTCGACATGATGGTGAATGAAGGGAAAAGGGCGAAGGAGAGACTTGGGGGCAGCGCAACTGGCGGGATCTGACGCGGCTTCTTCCAGAAAGCTCCCGGGCTGCAGCTGTCAAAAAGGTGGTGGTGCTGTTGGAGACACAAGAAAGCGGCAGCGGCTGGGCAGCAAAGAGCTGGCGCAAGCTTTGGTCCAAAAGGGGAAAGCGGTGAGTCATGAGAAACCGTACCTACCTTACCGCACCTAGGTACCTACATGCCTACACTACCTACAGCTGGTGGTAGGTACCTACAGTGGTGTAGGTAGGAACGCTGGGCGCAGAGACAACCTGAACCTGAATTCCGATGATGATGGAATTTTTTTACGAGATGGATTACCTCTGAATGATTTATATTCGGTTTCGGTTCCCTTTTTTTCTTTTTGTTTGCCAATTTAATTGGCGCCCAGTGTGCTGTGATACCTTGCCCAGCGTATTCGGGTTACGAACAAGACGAGCCTAACTACCTAATTTGTACAGCATTGCAGCCACCGCCTCACGAATGTTACCAGCTGGCACTAATTCATCATTGAGCTTTGGCTCAAACTGATACAGATGTAACTCTGACAGCTTGCAATAAGTGGCGTAACATGATACGGAGCGATCTGATTGGCAGCCGTACTTGGGCGGGCGGGCAGGGCGCAAAACAGCAGTACATAATTTGAGGCCACAGATTTGATGCCTTGATGGCCTATTAATCTACCCACTCTATGGGTTTTCGATACGCCAGTACAATCGTAGCCCTACCCCAGGAACCCGGTAAAATATGTCGTATTGACCGCCACTTATACCCCTCCATGATAACGAATAGGCGTGGCTCTCCCGCTGATCAGAGATAAGAGTAAGTAAATACTAAGAGTCTATGAGCTGCGGAAAAGAAGCCCGACTCAGTTCTTTTTCGTAGTCTGTCTCTTCCTCCCTTTGTCCGTTTTGGTAGGGGCCTTTTGTAGCGAGCGCCTGAGCCGCTGGACAATGACCTCCGAGCTAAGACAATGGTGACGTGCATCACAGCACAAGCTTGGTTGATCGAGTAGATCAGTAGCCAATGGGACCAAGAGAATCGACGACCCCGGGACAATAAAGAATAAATAATGTATAGTGCAGGCATCTACACCCCAGACAACCAGTGGCGACCCACGTGACGAGGTGGGATGGGCCGCCAACATTGGGCCATCGCCAATGATAACTGGAAGCCACCAAACAATCTCCACGACGAAAGGCAAAAACCAAAATCACCTGCATGCATTGTCCGCCTCGTTGTCGTCCCAAAACAAGGCGATCGCGCCCCAGCCCCGACCTCTGACTGCACCTGCCTGCCACCGTTTCTGCGTCATGCCCCCGCTGGAAACAAGCATAGCCATTCATCCGTTTAGCGTCGCCCGTTGACACTGGACACTGGACACTGGACACTGGAACGTGGAACGCTGACACTGGACAACAATGGACGTGGCCGCCAGCTTGCACGACCGTCTCCGCACCAGGCTGGACCATCTCGAGGCCAAGCTCGAGGCGCACCGCCAGGAGCTGTTGGACGAGTTTCACCAGCACTACCACCAGCTGACGCGCACCGCAGATCCATCCGCCGTCGTCACCATGCAGCACCAGCTTCGAACCACCTTGGACCATTATAAAACACTCCGTCCGAGCCTTCCAGCAACGAATCCGCCTCTGCCGCATCCGCCTCAGCCCGCCGCCGCGCCAGCAGCTGAGTCACCTCCTCGGCCGCCTGTCAGCGATAACCCCGAGACGGCGACCACGTCTCAAACTCTATCGCTAGCGTCAACGCCTGCCGACTCCGGCAATCTAGTCGCTCCAGGCAGCCCACGCGACCGTGACCACGAGCTACAGGGTCTCTTCACGCCGAGCTATCTCCCTCTGTTGGCAGATTCGGACGTAGCCGCCGACAGCATACCCGCCGTCACAACCACGGCTGCTGCCATTTCCTCCCAGCAGCCCTCTGTCGTGGCCGGCAGCCCAAACAGCGCCGACAACGGCTGGATGCCTGCGACTGAGAACCTCATCGCCAACAGCACGACCAGCGCCGAGATGAATCAATCCGCCGACGAAAACCGCTTTCCCGGTGGCTTGACAACACCACCCCGGCATCGGCCGCGCGAAAGTGAGCCTGCTGACGCTGCGACGGCCGACGACGCAAACTCGTCAGCCTCATCTGACAAGGGCGACAACAAAGGTCCCCGCAGCGCCCTCCGACGATACTCCAGCATATATAAATCGCCCCAGAGCCCTAGACGTGTCCGGTTCGAGTTTATGGGTGCTGAGGTCTTGCCCACTGCGTCTCCGCAACCCGGCGATACCATGATGCCGTCATTACCATCACCCATGTGGGAAGGCGAAAACGTGACAGTGGACTCGGTCCTGGGAGGTGATGCCGACGACTTGGAGCCCCCGCCCTTCAAGAAGATTTCCTCGTCCGATGCTCTTCGGGCACTATCAAGAGAACCGCTGGAAGACGGCACGGTATGGACTGTGGTGAATCCCGACTCAGATAATGTCGTCACGAATCAAATGCAACAAGTAGACTTGGGCAAGCCATTGGCAAGCACGGAGCCGGGAATGCAGCAGATTCGACAAGACACCGGCAACGACACAAACGCACCCGATAGTAGTTTTTTAGACCTGAAGAAGACGAGGGTCGCAACTCCCCCGCCTCTCAATAAGGCGCCTGCCAACGCCTCAGACGTGGGGGACGATGGCGATGACATGTTTGAATTCGAAGATGAAGGCGGCAAGACCTTGTCATCATGGCCGCCACCCTCATCTGCAGATGAAGACGAACAGAGCGAGGATGAAACTGCAGCGGACGTGGCCGCATCCTTCGACGAGCTCAGCACATTGCGCTCGCCGACCACCGTCGCGCCCGCGCCCATGCCCAAACCCAAGGCCGAAGCCCCCGCACCCGCCACGCCCACCACACCTCGCTTCCACGTCGGCTCAGTAGGCTCCTACAAGGGCCGCTCCATCATGATGCCCGTGGTCAAGGACCCCGAAGTCCACGCCAAAGCGGCCTCCATTGGCATCTTCAACTCGTTTGTTGGCGGCGTGGATGGCACGAGCGGTATGGACGCCGCCGACCTAAGCAGCTACAGGGCCAGTTTTATGCGCGATACTTTTAGCGGCACGCCGCGGAGCTTTACCGAGCGCCTGATGATGGAGGACATGGAAGCAGATAGGCTGAAGGAGAAGCCGAACGAGCAGTAATTGTGCTTTGGAACGAGCGAAAATTCTGCAGGAAACGGGTGTATATTGGGATTTTTTGCAAGAGGTTGCTTTTATATATACTGACTACTTCAAACGGGTACATGGATTTTGATTTGGTGCGGACTGGACTGCAGGGACTAGTCGCGTACCGGCGTATGGGATTTGGTAAGGGTTGGTGCATATACGAATATCAGAGGTAAAAACACGAGGTCAAGACGAGGCAGGGGAACTGCAATGAAACAAAGGGGGTTGTGACTGTCTCTACAGCACACGACGCATCGGTGACGCAGGGTGTTGAGCAGAGCCAGGTGCACACGGGTCGGTTATAGCTTGAAGAGTAATACGGTACTAGAGATATCCAAGAAATGAGAATCTTTTCGCAAGAATACAACAAGCAATTGTCACCATAGCGCTCCCTTTACAAGTAAACCCAGCTGTTGACAATCCATGACGAGGTCCTGTGAGCGAGTTGATGACGGCGACGGCGCTTCGCAAAAAAGATTTAGTAATGAAAAGCAGAGGAAGCCCGAAGGCCGGAGCTCCAGGTACTTTGTGAGACAATTGAGAATCAATAATACAACCTTGTTGAATTCTCTTTATCTTGACAAGTGCCAGACCACACGCTGCTGTCCGTGCATCCGTTGCCAAGCTCGGCAGATGGGATGAATCTGGAGCAAACAAGAGTTTAGAAAAGAGTAGCGACACGTGGTGGTATCGACCGATGGCCTCATGTCCGATGCAACCCTGCACCCTACTCACTTGAGAAGTCTTATAAAAAATGTCGTCCGAAATCGTACTCTGGGGCCCGCCAATTGTGAGCCCCCCTACACCGACTTGACTACCGTCCCATGGTGTCGCACAGACGTGGTAAGAAAGGCCGCGGGAATTGTTTATTTGGATTTGATGGGTGAGGGAGACGTAGATGTGCCAGGTAGAGTTGCCGGGCAGAGTGCCGCGTAATAGCGATTACAATGAACGACCTCCTCTCGGGTGCTCACCATACAATGATAGCAGGAGGAAGGCGCGGCAATTGCTGTTGGTGGCTTAACTGACAAGAGCTCCGCCAATGGAATGTTCATGGAAACGGTCAAGATGATGGAGAAATCGATTGCCCCCGTAGATAACTGGCAGCCATGCGGGATGGCTTTTTACTGGTCGCACAACACGTTCCGCTGTGCCGTGTCTCACGGCGCTCCGCGTCACCACCAACCCTCTCACCGTTGTCGGCATTGACTCTGCCTTAGCTAAGTCTGGCTGCACACAACCGCGTCAGTGGAAACATGTGGTACACAGGTTCTACCAACTGCATGTCGCGTTTGTGCTCATGACGACATCCTACAGGAGCGTCGTGTTTGTGGGCAAAGCCTTCAGTTATCGTTGGTTAAAAAAAAAAGACCGATTTGGATTACTCATGTCAATCGACCCATGTTTGCAAAATCGTAGTCAAAGGAGCTCTCGATCGCTGTCGCAATGCCCTAAGTTTAGAGAGCGAATGTATAACGCGTGCATGACGTAGTCGAGTTTGTGTTGAACCCAAAGTATATAAGAGCCACGGGCGAGAAGAAGCGGCTAAAGTCGAGCGAAAAGAGAGAAATCAATTACCGTTTCATCACCAATTGCAAATAGACAAAGGAGAAAAAAAGCAAAATGAAGGACTCCAAAGACGTGATCCAAGAGTTCAACGAGCTTGTCAACATGACAGCTTCAGAGCTCGAAACATGGCTCGCGTCCAAGGACTCTACCGAGGCGGGCTGGTCCAAGGACGACAACGGCGAGGAGACTGTTGGCCACGAAAGCGGCCGCAAAATCACCGAGATTTTAAAGTCGAACCCCTCCAAGGACGCCCAAAAGTACAACGACGATCAGATCAGCCACATGCGCAAGGTGGTGGCGTACTGCAAGCGCCACCTGGCGCAGGAGCAGCAGAGCCTCGAGAGCAAGTCGCCGGGCGAGGCGAAAAAGACCAAGTCGTACATTTCGCTCAAGAACTGGGGCCATGATCCGCTGAAGAAGCAGACAAACGGGAAGCAGTCGAGCAAGGGGGGCAGTGATGGGGAGAAGGAGAAGAAGGAGGAAGAAGAAGTGGACGGCGGCAAGACAGCAAGCCGAAACGGCGACGGGGACCAGGAGGCGGACAAGGAGGCGGGCGAGAAGCGCAAGAGAAGCGACAAAGACGACGCGCCGGAGCCCAAGAAGCAACAAACCCGACAAGGTCAGTTTGTTACAATGTGCTGGATACGAAGAACAAGGGGGGGGATCTGTGATTGACGCTAAAGAAAAATATCCCATAATTAGGCTCCGAGCAGGAAAAATCCGACGCCGGGGAGGACACTGCCGACGACGACACAGCAAGCGATGAGGAAGCCGGAGAGAACGGCAAGGCAAAGGCAACGTCAAACAAGGGACCAAAGCCCGGTGAGACGGTTAGTTGGAACTGGGGCAACGGGCAGCCCAAAGGCAAGGTCCTGGACGTCAAGGAGGAAAAGTACGTGATGCCATTCATGGCGTTTGTTCGGATGCTGACTGTAACAACATAGGGCCACCATTACGACCAAGCGAGGGAACAAGGTCTCGCGCGAGGGCGATTCTGATGACCCAGCAGTCATCCTCGACACTGGGAAGAGCAAGGCGATCAAGTCGGCACATGAGCTCAATTAGTGTTTCCTGGGGATGAAAAGGTCTCTTTTGTACTAGTTTTTGGTTATTTTAATGGATGTAACGAGTCGCAAATCTTGTCGCAGTTCTTTACGACTAGCCAGTTGACCTGCCACCCTGAGAGCTTGCTCTTTGTTTGAATCGTCGTCGTGGTTGTTCAAAAGTGGCGTCTGGGGGCACACCCTCCATCTGTCGTAGCCGCCACACCACCCAGATGAAGAAAAGAGCTGCATGAACTACCCCGGCTTACGGTCCCAGGGCTACGGTTGGCAAGGGTCTCGACCTGGGATGCTTGTCATGTGAGGGCGGGAATTGCCAAGTGAACTTAGAAGACGCCAAGAGCCGTGAGCAAGATAATGTAGCAAAGTGATTTCTCAAAGATTCCGTTTCTGACGTTACACCATTCCTGCGTAGTTTGTGTTTGTGCTCCCGCCATCTCCACGGGGTGGAGGGGACAGGCGAGTCACTTTGGGTTGGGACTCCAAAAGTGAGTGGCTCGTCGCGCTCATCATGTTCGGTCAACAAATGGCAGTCGCTGTTCGGAGCTGGGATGGGTGCGAAGCTGCCTGAGATGGCCTTGGGAAGCGGGGGGCACGGTGAGCATGACGAATGAAGGGTGACGCGGAAAGGTCTCCAAGGGCTGGCGAGCGGCTGTGTATGCATGCGGATCAACAAAGCCGAAGAAGAAATGTGCCCTTTTTGGGGGCGCTTTGCAGTGCTGCACGAGTCATCTCTGAACGATAGGATGTGGGCGGAGTGTTGTATTCCATACCAGGCAAAGGATTGTTACGGTGGGCGGTTGCGGTCAGCTGGTGGTGAAGGGGGGGCGGGATCGGCTGGTGGTGCAAGGGCACCCATTGGCGGCGAGGCCACGATCTCCGGTTTGGTTGGCGTCGTGTCAGTGTCAGTGTGCCAAACAGTCCAATCTTGAGCAAGCTTCAATGCACTTCAGCCCAACAGGCCAGCCAGGGTCGGACCTGGTCGAGCCAGATCCAGCCCCCCTTCTTCGGCCACGACTTCCATTATACGACGTGCGTAGTATTGATGATATCGATGAACGAGGAGCCAATAGACTCCACTGGAAGAGGGTAGACGGATCTGCCACACAGACGCAGCCTACCTATGTACCGAGGGCCGCGTGGGCCACGGAGCTACGCCATACGAGCTGAGTGTGGCAAGGAGTCATCTCAAAGGCTGTCGATGGGGAGAGATTGGGATGTGTGTGTCATGGGGCGGGAATGATGGAACATGGAGTGTGTTGATGAGCATGTTGGTGCAAGACGTTGAAAGCGTTTGCAACGTCTCGATTGATACCACTTTGTTAGTTTAGTAGTGAATGACCAGCTTAGGTAATGCGATAGCAAAGGTACCTTACTTGTGACTATGTAGGTACCAGGTGTCGCTCGGCAGGCTGTCCCTGTAATACAGAGGCCCACTCCCTACCGTCCCGCTATAAAGCTCTTCTCCACCACTCAAAATGCCCTGTCCGTCTGTCCGGGTGCTTGCCGTCGTTTGCTTGCCTGCCTGCCTGCCTGTCTGGCCTGCCTGCCTGCCCGTCTGCCTGCAACCAGGCTGCTGCCATTCACAGGCCAGCCAATGCAGCTAGCTACCTGACAAAGGTAACCAGTAACCAGTCCAATCAAATAGTAACAGTCCACTGTAGTAATCCACCAATCCACCAGCCAGCGCCGCGCAGTCGGCAGGCTCTGTGAGACCCAGACCCCAAAGCAAACCTGGACCGCCTTTAATAAGTCGTCACAAATCCATCCCCCACGGCGGGACACTATCGAGCTCTCACCACCATCAATGGTCCGCAGCGCCGTCTCTCCTCTACGTCGACTGCTTCTTCCTTTGCCCATTTCTCGCCTTCCTTCTCGCCTGATACCCGTCTCGACATCCCCCCGTTGCTGCCATCACACTATGCCTCCTTCAGCCCTGCCGGACCCGGCGTTCGCTCTCGGCCGTCACAAGTCGGTTACACTCTTGACCGACCGTCTTGAGAAGCCCTCGCTCGACGATAGAGACTACCGCGTCATCCGCCTCGACAACGGCCTAGAGGCCCTTCTTGTCCACGATCCAGAGACGGACAAGGCTAGCGCTGCCCTCGACGTCAATGTTGGTAGCTTCTCCGACGAACAAGGCATGCCTGGCATGGCCCACGCTGTCGAGCATGTGAGTGGCCCGATGCGCAATTGATGTAGCTTTCAACTGACATTTCTATAATTTCAAGCTCCTCTTCATGGGAACCAAAAAGTTTCCCGTCGAAAACGAGTACAGCCAATACCTCTCCTCCAACAGTGGCAGCTCCAACGCCTACACAGCCGGCACTTCGACAAATTACTACTTCGACGTCGCTGCCAAGCCAGCCAATGACGAGGAACCTACCGAGACCAACCCTTCGCCCCTCCACGGCGCTCTGGACCGCTTTGCGCAGTTCTTTATCGAGCCGCTGTTTCTGTCGAGCACCCTCGACAGGGAGCTGAAAGCCGTCGACTCAGAAAACAAGAAGAATCTACAGAGCGATGTCTGGCGTCTCCAACAGCTGGAAAAGTCTCTGTCAAATCCCAAGCATCCGTACTGTCACTTCTCAACCGGCAACTTCGAGGTACTCAAGACCATCCCTGAGTCGCAAGGCATCAATGTGCGCGACAAGTTCATCGAGTTCCACGCAAAACACTACTCTGCGAACCGTATGAAACTCGTTCTCCTCGGTCGCGAGTCGCTCCAAGTCTTGGAGAAGTGGACTGTGGACCTCTTTTCCGCCATTGTCAACAAGAACCTGCCCCAAAACAGATGGTCAGACGAGACCCCCTTCAGATCTAGCGACGTCGGTATCCAGTGGTTCGCCAAGCCTGTAATGGACTCCAGAGAGCTGAATTTGACCTTTCCCTTCATTGACGAAGAGGAACTATACGAATCACAACCCAGCAGATATATTTCACATCTCATCGGCCATGAAGGGCCTGGAAGCATCATGTCCTACATCAAGAGCAAAGGATGGGCTAATGGTCTGTCCGCGGGCGGGTACTCCGTTTGCCCCGGCACTCCCGGTATCTTTGATGTTCAAATCAGATTGACCGAAGAAGTAAGTTGTTTCCTAATCTGCTTTCAATACTTTTCGGTCAACAGAGTTACTAACTTTCAACAGGGCCTCAAAAATTACCCAGAGATTGCCAAGATCTTCTTCCAGTATGTGTCGCTGCTGCGTCAATCACCTCCGCAAGAGTGGATTTTTGAAGAACAGAAAGGCATGGCCGATGTCGACTTCAAGTTTCGGCAAAAGACACCCGCTAGTCGCTTCACAAGCAAAATCAGCTCCGTTATGCAAAAGCCTCTGCCGCGTGAATGGTTGCTGAGTGGCCATAGCCGTCTACGGCACTTTGACGCAGAAGTAATCTCGAAAGCCCTGGACATGCTCCAGCCCGAAGCACTACGCATGAATATTGTTTCTCGAAAATTTCCTGGGAGCTGGGACAAGAAGGAGAAGTGGTACGGCACAGAATATACCGATAGCAGGATCTCCGATGACCTCATGGCCGAGCTGAAGAAGTCCGCTTCGGTCTCGGCGGCCGATAGGCTTCCAGACCTCCACTTGCCACACAAGAACCAGTTCATACCGAACAAGCTTGAAGTGGAGCAGAAAGAAGTGGCAGAACCAGCCGTTTCACCCCGGCTGTTACGCAATGATCAACTGGCCCGAACCTGGTGGAAAAAAGACGACAGATTCTGGGTACCCAAAGCCAATGTCATCGTCAGCCTGAAGAATCCCATAATACACGCCACAGCAGAGAATAGCGTCAAAGCTCGGCTTTTCGCAGAACTAGTCCGTGATGCCTTGGAGGAGTACTCATACGATGCCGAGCTCGCTGGGTTGCAGTACACCGTGTCACTCGATTCGCGTGGTCTTTTTCTGGATGTCTCGGGATACAACGATAAGCTTCCGGTGTTACTTGAGCAGGTTGCGGTGACGATGCGAGACATTGAGATCAAGGCAGATCGATTTGATATCGTGAAGGAGCGCCTGACTCGCGGTTACGATAACTGGCAACTCCAGTCATCATACTCGCAAGTAGGCGACTACATGAGTTGGCTCCATGCCGAGTCCGACTATATCATTGAGGAGCTGGCTGCTGAACTCCCAGATATCACCATTGATGCCGTGCGTAGCTTTCAGAAGCAAATGCTGGCTCAAATGTACATTGAAGTTTATGTTCACGGAAACATGTACAGAGGGGATGCCATAAAGGTGACAGATCTTCTGACGTCATGTTTTAGATCAAGAATTTTACCGCCTAATCATTGGCCTATCATTCGATCTCTCATTATTCCGCCCGGCTCTAATCTCGTGTACAAGAAGACGCTGAAGGATCCGGCCAACGTCAACCACTGTATCGAAACTACATTTTATGTTGGAGATCGGGGTGATCGCCGGACCCGCGCAAGAGCCTTACTCGCCGACCAGATGATTCACGAGCCTGCCTTTGATCAGCTGCGTACCAAGGAGCAGCTCGGCTACATTGTGTTTGCTGGCATGCGCAGCTTTGCAACGACGTGTGGTTTCCGATTTTTGCTTCAGTCGGAGCGAGAACCGGAGTATCTAGACCGTCGCGTGGAGGCGTTTCTGATTCAGTTTAGTCTGACTTTAGATGTGATGACCGACTCTGAATTCGAGAGCCACAAGAGGAGCTTGATTAACAAGAGGTTGGAAAAGTTGAGAAATCTGGACCAGGAGTCGTCGAGACACTGGGGCCAAATTTCGAAGGAATATTACGACTTTGAGCAGGGTATGTGATACTGACTGTTAGTCATATATCTAGGAGTCTAGGCTAACCATGTTTTCACAGCTCAATTGGATGCCGCGGAGGTGAAGCTCGTCACCAAGGCGGAAATGGTTGATTTTTACAACAAGTATCTCCACCCTTCCTCGACAAGCCGCGCCCGTATCGCAGTACACCTTCATGCGCGGGGGGCCGTTGAGCGCGACAACAAGATTGTAGAAGCGCTTGACAAGGCCGGCTTTTTGGATGTGCCAGAGGGGGATCGCAAGAGTATAGACTTGCTCAAGGCTCACCTGCAAGCCAAGCACAAGCCGTCCGAGTCAGATTTGGATAGCATCACTGCCTCGATCAAAGAGTTGGGGCTGGTACAGACGGCGCACCCTGAAGATGATGCCGAGGCAGTTGCCAATGGTGGAAAGTGTGCGGTTGATACTGCACAGGAAATTGAGGATGTTCGTCTGTACAAGGCGGGCCTGCTGGCAAGCTCGGGAGCGCGCCCGGTGAAGCAGCTGAGTGAATTTGAGGACATCGACCCAAAGCTTTGATTGCGGGAAATGTCGAGACGTCAAAAGGCAGCATCTGCCTAGAGGGCAAAGCGTTGTGGTGGTCCAAGGGCAACCTAGTACGACCACATATAGAAATGACAACTATTAACGAAGTTTCACGCGGATATCTGGAGCGGAGTTGCGCAGATAGGGGGGCCTTTTGTATTTCTTGTCGCCGCCGACGCATGTAGAGAGATTTAGTATTAATACAATTATTGCCTTTTGCTGGAGTGCGGAACTTGGAAGATTGCGATGTGAGCTGCAGGTGACCGTGCCCATTACGTGGCGGATTTGTTTGCTACCTACATACCTAGGTACACAATTATGGCATGACTAGCGGTCAAGTAATTCCTTACGTAGATATCTAGAAAAGCTAGAAAAGGGCAACGTTGCTTGATCTTGGAAGCGATGGCCGTCCATCTCTCCATGCCGAGCAAGGAAGGAGATGTGCCGATTGGGGTGAATAGTAATACCGTTTCAAACCTGCCTGTGCCCAGCAAAAGACTCGACACTGGGATGACGCAGCCTTGTTTGACGGACCAGGGTGGGTGGTGAGAGCCTGAGGGAAGGCTCGAGCCCAGCGGATTTTGGCCGTCTGGGGGAGAAGCTGTTGGAGCCTTTGATACGATACTCGTGAGGCGACATGTTGCACAAGGCGCGTAAGATGCATCGTAATCGTATATAAGAGGTTGGGGAGAGATGGTGCATGATGCCCTGCGGCTGATCGACTTTTACAGGCTACTGAGGTAACAGGTACTAACACTTTCCAGGAGGTAGTTCAGTGAGAGTGGGTGGTGGCCGTGAGCCGCCTTACTTTTCAGTGGCTTGCGCTTTCTTCGCAAATCAGCTTTGGTCAATCCATCTCGGAGGCAAGAAATAAATACTCGACATCGGTCATAACTGCTCCGTAATATGATAAAATCACAACGGTGCTGACTGTTTCAACTTATTATTAGATCAATCAGCTTTTTGTCCCCTCCATCTCCCTTGCCTGGTATTGCTGTGGCCATCTACCAGACCCACTCAAAGTGACTCGTCTCCCTCCACAAGCCCCGATAAAAGCCCTTGTCAAAGTTCTCTCTTTTTTTTTGAAATTCGCAAACTCCGTAAAAAGAGAGAGACAGATCGAGAGAGGGTCATCATCCTTTCTTGGGTTCCAAGAAAAAACATCCACGTCACACCAGGGTAGCTTGTTGCTACATACGCCGCTCCTGCTTCGCACCTGCGCCAACCTGCATCGCCATTTCTTTTCCAGCCCGCCGCTGCCTCTTTGTTCTGCCTTTTGAGCTGCCCGCCACGCAGCTCAACCCTTCAAAACGTCTTCCTCAAAGAAGAGAAAGCTTGCAGCCCGACTGTCCAGCACCCGGCAGCCCGACTCACCGTCGCCGGAATCGCACTCGCCCGACACCGCCCTGCCCTCGTGCGAGCCCATTGACGACCACGACCGCGACGACATCGCCGCCTACTCCTTCACCACCGTCGACGACGACGTCCGCCGGAGCCTTCACCGCGAGAGCAGCCCGGCCTACTTGCGATCCGACTCGCTGCAGCCCGCCTCCAGCCTCCCCGCCCGCCTCCAGGCCGCCGCTGCCGCTGCCGCCACCCACAGCAGTGGCACCGACGGCGCCAACGCGTACCACCGCCCATCCTCGCTCCACGACTACGCCTCCTCGGCCGCCTCGTCCCCTGGTGCGTCGGCGTATGCTGGCCTGTCCCTCAACAGCGAACGGGGAATTGATGAGGCTGGCTCTGCGGTTACGTCACTGCCCAGAGGCCAGTCTCCCTTTCGAGTGTCCAGACGGGCTATCATGAATGGTGACGCCGAGTTGCCCCACCGCTCCTCCTCACCCCTCAAGCGCCGTGCCTCCAGCATGGATCCCGAGCCGGATGCCGCGTCTCGCAACGACCACGACGTCAACATGAATTCTTCGCAAAACACGGCCCCCGCCAGGTCCACGGATGTCCCCCGGGCCATGAGCGTTGACCCGCCAGAAGGTCCTGACGCCGCCCCAGCACAGAGTAAGCTTCAAAGTCCAAACGCAGCGGCGTGACCCAAGCGTGGTACAATCTAGCTAACATCAATTGAAATTGAAAAAGACCGGCCGCCTCTTGCTGAGCAAATCAAAATTATTGAGACGCTTCTCAAGGCATTCGAGGAGGCTCCCATCGCCGAAGGCAACAAGGCCTATCTCGTCTCCAGGGCATGGGTCGACAAAGCCCGCTCGCTGCAAGGACCAAGCAAGGCCAATGCCGAAGACAACGACGTGCACATTGGCCCTGTCGACAATTCGGACATCATCGACCAGGTTATCAAGGACCCCTCAGGTACCACCTTTACCCGCCTCAAGCCCGGTGCCGATGAAGAGATAATTGTTCTCTTCCCAGAGGATGCCTGGAAACTCGTTGTCGAGTGGTACGGCATCAAGGAAGGACAAGAGCCTATCGTCCGCTCTGCTATAAACTCATCGGAGGCTGATGCCAATATTCTTTACGAGTTTCACCCCCCCATCTTTCGCGTTCACCGCGTTTGGTCGGAACTGAGCCCATTACCCATCGAGCAGGCCCTGAAAGCGAACAATCCTCCTGCTATTCTTGCCCCTAGAAGTCGCGGCGCAAACCTCCAAGCATTTTTAAAGGACATCAAGACCTGGGCGGGCATTCCTCTCGACCGCAAGGTCCTTGTCCACCAAGTCCGACTCCCCGCCCCCACCGCCATCCCAGCTGCCCAGGAAGCGGGCTCTGCATTGACGCCACCTGATTCTCCCGGCCGCGACACCCAACATGCCGACGGCTCCTGGCCTAACCTGCTGGTAGACCTGCCCACATTTGCACAGTCCCGGGAATTTCGTGAGCAACTGTCCCACATACAGGACAAAACAAACGGCAGTTATACGAGTACCGTTCAACTACATATGAAGAACCTAGTGACAGATGCGACACTAGTCCTAGACGAAGTGATTGAACCACCCAGGATTTCGGTGAGCACATACAAGGGTCAGCAAACAACGCAAAAGTCCTCGTCTGCTGGTTCTGTATTTCTATCCAAGATGAGTAGCGCTAGGAGTAGCCCGGGCCCCGAGGGCGTCATGACCAGAGGCCGTGCAGGCAAGAAGAAGACGCTTGGCCGCAGCGTTGGCGTTGTTGGCTTGCACAACCTTGGCAACACGTGCTACATGAACTCGGCGCTGCAGTGTGTTCGGAGCGTTGAAGAATTAACCAAATTCTTCATCACTGGGGCGTATGTTGCCGAAATCAACAAAACCAACCTCTTGGGTTACAACGGTAAAATAGCGTCGACCTATGGTGGTCTCCTACGCGACATTTACCAAGAAGGTCGCGGTTCGGTCAGTCCCCGAGACTTTAAGAGCACTGTCGGCAGATGTCGAAGTACTTTCTCCGGCTGGGGCCAACAGGACTCGCAGGAATTCCTTGGATTCTTGCTTGACGCTCTTCAGGAAGATTTGAGCCGTATCAAGAACAAGCCTTATATCGAAAAGCCTGATTCTACCGACGAAATGATCGACGACCCTGAAGCTATCCGCGAAATGGCTGCCAAGGTATGGGAAATCACTAGACTGAGAGATGATTCAGTCATTGCCGACCTGTTTACTGGCATGTACAAGTCGACGCTAAAGTGCCCCGAGTGTGGCAAGATTAGCATCACGTTTGACCCTTTTAACACTTTGCCGCTTCCCCTTCCGTTGGAAACTGTGTGGAGCAAGACGGTCAAGTTCTTTCCTCTGAATGATGTGCCTGTCAACATTGACGTCGAACTTCCGAAGCATAGCTCCATCGAAGCTCTCAAGGCGTATCTATCTCTCCGCACAGGGGTACCTGTTGAGCGAATGATGGGCGCCGAGGAATATAAGGAAAAGTTCTTCAAAATTTATGATAACAACCAGGATGTCTCCGACGAAATCACGCAGCCCGACGTACCTACATTTCACGAGCTAGAGTTGGTGCCTACAAACTGGCCTTCCAAGCCATCGCCACAGAGATACCGCTCAATGCTGGATGTTGATACTCAACCTGAAGATGCTGAGGATTCTGCCACAGAGAGGATGGTTGTGACCGTTGTGCACCGTCGGCCCAATAACCCCAGTCGCGCAGACGACACATGTCCGCCTCACTTTATCACTCTGACAAGGGAAGAGGCATCCAGCTATGACGCCATTCAGCGCAAAATTCTTGAAAGGGTTGCAACATTTTCCACCTGGAGCAAATTCGCCAATGATGAGGAGGCTGAGGGCACGGATACGGATATGGTGGCCACTTCGGATGCCGACTCTTCAGGAGAAGGCAAGGTGGCGGCAAAGTCAGTCGAGGGCGAAGAGGACATGGTCGATGTCACAATGAAAGATACCAGTACTACGCCTCCAGGTCAACCCGCTTTGCTGAAGCGGTTCAATAAAACGCGACCCAAATTTGTGGATGCTTCGGCACGACTCAGCCCTTCACTACAGAACTTGTTTGAGCTGAGATATTTTGCCAGCCCTAGCGACCGAGCCGTTCCTACAGGATGGCAGTCTGCAGACAACAACAGAACGTTGCCCAGTCTATCAGACCGCATACCTCAAGTGTCCGACAAGAGTGAAGAGAGCGGTACACCCGAGAGCTCAAACGGCGACGGCTCTGACAACGATAATGAAAATGAAAATTATGAAGACAAGGACGAACAGGGTAACGAAGAAGCGAAGAGCGAGTCAATCCAAACTCGTATGGTCGCAGAGTCAAGCGAGGAGGACCTTCCTCGTCGATTTGATCGTGGAGGTCGCAAACAAAGAAACGGTGGCCGGAAGAACTTCAAGCATAAATCATATGGCAAACGCGGCGCCAATCAACGAGACAGGCTCATGCGAACTGGCAAGGCCAATGGTCTTGCTCAATTAAATCCGCAGCCAATGCCCCCAGCAGTTGCCGATGGTGGTCCCCTTGTCCGTCTAGGCGAGGGTATTGCTGTTGATTGGAACGAAGATGCTTGGGAAATGGTCTTTGGCGGAAAAGGCAAAGAAAATCCGGCTGAAGGCACCAGAACTTTTCTTCGTCTGCAATCGCTACAAGATCCTATTATCAAGATCAACCAGCGCCGCCGTCAAACTCGGAAGTCGAGAGGCATTACCCTGGACGAATGTCTGGATGAATTCGAGCGGGCCGAGATTCTTTCTGAAAATGACATGTGGTACTGCCCCCGCTGCAAGGAACACCGCCGCGCCAGCAAGAAGTTTGATTTATGGAAGACACCGGACTATCTCGTGACTCACTTGAAGCGATTTAGCAGCAGCGGCTGGCGGCGTGACAAGTTGGACGTGCTGGTCGACTTTCCGATTGAGGAGCTTGATTTAACGGCACGTGTGATTGAAAAGGAGGATGGCAAGTCGGAAGTGTACGACCTGATCGCCGTCGACGACCACTACGGTGGGTTGGGCGGCGGCCACTACACAGCCTACGCCAAAAACTTTGTGGACGGCAAGTGGTACAACTACAATGACTCTTCAGTAAGCCTCGTGTCGGACCCGCAGTCTGTTATTACCAGCGCAGCGTATCTGCTCTTTTACAAGCGTCGTGCATCTGGGCACCTGGGCGGGCCGCGCTTTGCAGCCATTCTGGACAAGTACGAAAGGGACACGACGGAAGGAGAAAGCAGCGGGGACGATGATGCTGGCGGCAAGACGGATGAAGATCTTCCAGCGTACACTGGGCGCGGACTTGGAGATAGACGACCAAGCACGGAGGATGAGTCGGGGCCCAGCACGTTGCTGGCGCCGACTTGGAGCTTTGGGCCTCTGGACAGCGGAGCCGAGCAGTCAGCGGGGCCGGCCAGCGACGTGGCCCAGTGTGAGTCGTCGGAAGATGACAGCAACGCGCAAGCCATCTATGACACAGTCATGGCCGGGGGTGGGGAGAGCTTGGAAGGCCTCATTGCGGGAGAATTCGAAGGGGTGGTAGCCGGAGAGGATGAAGCGACGGAAATTGACGCCGAGAACTCGAGGGCTTAGTAGGTGGAGAGGGTATGGGTTATGAACTGAGAGGGTTTCTTATGACGAGGGCGGAAATCATGCCAGTTGGCAACGGCGGCGGGTCAGCTCGTGATGGAAGTAGCCGCGGGTCATTTTTATATACACATGATATTTATTAACAGCATGGATACGGGAGGTAGAAGGGGCAGCGCTTTGCAGTTATTTGCAAGGAGAGAAATAAAAACTATAGATTTACAGGCGTATACTTATGATGGCTGTTTTGCTCTGACGGGCGGATGCGCTGGGATGGAGAGCGGCTGACAATTCTGGGTGCTTGGGACAAGGCGCGTAGCGCCGATTGGTGATGTGCAAGTGCCGAGAGGAGCGCGGGAGGCGCAGGAGTCGCAACAGTTTATAACTACAAATTATTAGATGCCGAAATGTGCGAATGTAGAGTGACTGGAAGGGGAATGGCGGGCTCGGTTGGGCACGTCTTGGGCGAGCGAGGCAGAGGTTCCTGATAACTAGTTGGGCGCCCCGAGGGGGCCGGGGCAAGTAGAGTTTGAAAGGTGATGTATGCTGCTGGTGAAGAAACAAGTGACGGCAGATGCTGGCCGGTGGTTTCTTGTACGTTTTGTTTTCTCCCTTTTTTTCTCCCTTGTCTCAATTTTTTAGGTTGGTGGTTGAGAGTGACAAAGTCGAGAACATGGAAAGCGGTCGTTGCTTGAACTAATCTACCCTGGCCCCTGTTCGGCAGAGCTCTCACGCAGGCCCCCTGGTAGTGCGGTTTTCTAGAAGGCTTCCAGACCGGGATGCTGGTTGTTGGAAGGGGGAGAAGGGAGGGGCTGGCCATAGAGAGGTTCGTTCTTGTTTCTTCCGGGCTTGGAGATGATGTGCCGATTGATGGCAGGAGGGAGAGTGGAGGACAGAAAAAGCGGGAGAGAAGGAAAGGGAAGTCAAGATGGCGCCAGATGGTGGTGGGAATCGGATGACTTGATTGGGTGTGATTGGGTGTGGTGCGTGGTCGTGGTGGTCGTGATACCCGAGACAAGAGACGGGATTTTGGTAACTAGAGATGGAGTAAAAGGGCAGGGCACGGGAATTGTAGGACGGAGAAGAAGGCGCGTCCGGCATCGAAGCTAGAGTAGGTGCCGTTGTTTTTATGGTTGACCGTTTCTGCGATGGCTTGATGATGATGATGGTGTTGAAACGGTTCCCCCACTGCGGGAAACGTTTGATGAGTGACGAGCCAGTGTGGTGGATGTGATTAGTGATTGTACGAAGATGTGTGTGGGTAGGTGATATTTGAAACATGGTATATCCTTTTCTTCTTCATTGTTATTATTATTGTTGTTTTATTATTCGTGTAAATTGCATCTGTATGTCGCAGGGAGGCGGCCGGATGCCGCACCGTGCTGCTGCATGTCGCGGTATGGATTCTAGGCGCATATCAAGGCTGCTCGCCCTGCAGGAGAAATGTGTCCCATGTTTTCCCTTGAGGAGAGCGGGGGGGGGGGGAGGGAATCCGTGTTGTTTGGCGCGTGTAGTTTCCTATTTGGTTTTTATCAGGCAGTTTTTATACCACAGCTTTTACGCGGATGGCGGCATTGACTGTGTCGCAGGTCTAGGGCTGGCGGTGCAGGGGCATCATGGAAAGGCGCCCTGTCCGGCTGCTGGTTCGTGGTAGAAAAAAAAGGGGGGCGTAATGCGGTGTGTTGACGGCGTTGAGGTCTGTCTTGTGCCCCCTTTGGAATGTCTGGATAACTAGTTCGTTATTAGGTAGGTAGGTAGTTATCTGTGTGTGCGGGGATTAGATTTGCGCACGGGCACAGAGAAAAGACAAGGGTGGATTTTTTATTTGATGCAGGTCTGAGGCCGTCATGGAAGGAAAAGAAGCTTCCATTTTCGATTCTGGAATCCCGCCCCCGCAGCGCTGTGCGTGTTGGATTTTGTGTGTGTGGTTCTTGGTACATAGAAGCCTAAGAAGCCTAGGCCTACTGTTCCCCTTTTTTTGCAAGTTCCCCGCTCGTTTGACGGGTGGCTCAACTCCCGCTTACCAAGCGACTTCGCTCAATGCCCAGCGCCACAAGTGTTCGGGGATTTGATTGTTTGCTTCATGTTATTTGACGCCGTCCAATTTGGGCATCTTGTTTTTTTTCCTTTTGTTCGGTGAATGCAAATCCGTCACGCGATAGCCGCCATTTTCGCCATTTTTATTTAGATCTCCTCGTTAGAAATTGCAAGTGGCGAAATCTTGCCCACCATCATCAGAACCAAGTCAAGCCACAAAGCCAGTAACAGATGGCCGGTCGACCCCTGCCATTGGACATGGTTGTGGCCACACCCACCCAGACTCTTGGCTCCCGGCTTCTTTGGCTTCTGTAACGCTTCCAATGGCCGCCCCCCCCTCCCCCCATCTGTACTGTACCTCTTTAGGCCCCCCCCCCTGTGCCCTCTATCCTCTATCTTGTCGGTTCTCGTCCCCTGTCCTGCAGCCGCCTGAGCCACCTGCATGCACACCTGCGACCTGCTCCTCCTCCTCCTGCAGCTGCAACCCTTTTGGCTTTTTTATTACATTGCCCTTCTGTCTTCCTTCGCTGAGGCTTCTGTCTCGTGTATCGTGTCAAGAATACCACAGAATACAGTGCACTGCCTGCCTGCTTTCCTACCCCTCCCTGTCCGCCGCACGCTCGCAGCTCCTCTCTGCACATGCTTGATGCCAGATGGTCCTGATGCTTCATGCTCACCCTCATCGGTCCCCCCCCTCCTCCTCCCCTCCCCCCCCAAAACACGCCCCAAAGTGTCCTGCACACCACTACAATTTCAATTCTTTGTAAATCCATCCCAATCCTAACCGCCACGCCGCTGTTCATCGCCGTAGTTTGCTGTAATAATTTCGAATTTATCCCCCAATCTTGTCTCCATCTCCCTACTAACCTGCCGCTTCTGCTTCCTGCCCACCCCCGGCTCGCCCGTTTGCCATCACCATCCCAAATCATCCATCTCTCTCCTTCCCCATCTTCTCATCCTCTTCCGGTCTCTTTTCCCTCCTCCATCCACCCTCTATGCCATGATGCAGTTTTAACCCGCCCATCCATCCGCCCACCCGCCCATCCGCTCATTACCACAATCCCGATACCGACACTCGAACCCGTCGCCTCTGAGCCATCGTCGTTTGTCGATTCGATTCGCTCAACCACCATCACACCACCACCTCCATCGTCGACCCAATACGCTAGTCCACGCGGCGTTCCCGACCCTGTTCCAACTATCCCACACCACGAAACCCTCATATCTGACTGGACCGTTCCCGCCTTCCACGTCTTCTTTTTTTTTCTTCCCCCCCCAACACATCCACTTTATGGCGCTCGCCTCTTGCGCTCCTTCTCCACCCTTTTACGCCCTTTTGCGCTGAGACGCCTGCAAGGCCTGGTCGTTTTACTCCTTCACTTGCTCCCTCCAGACTCCGAGTCGCCCTGTCTGCCCTGTCTCGCCAGACCTTCTCGACCAAGCACGCCACCTTTTGCCTCCTGGCCGCCTTCGTCGCATCGCACTCGCATCTGGCAATCCCGACTAGAAACAACCAGCCCGCCAGTCCTGAATTGCCCTTGGTTTTCTGCCTCTGACAGCCGTTGCCAACAACGAGCCGACGCTGAACAGCCCCCGGCCAGACCAACCCAATGCAAGCCGTTGCCAGCCTCGACAGCCAATCTCAGCCTTGACCAACCAACTCGTCTTCGCTTCACCCACACGCTCACGCACTTTCCCTCGTCTCTCTCGCCGCCTCCACCGGCTCTCGTTATTTTTTAACCCTCCACCTACCGGCGCGGTGACCTGCCACCACCATTCGCTGTCTCTTCCCCCGAATTTCGCCCCTTGGCCCGCGATTTTTCCGCCGCGCCCACCATCACCCTCCTTCTGCGCCCACACCCGCGCATTGCCTCGACGTCTCTCATCGCTCCCATCTGCTCTCCGCTGATTGACCGCTTGCCGTCCTCGTCTCTATTCCCTTTCTCTATCCCTTCTCTCTCCGAAATCTCCCAAACTCGACTGGGACCCTGCCATAACCGCACCGCAAAGGGGGGTTTCTACGCAATCGCATCCTCGCCCCCCTCCGTGTGGTTGACGTGCTCCGGTCGCGAGACTGGTAGCCTTTCGTTGCCACCATGGATAGCACAGCTTGCCATGTCATCTACGTCAATCGCTCTGTCGCTCATAATCGCATCGTCTCCGCTCCCCCCGACGACCAATCGTCAAATGACGACGACCAATACCCTGACCACGTTCGTCGCGATATTCAACCTCTGCTGGAAGCATTTGGAGATGGTACGCCCCCGACCTACCTTACCCTTCTCTCTCTCTCCAACGCGTTCCTCTTTCTCTTAATGATTCTTTCTAACCCCTCGCAGTATACGTTTGCTCGACAGGCTCAGCCTGTCTCCAACATCTTCTCGCCCTCCAAGAAGATACCATCTGCTCCATGTCCCCCGCCATTGTATTAATTGACACGCCTCATAATGCGCAAATACGACCTTCCCACATATCTTCGTCGCCCATTTGGTCTGCCACCTCCACCATGTCCGACTCGGCCCAATCTTCTCAGATCCGCCCCCCGGAGGATGAAATCTACGGTCTCAACCTTCTCCAGAAAATCATCACCGAGTCGCACCTGCGTTGCATGGCCAAACGCGTTGTTCCCATTCCCGTCATCTCCTATCCCGAGCCCACCTCCGACCAACCACGCGAGCAAATGACTGACGGTGCCACCGACGTGCTCGCTCCTATTCCTCTCAACACACTCGCCGCACATCGTCCGCTCATTGGACAGTGCCTCGATCTTGGCGCCGTCGATGTCATCATCAGCCCTCTTAGCTCAAAGTGCATCACTACGCTCGAAATATGCGCTTACAAGGCGCATCGGGACACTGCTCGTGAGCAACAAGAACTCCTCGAGATTACCCATGGTCGCAAGCGCTCCTGGGTCGGTGTCAGTGACCAGGAGCCTTTCGCCTACCTGCGCGAGGCCATGGTCTCCAACCTCATGAAGGGTATTTGCCGCATGACCCCCGACAATACCATTGCCACCACTCATGTTTCCGTTTCGGCTCAACGCCAATCTGACATTGCCTCTGCCGTCTCCAAGTGGCACTTTTGCGCCAATTCATTCACCGATGACGAATTGCTCGTTGCCGCCATGTTCATGTTTCAGCATGCACTCTCTATGCCTGAACTTGAGCCCTGGCGCCTTCCCGCTGGTAAGTTTTGACACCGCTTTTGACACCGCATCTATGGTCGACGGTGGCTTCAACCGGCTCGGACCAAGCCAAACCCTTGTTGTGAAGCCAACCAAGCTGTTGAGCCGTCGTAACCGTTCAATGACAGGCACCCATAAACTGACCACCCATTAGATCAACTCATCCAGTTTCTCGTCGCGTGCCGTACCGCTTACAACAGCTTCGTTCCATATCACAACTTTCGCCATGTCGTCGATGTCCTTCAGGCAACGTTCCACTTCCTCGTCAATGTTGGTGCCTTGACCAGCTATCCCGTTCGAGACCCCACGACACCCGTTTCCAAATCTCCCATTGCCTCGCTCTTAACCCCGTTTGACGCCTTGACCCTACTTATTACCGCCATCGGCCACGATGTCGGTCATCCTGGCGTCAACAACGGTTTCCTGGCCACCTTGAACGCCCCGCTCGCTCAGCTCTACAATGATCGCTCTGTCCTCGAATCTTTCCACTGCGCCGCCTATGCTCAGATTCTCCGGAGATACTGGCCTGCTGCTTTTGAGGATCGGCGCATGCGTGCCCTCATGATTAGCTCTATCCTGGCTACCGACATGGGCCTTCACTTCGACTACATGAAGAAGCTTGGTGACTTGCAAGAAAAGCTCCAGGACAACAACAGCTCCGAGGGCTGGAACGGTCGTCAGCTCGAAGAGTATAAGGCACTCGCTTGCTCGCTCATTATAAAGTGCGCCGATGTCAGCAACGTTGCTAGGCATCACGATGCAGCTGTTAAATGGATGCATATCCTGGTTGAAGAGTTTTCGCGGCAGGCATCCATGGAGAACGAGTTGGGCATCAAGTCCTCTCTCATTGCCGAGCCAAAACGAGATCCACTGTCGCTGTCCAATGCCCAACTTGGTTTTATGAACATGTTTGCGATTCCTCTCTTTCAGGGCGTTGCTGATATTATGCCTTCTCTCAAGTACGCCGTGGAAGAGTTGGAAACCAATAGGCAAGTATTCGAACAAAAGGTGCACAACGAAAAGTTGAAACAAGCCAATGATGAGCTGGAGCGACGCAAGCTGCTACGAGAAGGCACTTTCTCGCCAAAAACCAGAAGCTGGAGCGCAGAGGAAGGTGACGACGGCGCACAGGGCGTCGTTGCAACGCCGCAACGGACAGAGGGCTCCGATTCAACAGTCATGCATGCTGGCGAAACCCCTGGCAGCTCGCAGCACGAGCTCGCCAAGGAAAACAACATTGACGCAACAGTTGCTGCTCAAGATATGCATGACCGAGTACGCGACTTCTACAGCCCCGGTCAATCGGAACATGATGTCTATAGGCACTTGAATGGCTCCTCCTCGGCCTTTGACGCCGTGCGTGATTTTGCCGATAGCGATCCCTTCCACGTACGGCCAACAGACGGCAGCAGTGCCGACGGCAAAGCAACTCTGTGTACGAGACAGCGCTGCAGTGAGACCACCGAGGGCAGTGTCTCAGGCGCTCTCACAGGCGACTGGGCTTCTCAGGCCACCAGCGCCACGGGAAAGGCGAACCTGTCGCCCAGCACTCAGGGAACGAGCATTGTTAGCAACGACTCGGTGGATCACACCCTCGGGCTGCCTTCCTTCAATGTTTCGCCGCCAGGGACGCAACATTTCCCTCCACATAACGGAGAGGGCCTCGCAGAACCCGACACGAGCGAATCAATATCTAATTCAGGCAGCATTGGCAAGGCAGAGGGCAAGTCTCTCCGCAAAAAGACTAGTAGGTTCAGGATGAAGGACTTTCCTTTTTTTAGAAGAAACAAGGGATCCAGCCCTTCAAGTCCTCCACTTTCTGCCGCCGATGCTACAAGCTGAGCAATGCCTCGCGATAGAGTTAGCCTTGTCGCGCAGGTTTCCCTTCTATTTCGTCGCCACGGGCTGCGATGCTGGAGCATTGCCCCCGCCACTGACGAAAGCACTAGCCATACCGACATGGCTTCAGCGCGCCAAGCCGCGCCATTGTACATTATCGCCAGCCAAAATGATACCAGACGGATTAATGGGATCAGGCAGTCGTGTGCAGCAACAGGTTCCAGTCCTGCTTATACCGCACACATGCCCGCTTGAGGATGCGACAATGCATTTGGGGAGGGGGATGAATTTTCTCTTATATATTTTTTATACAGGCAATGTCATGCTAAGCAGACGTGGTGCATGAAACGAGTTGCTTGGCGATGGTGGCTGTCGAAACGGGGGCATCACGAAACTTTTTTTTCTTCTACTTTTTTTCGGCGTTTATGCAAGGGCTTCAGGGCAATGGCAATTAGACGTCGGCGACTTGACGACGTGTATGAATCGAGGAAGAGGAGAAAAGCATAGCTGGCGTAGGGTTAGAACATGGTAGTGAAGAACAAACTTATTGCTTTACGACTGGGCATGGCGCCATACGGACTTTCGATTAAACTGAAGAGAGCCGCTATGGGATTGCCGTTTATTGTGACGACAGGTGACTGGGGCTAGGTTATTGACTTCTGTATCTTCTTTTCTTTGTATCTATGGCGGTGCCCGTCTCGTGGTGCAACTTCAATTCTTGATGGCTCGTGACGGGCGGGCACTTATTCACAAGGGCTATATGTAGGGTAATAACAACCCACTGACCCATAACACATTTCATTGGCCACAGTCGTCTAGGGGTCAGGACACTAGTTTGTGGAGTTTACAGCACCGCGAACCACTGGAAACCGAGGTTCGAGTCCTCGCTGCGGCATATTTTTTTTTTGGTATTTTCGCTGTTGCCCTCTCTTCTTTTTGTGCAAGTCATTTTTTTCATCTCGCTTGTCCCGTCCTTGTGTCTATTGGCTGTTCCGGATTGATTGAGGTGCTTGTGTAAGTGTGTTGTAGCTAGGATGGGGCATGTGCAAGAAAGGGGGACCCTTGGCCCCGAGAGCCCAGCCAAACGCGGGGTAAGGAGCAAGTCGGGAAATTTGGGGGCCGTTCAGGACGAGGCGAGATTTGGCAAGCCACGCGCCGTGGCGGATTTCTGGAACACGAAGATACGAGCAGGGGGGAGTTGGCGCCAGGAGCCGCATCTCCTGCGTCGGCCCTCGAAGAGGCTGAATAGAAATGCGTTGAACAGGTTAAAAAATGCTTGGGGGCGGGAGGGGGGGGAATCCAAGTGTTAAAAATCAAATGTTTGACGAGGAGAGGAAAAAAATGGCATGATATGAAATCATAAAACATGCAGACGGAGAAAGAGCTGAGCTGTTTGTCTGTGGGTGTGTGGCGAGCCGCCGAGTTGGGCCGCCGAGTCCGTTCGTGGGGTTCGTGCCGAGGACGGGGTGACGGGGAATAAAATGGCTGTCAGCCCATGTGCGTTGTAGAATCCAAAAAAGGGGGGGGGGGGGGGCAACTACCGGTGGCGATTTTGTATTCTATTTGTGAGGCGATGTATCTGGCTGTTGCCGATTGGATTGTGTCCGATGGCTTGCATGCCGTTTTGGGGTTCTGCATCGAGCCGTTCCTCGGCGCGCATGTGAAATTGGTGTGCTCGGGATGGATTTGTCGGCTGTCTCGTACCGTCTCAACAAGCAAAGTTGTGTGCTTGGGTGATTTCGAATCGTCATGAAAAGAAGAATGATTTTATACCGCTTTAGATATTGTCTGTTTTATATATGTAGATATAGGTAGGACGTGTACTGTGCGCGTTTGCTGGGTTGTCGTATGGTCGTGTTGCGCCAAGTTGGCCCGCCGGTCCGTCCAGCAAACGGGCCTGTTTGTAGGTCCGATGGCCAACCCCGTCCGTCGGCCCGCCTTGACTTGGTTGTTTGTGCAGAGATCACAAGTAGTCCCCCCACACCAAGGTACCTGTTTATTAGCTTTTCCAGTGGCTTCTTGGCCCGAGTTGCGCTTCCCCAACTTTTTAGCTGGCCTCCTCTTGAACTCTCTTTTTCCAAATCTCACTGGGCTTGCTTCTTTTCTTCATCTACCTATTCCGATTTGAACAAGTCGTCGTCCGTCGTCTTGTCTTGTTTTCGAATCGGTTCGGCATCTCAACGCAGCCCGTCTTTGTGTGTAACATTGGGAGCGCCTGGTCCTGTGTCGCCCGCGCCCTACTAACCAACCAACCTCAGTCGTCATTGGCCGCCTTGCCGTCTTGGCCCATTGCCCATCCCGTCTTTGCTGTTGTGTTCTTGCCACCACTCGGGACCAAAAAAACTCCTTCTCTCTCAGAAACCATACCAAAATACGCATTCATAACCTGACACGCCTACCATGGCGGAATCCGTCCTGCTCGAGGACTCGACCATCTATACACGTCCCGCCGCCGCCGCCGACACCATGGCAGCATCACCCCCCGTTCACGCCAACGGCTACAAGCTCGTCCTCGACAAGGACCTGCCCGACATCTCCTTCATGACGGCCGCCGAGTGGGATACCTTCTTCGCCATCAGCGAGGCCATTGTCCCGGCCGTCGTCCCCCAGACCAAGCTCACCGACCCCATGCGCCAGCTCGGCATCCCGGACAAGGAGTTTTACGCCGCTGTCGACGAGACGCTCGCCAGCCTGCACGACCCCCCGCCGCAGGCCAAGCTGCTCGAGTGGCTGGCCTTTCGCGCCGTCGACGAGCCCGCGTTTCGCCGCGAGTGCGAGCACTCAGTCGCCTCGGCCGCCCTGCGCATGGAGCTCGCCAACTTTATGAGCATGCTCAAGTAAGTCCCCCCCCCCGGCATCGTTCTTCCTGCCCATCATCCAGCGTTTCCCGCGCTAACATTTTTCCCTTTGCACAGCACCCGTTACGGGAGCCTGCTGCTCACCGGCCGCTGGACGCTCTTCCACCGGCAGCCGCTGGCCGTGCGCCAGCAGATCCTCAAAAACTGGCGCTCCTCGCGGCTCCTGCCGCTCCGCATCGTCCTCAAGTCCATGAACGCGCTGACGCGCAAGTCCCTCGGCGCCTCGAGCCGCTTCATCCGCGAGCTCGGCGGCTTCGAAGAGCTGCCGAAGAACTGGGCGCTCAAGCAGGGCTATGACTTTCAGTTCCTCCAGATTCCCGACGGCACCAGCAAGCACACCATCGAGACGGATGTCATCATCGTTGGCTCCGGCTGCGGCGGCGGCGTCGCGGCCAAGAACCTGGCCGAGGCCGGGCACCGCGTGCTCGTCGCCGACAAGGGTTACCATTTCGGCCCCGAGAGCTTCCCGCTCACGCAGGTCGGTAACAAGCACATCTACGAGAACAACGGCCTCGTCATCTCCAAGAGCTCCGCCATCTCTGTCGCCGCCGGCGAGACCTGGGGCGGCGGCGGCACCGTCAACTGGAGCGTCTGCCTCAAGCCGCAGGACTATGTCCGCCGCGAGTGGGTCGCCGCCGGCCTGCCGCTGTTTGGCAGCGCCGAGTTTGACGACTGCATCGACCGCGTCTGGTCCGCCATTGGCGCCGGCCAGGCCACCGTCCGCCACAACCATCAGAATGAGGTCGTCCTCGACGGCTCCCGCAAGCTCGGCTGGCACAGCAGCGTCTGCGACCAGAACACCGGCGGCGTCGAGCACTACTGCGGCCGCTGCCACCTCGGCTGCGGCTCAAACGAGAAGCGCGGCCCGGCCGTCGCCTTCCTGCCCGACGCGGCCGAGGCGGGTGCCGAGTTCATCGAGGGCTTCCGGGTCGAGCGTGTGGTGTTTGCCGCGGATGGCGTGACGGCGACGGGCGTCGAAGGCGTCTGGACGGCCCGGAGCGACGACGGCACTGTGCACAGCGCGCCCGAGACGAGACGCCAGCGCAGGGTCCTGATCAAGGCCAAGAAGGTGGTCGTGTCAGCTGGTTCGCTCTGGAGCCCCGCGTTGCTGCAAAAGAGCGGCGTCAAGGTGAGTTTGAGATTCTTTCCGCCGTTTCCCAAAAAGGGTCATGCTAACAAGAACTTGAGAACCCCCAAATCGGTCGCAATCTGCACCTGCACCCAGCGGCCTTTTTGGTCGGCCACTTCAACGAGGCCGAGCCCCAGTGGGAGGGCGGCATCATCACAGCCTACAATGGCGAGTTTCAAAATCTTGACAAAAAGGGCCACGGCGTCAAGCTCGAGACCATGGCCATGCTGGTACGTACTACTCCCCCCCTTGTCGAAGCCTGTTCCGCCCCGCCATACTAACACTGGCAAAGCCCTACGTCCTCTTTGCCATCCAGCCGTTTGAGAGCGGTCTCGACTCCAAGCTGTGCGTTGCGCGCATGAAGCAGCTGCACACGGTCATCTCCATCACGCGCGACCGGGACACGGGCCGCATCACGGCGGACCCCGCGACAGGGGCGCCTGTCATCGACTACGATGTATCCGCTTTTGACGCCGAGCACAGCCTCGACGGCATCGAGGCCATTGCCAAGCTCATGTACGTCATGGGCGCGAGCGCGCTGTACCCGACCATTCCCAACGTGCGGCCGTTTGTCGTGGCCAGGGACGGCGACCCGGTCCTGCAAGCCGGCTACCAAGAAGGCACCGACCCCGAGTTCACGGACCCCCACTTCGCCGCCTGGCTAAAGCACCTCCGCGCCGTCGGCGGCAAGGCCGGCGGCGAGATCAGCTACCTGTCGGCGCACCAGATGGGCTCGTGTCGCATGAGCGCCAAGCCGAGCGGCGGCGCCGTCGACCCCAAGGGCAAGGTCTGGGGCTGCGAGAACCTGTACGTGGCCGACGGCAGCGTGTTCCCGAGTGCGAGCGGCGTGAACCCCATGGTGACGATTCTGGCCATTGCCGACTACATTTCGCGGCAGCTGGCCGCGGAGCTGTCGGCGGCGTCGAGAAGTGGTATGGTTTTTGGGCGGGGGGTTGTAACAATGTAATGATGAGAAAAGGCGTTGTTTGGCAGGAGAGCGAGAAAATGGGATGCATCAGCCAGCAAGTTGTGGCAACTTTTTATGTATATTCAGTATTTCTTTTGAATAGCTTTTTGGTTCATTGGAGGATTTTTTTTTTTCAACTTCTGAGATGATTGTATTAGTGCAAATACGTGCGATGAAATACCGAGAAATTCCTCAGAACCGATGATGGTGTTTTGTTCCACGTTGGGGCAATGTTTTGAGGGGTAAATTCGTTGGGTCTCACTTGACGTTGATGTCAAGATGCGATCTCGGCATGCCGATCTCGGGCAAAATAGAACAAAGAGTGGGGAGCCCTATCCGTACATCAGAATAGAAGAAACGTCGCAGACTGCTGAAAAAGACAAAACGAAAATCTATTTTAAAATGGCCATGATTCAGAGAAAAAGAGGCAAATCCACCCCCCGGGTGTCCCATCGCGCCTAATACAACTCGTGGTACGGGCTGGCGTCGGGAGGCAGCCCGGCGGCGCGCGGACAAGCACAGCCTCAGCGCCGCCCGTGACGACATGCTGCATATGTCGGCTGGGGTTGAATCCGGCGACGCCGAAAAGTGCGTGTTCAATCTTGGGGGGTTTAAAAAAGAATCGGATTATAGGAAAATTATGGAAACCTTGCCAACATGGCAGAAACAGCGCACCAAGGGCGTGACGGAATAAATGAACTGCATCCTTTCCAAAGCCGCAGAGCTTCTGGTGGGGTGTGGGACATTGACAGCAATCTTGGGGGGTTGCGGCTGTCGGTCTTTGATAGCCGTGATTTTTAGTAGAAGAGGATTTCAACGCCCCTTGAAAATAGAACTGAGAAAGCGGACCTACGTCATTGCATCAGCTGCCATGTCTCTCGCAAGAAGCCTCACATCGCTTAACGAGGTCAGCTGGTGATGCAGGCCGGATGCGCTGGCCGCGTGTGTGGCTGTGCATCCTGGTGCTGCGAGGAAAGACGCGGTGCATTTGTAGCTCCCGGGCTACCGGGACGCAGGAAACGATAGGCCTCTCTTTTTTTTCCATCTTTTTTTTTTAATACCTTGATCCATTCCGGGCGCAAACTTGTTTGCCCCATGCCATCATGGTCCATGCCCCAGGCGGTCTGGGTGGATGGACCACGAGGTCAAGGGAAACCCCCAAGGCTTCACCCCGCGGCCTAGGTATAGCTGCACCAGTGGCTGCTCTGCATGTGTCAGTACCAGCCCTCTGGTAAGACGAAAAGACAATGGAACTCAAAACACAACATCTGGTCAAACCCTTCCATGCCACGACCGGCACTTTGATAGCCCTTTGTCAACGGAGCCGCCCACGTCCTGTCTCTCCACACACACTACTCTGCAGACAGTGAGAGATAAAAGGGAACAAGTCGATTAATACTGGCAAGACTCGGCTTAGTTCTGCGTAATAGCCGCCAGCCCCAGCAGAGAATGCTGTCCGGTGCTCATATGACCCCGTCCGGCTGGCCCTCATGTGACGAGCTGTGTATGTGCCCCGGACCTTTTCTGCTCTCCTCTCTCGAGCTGAGTGGCGTGTGTCACCTTTCGGGAAGGAGGTCCAGAGATGGAGAAGAAGGAAGCCCCCGTGCCTGCACGTCCTCGTAGCACGCGTGCAATGCAATCTGGCTTACACACACACACACACTCACACACAGGCACTACCAGTGGCGCCTAGATCGACACCTCGTGTAGCAAGCACTTTCTGCCTACTCCATCTCAACCTATGCTATTGTACGGTTTCTCATGTGCAACTCTTCATTTTAGCAAAATACCCAGCGGCCGGGCCTCGAACGTTGTGGGCGGGCGCAGCGTTCCTGTATATGGCATCATTTCGCAACACCAAGAGCGGCCACCTTCTCACAAGATTACCCCTTGATCTCCTCATTTCATCAGAGTCGAGTCACGTCTCCACGTTTTCATGACTTGTTCCTTTTTTCCCCTTGATGACCTCGTCCCGTCAACACACACGCCCTCGTCAGTCCGACCTCTGTCGTCTTATGCCCATGATTGGTTAGTGGTCGACCAACCACAGGCCGTCTCCATCCCAGATTCCCCACCACCTCTTTGACTCTCCGGGCCAATCAGAAGGCGTAGCAGCACTTATACCAGCAAAGCCCTTTTCAAACCAGGACGACGAGTCGACATACGACCAGCCATTCATACACCCTCCCCTTCAGGTGGCGAAAGCCTCCCCTTTCTTGGGGTTCCCTTTCCTCAATCAGGCTGTAGGATGGACTGCAATAGGCAAGGGCCCTTGCATCTTCAAATCTGCCAACCGAACGCTTTGAATCTGTAGATGGTATCCGCATTATCAAAGTAGTTGCCGTCTCGTTCCCGCCACTTGGGACCATTGGTGTCTGGCCACTTGGCCTCATTCGAGGGGCCTTACCCATGACTCCCCACGGCAGCTTCGGGGACACCCCATCAAGTCAGGAAGGGTTCCCGTTGTGCTAACTCACCTGGGCATACCATGGCCACCTCCCAGGCCGTTACCAGTGTTACCAGTACTCCGTGAAGGGTGTGTCTAGTCAGGACAGGGGATAGTGGCCTTGAAATTGCATTTGCAGCAGCCGGAAAGCTTGTTTCGCGAAACTTTGTTGTTTCTGGCCACCCATTGCAATTCTGCAAATCCTCGCCGAGAAGATTGGCTCCCAGGCTTGGGTACAAGGCCCAAACAACAAGATAAAGTCGCAGTGCAAGTGCTATTGTTGTCAAAAGTTCCAACGACTGTATCCACTGCTACTGTTCCATCTGGCGCTGGGGCGCCTCCCACAAGCTCTGCCGGTGACTGGTCATACGCGTGCAAGTTGGCATGCATGATATGGTCAGTCCTCAAGAATAATTGTCTTGAAAGCAATCGACGAGACAGGGCCGATATCCTTGAGATGGACCTTCCTTCAATCATTGCGATGGCCCTAGAATGATACCTGACCCTTGGTCCTCTTAAAGTCTCAGAGGGACGATGATGGCAGGTCTTTGCAAGCGGCGAGATACGAGAGAGACGCCGATTCGTCGCCTCGAATGAAAAGCTCCATCATTGGCAGTGTGGTCCGAGTGCCTTGCTTAAGCGTCCCAAGCCCATCTCACACAGGTTCAGGCAACAGCTTCTCAAACTCCAGATCGCGTCCGCCCGCTTGGACCAAACGGCATGCATTAATGGAAATCCGCTCAACTTCCTGTAATGTTTCTGGGCTCACAAGCGTCATTTCCTCGGTAGGGGGCAGAAAAAGCGTCCCTTGCATAGACAGAGTGGCATGCAGCGTGTATCAGAGAAACGTAACGAGAGCCTGGTGCAGGACAGAGTGCGTATGTCGGCACTTGATGTAGAAGGTCGGAAGAAGCAAGTTGACGAATCAGTCTGGTTGTGCGGTGTCATTCCGTCCTGCGCGAAAGCAGCGACCTAGTTAGCACCCGTAGCGGGAAGGACTTGGATGCCGTGCGCGGCCGTTCTCGACAGGACATCTGGCCGGTGGGGAGAGTAGCGTGTTTGATGAAGCGCCGCGAATCAATATATCGGTGGTTTCTAGCTCTTTTATTCCGCTTCTTGATTGTTCCCCGGCATATCCAAATATGAGCCACGTCCGGGAAGGGGGTTGGGTGGTGGGGTGGCCGGGCAAGTGGTGTGTGGTGTATGGTGGCCCGGCATCGAGGCCCAGACAAGACAGACAGGCAAGCGACTACTGTAACCCGGCTTACCACACCACGCTTGATGCCGGTCTCCAGGTCGTAACTAGGGATGAGAGTATCGAGGTGAGACGGCCTATACGGGATGGTCACGTCGATTGATGAGATGAAGGGCCTGGTCAGCTTGCGACGGAGGACAGGCATGCTGTGCTTGCCGAAACAAGGTTGGCGAGGTGCGTTGGTAGCGAGGGCCGTTTTTTTGCGCATAGCATGACAAACAGAGCAGCGGATAACTATAGAGAGGCTCGCGGCGGTTCAAAAAATTGAGAGGCCGACGGCGTTGGCGCGCCGAGACGTGCCACTGAGGAGACGGGAGGAGGGAGGCATCGCGAGCAGGCACGTTGGCAGGCAGGAGCCAAGCCGAGGAAACGGATGCAAAGGCTCGGTACCAGCGATGTCGTCAGATGGGGCCGTGGGGAGAGGGCTTGCAGAGTTCAGCTTCACAGGCCATCTGGTGTCTGGTGTCAAGGTGGTGACGAGCACAGCCATGATAGAACTTTGGTAGTAGGGTACCTGAGGATGTGTGAGGCGGCAGTAGTTGGTAGATGTAACTCTGCAACTGCCCGTTGGGCAAGTGACCCGCTCCGAGTGTCTTTGCCTGCCAGGTTAACCACCCAGGTCCCTAGGTAGGTTAGGTAAGTCATCGTACTACAGTACTCCGTAATTTGTACTCCTAACCTAATTAATAATGTAGCGACAGCATAATGCATTTGAACAGGCCTGCACAGTAACTACCTAGCTACAGTAAGGCAAACTGGCCCGCTGGGCGAGGCAGATACTGACCACATGCATGCGACTAACCAGATGGGTAAGTTTCTTGACTTTCTTGACTCTAGTAATAGCAACATATTAGCGGGTACGGACGACGCCGTAGGAAGGAAGAAGAAAAGGCCCTTTTTTCTTGGTTACCTCTTATTAACCTCAACTCTGTTGCCCTCAGACTAGCCCAACCCAGCAGAGGCTGCATGAAGGCTGGTAAGTGGTAATGCATATTCTTCGCAAGAGCTACCACATGAGTTTGAAGGCGGCCACCTGTTGACACTTTACTTGCAACTCGATAGAGTTTGAGTGAGGAAGAGAACCATGGACACGAGAGGGGGTAAAATGGTCTTTTTTTAGCCTATCAAGGTATCATTTATTCTCCGTTTCAGACCGGCTTGCCATCAATAGAGCGTCCCGGCTCGGACTTGGTGCATGCATTCGTTGTGGCGGCGTTGAAGCCCTCAAGCCCTCAAGCCCTGTGGAAACATTCACACCCCCCGTGGGTCAACCGGACACGGCCGATGCAGACAGGCTTCCAAGTGCAGCGATGAGGCAGCTGTGCCCTGGTTGCCTACCACACACGCCCAAACGGCCCAAGGCGTAGACCGAAGCCCCCCTAGTCTCTCTTTTGCAAATCCCACCTCCACTTTCAAAATACTGATACCTACTACCTACTAGGTACCTATGCGTCTACGGGCTGGTAACTCGTCGGTCGTGGTGTGTGGCGCGGTCTGCAGCAAAGGCCAGGCAGGGAACAGCAAAGAGGGGGAAAAAAAAGAAAAGCACAAAATGTCCACTCTAAAGGATACCAAGACTTGGCCTGGAAATGCGAAAACCTTTTTTCGATTTATTTTTATTTTCCTTTCTCCTAGTTTCTGACCTAGGTAGGTACCAATCTAGCGCTCTTATGCCGCCGACGCCCCGCTATAATTGCCGGAACTACAGGCACCTCAGCCCACTGTAGGCCGCGACCCGTACCGCCTACAGCCACTGCCACCACTGCCGCCCACTAAAATACCACCAGCCAACCCACAGGTAATTAATACCTGCCCGCGCACCCCCCCAAGTACCTATATCTCTCCACCGCTGCCCGTCCGCCACTTCTCTCTTCCTTTTTGCTCTCTACGACTCTCTCATCGTCCGACGTTCACTTCTTTCTTAAACCGCTTCTCCCCCTTCGCGGTTTGCGGCAAGCACAGTAGGCGATCCATCGTCGGCAATTCCTATTCCCTGCTTAGCTTTCTCTGTCGCTTCACTCCTCACTTCTTCGTTTCTTCATCCCGTTTTTAATATACTCTTATTCCCCTCCCGCACTCCCGCCGTTTGCACCCTCGTCCTGGCCGCCCCTCCCGGTCCAACCCCCGCCAATATACCTCAACCCCGCCTCACAAGACAACTCTCACAGCCCTCAAGATGCCCGTCCAATTACTTCCAGCCTCCGCCGCCGCTTTCGCCCCCAGATCAGCCTCCGTCAACGTCGTCTTGGGTTCCAAGGTCGATTCTTGGCTCACCCTGACCCTCAAGCGCATCAACCGTGTTAAGCGCCCGCTAAATTCAGTCTCCCAGCACCAAAGATGCCTTGCCGAGACCCTCGCCAATAAGAACGCCATATGGACTCTCGCCTCCATCATGCTCCCCAAGCTCCCCGAGGCCGACATGCCCACCGACTACTCCGAGAACCTCTTCAGCCACCAGCTCGTACATATTGAGGCTTACATCGTTCACGTCGACATGGTCCTTCGCAACGAGGTCGCCTACAAGCTCACCACCGACACCATCGACGCCCTCGTCGAATACCACAAGGAGGTCCACTGCGTCGATGTCAAGGCAAACTCGTCCGACTGGTCTGGAAAGGAGCAGCAGTGCAAGAAACTGCACGAAGACTTCGTGCAAGCCATCAACAAATTCGTCTACCACACCCATGTCACTGCCCTCGAAGGCCTCGAGGAGGACGGCGCCGGCGAGCTTCTTTGCGGCAAAAGCGAGGAGGTCAGGAACAACCTCATGAATCTCATGAAGAACCTTGTTCCCCCTCCTCCTCGCGTCGTCGAGATTGTTCGTCAACCCACGCTGCTACCCAGCTCACCCATGAACAACCTCTGGGGACAAGCCGTCTCCATGCCTCCTCCGGTCGACGCCTGGAATGTTCTCCCTTCGAGTCCCAGCGTCGCCTCGACTGTCGAAGCGACCACGCCGGTCTGGCACAACATGCACATGCAGCAACAAGTTCATGTCCCGTCGCCTCCCATGGACTACAGACAGTCCCCTCCTATGGACTACAGACAGTCCCCTCCTATGGACTACAGACAGTCCCCTCCTATGGACTTCAGACAGTCACCTCCCATGGACTTCAGCCAACCCCCGGTCACCAACGCCTTCTTCTACAGCGCTCCTCAGATGACTGCTCCGATCTCTGCTGTGCCGCTGCCAAGCATGTACGCGCCTAATCAGTGCGGCATGAATGTATTCATGGGAAATGTTTTTGACTGGCAACGCTTCCAGGACTTTAGCACACCCATCATGTGACTGCCTGAAGCTTCTCAGTCACACGGCGGCCCTTTTGCTTCCGCGAGGCCGTCTTAGTTCTTGCCTTTTTTTGCGTTCTCATCTTCTCCTGGCGAGAAGTCACAAAAACTTTGCACTGCAAGATTATTCAGCGACATAGACTGACATTTCTCATCCTCCTGGCGTTTCTTCCTTCTCTCTCTGCATCGGGCTTGGAGTTTTCAAATATTCACTCTGGCCAACCGGCGGCTTCCTTTAATCGGCTCGAGTTCTCTCGATCGGATTTTCTTTCAGCTTCACACGCAATAGCGAGCGTTTCTTTCTGTCTTGTTTCAAGGGCTGGCGCAACTGTTTTTATATTAATCGGACCACTCATCTCGGATACCTCACGCCGCTAGATCGGCTGTGTATATTTTCTCCTCCACACAATGGCTGGTCCGGACGGGTATAGGATGCTTTCACAAGCGGACAGGGATCTCAGCAAACGGCTTCTCTTTTTTATTCTCTTTTGTTCATCATTTTTTCTTCCTTTTGTTTCCACAATTTTGGGTTAAAGATAAGAGGGATATGCAGCGATGCAAATTTCGGCTTGGCCCGAGATGAACTCTTTTTCACTTCTTTTGTTTCTTTTCTTGTTCCGTCACGGAATCTTCCCTTTTCAACATCACAGGACTTGGCCTGAGACGTCAATGATACCCCGTGTGCTAGCCACCAGCCGTCTCTTGATGCACCTGTTTGTTACGAATGACGACGACCACGCAGTTACGAATCGAATACGCTACCACTTTTACGAATGCCACGCAACACGACCGCATTTGGAAGTTGACCAACGACACATCGATTCAACGCACTTGTTGGGGTCGGTTAGACTGGCTCTCACCCCCACTCAACATTCTGGCCGTCACGGAAGCAATGAACCGTAACCACGCCGGGATGACTGGATCATCTCCGCGCACAAGGCACCGGATGCCGACGGGATCACGCACGCTCACCATCAGGATGGATGAGTTTGTGCAAGTGGGGACAGTGGCATTCGAGCTATGCTGCGCATATATTGGATGCTGTTGCTCTCACAGCCTCTCGTATTAGCTCTGGCTACCTCTGGGTAGTTCATTGCCAGTACCACGAGGAAACTGTAGGACATCTCTCTACAGAGGACTGTGGTGTGGCCTCGGTTGCACCACGATCCAGTTGGGTTGGCTACACAGGTGGCAATAGTGTGGTAGCAAGATGCCGCACAGCCCTGGGCCGGACTTGACCCGGTCTGGCGCCTGTGTTGCAAGAACATTCGCAATCCACACAGAATTGAGATGCTGGAGCTTTATAATAACAAAGGCGGGTGGCAGTAGTGTCGTGGTAGACCACGCACTCATCAAGAGCGACCCTCGCGAGCAAGCTGGTATTCTTGGCTAGTAGTTTCAACCCTGGTGGTGAAGCGAACGGGAAAGCTTCGACTTGTCTGGGTGTGATCTTGACCATCCGCACCAAAGAGAAAAAAAGAGAGAAAGGAATAAGGCAAAGGAAGACAGCCCGAGGATACAAAGCGTATCAAGGGATCCCTGTTGCGCTTGTGATTTTTGTAAATCTTTTTGGGAATGTCGCCCTTTTCTTCTTTTTCCAATAACAATATAAACTTCTCCTTGGCTAGTCCTTAGTTAATCACTACGAAACCAAGTTTCGCCATTTTGTTCATTGTAAGTGATGTGTTTACTTTTTAAGATGACGTTTGACTGCATTTTCTCTGCTACCTAGGCCTGTTTATCCACCCTGCTCCAAAGCACCCATCATTTTGCTTATCCCTAAATCTATGGTTACGAGCGGGAAAGCTCCAACAATATATTTGGGGTAGAGGGAGCAGAGTCTGGGGGGGAATATCATTGAAAGACGAATGTATAGGTACTAAGCAGTTAGTCACCATAACAGAGCTGGCACTACACCACGTCATGCGACTACCTAGGTAGTCGTCTCTCAGTTGATACATGTGCGTACCCTGCAGTGATTAGACCGGGTGTATCGCGACAATGGTCCATCGAGCGCACAACAAGAATTATAGTTGACAGGTGCGTCAATGCTAGAAAAGAGGGAAAATATTTGCTGTGCTTGATTTGTGTTCAAAAATAATAATAAAATGGGCCAAGTCGCTGCCTGGCCACCTTTCAACCATGCATTTACAGTGTCGGACACATCTCTCTCAGCATGACTGCCCTTTGACGCCTCTTTATTCATCTTTTCATACCCAGTCGCAAAAGAAGTCAACTGTTATTCTGCAATATCGTTGCACTGCTTGAACCCTTCCTCCAGAAAACATTGCGCCGTCTACCCAGATGCGACGTAATCACTAGTAGTTTCAAAGGGTTATTTTTTTCGTAGTATTCGGTTGTTGTACAGATATCATCCAATTCCGTCTAAAAAGGGTTGCCTAGTAGCGGAGAAGGCTGTTGCGTGTCGCCTTATTCTTGCGAGACGGTTTGCTAGAGAGTCAAAAAGAAGTCAGTATACCAATTCAGGCTCCAAGCGGTATCCAAAGGGAGGAGGGAAAAAACGCACCACCAGCCAGTCCATGCCCTCGTTGACACCGCTGCCGTCGACGGCGGAGCATGCCATGATGCTCCAGTTGCGGTCGCGCAACTCGCCGAGACGCAGGGCCTCGGAGATGTCGCCGGCGCCCTTGGCGCCGGGTTGATCTTGCTTGTTGGCAAAGACGAGCAGGGCCGCGTCCTTGAGCTCCTCCTCGTTGAGCATGGCGGCGAGCTCGTCGGCGGCCGTCTGCAGACGGTCAATATCGGTCGAGTCGACGACGAAGATGACAGCGGCCGTGTTGGCGTAGTAGCAGCGCCAGTACGGGCGGATCGAGGTCTGGCCGCCGAGGTCCTGTAGGAAAGGGGGCACGAGTGTGAGCAGCGCGGTATTGAACAAGGGCGGGCTCGCGCAGGAACAAGTCCAGGGGGGAAAGCTGGCATACCCAAACGTTAAAGTTGAGATTCTTGTATGTGACGGACTCGACGTTGAATCCTATCGTCGGTATCGTGGTGACGACTTCGCCAATCTGGGTACCGTGTCAGCTACCGAGGCTCGTTCTACTTCGGCCGCGGCCGTCGCGACCTATGCGACCAGTACCTTTAATCTGTACAGGAGCGTCGTCTTGCCTGCATTGTCCTATACACACGTCGTGGCCAGTGAGCCTAACTGTCAGCGCCCAATCATTTCAAAAAAAAGCGCAGCTCTCCTCGCCTCCAAGGCGTGGCCAGGTGGGGGAGCAGCCAAATGGAGAGGGGGTGGTGGTGCCATACGAGACCGAGGATCAGGATGCGAATCTCCTTCTTGGCCCAGAGCATGCCGGACAGCCACGAGACACTGGCGCCCATGATGCTTGTATGAGTCTCCGCGGACGTTGTGTTTGCTGTGTGGCGGTGGTTATTCGGTGAGAAGCTTTGGAAGCTGGGGGGCGGCGGTGGGTGTCAGAAGTTGAAGATGTCGCCACCTTGGGGAGTATAATTCGAGAAATGGGGGTATCGTATGCGTATTAAAATAATAAATTAAAAGAGAAAAGCCCAATGTTAAAACACCAACCCAAGAAGAAACTTGTTCAAAGATGTCTTGTCAACAGATAAAAAAAGAAATGCACGAGTAGTTACCGTCAAGCAGAGGGTTGCTCTCTCAACGTCGGGAGGCGGGAGGGAGAGGGGCGCAAGGTCATTAGAAATCCGGAGCGCTGTCCCCTATTCTGCCCTGTCTGGCCACTGCAAAAAAGCTGGGCGGCGGCGGCGCATCGCAGGACGGGCATTCGCCAAGCGAGACCCGCTAGCGGCTCGCTAGCCATCGGCGAACGCGTGAGCCGGGTCGTGGTGTCTTGTGCTGATCGGAATCCGTGGAATTCATGTATACCTAGGTAGGAAGGTAGGTAGCAAGCACATGGTTCGTTTTCGAGTTAACTTTGGAGCAAAGCCAGTCTTCTTGGTCAGTTGTCGATCCCTGCTGACCAACAACTCGGTCGAGCACCTTGCAACGGGGTTTATTATCCTGGCCAGCTGTGGACGTTGTATCATTCGTTGATTGCAAATCACTGGCTAACTAATATCGACGCCTTTCTCTGATAATACAGCTTATTATCATTCACTGAAGTGTCTAGAGATTAATGCCTAGAAGTGATAATACTCTGGTATCTATCTACCTCCCTGGTGGACAACAAGCCGATACTATGCACATTGTAGTACCAGTTTGTTCACTCCACCATCAGCTTGGCTCGATGCGCTCCATATTTCTTCACTGAGACTTGACACCTCAGGCACCAACGCCGCCACACCCAGCATCAGCCACACCTCCACTCTGCAAACGGGCACACAACAACCTATTTTTCGCTGCTAGGGCTTTACGCCCTCGAGTGGCGCGAGCGAGCGAGCCCGTTCCGCCCCCCCAAACCCAAAAATCCTTTTGCAAACTCCACGCAAACCCGAGAAAGAAACGCCCCCCCATCATCGACAATCGAATAAACGACCGTCAAGATGCCCGTACGAACCGCCCTACCCTTTCCCGAATATCCCGTTTCCACCGATTCCAAGAGGTTGACGAGGTCCCTGATTATTTTCCCCGGCCTTCCTTCTGCATTTCAAGCGCTGTCCATGTCCTCGCTGCCAGGATGACCCGACGTTGCGCAAAAAGCATGACGATGAACGAGACTGTCAGAATGCAAGATGCTGAGGGAATTGTTCATCGCTTGACATGGACGAATGGGACGCTTGAATTGCGAAAAGGACGAAATCTCATGGACCTCGTGCCCTCTTGTTATCGGAACCCAACGAAATGAACCTCGAATGACGAACAATCTTTTGCTAACGCACCTTTGTGCCTCATAGAGTCTCAAGTCTTTCCGTACCAAGCAGAAGCTTGCCAAGTCGCAGAAGCAGAACCGTCCTGTGCCCCAATGGATCCGTCTTCGCACCAACAACTCCGTCCGGTACGCTCCCACCATGCGCGAACATGGCACCATCTCCTCATCGATCAAAACAAACCGGCTAACATTTCTCCTCCCACAGCTACAACGCTAAGCGCAGACACTGGAGAAAGACCAAGCTCGGCATCTAAACGCCACCCGGGCCTCTTTCGCTCTCCCTCCCTTTTTCCTTTGCAGTTCTTCCATAAAAACCGACCTTGCGACGCAGTCTTTCGACATCGTGATGATTCAGGATGGGACGAGAATCCGCCTTTTCCCTCTCTCCTTCCCCGGGGAGGGACAACAAGAGATCGACCATGACGGCTGCTAGTTTTTCGGGTATAAGACAAAAGATTTTACGGAACGCTTCCAGACGATGAATCAAGACGAGATATTTCTTGGCATGAGAGTGATGGAAAGGAATTTGGAGTTGTTTTTTGTTCATGTCTCTTTTTTCAGCAAAAAGCTCCTTTGTCCTGCAAAACATAGTGGAGAGGAAACATTATTACAGGGGAAGAAAAGAAAAAAAACTTGAAATCAAATTCTGTTGATGTACCATCGTGAAGTCGGAGTGGAGTGTGCCACCGCAGCCTAGAGTGCTGGGATCTCTACCTCAGTACCTTCGGTTGTTGCCCAGCCGCCCCAGGCTTTCCCATGAGAGGATGAGTGCACTGTTCACTGGCGCTCTTTGATTGTATTGTAGGTAGGTAGGTAGGTTATAATGATCGGTCTCAAACTCGGCTTTCTATGCATATAGCAGATGAAGGCATCAATACGATACCCTGCCCTCGCCTCCGCTTATATTACGATGATGTTACGATGATGTTACGACGTTTGCCGCCCGTGACATTCATGTCCATTACAATCATACTCGGTTGTTCAGGATATCATTGATAGTCAGATTTTCTATCAGCCTGATTGGCGCGTATCTTTTGCCGCAGGAGCGGGTGCGATACTGCTTGCTCCAGAAAACTACTATCGTTATCACTGCCACCGGCCATGCCCATCCCAGTCCAAATCATAACGCCAGTAGTGTATCGAATGATGATTGGCGAGCATAGGGTCATTGGTATAAAATCAAGACCCATCGTCAAACACCCAAAGAAAAAAAGGAACACGTAACAAAGCAAGTAAGCATGTAAAATGCATCACACCCCATTTCGTTTCGCGCAGGCAAGGTAAGATATTAAAGCCCCTATCGGTCCTCGGCCCACTCGTTCTCACGGCGGATCTGTTCCTCCTCTTCGGGGGTGAAGTCGTTCGTGATGTTGAAGGTCTTGCGGATCTCCTCGGGAGACTTGCCCTTGATCATGTTGGCGACTGTCTTGCAGCCAACGTCGAGGAGGGGCTTGATATCCAGGTAGTTGGAGGCCTGGCGTGCACGTGTTAGCATGGAAGATGTCGTCGAGGATGAGCAATAGGGCATGGCAACATACGAGAATGATCTCAAAGAGCATCTCTTGGTCCACCTGCATGAACTTTTGGTCCCACTCGTCGATATCGGTGGTCTTCTTCCGGGCGTCCGACTCATCGTCGGCGGCCTGGGCAGGATCGTTGCGGTGGTGCTCGCACCATTCAATAACTTTGCGCAGAACAGCCTCGTTTACCTGCAAAGAATGTGTCAGATTCCTCATGTGTGCGTTGGAGCTGGATGATTGCGCTTGGCCGTGCGAGCCGTCGAGCTCGGGTGGCGTGACTTACGTTGGGAATAGGAATAGGGTTGTCTTCGCGGATAGCGCCATCGCCGATATCCTCGAGCATATTCTTGATGAGCATGGAGCGCTCGCAGACGATACGATCTGGGGAAAATGATGGTTAGCGAAAGGGCATCGGATGAGAAGCCCGCTGGGGGGGCCAGGCGAGCAACGTGAACGTACCAACTTCCAAGGTGGCACCGTCGTTGGAGATCAGCCAGATCTTCTGAAGCTTGGGAGCGTCGGACATTTTTGCGTCGAGGGTAAAAATAGGACGGGGCGAGAGTGGTGAGAGAGATAAGTTGCTGGACTTGTTGGACTTGTTAGCTGGTGCTGGCAGGGGCGTGTTTTGATTCCGCAGAGGTGGCCAGTTTGCGAAAGCAGGCAGGCTGGGTGAAAGAAGCGGGCAGAAGCACCTGCGGGGTTTCGGGGTGGCACTGTGCTTGGGTTTTGAGAGGAAAGGAGCCGCCGCCGTACTAGTAGTGAGCAGGGCAAGGCAGGCGACGCGCTAGACGGGCCTGGAGGACTCACAGTGTTTTGTGTGTATTGAAAATGGCAGATTGGTCGATGCGTTGATGGATAAGGGAGGGAAGGGGCAAGAAAAAAATCGTGAGACGGTGGCTACCTATTTATGATAAAGAGGAGGATACTCGGAAATATTTCTTTGGAAATGGCAACGGTGGCACAGCGCCGTGGTTAAGCGCTGGTGCCTGGTACAGCGCCTGCCGCAGCACCAAACAAAGGTTGCGGGAAGTCGTGTTGCTGCCTGGTGAAGCAAGCGTGCCTACCGCATGGCGCGGCCTAACAACGAAGTAAGCTTTTCATACTAGGTATGTAGGTATTCAGTCGTGAGATTTAAATATCTCTAGAATCTCCTCTTTTTTGGTCTTTTCCGGTGGTGGTTCAGACCATCGTAGCTACCTACCTACTAGAGAACTTCACGCAAGAGGCTAACCTGGTTGTAGCGCAGATGCAGGCTCCTCATTTGTCCTACCCAAGTACCTCCTCTGTTGTGGTAATGCCAAACTGAAGCCGTGAAGCAAGGCCGCTTTGTTTTCCCAGTCATGAACTTGGCCCAAGGACCGCCAAACCATCGTGGCAGCTAGAAAATTCTGGCTCGTAGTTTTGTGTAGGAGTCAGGTTGGTGTATCAGCCCACCAAGTCACTCATCCTGAGACAGCATCGGCAGATACATATCTAGACAGAAAATTGCCGTAGTTTCTGGGTCGGGTCGGTAGACTGATTCACTCTCTACCTCTCAGCTTTGGAGGTTAATAATAACAATCATGAATCATGAATGTGCCTGACTTGCTTTCCACCTTGTGACGAGCAATGCTAGAGGGACATGCCTTTCTACGCCAACTGGTTCAAGTTATACTAGATCGCCCATACCGAGTCCAACTGATCCGTTGGTTTCAAAGCCGTCTGTGAGGGGGACTACTAGCTCGAATACACCAAGACACAAAAGTCAACAAGCAGAGACCGTATCCGTTGCATGATTTTTGCGGTCCGTCATTGATACATCGGTTAGACTGTAGGATAGCCTTGCAAATAACGAGTTGTTGGTGAAATTTTGGCACGCCAAGTCTAGTGCTGTTACACGCTGTTGGTCGTTCCACGCGACCTACCTACTATACTTCGTACATATGAAAAGATACGCAGGGTAAGACAATGAGAAATAATGAGATATTTCTTTGCAATCCAACTAATCCAGCTTTATTGAACACGGTTGCTGGTCTTCCGTGATAAAGTCTAGCCCTCGAGCCCAACATAGTCTTCATCACAAAACACTAGGGACGCTATCAACAAAGGTAGGAGTATTCAGCCCTGAGGTGAATCCTTGAGAGCCAAAACTTGAGTCAACTAGGAACGGAAAGGGGTCGTGAAAATCGTCCGATTTGTCAGGTAATAATTGAAAAGTTGAACGCGTCTGCCTATTGTTGGATGCAATAACCTGTGGTGGAGAATGCTTCCTTCATCAGTGGATGCCAGCCAGCGGCCGGCCCGGGCCAGGGCTTAGCGATTGCTGGCTTTTTTAGCGAGTTTCTAGCGAGACGCAACCAGCCCAACAGGGAGCGGCCCCTACTACCTGGTACTAATATAGTAGTAATTACAGTCAACCCCCTGACTGTTTGTCGCGTCACTCAACGGCCCCTTTTCTAGTTAACTACAGCAGCAGCAAGAAATTGTCGTTACTAATAGAAAAAAGTATAGACTTGTTAATTAGATTATAAATAGCGAATGTATTCGACTTTTACAGTAACATCTTGTCCTCGCGAACACGTCACTTGAGCTAGGTTCAGTCTTCTGACTGCCTAGGTACCTAGGTACTGTGCAAATTCCCCAGAATGACCAAGCCGTCATGCCACCTTTGACACAGGACATGCCATCATTCCAAGCTAACTACCGTTAGCAGCTGGCAAAGTAGTAATATCGAAGCTCGCCCATGCCATGCAATTCCCTTGGCCCCAAATTCAGGTTGTTTGCGCTCAGTGTTCCCTCCCCTTGGCCGCAAACCCGTTCAAGATGTCTCATTCTGCCGTTTGCAGGTACCCGCCACGTTGTACATGCCCGCTGAGGTACCTAGCGGCCGCAAAGGTGACTTCATCAACCCACTAATCAAGGCACAACTCCCGTTGTCAGCCTAGCGCCTCGACCTTCTGTAATGGAACTTGCCACGCTTGCGGTTTTGCTTCTGTCTCTCCCAGGCACAACACCTTTTTGTTTCCTCGCTATTTCATTGCCGTGGGCTCTTTCCCCTTCTTCAACAACCCTTCTGACTCCTCTTGTTTCTTACTTACTCTTTTAATTTTCCTTTGTTTGGGGAAACTTGTATCGCCTTCTCTTCTCTTCCGTTTCGATACCCTCACCTCGACTATATCGTTTTACTATACTGTCCGGAGCTTGGGGCATTCCGTTCGCTTGGCGCGCGCGCGCCCGACTTTCAACCACTTCATGTCGCTGCTTTGCTCAGCACCCTCGACAGGCCGCTGCTTGCTGCGATTCCACCAGCCCTGAGAGGCATCTCGCGCGACCAGCAACACAATGTGGAGGCGGACCTATCTCCTCCTTGTCGCCATCCGACTGTGGTTCGCCCTCTCGCCCAGTTACCTACATCCCGACGAGAACTTTCAAGGCCCAGAAGTGATTGCAGGTGTGTTTTTACTCTTTGGGGTCTTCTCTGCGCATGCGCGCACAGCTGCAGCCTGCAGCTGGCGCTTCACCGAAGCAGACCCTACCACAGTTTCATCCTTGTGCGATTCGAGAGTACTAACACGGAAGTACAGGCGAAATCTTCAGCTACCCGGTGCGACGAACCTGGGAATTCACAAACGACAATCCTATCCGAAGTGTGTTCCCGTTATGGCCCGTCTACGGCTTGCCCATGCTCCTCCTGCGCTGGCTGTGGATTGGTAATGGCAACGATGGAGAGATCCCGCCCATTGCCGTCTTCTGGACGCTCAGGGTCCTCATGTTCCTCATTAGTTTCGTGCTAGAGGACTGGGCTCTGCACGAGCTGATCCCCTCGCCGCGCCACAGACGAGTGGCAGTCCTGCTCGTCGCCTCCTCCTACGTGACCTGGACCTACCAGACGCACACCTTCTCCAATTCCATAGAGACGCTAGTGGTCGCATGGAGCTTGGTGCTGATACAGCGCATAGTCGACGCCAAGGTAAGCTGGCCTCTTTTTACGACGTGACACTAGCCTCATGCCAGACCGCCTCTATTAACACCGATTTTTCAGCAGCAATCGACCCTGCTACCCTGCTTCGGTCTCGGAATCGTCGCCGTCTTTGGCATTTTCAATCGCATTACATTTCCAGCCTTTCTCTTAATCCCTGGCTTTCGTTTGATACCCCATTTCCTGAACAAGTAAGCCCTCGTGCAGCCTCTCACAGTCGTGCGTGTAAGCTAACCAGTTCATAGGCCTCTTTCCTTCGCAGTCCTGGTCTCGGCTGCTCTTGTTACCTCCGTTGTTGCGATTGCGCTGGATACCGCATTCTACAACACTGACCCCGTTACGTGGGCCGACCTAATATACAGACCAGTAATAACTCCCCTCAACAACTTCATCTACAACTCCGACACGGCCAACCTCGCCCAGCATGGCCTTCACCCTTGGTACCAGCATTTACTTGCGAACCTGCCGTTGCTGCTTGGACCTGCCGCTGTGCTGTTCGTGACGAAACCTCACCTCTCTATTCGACTCTACTCGGCTATTTCAGGACTGGCGGTCCTATCAATGTTTCAGCACCAGGAGGCCAGATTCCTGCTACCGACAGTTCCACTCATCCTGTCTTCTGTCCAGATTCCTACGAACAAGGCTCTATTACGTGTCTGGACCGTCGCTTGGATCATCTTCAACGTTTTTCTTGGTGTACTCATGGGCATATATCACCAAGGAGGCATCATTCCTGGCCAAGTATTCATGGCTAGCCAGCCCGACGCCACAAATGCCATCTGGTGGAAAACATACTCACCACCCATCTGGTTGCTCAATGGCAAAAATGAAGTCTTGCGGACCAAAGACGTCATGGGGATCCCAGGCGACGACCTGCTCCAGCAGCTGACCTCGCTCGCCACCTGTGACACCCCGGCCGATCGCCGAAGCCAAGAGTACTTGAAAGAAAAGAATGGCACTTACTTATTAGCACCCGCCTCCGCTACATGGCTAGATCCCTATCTATCAAATAAAGGATTGGAGGGGCTACGCTTCCGCGAGGTGTGGCGCTACAACCAGCATCTAAATCTGGACGACTTGGATATTGGCGACGATGGCCTCTGGAACACGCTGACGAGAGTTGTCGGTCGCAGAGGCCTGGTTGCTTGGCGCGTCACAAAAAGCTGCTAGTCGGCCAGAAGAAAAGAGAATAGGAAATCACTATTACTTAGACTTATATAGAATTAGTACGTATATGATGCGATTCAAGAATACAAAAACATTGCAAGAATCTACACCAACTCCCGAGGTGAGGCTGCCGGGCCATGGCAGGGCACCACGAGACGAACATTACATCCTAGAGGAACAAAATTCATGCTTGATGTTCTTTTTCACAGAGACTAACGTGAAGACACACTAGGATAGAGAGAGAGAGTTCCAGCTTAACCGAGTATATTGAAATTACAGTCATCTACGTATATTCATTCAAGAAATCGTAAAAACATAATTTTTCCCATACTCTTAAAGCCCATGTGTGTCCTTGTTTTCAGTCGTGAGACAAAAACTAAGCGCAACCCAGCCAAGAGGCTTAGTAGAGGCGCTTAGGAGGAGACATGGAAGCCTTGATGGTCAGGCTGCCGACGTTCTGCCAGCCCTTCTTGAGAAGGGAGACGAGGTAGTTGATGGCCAGCATGATGTTACCGAGGAGCTGCTCAGGCTCCATCTCGACGTTGCCGACGGCGACACCCATGCAGAGGACCTTCTTGAGCTGGAACTTGATGGTGGACTTGACCTCAATGATCTTGGCGGAGAGGTCGTCGGCGTGGGAGACGGGGGTGGGGAACTTGCCGGCCTTGGAGAGACCGGGACCGAGGAGACGGGGGATCTGCTTGATGAGGGCCTCGGAGGCGATGAAGGCGTCGTACTTGCGGGCGAGCTTCTTGATGAGCTTCTTGTTCTTGTTCAGCTTCTTCAGGTCATCGGACGACATGGCGTCGACGCCGCCGTGCTTGGCACGATCGAGATCGTGCTGGTCACCGAGGATGCAGATGGCCATGTTGGGGCGGGGAACGGCGGGCAGCTTGATAGTGCCAGAGAAACGCTTGTCGCGCTGAGGGTCGTAGTTCTTGAGACCGATCTGGAGCTCGACGGTCTCGAGGAAGTTACGCTTCTTGGTCTCGTTGGAGTACTCAAGGAGCTCCTGGACTTGCGTCCGGACATTAGCTGCAGATGGGTATTAGCATGGTGTTGTGTTTTTTTGATTTTTTTTTCGACATTGCTGGCAGGTGCTGTCGGTTCCTTGTACAGCGGTCCACTGCGTATACGGAACGCGGCAAAAAAGACAAATCAAAAAATGCAATGGATGCACATACCGACTGTAATCTTAGACATGGTGACAGTCTCCCAAGAGGATGATCAATTGGTGGTCAGGACGGAGTTGGTTGGTTCAAATGAAAAGAATGAGGGGATCCACGAAGGATTTTATAATGTTTTTTGCTGTGTGATATTTTGCGTCTAGTGGGGTTTCAATTCCGTGGCAGGGCAAAATATTCTCACGTGCATAGTCACGTGCACCGGCGTATGAGTCGACAAACCTCACTAAACATAGTGCCATGTACCCTAGAAGCAACGAATAAATCATAATGTCGCAGAGAAACAGGTGAAGTAGTCAAAATGATGCGTTGATTCATTTAGCCGATTTTCCCAAGTCACAACTGGCTGATTCATTACCCCCATTTCAAGTTTATTTGCTAGCGCTTGAGTCACCCGGCAACTATAGTGCTCGCAGCAATGGCTGCTCAGCAGGATTTGCTGAACCAAGAGCTATTGAGTAATGCCGGCCAGTTGGTCCGATGGCTCGAAAACCTTCCAGACGATCTGCAACATGAGTATGATGTTTTCCATCCGCCGCAGCTGGCCCTAATTTTTAAACTTTTGTACTAATAAAAAAAATGTGATAGACTTGCAGTTGCCGCCTTTGAGCGCCTCTACGCCGAGGCTGCCCAGCCCAAGTCCGTCTCAGGCAACGCGTGCGTGAGGCTCTGCGGGCTCGTCGAGCAGTCCTCCAAGTCGGCCTCACCCAATCTGCGCGCGTGGGCCTTTTCGCATGCCGTCGTCCTCCAGCTGTTTGACTTTTACATTGAGTGGAACGAGTATGACCACCACCGCTCCATGCGTCTCGTGCTCGACCTCGTCGCCGCCCTGCTCCGCAAGAACCCAGACCACCCCGCCGCGGCGCGCAGCAAAGATGCGCTGCTCAGCGATCTCGTGGCCATTATCGCGCGGCGCTCGGTGAAGCCCGTGGCCAAGTCGGCCATCAAGACGCTGGACCACTTTCTCGGCAAGAACGTCTTCACGCTCGACGACGTCCGCGCGAGCTATGCGAGCAGCGGGAGCGACGCGCAGGGCAGCGCGGCGATGGACGTCTGGGGCATGTTTATCGGGGAACTGTTTGACTGGATGTGCCTGCACTTTGTGTGCCCTGCGGCCGGCAAGCTGATTGTCACCCTGTACAGGCTGCTGCGTCAAGGACGCGGCGGCGCGGAACAGATCCCAAGCATTGACCTGTGGCACTCATGGCTACTCACATTTGTGACAAAGGAGCCGTCACTTGTAGAGCGCATCAAAAACTACGTATTTCTACCCCTGTTCAAGATTGACAGGAAGGAAGCTCTACTGTTCTTGATAAAGATGAACAATGACCAGCCTGTATCTACTTCTGAAACGCTGCATGTCGATATTCCGGCCCTGATCCAGCTCGCGGCGCTCGAGACGGGAAAACGAGTCGGCCTCGTCGAGGAGCCAGACCTTGACTCGGACCGGCCCGCCGAAAGCGATGGCACCTCCATCGTCCTGCAAGAAGAAGTCCTCGAGAGCGTCCTCGGCCACCCGTCCCACGAGGTCCGCTCGCTCGCCTTTTCCATCCTCATTGCCTCGCCCTCCACCACGAAGCCCTACTCGGCGCGGGCGCTGCAGCTTCTGCGCCAGCACCTCGGCGCCTTCTTCGCCGACCCCGACGCCAAGTTCCGCGTCGACGTCTCGGCGCGCGCCAGAGACATGTTCAAGCGTGTCCGTGGCGCCATTTTTGTGCTGAAGCGCAGCATCCCACGGGTGCGCGCCAAGGCGGCCAAAGAGAAGAGACCAGAAAGCGCAACCGCTGCGCTGGCGCCAACGGTGTACAAGGCGAATCTGATTGCGCTGCCCGAGCAAGGTCTGGTGCAGTGTCTGACGGATCATGAGGACTTTCTCAAGTGGTATCTAGAGTTCTTGTGTGAGGAATTAGTCCCGACGGCGTCATACCAGCGTCATATTGCCTCTCTCAAGGCGCTTGGTTACATCCTTCGCATAGAGGGCGAGCAGAACAAAACATGGAAAACAGCTGACGATCAGACACTTTTCTTTGACGTATTTGCTGGTAAATGGGTTCGCGCGCTGTTTGACCTCCTCATGGATCCCTTTGACGACGTGCGCGATGTTGCTTCTACTGTGCTCAAATCGATCTTTGTGGACGCACGATACCGCAGATTCTCACTCCGTACCGCAGGAGGTGAAGCGCAAGACCCTGCTACAGATCTCCGCGAACTGTCGCGGCGTGCGAACAACCTTGCGCGCCGGACCGCCCGCGCCGACCATGCCGACGGCGTGGCGCGCGTGAATCAGCTGCTTTACCGGTTCCTCGCCACCTCGGACGAGCGACTCGCGCTGCTGTCGGGCATGATTGACGAGCTCGAGAGCAAGATTGCGCAGGCCGAGGCGGATCTTGGCCGCGCGGTCCTCGAAGCCCCCGTGCACGGCGACTTTGCTTCGCTGTGCAGCATGTGGCAGGTGGTGTCGGAGCTGCCGCTCGCCGAGGCGGACCTGCGGGCTGTTGGGACGCTCCAGACGCGGCTGCTAGATTGTTGCCGGCGCGCATGGGCCTCGGTACAGTACATTCTCTGCGACGACTCGCCCGAGGGACACTTGCCGTCGGAGCTGGAAGAGCTCGAGGGCCTTGACACCAAGGGCCTCATCAGTTACAGCTTCCGCTCCATTCACGAATCGAGCAACCTGATGCGCATCATGATTCTGGCTATGCGAAATATATCACGCAAGGGCGCGGTGACGCCTGGAAAAGACGTATATCTTGGCATTGGCAGACTAACGTTTGAGCAGCTGTCCAGCCTCAGACATCGAGGGGCCTTCACAAACGTCTCTGCTACTTTTGCTGCTTGCTGCCAGCAGGCCAAGCATTTGCAACAAGCAGACGGCGACGAGGATATCCTCGTAGCCTGGTACAATGGCGCCATGGACGCCATCAACTCCCAGGTATCAACTACGCGTCGCTCTGCTGGCATCCCCTCTCTGATTACGGGCATTCTGTCCGCCAACGCGACCACCCCGTCTTTTGAATCCATCATGGACACGCTCATGAAGATTGCCAGCGCCGAAGCGCAAGTAACTGAAATAGACGACACGCAGCTACCTCAGGTGCATGCCTACAACTGTCTCAAGGACATTTTCAAAAACTCGCTCCTCACGTCGCTCGGCAACAAGTCCGAGGCCTATTTGCCGCAGTGCCTCGAGCTGGCGGCCAGCGGCCTGCGATCCGAAGTCTGGGCTGTGCGAAACTGCGGCCTCATCTTCCTTCGCAGCCTCATCGACTGCCTGTTCGGCTCGCACGAGAGCAAGCAGATGATCGAGGCTGGCTGGGACGGCAAGGCGAACCGAATCCCGTACCATCGATACCCAAACCTGCCTGAGGTGCTGCGGGACCTGCTCAAGTCTGGGCACAGCGTCATGGCCACCACCTCGGCGCTGTCGGCTGCGGCTGCGGAATCGGTATTTCCCGCGCTGGATATCATTCGTAGGGCGGGGCCTCCTGCGCTGCTCCGCGAAGAGATTCAGAGTGACGTCGCGCATTACCTGTCCAGTAGCGTCTGGCATGTGCGAGAGATGGCGGCCAGGACGCTGTGCTCCTGCTTGCTCCATGACAAGTGGCTGGGAATGATCAAGCAGATATACAACGAGGTACAATGCGTATCTGGTGGCGCGCGTCTGAATTATATCCATGGCGTCCTCCTCACCCTGAAGTTTGTGTTTGAAAGACTAAGCGAGGTGTCTCGAGATCAAGTGAGAGGTAAACAAACGCTGTATAGTAGTCTTGAGATGATGGCTTTGCTAACAAGATATAGTCGACTTACCGGAGCTCGTCGACTTTCTGTCAGATTCGAATATCGCGACCGATTACAGCCACTGTCCAGATGTAGTCGCTGCTTACTTAGAGGTTCTCAACCAAACATGGGCCTTGCAACTCGCCGACGGACTTGCCCTACAGCCAAATACGCCCCGACTACTGGAAAAGCCCAGTGTAGCACTCTTGAAATCGCAAAAAGTCATCAATGATGTCTTTTTAGCGTACCAGGCCCCCGACTCTATCAATGCTCTGCGTGACATTGTATCCAACCCGCACCTGGGCGTGAATACCCTTGTTACCGCTCTGGAAACAATACCGAAACTTTGGAGTCCCGCACACACCTCGGAGCAGACACTACTCTCCCTCTGCTCATTATACACAGATGCAGCGCTTCGAACGACGTATCTGGAAGCGCAGATCACGGCGGTCGAAAACCTGGCTGATGTACTCGACGCGCTGCTCAAAAGTGGCGAGGCACAGAAACTGCCCATTGACGAGCTCGCCAGTCTATGGGCTTGCCTGCCTCTCGGACCCATGAACCCGGCGCTCGCCAACGCCGTCATCCGCGCTGGCGGTGGTATTATTGCAGCCCTCCACACCACGGGCAAGCTGACGGCCGACGGCTTGAACAGCTGGGCGGTGCTGATGGCTGACGCTGGCCTAGATGACAAGGCAAGAATACCCCGGTTCAGCACTGTCGTGCTTTGGATGCTAACGATGTCGCATAGGTCTTTGACACCAGATTCGCTGCCGCCGAGTCGTTTTGCTCTCTCTTCACCGTCATCGGTCCGGCATGCACTGCGCCGGCCTTCCTCCCCGTCCTGCTCGCGCTGTACGACACGCTCAACGATGACGACGAGGAGGTCCGCGACCTGGGCTCCGCCGCGTTCCAGCACATTACCGGCGTCTCGCTCGTGCCCGTTGAAGCCGCGAGCCGGCTCCTCCAGTGGCTCGCTGCCACATTTGGCTCGCTGCCGCAGTTTCGCGCCGTCGTCGCCGGCCGCATCATCGGCGGGGCCGCGGCGCCGGCGGAGCAGCAACTCACGGCGGCGCTGCAGTTTGACGACTCGCTGTTCGCCGTCGAGGAGCAGAACCTGTTCGTCGACGAGGTGCGCGAGACGAAGCGCTGGGCGGCCGTGTTTGACAGCCTGTCATGGGTAGGAGGCGATGCGGAAGCGGACACGGTGCTGGTGGCGCTCGACGGCTGGGTACGAGGGGGCGTCGCTAAGATGCGGGACATTGTACGGGAGCAAGAGGACGGCCCTCTGGGCTGGGCTTCTGATGCGCATGTCTTTGCTATTGCTACGCGTATTGTGTACGGGTACCTAGTGCTGGCGAGGAATGGCGCAGCGAGCGGCGAGTTGGCGGCAGAGGTCGAGAAGCTGAGGCAAGCGTCTCTCGAAAAGGACAATGTTGTTTCACAATTGCTCATGGATGCACTGAACTGAGGATGAATGCGAATATACTGATAAAAACAAAACAATAGACAGTACCGATGTTGGATGTTGCGACATTGAGGTTGTTTGCATCGGAATACGTGTACCAATTCCAGAATAAGGATTCAAAAAAAAATAAAAATAAGAAATCCAACAGCTTCAAATTCGATAGCCTAGCATGCTCAAACGCCTGAAACATGACAACTCAGTGCATGCAAGTATGCTTCGTAAAATGCAGAGTCAATAAGGGGAACTTGTCTGGCACCCTCTTACACGTGCTTCTCGGCCGGCATCTCAGCCGAGCTCCCCGACGACTGCCTCCCCGACGACTGCAGCGGCAGCGACACGCTGCTCATGCCACCCAATTTTCCCAGCTTCGCCACGAGCTGCGTGTTTTGCGCCTGCAGTTCGCGCACCTGGCCCTCGAGGATGCGGTTGTGCTGCCAGGCGAGGTCGCGCTCCGCGCGCGTGCGCTCCAGCTCGAGCGCCAGGCTCGACTTTTCCTCCTTTTCCGCCGTCTTGCGGCGGCGCCGCTCCGCCTTTCTGGCTTCATTCTCGCGCTTCTCTTCCAGCTTTTGGCGCTCCTTTTGGTACTTTTGCTCCTGCTTGGCCGCCTCTCGGTCCAGCTTCTCGCGCAGTTTGGCGAGCGAGGCCTCGTCCTTGGCGCGGTCGCCCTGGCTTCTGCTCTGCAGCCGCGACTGCATGAGCACCATCTTGTCGTCGATCTTGCGGCGGCGCTCCTGCAGCTTGCGCAACTCCTTGTCGCCGGAGGAGCCGATGGTGGAGAGGGCGCCGGGGTAGGGGTTCGTGCTGGTGGATTTGGAGTCTTCGGACTGGCTGCCGTCGTTTTTGGGCCCTGGCTCGTCCGTCAGGCTCTTTTCCATGGCGGAGAGGAAGGAGCGGACAGACGAGGTATCGCTCTCCGTACCGTCTTCTTCTTGCTCCGGAAGATTGATGGCAGGGATAGTGGAGAGGGTCTCCTCACTGCTGGCATAGTTGAGACCAAGGCCACTGGCGACAACTGAGCTAGCGACGCCAAATATACCAGTGATGATACCGTAGATACCACTGCTGTTTGGAACAGAGTCATCGTCGGCGTCTTGGCTCTGAAATGTACTATTACTCCGTGCTAGGGTCCTTGTTGTCGTAGATTGCGCGTTTGATGTAGCTACCGGCGCGCCCTGATCTGCATTCTCTGTAGGTATTTGCGTCTCAGCAGATGTACTGGGCTTATCCCATCCTCTACGTGACCCGGCTGTGGTCCATTTGAGGAATTTGCCGGCGTCGCCGACAATGCCAGGCGGCGTCCCCTTCTCGATGAGGAACCGGGGGACACTGCCGCCAGGGTCACTGCGCGTCACCATGAGCCACTCTATCGCGACTTGACGAGGATCGTGGAGGCGCTCCGAGTTGCTCATTTTGTTGTCGGAGCCTGCAGCGCGATCATCATTGGCGGCGAGGTCGACAGCAGACATGGAGCGCTTGGCCACGGGCGGCTCCACGTGAACCTCGCGGATAATTTCCACCGACTCGTACTGGCCACGGATGATGCCTTGACGGGGTGGACATTGACTGTGGTTGCATGGCTTGGAAACAATGACGTATTGACGCAGGCCCTCGGAGCGACTTTCAGCTTTGTGGGATAGGTCAGAGGTGAGCAGCAAGGTAATGAAGTCTCGTGGTGAGGTGGGACCCGGAAACTGAGCAGATAATTGAAACACTGTTCGAGTTAGCAGCTGACTTGAGGGAAGCGAGCTGGAGGGCCTTTACGTACCACTCAGATGGCCAGCATTCTCGATTTCCTGATCTTCCACGTGTCTGTCGGCGCCAATTCCCCTAATATTGCCAGTGCCCGGGGAGCCCTGCACCTTTAACGTCTCGGCAAACTCGCGCTGGAGGCCGACTCTCCAATCGTCAAACGACAGGCCCTCGTGGACACTCTGGCGGGCAAACCAAGCGCCTTTGCCATCTTTGCTGGAGAGTTTGAAGACGTTAATATTGAGAGGATTGTCCCTCGGATTCACTTTGGTCTCCTTCCAGTCCTTGCGCAGCGCCAGGGCAGCCTCCAAGCTAGCCGCGGGCTGGCGCAGCGCCCGAGACCGCTGGACATCATTCAGCAAAACGGCGGACTCGGTCTTGGCGCGCGCCCGCCCAGAACTTGCGGGCGCGGCGGCAGAGGAAGGCGACGGGATCGACTCGACGACAATCATGGCCTGAGAGAAGATGTCGTTGATGTAGGCGGCGAGGTCATCCTGGGGGAGGTCGGCCCAGTCGACCGGGGCGAGCGACTGCAGCGGCGCATGAGAGTTGGCCATGGTGATGGTTCTACGGAGCGCAAGAGGCGCCGGCGCTGGTGAAGAAGCTGAAACGCTGTCGATGCGTTGGCCGCATGCCACGGTAGAGCTGAAAAGCGCGCTGGAGCAAACGGGGAAACAGGAGGCACTAAAGGAACAGTTGAGGGGGGCGTAGGAGGGTGGAAGCTAACGGTCCAACAGTTTCCTGTCCTGCAGCCAGAAATAAAAGCTACAAGGCGGGCGTTAAGCTAGAGCGTGGTGGTGACATCAGAGAAGGTTTCTTGTTCAGAGTAGAGTTGGTGGCGTGAGACCGGACGGGCCACGATTTGGCGGGGAGGCGGTAACTACGGCGAAGTGGAGAAGCCGAAATCTCCGTTCAACTTGGTGGGAGTTGGCTGCGTATAAAAAGCGCAAAAAGTGAAAAATACGATAATTTTTAGAAAGAGAATAGTCAAACGTTAGAAAAGCCAAGTTCAAGCATTCATTTAATAAAATAGAACACTCCAAGATCTATGTCTTATTGGTAGTTCCTTGGTCGCCTAGGAAGCTCGAGTCAAACAAAATTGTCAGACTTCTTTTTAATTAGGGTTAAAAAAGAAAGAAAGAGAGAAACCAAAAGAAGGCGTACTTAGGCCGCTTGCCGTATAAATAATTCTGCCTCACTGGCAAAAGAGCGCCACGAACCCGTGACACTTACACGCAACTCGCCAATGAGGGAACCGCGCAATCGGGACCATGTAAACGGTTGGCACGGCTGAATTAAACCCGAAATTTTCATTAGAGACAAAAAAGAATACAAGAATAAACGCAGGTTGTATCCATCGCCTCTCTCCTGCTTGCACCACCATAGCCGTTGTCCCGCGTCATGAACTTGTCAGTTGACGTCACTCCGTCGTCAATCAGCACCACCATATCGAGTGACATCAATCATAATTATAGCTTGATTAGAAGCCGTACTCACAACGCAATTAAATCTTCTTTTTATGTGACCTGATAACCGAATCTTTCACCCCGGCTGGCACTTCCAAGTACCACCTACCAGGAGTCCATATCTCAAGGAAAACCCCGACATCATGGCATCGACAGCAGCGCTGAAGCGATCGAACCTCTTCGACCTCACAGACAGAGTAGCTGTAGTCACAGGTGAGCCAAAAAGCCAGACACTTTCCGTTTACTGCTATGACCGCTGACATGACAATAGGCGGAGGCTCAGGCATTGGCCTCATGGCTGCGCAGGCCCTGGCTGCCAACGGCGCCAAGGTCTACATTTGCGGGCGCACCCAAGAGAAACTCCAGAACGTGTCCGACAAGCACGAGGCGCAGGCAGCAGGGCAGCTGATCCCCATCACCGCCGACATCAGCTCCAAGGCGGGAATCCTGGCCCTCGTCAAAGAGATTGAGCGTCGCGAGGCCTGCGTGTGCCTCCTCGTCAACGCGGCCGGCATCAGCAGCACCTCTGGGCCCGTGGCCGAGGCCGGGTCGGCCCCGGCGCTGCGCGCGGCGCTCTTCGACGCCGACGGCTCCACGTTTGACGAGTGGGCGGACGTCTACCGCACCAACGTGGCGTCCCTCTTCTTCAACACGGCGGCGTTCCTGCCGCTGCTGCAGCAGTCGACGGACCGGCACGCCGGCTGGTCTGCCGCCGTCATCAACATCACGTCCATCTCCGGGCTCGTCAAGACGGCGCAGCATCACTTTGCGTACAACACCTCCAAGGCGGCCGCGGAGCACCTGACGCGCATGCTAGCGGCTGAGATTGCGGCCGCCGGCCTCAAAATTCGCGTCAACAGCATCGCGCCGGGCGTCTTCCCGAGCGAGATGACGGCCAAGGAGGAGAGCGATGACCGGCAGAAGAGCCACCTGCCCAAAGAAAAGATGGAGGAGATACCCGCCCAGCGACCAGGACGAGACGAGGACATGGCGCAGGCGGTGCTCTTTGCTGCTGCGAATCAGTACTTGAACGGACAGAGAGTGGTTGTTGATGGCGGGTTCACGCTTAGTGCTGGCATGTAAGCAATTTGCAAAGACAAAATGCCAGCTTTCTTTTATATCTAAAATGGCGTAAAATCCATCCCAGTTTATTGTGCTTTGTTGGCTATGCGACAAGGAAAACTCTACACATCTTCTTCCTTGACCAATCAATCCATCTTGATGCACACCTTTCCAAAGTGCTTTCCAGAATACAGATACTCGTAGGCCTCCTTCAGCTGCTCCAGTCCAAACACCTTGGCGTCCACCACTGGCCGCAGACGCTCCGGGTTGGCATCAATCGCACGGCACATGTCCTCCAGCTGCGTTCTATTACCAACAAGAACGCCGCGCGCGGTGAAGAGCTTGCTGAGACACTCGAGGAAGCTCGGCTCCTTTTCGTCCCCGGTGCCGCCCACAAAGCCGATAATGGTGATGACGCCCGCTGTCTTGACGGCGTTGATGCTCTGGCGCATCGACGTCGGGCCGGCCACCTCGACGACGTGGTCGACGCCCACGCCGCCCGTGATATCGCGCGCCTTGGCCCCCCAATCCGGCGTCTCCCTGTAGTTGATGACGTGGTCCGCGCCGAGCTTCGTCAGCGCGGCCTCCTTGGCCGCGGAGCCGGTCGTGGCGATGACGCGCGCGCCGGCAGCCTTGGCGAACTGCAGCGCGGCGACGCTCACGCCGCCGGTGCCCTGCGTGAGCACCCACTGGCCGGCCGTCAGCCGGCCGCCGCTGTCGCCGTAGAGGGCGTTCCAGGCCGTCAGCGCGGCGCAGGGCAGCGTCGCGGCCTCGAGCGCGGAGAGGGCGCGCGGGCGGTGCACGAGACCCTGCTCGCTAAAGGCGCCGACGCCGCGGAACGTGCCGTCCCAGGCGCCGCCGAGCCCGGTCATTATGTTAACGGCGTTGGCGGGCCCGCCAATGTGCTCCTGGTTGAAGAGCGTGATGACGGCGTCGCCGGGCTGGAAGCGCGTGACGTGCTTGCCGACGGCGATGACGGTGCCGGCGCCGTCGGAGCCGGGGATGACGTCCTTTTTGGCGGCGAAGGGGTATTTGCCGAGAGGAATAATCAAGTCGCGGTACTAATTTTGAAAGAAAACTGGTTTATTTCAACAGGTCCGGCTGCGACGGCGTGACAGGAGGCTCACATTCAGAGAACCGGCCTCCACTAGTGTTCTTGTCAGCAGAGGTTGAATTTTTTTTGGGCTGTTATTTTCAAGGTAATGGACATACTTTTAACCAGGACCTGACTATCGCCTGGTGGATAAACGGGCACCTCGCTGAGCTTGAGAGCATCGAAGCCCTCGCTGCCATCTGTGGAGGAAATCGTCCATTGCTTGGTGGTTGTGGGAATCTGAGCAGCCATGATCGCCTGTATTGGGAGTGTGTATAGTGAAATGTGGATAGTATAGAAGTTTCACCGGCCAACATGGAAAAGAATACCAAGGTATATATAGCACGAAATATATTGAGGCCAACTTGGTCTATGCTATGTTTATGGTAGTCGGCGACCTCGGCCGAGAATCAGGTAACATGGCCCCGATTTTGACGTCAAGGACAACAAAGATTGATAATTCCGGAAATAACTGAGGCTACTTTCGGTAGTTAGGACCACGGCGAGAAATGGACATGAAGCGCCGCATTGCGAGAGGTGCCGACGCCGAGATCCGCAGGAGTGGGGGGTTCCATGCACTATTGCCCAGGATTCATTCGTTGTGGTTTCATTTTCTCTCTTCTTGATTTCAAACCACGTCTCGGAAAGGCAGTTGCTTATAAATCTAGCTGGTCTTGTTTCCCGGGCCTTTGGAGAACTTGCGGTCGACGGCATCGTCCAGTGGTCCGGGCGGGTTCGAGGATAGATTCTGGGTAGGCCGATATTGTTAGCGTGATTTGTGATGGCAAGAAAAATCGGACCATGATATACGTACCTCGACGTTTGATTTGGAAGCATCTTGGACCTGCCCTGAAGTCTTGTCTTTGGAGTGTACTCCGTGACCGGGAGGGTCGTGGATCTGGCCGCCCGTCTGGCGCTCTGGGGAAGGAGACTCTCCGCCTTGAGGCATGTTGTCGATGTTTTATGTATTTATTTATTTATCTTGTGTAAAGTAAGAATTGAGAACAGCCAAAAAAAAAGGAACAGGCATTGCGAATCTGTTCCTATTTATCCTCCGTGATCGACTTCCGGCTGCACCCACAATTGTCGTCACTGGCCGCCAATGGCGCACTAGAGCCGCAGTGTCCTGATGTCAGAGTGACAGACTGTGAACAAGTAACTAGAGCCCAGTACAAGATCATGGTGAGGTCACTTTGCGCGATAAGCAATAGTGCGAGTTCATTTGCTATACATGGTCACTGTGACGCAGCGCTATAGGAGAGCAGAGTTGGCACTACATTCATCTAGTATAAAAATAAAAAATCAATAAATAAATAAAGCATCATCTTCTTTACTCCTATACATCTACTGCCCCTTGTAAATAGTCGTCGCATTCGCAATAAAGGCATCAAAAACCCCGTCGCCCGTGGTCGGCGTTATGGAATTAGGCACAACCTTGCCGTCTTCACCGAGGCTGCTCACAGTTTTTGCTTTTGTCTTTTCAACCCACTCCTGCGCCGCCTTGTACTCGATGCCGGCCTTGCTCTTGTCGCCGCCGTCAAGGGCCGCCAGCATCGCCACGATGTGCTGGCTGGCCCTAGCCCACTGCATCGCGACGGCGGACCAGGGCGCGACCTCGGCCGCAAACGGCTCCATGGCCATGCCGGGGAGAACACCCGGAAGGGCCGCGATGAGCTCCAGACGGCTGGCCAGAGCGCCGTCCTGCGTGCTGTGGGAAGACCGCGCAGCCCAAAACGCAGCAATGTCCTCGCTGAGCCGCGGCGCGCTCTCAGTGCTGTTGCGGTACGGCCAGTTCTGGTTGATATCGGCAAAGGCGAGGAGAGCCGCGCGGATGCGCTCGTCCGGGCCAGCGAGCTCCTGGACGACGGCGGCCCACGACACGGCCGGCTCGTAGGCGGGGCTGTTCCACGCATAGTCGCCGTAGTTGCCCAGGGCGATCAGGGAGGCGTACGACTGCACCATGGGGTTGGAGGTGAAGCCAATCATGTGCTTGTACAGGTCGGCGGCGCGCTCGGTGAGCGGGTTCAGGAAGAGGCGGGCGGGCTTGTTGTCGTTGACGGGAAAGTTGTCCCAGATGAAGAGCTTGTCGGTGACATAGGTCGCGTCGGCGCGAACGACGCTCTCGACAGTGATCTTGTCGGAAAAGACACCCTCGCCGGTCCACTGGACGCGAATGCTCTTGTCCAGCTGCTTGCCAAACTGGCCTTTGTACGGGTCGGGCGCGCTGCCGGCGTAGTTTGTGGGGACCGTCTCGAGGTCCGCGAGACCGTCATGTGCCTTGATGTATTCGTTTTGCACGCGGTTGAGGTACGAGGCCTGCGCATCCGCGATCCAGTGCCAGTCGCCGTTGTCGGGGAACTGCTGCCTGTCCGAGTCGCAGTGGAACGTGAGCGGGATGTCGTCGAGCGCAATGTAGAAGCTGGAGACGCCGAGCGTGCGCAGCTGCTCCAGCTTGGCGACGGTCGAGCGAAAGTCGGCGTCCGAGGTGTAGCAGAGGTCCAGGCCGGGGGAGAGGGCATACGTAAAGTCGACGTGGTTCGCGTTGGCTGTTGCGATCAGGTCCTTGAGCTGGTCCAGGTCGGCGCCGCCGTAGAGCTCGCGCCAGGTGGCGCGCAGGTACGGGTCGCCCTTTGGCGTGTAGATGTACGTGTTCATCTTGTGCCGGCCGTAGAAGACGTACTGGTCCTTGCGGGCCTGGTGCGACCAGGGGATGCCGTAGAAGCCCTCGATGGAGCCGCGGATGGGCATCAGCGGCCAGTCGCGGACGCGGACGCCCGGAACACCGTGCTTGTCGCCGACGAGCTGGCGCAGCGTCTGCGCGGCGTAAAACGTGCCGCGGACATTGACGCCGTTGAGAACGACGGTTGGCTGGCCGTTGTACTGGCCGGCGGCGAGGACGTAGCCGTCGGCGGCAAGGCCGTAAGCCGACGCGCCGGTGAGCGCCTTGGCAGCCGCGGCTGCGGCTTCATTCTCCGAGTCGGTGCCGACTAAGATCTGGGTGCCGGCGCCGCTGGCGGCGTGGGCGGAGACGGTGGCGTGTCCGCCTGCGCCAGCGACGATGGCCTGGATGGCCTCGATTGTCGGGGCGTCGGTGGCGTTGCCGGTGACAATGGTGACGGCGCTGCTGAGACGCACCGCGCACGCGCCAGAGGCGGAGATGTTCTGGGGAGGGGGCCAGATGGCGGGTATTACTGATAGAGTGCTCTTGTGGTTGAAGGCGCCATTGAGATCAACCTGAGCCGCGCTCGCTTGGACGCGGCTGGACCACGAAAGGGCAGCAAAAGAGACGCAAAGGGTCACGGCACGCGGTAGAGGCAACATGGTGGACGTGCTAGAATGTCGAGATGCACAGCACAGGCGTTGAAGATGGGCGCAGGGTATGTATACATGTTTGTCGACGATAGTTTTACCGACGGGTTTATACACGTTATCGGCATTGATGACCCCAGGTGTGCCGTGTATTCGGGTCCCGACTGAAGATCAAAGTACAGTTACAGCGATTGTGGAAATACCATTATCACTTTCCTATTTCGCTAGGCTCCATTGCCTACTTGCCTGATTCTGGGCAGTCGGCAATAGATATACATGCCGTCTCGTAGAAGAGGCTGGGAAGGCGCGGGGAAGGCGCGGGGTATATTAGTGTAAGTGGCCCTGATTGAAGTGACCTAGTGGTTAATAAGTGACGTATTTAGTGAACTGTTTGCTAGGCCATTGCTATTATTACTTATCAAATGCGGATTCCTAGTGTGAATAAAGACGATTTATTAAAGCCCTCTCCAAGCCTCATGGTTCGCGACTGAGGTGACGGGGCTGATGAACCTCGTGTCTCTGCTTTGCTTTTTGGCAGGCCATTATGGCGCACGTTAACAACCATTTCTCCCTTTCCCTAATAAATCCTCTTCACTCTTGTCCATTGCAACGTTGCAGGGAAAAACAACCTGGTTCCCTGCTTTGACTAGTGTCAGGGTACAGTGGGCTCATGTTAGTGCCAATGTCTTTGCCTGGGTCTGGATGAATAGTTACAGTGGTTGTATTCATTCTTCGTCCTACTAGCAGTAAATGAATGTATTCGTTCCTGCAACGCACCGACGACTGGGAATGGTTTGCAGGCACTTCTGTATGGTGCAACGGTGGCGCCGGCCACCATGTTCGTCCCGACGGCAGACGGCCATTTTACCCCGCCAAGTGGCTGGAACAATATTACCGAGTTATCGAGATGAAAGTTGAAAATTGCGTAGCCGTGTCTCACTCGAGCCGAGCTGCCTGTTGCGGCCGGAGCGCGCGTATTTCTCAATATAGTCCAACTGGGGGCTATTCTGCTCTTTAGGCACTTGCATTGCGTCGTCAAGGTAAAAGGACGGAATTATTCGCTCGTATTCGCTCGAGAAGATGTAGTACATGTACGTAATGATTAGATACATTTGGGAAATATTCTCGTAAATTGTTTAAAAATGGTACAGATGACTAGACGATCGTTGCATCGATGAAGCATCAGCCGCACCACGCAGCCGAGTATTCACGCCCAATCCTCCAACGAAAAGCAATGAAAAAAAAGCGGACTACATTCCGCAACAAGGTAATTCCTGCGAATCAGCTTCCACTTGTCACCGCCCCTTGTCGCGCTCCCCTCGCCAATTGGCATCTCAAGGTGTATTGTGGCTGGCTGAAAAGAACAAGACGGCAGCCAGCGAGCAGCTAACTATGCAGGCAGACGCAGTGTAAGCCGCATGCCATAGACTGTGGACTGTAGAGAGACGCGCCACGGATTCCTGCATAAAGTTGATCCCTTTGACAACGCATTCATGACGAAATCTGATGGAAGAAGGAACAAGTTGGGCACTGATCGCGGGCGACAAGAACCCGTGCGGCTCTGTTACTAGCCCGAATTATTAAAAGACCTTTTCTTGCCTTTTCTCGCCCACCTGCTGCTACTGCTGCTTCTTCATAGTCCATTCTTGTCATGGGGATATAAGTAACGCTTCTACTACTCGCTTGCTGTTCCTTGCTTCCCAGTGGCGACAAATAACAACTTGCAGCATGTCACGCGCGGCCGACATACCAGACAACTTGATGGGAAAATGGCAGAGCGACCAGAACCGCAGCACCAGGGCCCCTCGTAGACCCATGACGGCGTGCCAGACTTGCCGCGCGTCCAAGGTCAAGTGCGACGGGAAGCAGCGCTGCCGCCACTGCGCCCTGCGAGGCGTCGCCTGCGTCTATACCAATTCCAGAAACACGACTGCGAGAGCAAGTGGCGCGGTGCAAAAAGGTAGCCCAAAAGCGCACATGTCGGCAGTGCCGGATGATGCACACCAGCAAATGTGGCCCGCGCCGTTGCCGACCGCCAACACCAGGGAGATGCACGGCGTGGAAAATGCCGGCAGAATGGCTTGGAACAGAGCTCCTTTCCTGAGCAGCGACCAAAATATATACCTCCATGTTCACGAGAGCCCCGGTAGCATGGAGTCGCGACTGCACAGCGGACTGGGGATCATGGAACCACTGGCCGACTACAATGCGCTGCTACCCGACTCCGACTTGCAACTGGACTTCTCCTGCTCCATCAATAGGAGATGCTCTATTGCCATCTCAGATTGTACTTCCGATACACTCTACTCTATGCATCAAACCTCGGGTGCCGAACGCGCCGGGCACACGGACACGACTCGTCCATCCTCGTCCGGCCCGCCCTCCCAAAGCCCCAGCGACGGCGTCTTCTTCTCAGCTCATTGCCCCTGCCGCGAAGCGCTCTCGCGAAGCGTCGGAGAGATCAACGACGCCTTGCTGTCCCACAAGACCACGAGCGACATTTTCCACGTCACGTCGGCGTTTCTGCACACCTGTCGGGGCGTCCTGGACTGCAGCCTGTGCACCCTGCACGGCGCCGACCTTGTCTGCCTGGTGTCCTGCTTGCAGCAGACGGCGAGCTGCTTCCACTATATGGCCGCGACGACGGATCCAAAGCACGAGGCCGTCATCAGGCTGCGGCTGGCCGACACGGTGGTGCCCGTGACGGACCCGCGCATGCGCCTGATGGCCATGACCACCCTCGTCCAGCACGCAGTGTATATACTCGACGCGATTGGGCACAGCGCCCGGTGTATTCTGCATGCTTCCTCTCCGCCAACGCCGCTGGTTATGTCCCATGTTGGATACCTGGAAAACACGATTGGGGATTTTCGGACGACTTTGGACTATGTTGTCGCCGTGGCTGAACAAAATGCGCGCCAGAGCAATTAAAAGTATAGTCTTTGCGGGGAAATAGAACAAGTTTTTCTCGATGAAATAATATTCATCCTGTCTAGTACGGAGAAGTATAAGATTCGTTGCCATGCACTGTCCCGGGCCGCTGTGGCTACTTCGGCCATCCATTTGCGCCGCGCGCCGGAGCCGGCGCCACCGGGGGTCCGGGGTAGCTCAAACCCGGGTAGCGGCAACCTTTCCACCCACTACAAATACGTGAACAAACTTTGCCATCTCCTGGCAACTATACTCACATCCAACTGGTTATACTATTGCAGCCAAGATACAAAAATGGTGGCCTACTCAGCAGTGCAGGCCTCCAACGCAGCCATCGCCCGCTGGCTGCCCGAGACCGTTGTCGCCGTCTTCGTCGGGGGCACAAGCGGCATCGGCGAGTACACGCTCAAGGAGCTCGCCCGCGCGGCGCGCAAACCGCGCATCTACATCCTGGGCCGGTCGCAGAGCTCGTTTGACCGCATCGCCGCCGAGTGCCGGCAGATCAACCCCGCGGGCCGGTACGTCTTTGTGCAGGGCGACCTGAGTCTGCTGCGCAACGTGGATGCTGTCTGCAAAACGGTGCAGGGTCAGGAAGAGGCCATCAATATCGTCTTCTGGAGCGCGGGCACTTTGATCCGTGGACAGAGTATGTCTCTATTTTTTATTTCGCTATTTTTACATTACTTCTCGTATCCATCTCCTCCATGGAGGGAGGGGGGGGGGGGGTATAGAAGAAGTCTGCTAACAACGGACAACAGAAACGGCTGAAGGGCTTGATCTTGCAGCCGCTTCGAGAGTCTACTCTCGCACGCGCATCATCTCAAACTTGCTCCCCCAGCTAGAGGCCGCGACCGGTCTGCGGCGCGTGGTCAGCGTGTCCACCGGCACGAGCGAGGGCGCCATCGACTTTGCCGACTTTCAGCTCGTGCGCAGCAGCAGCAGCCTAGCCAAGCAGCGCGCGCACAACAGCTCGCTCATCTCCCTCACAAACATGCGCTTTGCGCAGCGGGCGCCGACCGTGGCCTTTGTGCACGACTACCCGGGGCACGTCCGGTCGGGCATCAGCCGGGGCGCGACGGGCGTCCTCGGGGCCGCGCTCGTCGTCGTCCGCGCGCTGGGGCCGCTGCTCTTCTTCAAGCCCGAGCAGGAGAGCGGGCAGAGGCACCTGTACTACCTCTGCAGCGCGCGGTTCAGGGCCAGGGAGGGCGTCGAGGAGACGGTCCCGCTGGGGGAGGGCGTGGCGACGGCGCGCGGCGTCGATGGCGTCGAGGGAAGCGGTGTCTACTCTTGCGATGCGGACAATGACGAGGCGCCGGAAAAGGTCGAGATGGTCCTGGCGCGCCACAGGGAAGAGGGCGCGTTGGAGAGGGTGTGGGAGAGAATACAAGATGATACGAAAGCTATTCTTGGGGCCGCCTACTAGAGAGTCCGTCTTGCAATGTACTAGAGTATGCTGAACACGAGTCGATTGCCATGACGAGCTCTACTACTATGTACACAAGATTCGATTTCCCTGACCTGAGAACGCCCAGGCCCGGGATTCGTTGAAAATATAGTAGCATGAGCCCAGTTCAGCTCAGGCTGTTGGTATGTTCAGCTCGGGCTGTCGGTATTCCCCAGTCACTCATAAAGTGCGCCTCATCGAGAGAGCATTCATGCTCATCGACAAGTTCACTGCAAACAAAGAAAACGTTTCGACTATTAATACCAATCAGTATACGGATGAAATACGAGGTGGCTGTCGTTGGGTTGCTGTCGCGGGCAGTCGTGGCTATGCAGTGTAGTGTGGTGTCTTGTCGCAAGGCTGGGTCGCTGGTTTCATGGTGGTACGCCACGGTGGCGCCGAAAAGCAAGCATAAAGTCTAGTATTTGGCACGTTTTTTTATATAAAAAGAAATCTGTAATTCAATTGGACAAGACACCCCAAGGCCTGCGCTGGCCCTGGTGGCGTCCTGTCACTGCCCAAGCAGGTTAACCAGCTGCACCACCTAGCGCTGCACTCAGCCTTGAGATGCGCCAAAGACTGGTCTAGCATCGCCCAGTCTGTCCCGATCATCCGGTTTCCTTTTGGCGATATTATCCGGGGACCCTGACTACTTTGTCCCGGCAGTTGGGTACCCATAGGCCACGACGCCCCGTTGCTGACCGCCCCCAGGCTGATGACGTTCGAGAAGGGTCCAATATGGAATGGGAGCATAGACAGACGATCTGAGACTGAGTATTGCGCCCTGACCTTCTCAGCTGCTCGATTATCCCATCTTCACCCGGATGAAGCCTCTGGCTTCTGTTTGGGAAGGAAAATTCACGGCGGACAACCAAGTCGTGCACACAGACAGTCATGTATCTGAGAACGGCTGCATAAACCTTGACGACTCCATGTGACCACCATTTCGAGTCCATCAATCTTCATTCTGATGAGAGAGAGTTTAGCTCAGAGTCCTATTCCTCGTATCGTCGCAGAGGTCTCCGTCTTGGTCCTGCTGCATGGAAATAGAATCAGCCGTCCGCGAGCTAAGAGACCGACAGATGCTGCCCAAAGACCAATAGTGGCCGTCCGAACAGTGTGCCGTGAAGCACCATTGGACGCCTTCGAAGCCTCTTGTCTTACACGCGCCGCACTGCGCCTATGGCTTTTTCAGCAAGCAGCCATGGGCCCGTATCCAAGGTGGCCGAGATGGCTTCTTGATCTTCTCACTGGACCGTCGCGTCCCAGCCACGTCGGCGTCGGGCTTCTCAGCTGTATAATGGCTTTTCGGAAAATGTACAATGGCTTTTCCGAGACGTGTTGCAATGAGAGAAAACAGCACGGAGTTGGCGGACAGTGACGAATATAAAAGGCACTCGATATCTTGCCATCTGAGAAATTTTGCATCAGCAAGACAGCAAGCAGCTCTCCCTCAGACACACACACAAATCCTCCAACTCTCACTCTCACTCTCCACCTTCCTCCCAAAGCACCCTTGAAAATGAAATTCATCAGTACTCTTGTTTCCCTCCTCGGCCTTGCCGCCGCCGTTCCCACCAGCGGCCCCAAGCCGTCCAAGGTCAAGATCAACGGCCTCAGCCTCCTCGGCAGCGGCTGCCCGGCCGGCACGGCCGACGTCCAGGTCGATGCCAGCGGCACCCTGTTCGAGGCGACCTTTTCCGCCTACGAGGTGCAGACCGGCCCGGGCACCAAGGCCATTGACTGGCGCAAGAACTGCAAGCTCACCCTCAACATGGAGTTTGACCAGGGCTACCAGTACGTCTTGCCTCGATGAACCAGACGTCCCTGTCTAACATACACAACACAGGTTCTCCATCCTCGACACCGACATGATTGGCTTCGCCGAGATCCCCAAGGGCGCCAAGGGACAGTGCACCAACACTTTCTCCTTCACGGGCAACGGCGCGCAGCACGTCGACTACGGCATCAGCCTGCCCGGCCACTACAGCGGCTCCTTTGATCTTCAGAGCCGCCCCGGTATCGAGTCCTGGTCCCCTTGCGGCGGCAGCACCGCCATCCTCAACATGAACACTGCCTGCAACATCAGCCCGACTCACCTTCCTGCCCTCATTGCTGTAAGTGGACAATCTCGGAGCGATATTCACTCCCTCCAGCTGTCAATCAATTGGATCTCTGACAGGGACAACGAGCTAATGCAAATTCTTCCTCTAGGTTGACCACATTAGCGGCAAGCTCACGGTCAAGTTTGGCGTCCAGTGGAGATACTGCCCCAAGCACTAAACAACGTAGTTGGTATGATGGAACTGGTCTTGATCCTCCTCAGAGACGCCTGTCTTGTTTCCCTTTAGGCCTGCGCAGCCTATCATGGTGTCTTTGATGGCGGATCTTCCGCCTTTGATGATCTTCCGCGACTCACTTCCACTTTCCTTCAGAAACGTCCGAGTTCCCGTCTTCTTGCAGCTAGCTTCTTCTTTTTATCTTGCAAAATAAAACCCCGAAACGTTGGTACCACGCAAAGATGCTTCCTAAGATGCCGTCCTCTCTACTGCTAATAAAAATGTTGCTCCAAGTCTGTCGTCTCCATGCCCAAAGCATTCAGCTGCGCTACCGGAGTTGAGACTGTAGGTCTTCGTAGTGAAGACGAAGAGTCCTCCCCTCCACCAAAGAGGAGATGACAAAGCAACCAAGTTACCATCAATAATTTATAACGTCCATATTGTGCGTGGTATTACAGGAGGGAAAAGACCGACATGGACAGAAGCGAAGGAGGCAAAGGCTCAGGGACGACAATGGGTTACAGGCAAGATCTGTCGGAAATTATGTAAGCAGGCTAATAGGGACGTTAGATAACTCGTCGTAATTAAGAGTAATTTATACAAAGAGAACTTGTATACTTTTGCCTTATTCCTTCTTAATTAGGAAGGGAATTCCCTTTCTTTAATATACCTATTTTTTAGCCTAGAAAATTAGTATAACTTCTATACCTTTAGTATATCTTTGTTCAGGGCTGGGCTACGCCCAGCACCTCTCTAGCCGGTAGGCGGCGCGGGGCCCAACTTTTTATGCCTGTTTGCCGTTTGCCTGTTCGGATACACCACAATTCAGCACAAATAGACTCCGAGCAGCGTCTGGAGTCACCTTCGAGTTTCATCTTCTACTCTGAATTGAAATTTTAGCGACTTCCCATTTCTGACATTTGTCCTCCCTCTTACACCTTCTGGAAGCTCGCTATGATCAGTCCCGACGATCGACTCTGGGCTGGAAGCGGCAGCTTGCTTCGTGGAGGGCCTTACACATGGTACATTACCGATTTCGATCAGCGAAGGCATTTCTCAGTTACATATTGCAATCCGGCTCCGGTACCAGACGAAGACCTTGAGGGAACAGAAGATATGTGCCTGGCACAGCTGCGACAGCACATCGACGACCTTGGTACGGATGTCTTAGGGATTCGCTTCTCAGACCCCAAGGGGCCGATCTCGATATCTACTAGCCAAGATGACGATGTTACTATGTATACAAACTGCTATCTACCATCTGAACTACGGCTTCCATTTCCCGTCAAGACGGTCGGATTCGACAGCTTGACAGAGCTTGACCGCTTAGGCCCACAGGTGGACTTGGTAACATACCCTGGAACCCCTACGGTTGGCGGCGTGGCTGTAGGCACAAAGGCAGCTTTTAAATACTGGTTTATACAAAACGGAATGCTTTGGAAATGGCACGAGCTTCAACTTTGGGCTCGGTTGCCACGGAATCACCCGCATATTGTCCCATTCGACGCTATTGTGTTGGATAATATCAGGGGGGGGGTTATTGGCTTCACAAGTGTGTATATTCCCGGCGGGACGCTTCAAGATAACAACGCCACCGTCCGACCTTTTCGCTTGGCATGGTTCCAGCAGCTTCTATCTGTTATTGACGATCTGAATTATCGCTATGGCATTATGCATCAGGATATTGCGGCGCGCAATCTTCTCGTCGACGTTGAGAACAATCTCCGCATCTTTGATTTCAACTTTTCTGGCAGAATCAGCGAGCACTTGAACCCTGACCGTGATGATATAAAAGGCGTCATCTTCACCTTATACGAAATCATGACGTTAGATGAGCATTACCGAGACGTACCTCATGCCGAGCAAGACGCCGAGGCTTTGCTGCGACAGGAGTGGACAAAGCACCCGGATGTGAAGTTAGATAGTGAGGTGTGCGAGTTTCGGAAAGTGCTGGATGTGTGGGTTGAGAAGAGAAGGACGAGGGAAGTCAAGGTGATCGAAACGTGGCTCCAGTGGCCGTTGATGCCAAACCCGCCAACCGCACCGTCACTGACGTACGGGCCTGATGGAGCGGTCACGGGCAGAGAAATGAAGTCACATGTGATCTTGATGCGGCGGGATTTGATTAGGCTGGAGGAGCCATACCTGAAATGGGAGCGGCCGGCAAGTTATCGACTCAAAGACCTGCTCGAAAAGCGGAGGCATCAGAAGAAGATGGATGTGCCAAGAACGACCACGATACAAGACGCCGGCAAGTCCGTAGACGAGGGTCATGGCTAGTCGGGGGCATGCGTGTGAACACTCATCCAGTCCTTGACCGACGCGAGACTTCACACCCGGCAAAATCGCTGTCCACAAATTTCATGACGTGAAGGCCATGGCCATGTTGGGCAGGCGTCTTTTTTTTTTCTTCATAATACACTCACTTGCCACTATTTTCGGACCGCACTCCCGTGGAAACGTCTTTGTCTGCTTGAGGGCCGTCGCGGGCTGAATTCTGCTGCCTGAGAACACTGGGCGTCTATTCTGTCACGAAGCTTCGGGCCAGTGCGTCGACTTCTTCTGCTATTGCGACTTCTTCTTCTCTTGCTACTTTCTTCTCTTGCAACTTCTTCTACTCTTGATTTTACTCTGGCAACTCCTTGCGCTTTTGCAGAAAGGTACTAGCCTGCTCCAAAAATAACTCGGTCTTCAGTCAACAACAAGTGACCGCTGAACCGTGTGAGGGAAGGCCGGTCTTGCCGACTATCTTGAACGTCAAAGCAACGCTATTCCATCATATTTCGAGACCAAAATGAGTCTATGCCATCAGAACAACAGGTCCTGCGGCTCTGAGATTGTAGAGGCTACCAAGCTCTGCTTGGAGTCGCTGAATCTCTGCCTGATGCAGCCGCTGACAACGAGCTGGGCTGACAAATATCTTAGCAAATTTTAAGATCTGCTTAAGTTGAATCTCATTTTAAACGCTGGATATGATGAGGGTAATCGCATTTACAGGGGCTGTCGAAACCCAACGGCCTTGAAGGAACCGATGTTGCAGGAACTATGTCGATTGGATCATGACTTGCGATGTGAGCTTGAACGAACGTTCCGCCAGCCGAGTTGAACCATATTCTTACATATTTCCAGTGATATGCGAAACCAGCAAAGTCATTTTCGACTCAGCCAGTTGCCTGACCTCGGCCCAGCTCGGGCTGTCGTCGGTCTTGGCGTTGTTGAGAGAAACTCGACTCGCAGTGCTGCAAAAGGGTGCCGAAGATGCCATGTCTCGCCTATCTACGCTGCAAAAAGATTTCATTAGAGAGTTCTATCTCAAAGGGCTGCACATGAGTATCATAACCGCCCGTTTTCTCCTATCTAGGATGCAAAAACACTTTAAAACGGCCACTCTCGAATCGCTGCAAATAGATGTCAAAGACGTCAAAGACGTCATGTCTCTCCTATCTACGCTGCCCGATAACTTGACAAAGGGCCGCCTCATAACTAGCACTGAAAGACCTAATCTTGACAAATTACCCCTCAACGGTCAAAAACTATCGAAGGATGAGGTCTTCAAATCGATGCCCGGCGCGATCAAGCCAATGAAAGACCGCTTGTTCAAAGCATTCCAGGATCGCGAAATCCAGCTAGCATTTTTCCACCGCCAGGCACGGGGTCAGCAGGAGGCAGTCATGGGTTATACACTCGGACAACCTGTCCCCTCAAGCCCATCGCTTTCTTCGAAGAAAGACACTCGGCCAGGAGCAGGGAAAACACGGGCTCAATCCTTCGATGAGAGCCTGCAAAACATCCCGCAACCGCCTCGGCCCAGAAAACCAAGCGAAGACAAGGTTGCATGCCCTTATTGCACGACTCTCCTAGATCAAGACAGCCGTCAAGGTCAAAACTGGGTGTAAGTCACCAAAAGAGAGCATCCACTCAATCCACCCGTGCCATTCTGTTCTACTCGGCCACGCATGACTAACGAGACGAGCACATAGACGCCATGTCCTGCAAGACATCAGACCCTATGTCTGCGTGATCCCTGGGTGCACTGCTTCTCTTGCGAGATTTTCAAGCGCGAACTCATGGATGCTGCACATGACGAACAATCACCAGACTTATCAGTGGGCATGCGAAGCAGAAGGCCATAGCGAACCCCTTCAATTCTCATCATGCGAAGACTTTCTAGCACACATGACTGCTCATGACGATTCCATTCTTGATGATCAAATGGCCATCGCAGAGTCCGGCAGCAGAATAGTAACGACGAAGCTCGATGCCGCAGCTCTGCCGTCCTGTCCTCTGTGTGGGATATCCATTAAGCACTTTCGAGGGGACGTGGACCTTTTATGTCGTCACATGGCACAAGAGCTGTTCGACTTTGCTCTTTGGTCTGTAAGCGTGTATCAGAAAATCGCTGGCTTGGGGGAAAAGGTGGAAAAGACTTGACCTTGAGTGCACTTTTTTAGTATTGTGGTTATTTTAGTCATTGATTCCCATTATTTTTTTGTTTCTTCGTATTCGTTAACAAGTGCATGGCCAAACTCTCTAACTATCGGGCCTGATCCAGTCCAAGATTCCACACAACTTGCAAACTTTGTTCCCTCTTCATCGACTTACTTAGTTACTAATTATTAGCGTGGCATACCATCAGGCTTCAAGCTGCCAGATGGGGATGGTTCACCAACTATTCGTGCACAGAAATATTCGGCATATACTTTGCCTTCACAGCAAGGTCACAGCAAGTACACTTGAGCAAGCTGGTACTGTGATATTTTTACTGTCACTGTTTGCTCCTTTCCGCCTTTTGATACCCTTATTTAGTCCTTCTTTCCGCTTAATGAAGTTTGCAGCCCCACGAGGCAAATCTCGACAACTAATACACAATGTCTCACTCCGATCCTAGACTCTGTTCTGACCGATCTCTTCATTTCCTTGCACGTATACTTTTCTAACTTTTCAAGTGCCGTCTGTTAGTTTTGGTCTATTGCTATATAGTGCCGCCCGCTGGAGGGTCTATCCTGCGCTACGTCGACAAGGTCAACAAGCAGTCCGCCCACAATTGAAGCGACACGTGTAAATGTCCTGTATATATTGTGACACCTGCCTCCTCCCACTGCACTTCTCAAGCTCTCATCCTAGAGTCCTCTTCGCTTCCTATTCGCAAAATCTGACACCATGTTGCTCCGAGATGTCCTCACCCTGTTGGCTACGGCCCAAGTCGTCACAGCAGACTCGTCGCATCCAGTGCACTTTCGCAAGGTCAATGCCAGCACAGCCAGGAGCATCAGTGCCTACAAGAATCTCACGCTCCATGGCGACGGAACGCTCGTGAATGAGCAGGTAATTCTCCCATCGACTCGCTTGGGGCAAATGCTGGAACGGTCGCTAATACCACATAACCAGGGCTTTTGGTTCTCCCACTTCAGCGTCGGCGCTAGCCGGAATCTCGAGATGCTGATCAATACCGGTTCCTCGGATGCCATTCTGAATCCCGGCGTCTACGATCCCAGCTCCGCCTCTCGCGATCAAAAGCGGGATTTTCACATCTCGTACGCGACGGCAAAACCCGACGGTTCTGGAAAACTCTCCGTGAGTGTCTCCCGATCCAACGGCACAGAAAGACCCTTGTAGTAAACGTGTCTAACCATATGTTTTATACAGGCATCGGGAAAGGTGTACCTGGACGTCGTCACGCAGCTTGGCGCCAACCTCACCGTCCTGCAGCAAGGCATTGGGTTGATTGACAAGCCCAAGACGACTCCCACCTTTCCCCACGACGGTATCATCGGCTTCGCCGGCGAGCGCGGCGCGTCCCTCCGAGAGAAGCCCTTCATCCTCTCCCTCTGCGCCACGCATGCACTCTCCGCGTGTCGCTTCGGCCTCTCCCTGCGCACCAACGGCACCGGCCAGCTGCACTACGGCACCGTGGCCACGGACGAGTTTGCCGGCGCGCTCACCACGGTCAAGACGGCCCGGGGCCGCCTCTGGTCCGTCAAGGGCGACGTCACGGTCAACAGAGATAGGATCTACATTGGACTTCCACTGGTGACCGACTCGGGCACGACCGCCATCTTTGGCCCGAGCAGCCTGGTTCGCAAGGTCTTCCAGGCCGCCCGCATCAAAGAGGTGAAGACGGAGAACGGCTACGAGGGCCGCTTCAATTGCAGCGACGCCCCTACCATCGGCTTCCGCATCGGGCGCAAGATTTTCAACATTGATCCCAAGGCACTCGCCTTCAAGAAGGACGGCGACAACTGCACGGCTAGTCTATTTGGCATGCACAAAAAGTTTGGCGACAGATGGATCCTCGGCCAGGCTTTCTTCCAGGGTCGCTACATTGACCACAACGCGGAAAACAAGACCATGGGCTTTGCTAACCTCAAGGAATAAGTCAGTGAGGAAGCTTTTGAGAATAAGGATGAAGATAGCTGCTAGCTGGACCGACAGTTCTTGCCAGCCGGACTGCCCATGACTACCTCTCCATTTAAGATGGGTTAGTCTAATCTAATACTGAGTAAATTTCTGGATCCATTGAACCTAAAATAATATATAATTATTTTTCAAATCAATGTGAGGTGCCTAGTTTGAGGGCTTGTCCTCACAATAGTGGCGAGGCTGGTGCTGTGTGATGCAGACTGCAGACTTGGTAGACGAGGCTGCCAGGGGGTTAGTGGGTGTGTGGTGTGATGGGTGTGATGGGGGATGATGGCTTCCAGGGTCGTCACGGTTGTTGAAAAGCGTCTTGAGGTTATGTACAGGGTTTCATGTTTCCGATTCCATGTCAAGCTGGGTGCAAGTGCTGTCGTGTTGCGACACGGCCAATTGCCTTGTTGAAAGATGTCAATCCCAGTGGCGCAGGCTGGCAGTTTGTGGCTGAAACAGTGCGCTAGCAGTCTCGCGTGGGCGCTAACGTGGTGCCATGTTAGGGATCAACTGTTGCGACAAGAAGGCGAGACGCCCATGTTCATTTCCATGATTCTGGCGTCGGAGCATTCACCCCTGCCTTGGGTAGATTGCATCGAAATAAAATATAGTGGCGGGATACAACGCAAACGCGGACACGGCATGGCCCGCCATACAGTGCCCCTGAATCACAAGCTCGCAAGAGATGTTGTGCAGCGCCAAGTCTGGTCTGTGTGCGGAGCACGTACACAATATTACGTATTACGGGGTATAAACTCGACTATTTCGCACAAGAAAAAAAAAAGCTCGTCTCGGAGCAAAGCATCGCCGCCTTGGAAAATACATTGAAAATATAGAACAATGCCTCGCCGCTAGCAGGGACTAGTAGCACGGAGCCGCACGCTAGCAAGGTTGCCATGGCCGATCCGTGTTCCTTGAAGAAAATATCTCGCAAGAGCTGTCTGTTGCACGGAAGATGTCAAGGTAATGCAAAGCGTGTGTGTGATGGTGGCGGCGGCTGATACAAGAGCACGCAAATCATGGATCTGCAAGAAAAAAAAATGAAATAAACCAAAAATCACGACAACGACTTGAATCCTGGTTTGATCTTTTCTCTAGCGGGCCGCGTAAGCCCCGACCAAGATAGATGCCGCCCCCCTCCGCTATACCTAACTACCTATACTACAGGTACCTACCTGGTAGGATATCTATATCCGTAGGTGTGTTCAGCTCGCTGCACCTTGATTCGATATTGAGCCACGGCGGGTAAAACGGTAAAACCGTAAAACGTGCAGTCGACGTCATCTCTTTTCAGCGACTTGGCTTGCCGATCAGCATCCGCAGCAGACGTGCTCGCAGTCCGTCTCCTTTTCTGTCCTTTTTTTTGGTGGTTGGTACATATCAGTCCATTTCCAAATCTCTGCTTTTTTCCCTTTGCTTCTCCGCCTCGTGTTCCATCTCCCCCATCTCCCCCATACTCTCTTTCCCCTCATATACTCCTCACCAATCCCACCAATCCCGCCATCTCCTCGTTTCACCCCCGGTTTGCATGCCGTCGTCCGCACCATGCTCCCAAGGCGCGGCCAGAACCGCTGGCTCGTCGTCTGCGCCGGCTTCCTCTCCGTCCTGCTGCTCGTCGTCTACTATGGCGACAACGGCGGCGCCTCGCTCCGGCGCATGACGTCGACGTCGTGGGCCGGCACCGACACGACAGCCACGGCCCTCTCGAGACTGCAGCCGCCGCACACGGGCGCCGCCGAGCTCGAAATCGTCATTGCCGCCACCAAGCAGGAAAACGTCACCTGGCTCGCCGACTACCTGCTCGACTGGCCCAAGAATATATACGTCGTCGACGACACCCGTGCCGCGTTGACGGTCCCGCAGAACAAGGGCCGCGAGGCCATGGTTGTGCTCACGTACGTTTGTTGCCGCCCACCAACGCAGACCACCAACACTTCCGTCAAACCCTCCCATCTCCGCATACATCTGTCCAACCTTGAACTTGCGGAAAACCCATGCCAAATACACTCTGCCGCTAACACTTTGCGCCGCCTCACACAGGTACATCATCGATCGGTACGACACCCTCCCCGCCAACGTGCTCTTCCACCACGCCCATCGCTTCCAGTGGCACAACGACGATCCCGACTACGACGCCCTGCAGCTGCTGAAGCGCTTCCGCGTCGCCCACCTGCAGGAGCACGGCTACGTCAACCTGCGCTGCGCCTGGATCCTCGGCTGTCCCGTCGAGATCCGGCCCATCGTCGACGCCGACAGCGCCCCGGAGAACGACATCCCTACCGCCAAGCACATTTACAGCCGCGCCTTTGCCGACCTGTTCCCCGGCGTTGACGTGCCCCCCGAGGTCGGCGTGCCCTGCTGCTCCCAGTTTGGCGTCACCCGCGACGCCATTCGCGCCCGGCCCCGCGAGGACTATGTCCGCTTCCGCGAGTGGCTCATGGCCACCGAGTTGGACGATGCCATTAGCGGCCGCGTGTTTGAATATGGGTGGCACAGTACGTATAATTTGTTGCCCTGTGGTGAGACCGTGTGTGTGTGTGTCTGTGTGCTGACTCTTTGGGCCCAGTCATCTTCAACAAGAAGGCTGTCCACTGCCCGCACGCCGGCGACTGCTACTGCAAGCAGTACGGCATGTGCGACAGGCTCGACTGCGACGAGGAGGGCTGTGCCGGGCAGTACAACCTCCCACAGTATTCCAATCTCCCCAAGGGCTGGCCCATGTTTGGGTGGGATGGCGAGGACAGGCATTGGAGCGGCGAGCTGTGAGCTCCCCTCCACGGAAAAAGGACTATTATTTTGACCATTGTTTGTTTGGGACGGGCCTGGGACGGGCCGCATTGGATTGCATTACCTGGGGCGTTTATTTTTCTTCTTCCCAATTCATTAATGTCTGTTTCGCTACACTATACTGGACCCTATGTTAGACGAAACATTCTTTAATACAGAGAAAAGAAAGAGGTTCAATACGAGACACTACTATACGGGGAAATTTTCCCCGCAATTGAATTTTGCATCCGTTATCTTTTTAGTATCCATACATCTTCTTCACATATTCACATACTGCGCGCTGGAATCGCGTTTGTGCCGCCCCACCATCACCAACCTTGCAACCAACGTCCAATCTCGACCCGTCTTCCCTCCCATGAGTGCATCTGTCGCCCACGCCCCTACGAAGACCAGACAAGAAGCATGGAGCGCTCACAGCTCGCGTCCTCCAACTTGATGGGTACGTTTCTGTCGCTTGCCGCTCCGCAATCCCTGCGCGCGCCAATAACCAGCACACTCCATCGCTTGCCCAGCCTCGCTCACCCAACCCGCACGCACAGAGACGCACAACCGCCTCATCGCCGCCATCCTCACGCACTACCGCACGCTCATGATGCTCGCGACCGTGCAGGCCGAGGACGACCAGGAGAGCGCCGCCGCCGCCACTCCGGAAGCCATTGCCGTGGCGGGCATTGCTATGAAGATGGAATTTGACGGCCTCGTAAGTCCCCTCCCCCGCCTCAACAGTATTTGCCAACTCAGGCTTCTCCCCCATAGTACTCGTCGGTCAAGGAACTCCTCACGCTCTCGCGCAAGATCAAGGAGCTCTGGGTGTTTGGCGCCCTCGGCCAGCAGGACCCCTCGCGCGCGGCGCGCGGCGTCCAGAGCGAGCGCGACGTCGCCGCCGCCGCCGACCTGCTCAACCGCATCGAGGCGACCCGCATGACGCGCCTGGCGGCCAGCCATGGCGGCGAGTGGAAGCCCTTGCGCAAAGAGGATATACAGGCCCTGCAGGCGCTGGCGGGCAAGCAATGAACGGGGCGTGGATGCAAGTAGGGAAAACTGGGCACATGGAATACGGCGTTGTGGTGTTAGTTATCGCGGAAAGTTCGTTCTTCTCTCCTTTCCCCCCCTCGGCATGGTGATTTGCTTTGTTTTTCTTAGATGGGAGTTGAATACCTCGTTTGGACCTAGAGGTTCAATTCGTTCAATACGTACGAAACATCACAGACACAAACCATGGTAGGCGGCTGGTTGATAAAGCACGCTTGAGTTATCCATTGTAAAACGCTAAGCAAGTCTACAAAAGTGCGACATCTATGCTCTAGCCCTGGCCGCCATCAGGATCCTCCTCATCCTCATCGCCCAGCTGCTTGTCCACAGTCTCCCCCTTGCCGCCGTCCCTGTTGGCAATCTCGGCCACCTTGAGACCGCCCGCAGTCAGCCACAGGAAGTGGTTCGCCTTGAACTGGTCGATTTGGTTAAAAAAGGCGTGGAAGCTGGAATCAGAAACCAGTTAGTGATATGTCGGCACAATGTGAAAAAAAAAAAAAAACACGCAGGGAGTGGCTGTCACTCACGAATTCTCCTTTTCCTCCACGTCAAAGATGCGCTGGTAAATCTCCTTGTCCTTGAACGCGCCCATCTTCTCCTCGTACTTGTCAAAGTCAATCTCGGGGCGGCCCAGGTTGTCCGTCGCGCGGCGGTTGTAGTTTGTAAACACGGGGTGCTCCAGCAGCAGGCCGAGGCCGGGCGCCTTGGGAATCGCCATCTTGTTGTTGCAGTAGCTCTCGTCCATGCGCTCCAGCGGCGTGCCGCAGCGCACCATCAGGCTGACCAGGCCAACCATTTTGCGGATCTGGTGCATCATGAAGCTCTGCCCGTGCACCTTGAGCGAAAGCCACTCGGTGTTGTTGATGAGGACCGGCGTCGGGTTCACGCGGAACGACTTGATGGTGCGCTTGGCCGACGGGTCGCCGTAGGCCTTTTGCACCGTGTAGTTGTGAAAGTTGCGCGTGCCCGTGTACTTGTTGAGCGCCGCCTGCAGGCGCTCGCGGCGCGCCGGCGTGATGCGGTAGTTGCGCTTGGCGTTGATGTAGGCGGCTTTGATGTCGCGCAGGGCAAAGTCGACGGGGCCTAGTTCACGCCCCTTGGGCTTGGTGCTGGGCAGGACGACGGGGTTTTCGGTGGCTGGCTTCGGTTCGGTATCCGCGACAGGAGCTTCTGGAGCTGCGGGCTCGTCGGTCTTGGTCTTGGTCTCTTCCTTGGTTGCCTCGTCCTTTGCGGCTTCGGGGTCATCCATCGAGTGGATGCGCTCCAATACGGCGGCGCGTACCTCGGGGTCCAGCTTCGCGAGGATCGGCTTGATCGCATTCTCCTCGACGTCGGCCCAAAACCCTTCGACATCGGCCATGTGGGTGTTGTACTGCTCCTCGTAACCGTACTCCTTGTTCAGCTCCACCAGCTTCTGGCCAAGGAACGTCTGTGGATGGGGGGGCAGCAGACAGTAGCTGGGCAGCAGGTACTCGTAGAAGCGCGAGTCGCAGTACTGGTAGCAGTTGAAGCTGTTGTTGGTGCGCTGGATGCCCCAAATGCGAATCTGCTCCGGCAGCGCCTCGTTGATCTTGTCCACAATATCGTCCTCTTCGATGATAAGTTTGAGGCTGATGACGTTGCCGGCAGCGTGGACACCTTTATCCGTGCGGGCGCACCGGGCGAGGCTCGACTTTCGGGGGTCATCAGCGTTGGCTTTTGAAATAGCGCCAGCCTTGATAAAGGCGCGGAACAGGTCCCTCTCAATGGTGGGCTCGTCGCCGTTGACCTGCATGCCCTTGTACCCCGTGCCGCTGTAGCCAATCATGACGGCCACCTTGCGCTTCGGGCGTCGCTCCTCGGCCGCAATCTCGTCTTTGGAGAAGGGGTTCTTGGCCTCGATGACCTCGCCCGCGGAATCTACCTTGCGTCTCTTGTATTCGCGCCAGTCGCTGTTACCCTCGCGCTTCTCGCCGCGCTTGCCACTACGACCTGTTAGTTCTCCTCGGTTGGCGCGATGAACTTTAAAAGACAACACAAGCGGCCGCAGGGCAGAGAAACTTACTCCGACGACTTGCCGCCACGGCCCGTCTTGCGCTGGTTGTTGCTGGTGACTCGAGAGCCTCCGAAGCGCTGCTTACGGTCCTGACCAGAACTGCTCCCGCCACCTGCGGACGGGTTCGCATCAGAAGACTCGCCGTTTGTCGCCATGGCAGCATTGACTCTAATTTGGCGACGGAATGGTAATAAAAAGATGGTAGATGATTAAACATTGGTGAGCGAAGAGAATTTCTGAGCTCGCCGTTGCTCTGTGGGGCAGCAGTGGGGCTCCCTGTTGTCGCTGCATTCAACATGTCGCATGTCATTGTTTTAAAGAATTTCTGGCACAATTTCATACTATTCAGACGGATACTTGGCTATGCGTTAAATTCCAGAAATATTACATATCCAACTTGATACCTAACCAGAGGTTTCATCCAATTCAACGATTGGGCCGCTAAACTGCTTCCTCGCTGTTGCAAAGTAGTAGGCGCTGCTGAGGCCAATCACAGCCAAAAGGCCCATGAAAGAATAATTCATAGTCTCCGCGACAACCGGTGTTGCGGGCGGCCAGAAGCTCCAAAACAGCACAAAGGACAGGTAAAAGCAAGCAAAAACGTTGTTCACGGTGCCCAACAATCCGCCGATCCGCCAAGGGCCCCATACGAGGTTATCCGGTGAAGCTCCTCCTTCCTCGTTAATATCTGGTTCGGCGATGGCACCAGTTAGGCGGCGATAGAGGAAGAACGAGAGAGTGATGAGATATGAAGTGTATAGGCTCGAAATTGACAGAGAGAGCACGTCGTTTAGGGCGACCGAGGAACCGATGTTGATAAGTGTGAGGAGACTGGTGATGATAGCAGTGATGGTGCATGCCCATATCGGAACTTGGGTTTTCGGGTCCACCTGCATGGTTGTTAGTGGTTCCATCTTCGAGGGTATTTCCAAGACAGTATCCGGTTCTGTCTCTGTACAGCAAGCGTACCTTTGACACAGTCCTCCACCCGGGAACACCATGGTCGCGCGCAAAGGACCACAAGACGCGCGATGCCGAGACGAAGAGGCCAATCAATGCAAAGATTCCCATGCTGGCAATCACAGATCCCATGGCAGCAGCTGCGGGAACGGACTTTGTCACAGCATAGAAGATGTCCAGCATGGGAAAGATAAACTGGGGTGGGCCGTCGGGCAGGTTGACGAGACTGAAGCAGACAGCAATCAGCATTGCCAGTCCGAGGACGCCGTTGATCAGCATGCCCGAGATCATTGCTCTCGGGATATAGATGGACGGCTTTTGGATTTCTTCGGCCAGCTGTAGGTTGTTAGCATACATTTTTGGTCTAGCTAGCACGTTAGCTCAAAGCTTACATGGAAAGACGCATCCGCTCCTGAAAGAAACAGTTAGTTCAAGGTGTGGACTGGAGTAGAAGAGTGGTCTGAAACCTACCGATAAACGCAAAAGCGTTACCAATCATGCCAACAAGGACAGAGACGCCTTGGGATGGCCAGTTTCCGCCATTCGCAAAGGTCGCAAATACACTTGTGACATCGCCGTGCTCGCCCATCACCACCATGGTCGCCAAAATGCCAAAAAATGCCGTAACGTGCATCACCAGGATGCAAACCTCAATCTTTGGCAGGATAAAGTTGAGATAGAGTGCGACAAACAGGCAAAACGCGGCTATCCCGATGCTCAGCAGCGTGTTCTGCCACCTCGTGGGCACGTACGACGGCATCGTGAGGACGGCGAGGCCCTGCGCCAGGCTGCCGCAGATAAACGAGGCCGAGGCGACGCTGCCCTGCCAGCCGGCGGCGGTGATCCAGCCCGTGATGAAGCTCAGCAGGTTGCGGCTCGACTTTGGCGCGAGCATGTAGACCCAGTGGTACTGTCCGGCAGCCGTGGGCGCCATGGAGACGAGCTCGCACATGGCGGAAAACGTGCTCAGGTTGCCGACCCAGACGATGATGTAGGTGTATACGAGACCGCTGGGGCCGCCATTCTCCAGACCCTGGGAGAAGAGAACGAGGGATGCCTCCCATGTGATGAGCACTGTCACGCTGAGACTGAGGATGGAGATGAAGTTGAAATTGCGCTGTGCCAGAAATTGTGCGCGTTAGCTATCTGAAGCATCTCATGGTTCCAAGCCTAGTGCTTCTTGACAAGACGTACCTTGAGCACGGGTTTCTTTCCGAGCGCGGCAAGCTGGTCACCATCGCCGCTGTTGGTCGTTGCAATCTTACATGGCTCGATCTCGCCGTAGGCGCTGCTTTCGGCGTAGGAGACGTCTGTTTTGCTATTCATCGTGCTGGTGGTACTCTATGGGCCGGCCCGAGAAGTACAAGATGCAGGAGCCGGGTCGTACAAGATGCAAGAGCCGGGTAAAGTATGCAGATCGAATCTGGCAGTGGGGAGTCACACGAATGAGGAATAGAAATCGTGGGGTTGAGTCAAGGCAGCATGTCTGATTAAATAACGGCCGGCCGATGGATCGATATGATGAAACGGGGTCTGAATTGCGGAACTGGACATAATGCCGCTCACACGGACCTCCCCCAGGCCGCCGATATACCGCAGACAATCTATCTAGGCCCCCGGATATGGTAGAGAGCCAGCGAGCCAAATTCTCTGTTTATCAATTGGTAGCGTGCTAGTCCACTGGCAAGACCACCTGCATAGGCGGCGATCCCAGTGGCGGACGCCACCGAAGACTGATGGAAGGCGGCATTCTCGTTCCGCAGGCGCCCTGTGTATTTGGATTCACGGTATCCAGCCACCCCTAGTCTAGACTGTGTATCAACTGAGATGGCTTCTGTTACAGATGATAGGGCTTTTCTTGCTTGTCTGTTATCTTCAAGTCACACAATTACCCCTTATCCTTGACACACAAAAGGCCTTGAAGGCGGGCCTGACTCGCAGCAGCGGCCGATCTTGCTCCTTTGCGACTGGTCTAACGGCCCAGCCTAAAAGGCTAAATTAGTTGTCGAGTCCACTGAGAGCCTGGTCAATCGTCTTTCCAGCAAGCCTGATGAGATGATTAATTTTCAACTACGCCCAATCGTAATTTGTGGCTTGTGAATTTGCAAGACTCACTTTTCAAACACTTCTCTGTACTTGCTCGTCGTCTCCGCGACAACATTGTCGGGAAGGACAACCTATTATATTATGCATAGTCAGTGAAACGATCTCCATAAGCTATGCGACACGGCCAATACACGTACACCGGGTTTGCCTTTGAGACCATTGGCAGTTAGATAGTCCCGAATATACTGCTTGTCGTAGCTGGGCTGGTCCTTGCCCACCTGGACCGGGGCGGGCCAGAAACGCGAGCAGTCGGGTGTCAAGACCTCGTCGACAAGGATAATTTCGTCTGTTTTTTCATCGAGACCTAAATCGTGCCCGGCGGCATTAGCATAGGTGGCGGGGGTGGGGGAGGCTAAGAACCGAGCATCCGTGGGCTATATCACTGCAGGCTGCGGGCTACTACGGTTGTTTGGGAAGGATGCGAGCGGCTGCCCTTTCCGTGCAACCTACCGAATTCCATTTTCGTATCAGCAATGACAATCCCGCGCTCTAGTGCGTAGGCGTGTGCAGCTTTGTAGACCTTGAGAGCGAGCGCCTCGATCTGGTTGGCGTACTTGTCGCCGACTAGTTTCCGAGCCTGTTCTGGCGAAATGTTCTCGTCCTTTTCGCCGATAGGGGCCTTGGTCGAGGGCTGTCGAATTGTCAAGCTTCTTTCTTGTCTGATCAGAGCGTCCTGCCAACTTACTGTGTACATGGGCCCCCCGGGGAATTCCTGGCAGAGCTCAAGTCCGTTCGGAACTTGGATTCCGTGGACAGTTCCGCTCTTGGAGTATCTGTTGGAGGGCGCGCGTTAGATTTGCATGACGACTGCGCCAAGCGCGTGCCTGCACTGGAAACAATAGTCACAACACTTACTCGCTCCAGGCTGAGCCCGTGATGTAACCACGGACGATCGCCTCAATCGGAAAGACCTTGAGGGAACGGATGTGCATGCAGCGGCCGCGAAGAAGGGCGCGCTCTTCGGTAGTGACGATTTCCGCCGGAGGGCTCATGCTGATTACATGGTGCTTGAGCTCGGGAACTCGCTGGCGGAGGATGTCAAACCAATGTGCTATCTATGTCTTAGCATGAATTGGGACGCACGGGGCGGGAATTCTTACAGGACAGCTGACAAAGAATATGGCCTTTATCAGGAACACCATTGGAGAGGATCTCGTCATAGGCCGAGATACGGTCGGTCACGGCCATGAGCAGCGAGGTGTCATCAACCCTGTACAGCTCGCGTACCTTTCCGCTGTACAAGGTGGTCAGTAAAGTGGCGCTGCTGATAACTGTATTGCCATTCCTTACCTAGCCACGAGAGGGAGCGACTGTAGCTTGACGGTGGTGATGCCAGTAGTAGCCATTGTGACGAGGGAGCGTGGCAACTTGGAAGGATGCAGTCGTCGCGCCGTAGGTACACTTGAAGCAGAGAGAGAAAAGATGCGATGCTTGTATTGGTAATGTTATTCGGTTGATGTAGGTTCTGGTGTGCTGTCAGTGGCTCTGGCTCGAATGGATATCGCGGTCAAAATTCGCTCTTGGATGACTTTTTCGTAGCGCCCGCGAGAAGCCGCGCCGCCTTCGGATCACGGCGGGGTAAAAAGACTCCACTGGCCGGTCGAGAGACGAGTGCTTTTGACGCAATTTTACTCATATAATTGATATGAAATAGTAGTATAGGGTATTAAAAAATATATTCATATTTGTGCATTTATTTTGCACTAGAGTACAGGAATTACTTGCACGAGGCTCAATCACATGCCCATTTCCATCCGTCTTGTAATCCATCAACGTCTGGCCCGCCATCCTCACTGCACGATAGGGCACAGCGATACGCCGACTTCCTGCCCAGGATTGTATAAGAAGTTCTGGCAATCACACAGTCTTTAAGAGCATACAGCGATACCCGCAAAATGTGCTCTTCGTCTGTTTGATTCTGCACCTTGTTGAACGGTACTGTCAGGCCACACACGGACTCGCTCGAAGCGGTATTGTTCGAGCCACGCGATGCACGGGCATAATTCGTGACGTATGGGCAACTGTATGTAGCAACAGTTGTACCAGTTGGTCTCGCAATACTGGCGTGAGCTGACGTTGTGTAATTTGCGCCCATGGTGGTCGCTGGGGCCGTAGTCGTGCTCCGCGTACTCGTTCCCTGCATCATCACAGTGTAGCGTGTGCCGTTGACGCTGGTGAATGACTTGTGAGCAAAAATGATAAAATACACCATCGAGACAGATGTTCAAGACGTACCTGTGGGCGGCATTTGCCTGGGCATCTTGCTTCTTCCTCAGCTGCAAATCATGTATCCGGCCGACGACAGCGGCGACAACAAGGCAGACAATAAAAGCAATAAAAATTGATGTACAAAGGCGTATGATAACAGTTCTCCTTGGAAGGGGGTCTCCGTGCCTTTTTTCTCGCTCAAAGGTGTCATCGTGGTACTGTGGCGGCGAGGGCAAGGCGTCATCTCCGTAGGGAGGCGGCTGATTTCGCGGGCTGGGGGGAAGGCTGCCGGCCAGCGTGCTATCACATGAGGCATAATAATGGTGTGTCGCCACTCGAACGGGGGGGTATGCGCCCATTTTGGTGCTGCAGACTGTGGGGGATGAGGCCGCTGAAGATGATTGACTCATGGCTCATATGCTGGTAGCTCGCGCTGTGGTCAACTCTCTGAGTGGCAACTACCAGCATGCAGCTTGAGGATTTATTTCCCAGTCTCGCGCGCGGCTTCGGGGGGGCGTCCTCTATTTGGTCGATTGTACTTTTATCCCCGGCTCGTCACATATCTGAGGCCTGGTCGCTCCATGCCAAAGAGCTGGTGTCTGGTTGGTGGCTGGTTGAGAACTGGAATGCGTGCCCGTCATGAGGTGTGTCACTTACACCACCAGTAGGCCAGCCACGATACAGACACTCACCGCACCAGACCACGAGAAAGACAATCTCACTTGGTGCATGTCTGACCGAAGTGTCTTGCCTTATCCCTTGCTGCAGTACGTCAAGACTTGTGCATGCCGTGCTTGATGCGGGATGACTCTGGCTGCAGCACGCCATGCTGAGTTCTCGCTGAAGGCGCCCTGAAAATGTTTCAATAGTAGATTCAGAGTTTTTAAATCGGCAATGAAATCGGCCATTTCATATAGCCAGCAGTACTCAGAGTAGTTGCGCAGTATTAGGTATTAGGCACCCGAGGCAAGTGCAGGACCGAGCAAGTCGGCATCCCCCCCCACACCGATATCTGATAGTACCGATGATTATATTCAATTTATACATTCAGGCCTCCGCATGGGTTATACAAGACAGTTTTATGTGCTCATAGCTCAAAGCTGCATCAGCCACAACGGTGGAGCTTCCCAATGCAGCACGCAATTATTGAATGTGCCCGCCCGGCTCGGGTGGCACATCCGGAGATGGAACGAGATGTATGCAGTCTTTGCTTACCATTGTAGGAAAGGGGAGTGACAACAGTAGGTGCTCATCCTAGGAGGCTGTAAGCCAAATGAAGCGAGTCGGAGTTTTTTTCGCCGAATAGATTTCTACACTGAAACGCTGGCAAGATATGACGCCCAGAACCAATATTTTCTACTACCTGGCCGTTGAAAATTCCAACAAGGGCCCATACAAATACGTGATAAATAGTTCTCATTGTCTCTAAAATGCTCTTCTGTTCTGTTGCGGACCTCGTAGCTGTTGAAATACCACGTTGGTTCAGGGCCACTCCGGCGCTGACCTTGCTGAACTGTACAACTGACGAAAGCTTAGCTCAAGAGTCTTGATGCATAAACCCCGAACTTGATGGAATCGAGAAACACATAAATATACAGAAGAAGGACTAGTCGCTCTTGCGGAGTTGGTGGCGAAGTCGAAGTCGGCGGTGCCGGGTAGCGCAGCGCCTCGATCTTTGGTATGCAACTTATCAGTTGAGGCTGCCATTGGTGTTTAACTCAATTGATGCAGAAAATGATCCGCTTATGCTTGAAAACAAGAATTTCCTAGCCATGATGATGTACAGACTACATCCTTCACAGTCTAGCCGCCGTGTGGTGGTATCACGGCCAGATTGTTACTTGGGGTTTTCCTTCTCGGCGCGTAGATTCCAGAAAGTACTCCTGAGCAGTTCGGAGCAAAGATCTCAAAAGAAGCAATAAGATTTCAGATACCGACTGAATCTACTCGAAAGGAACTTTCTCAGTTGACCACTGGGTAAGGACGCTTACAGAAATGCTGCAGTCCTCGGAGCTGAATGATCGCAATATGTCCGTGTGTCCCCAAAAGGCAAGTAAGGTTACAGTAATATTTAAGGTAACATGCCAAGATCGACTATAAGATATTAAGGAAATCCTCATTCCTAATTTGAGTAAAGGCTACTTTGCTTTTCTCAGACACGTGTCCCTCTTATGCAGACACCGGACGAGTTACCTTCCTGATCTGTTCGCTCCGTTCAATGAATAATCGGAAAACGTACGAAAAGATTTCGAATAGACAACCCGTCACAAACTAATTGTCTTGGCCGGACTCGGTGTCAGAGAAATCACATGGGTGGGATCTGGACACGGGCTGTCAAGCCATGTCTTGGGGGCCAATAACATGCTAATTATAGAGCTGGCCACATGAAACTCGCGCCCGCCTTTGGTTTTCTCCTTCCCCATGGGGCATGTGCCATTGCAAAAATAGCCATCTACGTCGGTTTTAAGGATACAGACGACACTATATTGCGGGGACCTACTACTATATATCAATTGCGGGGGTGGATGTGCCAGTGCCAAGCAGACCAGTCGACGGAGTGAGTTGGTGAACGCGGTTGATGAGAAGATGACTGTGATGAGCAAAATGGCAAAGAAAGACTACAGGGTGAAGAGAACGAGACAACTTTGGGAATTGCTTTCCGCGTGAGATGGCTGGTCCATATTGTCACCCTTTTTGCCTCGTGATGATGACTGTTCTGTTAATGTGGAAGAATCCGATAGGTGCTCATGGGCTAAATTAGAGCAGATTAGGAAGGACATGTCGGTAACCGATGGCTCATATATTATGCTCACACGCCAAGTCAGAATGTGTTGCAACGACTCTCGGACGAGATGGACCGATTAGGCAGTCGAGCCACCATTCTTAATATACAAGTGAATAATGCCAATAATTCGTCTCAGATGTGACGTTCGAATTCATACGATATACTCTGCCATGCCAAATCAACCTGCGATGCTAACCGCAGGCCGAGAAACTGGATGCTTCAAGTTGAGTATATAAACCACGTCGCGGTCTGAACAGTTGACGTTCTCATTCCAGACTCAAATCACTTCCAGCACAAGCTTCCATCAAGACCCTTACTCACTCACTTGTTCTCACTTCCTTCAATATGGAACTGACCAAATTCCTTGCCTTCCTGGCCGTCGTCCTCCCCGCCGCCTATGGTGTGCCGACCCCATCCGGCGAGCTGCACCCCAAGATCCTCGAGGCCATGAAGCGCGACCTGGGTCTCGACGCTGAGCAGGCCACGGCGCGCGTCGCCCGCGACCTCCAGGCCGCCGAGGTAATTGAGCAGGTCCGCACCTCCGCCGGCGAGTCCTTTGCCGGCGCGTGGATCGACGGCGAGGCTGGCCTGCAGATTGGCATCACCGACGAGGCGCTGGCCGGGCAGGTGACGGCCGCCGGCGCCACGCCCGTCGTCATGGCCAACAGCCTGTCCAAGCTCGAGGAGGCCAAGGCCAACCTCGACAAGTTCTTCACCGACGAGACCAAGAAGCGGTCGGCGTCGGCCGAGGGCATCGCGTCCTTCTTCGTCGACGAGGCTTCCAACAAGCTCGTGCTTGAGGTGCTCGCCGACAGCCGGGCGCACGCCGAGGAGCTGGCCGCGCAGGTTGGCCTCACCGCGGCTGAGTTTGAGATCCGCACCGTCGACGAGATGCCCACGATCATGGCCACGGTGCAGGGCGGTGACGCCTACTATATCAACAACCAGTTTCGGTGCTCCGTCGGCTTCTCCGTGACGACGGGCTTCGTCACCGCCGGCCACTGCGGCACCGTCGGCTCGTCGGCCACCAGCAGCGGCGGCCAGCCGCTGGGCACCTTTGCCGGCTCCAACTTTCCCGGCGCCGACATGGCCTTTGTCCGCACGGTGAGTGGCACCGTCCTCCGAGGCGCTATCAACGGCTACGGGCAGGGCAACTTACCCGTCTCAGGCAGCACTGAGGCTGCCGTCGGAGCCAGCGTCTGCCGCTCCGGCTCGACCACGCAGGTCCACTGCGGCACCATCCGAGCCAAGGGCGCCACCGTCAACTACGCCGAGGGATCCGTCACTGGCGTCACGCAGACCAACGTCTGCGCCCAGCAGGGTGATTCGGGTGGTTCTTTCTACTCCGGTGCTCAGGCTCAGGGCGTCACCTCTGGAGGCAATGGAGACTGCACCCGTGGTGGCACGACCTACTTCCAGCCTGTTAACCGAATTCTCCAGACCTACGGTCTTACCCTGGTCCGAGGATAAGTAGTGCTGGTCACATATTCTACGCCTCTGTGCGTCTTCATATTCGCTAGATTCCTTTTTCTTTTGTTAGAGTCTAGCAGTAAATAAACAGTGTGTTGTATGTACCTTTTTGGACTTGGGAGTCAAGTATACAGTGACTGTCTTGTATCACTTTTCGCTTTGTTCGAAAAACCGACCGGGTGGATGCCACATGTGCACACCGGCAACAGCGCTATCGTTTGATTTGATGAAGCAAAACTTCAATGAGAAGCTTTTATCGAATACTGGATCCTGCCAAAAGCGTCCTCGGCTATCTTTGCCCGGCAAAACCATTTCGTTTTTTTGCTTCAAAAATATACGACGCGTCGACGTTCAATCGACAACATAGTCGGAGAAGCAGCGATGTAGGTGTTTCCTTGGCATGGGTTCGAGGCCGGATTCATTCATAAAATCCCCAAGTCTAGAAGCATGTTTTTCATCCCGTTCTGTTCATCCAGAACTGGAAATGGCTCAAATACCTGGTAATCGCTACTCCGACAACATCGACTACTCCGGCGGAGCTGCCCGACATCGGGCTGAGGCGACAACAGCATAGACCAGGAGCAACATGGTGGCGGTCGCCAACAGCTGCTCTTCGGGGTTCGAGGCTGGCACGAGTTGCTTTTAGGGGAATGAAGTCGAGGCCATGGAACATGTAGGGCGTGGAAAAAGAGGAGATGGATTTCGAAGGCCTTGAAGTGGCGCCGTGTGCAGTAGTTGCGCGGGGCATCAGTGCCGCGTGGCCAGGATGTTGCCTCTTTCCCCATGGGGGGACCTTGATAAGCATTGAGAGGGGACCCCAGGTTTCAAGGTATTTTGTGAGCTTATTGTTCTAGGATGGTGATTGATTGCCGGACTTGAACTGAAACAAAACACATGTTGCATTAGCGGAATGGATCTGTTGCCCGCATCAGCGCATCATGGCTGACTGTTTGTCGCGGTCCGCGTCGGCGCCATCTGTCTTGCTTCATGGCCGCAGGTTCCGCTAACCGCGCCCTTTGGAACATTGCGCAGCGATCCCATAACTAGGCCGCTTTATTATAGGTTTTCACTGCCCCGTCATGAATTTCAGGCGACTCGGGGCCCGACCTTGGCCCGTCGCCTCGTATTACAACCGAATAAGGATGGGGTAAAAGGTAAAAGAGGCCCACCAACGACAGTGTTGCAGGGCAGCCATCCTGGCCTCAGTAGCCGTATTCCCGAGTGGCCGACAGTTGTGCGTATCGCCGAGACATGGACTATTATAGAAGCTTGAAGGAATAATTGTTATTTAGTACCTGTATGCTGTATTACTGGTAGGTCAGTGTGTGCGGGCCACCGCGTTTCCCCACGCTTGTTGCATGTGTGGCCGTTTGCCCTGGAGCCTCTTCTTTTTTTCTTGGGGTTTTCCCTCGCCTGTCTGAAATGTGGCCGATCTGGGCGCAGACTTTTTCTTCAGACCAGGAGAAAAGAAAAAAATTTCCCTTGTTGGGCGCGCGCCACTGAGCCGATTGGTCATTATGCAAGCCATGGCTGAATGGACTGTCGAATCCCAAGCCGGCTCGCTGGCGGCGCGTGGCTTGGCCCTTGTTAGCAGACGGTTAGCAGGGCCGCCACCCGCCACCCGCGGGACAGATAACTAGGAGGCTATCCGGATACAAAGCGGCGAGACCGAGTCGATAGTTGGGTAGCACAAAACTATGATGGACACGATTGATGATTGATGGCTCGTCCAGCCACCCAGGGTCCGGGAGCACCTGCAGAAATGGCGCGGTGCGACGACGAGATAGCGCGAGCTTCATCAGCGACTTTGCTGCAAGACCCTTGTGATAGTCAACCGTCACTACTTAGTTATATCAGCCAAATGCAAAGCATCGACCGCCGTGTCACGTCACCCTCCATCCAACCTGCAACAGGAAGGCTGCTAGAACTTCTTGGCTGAGAGCGCAGTTTGCGCACGGAACAGATGTAACAGTAGCACCCAACGCCTCACTGACAAGGCCAAGGGGTCCACGGTCCATGCATGACTCTTGCTTCCAGTGGGGAGATGACGAGCGAAGCAAGATTTTTCTGCCCATGATAGTTAGTTATTAGGTACTAGGGGTAGGTAGGCAAGTAGGTAGTTACCCAACCCCCACAAGTTTTGCGGGTTAGCCTGCACAAGTCCCCTCGTTTGAAGCAATCTGTTTCCGTTCAATTGATTTCTTCGAAAAGGGACATGACGAAAAGGGTTGACAGACAGGCTTCGTGTAGGTGTTGTAGGCGTTGTAGATGTGTGTTGGCTTTTTTCTCTCATCGTTCGTGATGTGAAGATGGGCCGAGTCGAGGTGTGGTCGGGTTTTGGTTTTGGTGGCTGACCGCGTCCGGCCACAAGTCGCCGCCACCCGAAGAATAAAGAATAAAGAATAAAGAATGCGCCGCGGCACGCCCGACACGGCGGAAAAATGCGTGTCTCACCTCGGCGACTGGAAGCGTACTTGTAGGTAGTGGCCATCCTGTCCGCAACAATGAGCGAAAAAATAAACACATTGTAGGTAGACTTTCTGCTAGTTGGGCCATGACGCCTGCAACTTTTTCTTTTTTTTTTTTTTTTTNTTTTTTTTTTTTGCGACTGTGGGCTTCCCTCACAAGTATTTCTTATCGCCAAGTGGAGGCCATAATGGCCATAATAAAACTCCTTCTCCCGCCAGCAACATAATTACTCGTCAACTTCCTCGCACCGCAAAAGAAACCAAAGAAAAAACCCCTGCGACCTCCTCCATCCGCTTTGCTTCCAGACCTTCTCTCCACTCGGACCATCGCGGAGCAATACTGCACTCCAAGGTGTGTGTGTGCCAGCTTCCTGCCTACTGCAACCACGGGGAATTTTCCTGACCTGATGAATACCTAGATAGAACAAACCCGCGTGCCTTCCACTCTCGCCCGCTCCTTTTCCTATTGCCCTTTCCCTTCCTTTCCTTGTCATCCTTTGTTGTTCGGTATTTAGGAGCACCCTTCATCGCTTTCATCTTTCATCCTTCATCACGACCATCACTACCATCACTACTATCATCATTGCTCGATTCGGAAATGGTTAAAAACCAGCCATCCGTCACCACAGGCAATGTTGCCTCCTCTTCCGAACCTTCTCCACGCGGCAGCAACGAAAAGAAGCACCCCAACGGTCATAGTAATGAAAAGTCCGGCCTCGTCGACGCCACCGCCGCCGCCCCCGATATCGAAACGGGCTCGACAGGCGAGGGTTTAAGCCGTGACCTTCATGGTCGTCATCTCCAATTTATTGCCATCGGCGCTGCCCTGGGAACAGGCCTTTTCCTTGGTATCGGTGCAAGCCTGGCACATGCTGGTCCCGGCTCGCTGCTCATTGCCTTCGTTTTCGTCGGTGCCATCGTCTACTCTGTCATGGTCGCTCTTGGTGAAATCGCCACGTTCCTCCCCGTTGCCGGTAGCTTCACCGTATACGCTGGCCGTTTTGTTGATCCCTCTCTCGGCTTCTCCATGGGCTGGATTTACGCCTTCAGCTGGGCCATCACCTTTGGCTTGGAACTGACGGCCGCTGGCCTGATTATCCAGTACTGGAGTGCGACTCTCAGCATTGCCATTTGGATCGGCGTCTTTTGGTTCATCTTCACCGCTGCCAACTTCTTGCCAATCCGATGGTTCGGAGAATTCGAAATGTACCTGTCCAGTATCAAAGTCGTCACCGTCGTCGGCTTTGTTATCTTCTCCATCTGCGTCAACGCTGGAGTTGGCAAGGAGGGGTATATCGGCTTCCAGTACTGGCGCGAGCCGGGTGCTTTTGCCGAGTACACTGTCACTGGTAGCCCCGGCCAGTTTGTGGCTTTTTGGGCCACCCTCATCACTGCAGGCTTCAGTTTCCAGGGCACAGAGCTGGTTGCTGTCGGCGCTGGCGAGACCGCCAACCCCCGCAAGACGATTCCCTCCGCCATTCGATGGACATTTTGGGGCATCTTCGGCCTCTTCATCTCCACTGTCTTCTTTGTCGGTCTCAACGTCCCATACAATGATGAGAGACTGTCTAGCGACAGGACGGATGCTAGTGCCTCACCGCTGGTCCTGGTTGCCATACGCGCCGGTGTGCGAGTTTTGCCTGACATCATAAATGCTGTCCTGCTAACTGCCGTACTGTCCGCCGCCAACTCGGACCTCTACTCGAGCAGTCGTATTCTCATCGGCCTTGCCGAAGATGGCCATGCGCCCAAGTTCTTCAAACGCACCAATAACTGGGGAACACCATATTATTCCGTCGCATTCTGCAGTCTGTTCGGTTTCCTTGGCTTTCTCAACCTAAGCCAGAATGGCACCACTGTCTTTACCTGGTTGCTCAACATCACCTCGGTCGCAGGCTTCATCACTTGGGCACTCATCAATTACTGCCATATTCGATTCATGCAGGCCCTCAAGGCGCAGAACATTGACCGCAACTCCCTGCCATATGTTGCGCCATTTCAGCCATACCTCTCGTGGTTTGGTCTTTTCTTCAACGTGTTGATCATTATCACCAGTGGTTTCACGGTATTCATGAAGTGGAACACGAGCAATTTTTTCGCTGCATATGTCAGCCTGCTCATCTTTGTGGTGTGTTACGTCGTGCATAAGCTGGTATACCGCACCAAGGTGGTGCCATTGAGTGAGGTCGACTTGGTCAAGGGTCGATCGCAGTAGAGTGCTTTTTATACCTAAAATCATTATTTTATTATCATCAACATAGCCTCTAATTATATTTATTCTCTCTTATATTTCTCATCGCACCCTTTTCCTTGATAAGCGTATCGTAGTGGTGGCGTTCGCGGTCTTGTCTTGATGGTCTCAGCTGGCACAAACGGAAGTGACAAACGTCCGCTTCGAGACCTGCCACGATCCTGCATCCCACATGCCAGAGACAGCCCAGCAACCACTTGCAATGCGGATCTTGCTAAGGCCAAATTGTGGTTCGAAGCAGACTGTTTCTTCTGAGAGAAAAAAAATTAGGCCCGAGGTGGCATGGCGCATCACATGGAGGTAGGGACAAAGGAACGCCTTGCGGCAAGGAATACGGACGAATGCAGGTAACCCAGCGGCGTGGATTTTGAGGGAACACGAGATGAATTATGTCGTACAGGATGACTTGCTAACTGGTTCATTCTAGAAAGCTTGTCGCGTGCGCCGTACGGGAACGATCTCGACGGCTTCCCGTCCCCGGTCAGAGACAACAAACAGTCCGTGTTATCGCATTTATGATCGGAAGATCGGAGGGGCGCAGTCGAGGCGGACGGGCTGTCGCAATTGGGCGACTGTGTTGGGGGCCAATCAAGCGACTCTGTGCACAACTCTGTTCCGATTGATGGATGGGCGACGACCCGAGATGGGAAGGATGCGCGGGGACGACATTCCGGCGTCGAGACTCAGCCGGACGCGGGGCACGACGATGAGACAATGAGACAACCGTTTGCACGTCGTTGCACGTCCATTGGGCGCCGATGAAGCGTGCCGCAAGAGTTGTCCTGTGTGGTGCCAATCCTGGTCCTCAACCCAAGCAGCACCAGGATCTTGTTTTTTGTTGAACAAATCAAGGGCTGCCCATTGCATGTGATTTTCAGCCAACACTCCACAGACCCATCCGCCGACGAACCCAAATCTCCGTACAGGTCATTTTTCCTCTGCCATGGTCGCGCAATCCGTGGCTTAAAACATCAGGAATCCGCGTGCAGCTTCCAAAACAATCACTTGTGTGTGCATCAACAAGCCTCTCCCGTCCTGTCTGGTATGTCTACCCGTCCTACCCCTCGCCGCCTTGCACGGTGGTGCTCTTGTCTGGCCGCTCTCCCTTGTCCGGTCGCGTGACGACTTGCCCGAAATCGCACACTAAACCTCGTTGCTACACCGACATCAACAAGCTAACACACATTTTCTTGCTTCTCTCTTCCAGTTGCCCAGCCCGTATACCGGTCTCGAGCACAATTTGATCGTTTCTCGGATCTTTCCCGCTTGTTTTTTTGGTTCTTCTGTAGTGTCATTGCTGAGGAACGCGGCGACGTAAAGAGGACCTGATCCTCTCCCTCCACCACACGCTCTGGCTCAACAACCTGTTCCCCTGACAAGCACACTCCCGCAACCATGTCTTATATCGATACGAATAAGGACCTGGCTGCGCTCTTCGAGCTTCAGGCGCAGTCCACGCCTGACGCCATTGCTCTCGAAGACGAGAACCGCACCCTTACATACGCCCAGCTCGACAGCGAGACATGGGCACTCGCAGACCGCCTGCGCAACTACGGCATTGGCCGCGATAGCCTCGTTGGCGTGCTCATGGGCCGCTGCGCCGATAATGTCATTGCCTCGCTTGCCGCACTCCGAGCTGGCGGCGCGTTTCTGGTCTTGGAGCTTGCATACCCCTCTGCTCTGCTTCGCGACGTCGTTGACGATGCCCAACCGACCCTCATTATAACACAAAAAGCCCATGCTGGCCAAATCAAGTCCGACATTCCCGTCATTGTTATCGACCAACCCGAGGGTGCCACCAATGGCTTCCCCGAAATTCCAAATATCGACGCGAAGCGACCGCTCCCAGAGGACGACGATCTCGACCGCCTGGCGTTTGTGTCATACTCTTCTGGAACTACAGGCAAACCCAAAGGTATCGCTAACCCGCACCGAGCCGCCATTACCTCGTACAATGCGAGATTTGGTCTTTCCGACTTGCAGCCTGGCGACCGCGTCGCCTGCAATGTCTTCTTCGTCTGGGAAATGCTGCGTCCGCTGCTCCGTGGTGCCACCACCGTCGCGATCCCGGATAGCGCTAGCTACGACCCAATTGCTCTTGTTGAGCTTCTTTCTTCCCGCAAAATTACTGATACCCTCATGACCCCCACCCTCCTCGCCACAGTACTCTCGCGCCACGAGAATCTGGGTAAAAAAGTACCCCACCTCAAGTCTCTCTGGCTCAATGGTGAGGTCGTCACGACCGACCTTTGCAGGCGCGCATTTGCGGCGATGCCGAATGTTCGACTCCTCAACGTATACAGTGCGAGCGAAACCCATGAAGCTGCCGTTGGCGATATCAAAACATTTATCGACTACGAAGCGCGTGTGTGCCCCGTCGGTCCTCCCACCGATCCCGAGCACACCTACATTCTCGATGAGGCCGGCAACCGAGTCGCTCCGGGCGTCAGCGGCGAACTTTACGTTGGTGGCGACATGCTTGCCCGCGGATACCTCAACCTGCCGGAAACCACACAGAAAGCCTTCCAGCAAGATCCTTTTGAGCACAATCCCAATGCACGCATGTACCGTACCGGCGATATTGCTCGTATTTTGCCGTCTGGCCTGCTGGAAATCACTGGTCGTGTCGGTGGCATGATCAAGACGCGAGGATACACTGTACAGCCAGCCGCTGTTGAGACCAGCATCGTTAAGCACCTAGCAGTTCGTGACTGTGCTGTCGTTGCGACTGGCGAAGGCCTGCAGCGCCAGCTCGTCGCCTATTTCGTACCGGAAACTAAAGATATTGCCGGACGCACCATTGTCGTCATCGACGATTCAGGATACAGCCCTGTGGCACGACGTGCGCTCACGGACCATTTGGCGCACTACATGATCCCGCCTCTGTGGGTTGAGCTGGTCGAATTACCGACCCACGGGGTCTCAGGCAAAACTGACCTGAAAGCGCTGCCACCACCCCCTTCACCAAAGACGCCGCCGCGCCAGAAGAAGCCGGAAACCAATATCCGGGTCAAGATGGAAACAATTGTGCAAATTTGGGCAGCTGCGCTCGGCATGCCGTCAGCCGCCATTGATCCCAAGCTCGATTTTTTTGATCTCGGTGGCCATTCTCTTATTCTCGCCGACTTGGCTAACCGCCTTTCCAAGGCCTTTGGCTTCCCCGTACCTCTGGGTCCCCTTGCTGGTACCCCGACGCTGGAGGGTCATCTCGCAGCCGTCAAGGCTGCCCGCGATGGTCACACAGCGGCCGTGCAGGCCGATCTACCAGCTGTCCTGGCTGCGGATTGCATCCTGCCTGACGATATTCAAGCTCCCGCGGGCTCCAAGATGTGCAGACTTCGAGATGCAGAGACTGTGCTACTGACAGGTTCCACTGGCTATCTTGGTGCATTTTTGCTCAAGTCGTTGCTTGAGAACACTAAAGCTAATATCATCTGTCTTGTGCGTTTCACAGAACCCAAGGATGACTGTAGACCGGCGGGTATTGCGCGTGTCCGCAAGAACTTGATTGATCTCGGCATTTGGGAAGACTCTATGCTTGACAGGATTGACATCTTCCCCGGCAACCTAGCGCGAAAGCGCTTGGGTTTGTCGCCTGAGATGTTTGACGACCTTGCATCTCGCGCGCAAGTTATTATTCATGCGGCCGCGACCGTCAATCTTGTTTACCCATACGCTGCCCTGCGTAATGCCAATGTCGGCGGCACAAGAGAGATTGTGCGCCTTGCTTCCCGACACGGAGCCACTCTTCATCACATCTCCACCAACGGTGTTCTCCCGCCTTCCGTCGAGGGATGGTCCGAGGACACAATGATTGACATTGATGCCGTCGCTACAGACCTTCTGGATGGCTATGGTCAAACCAAGTGGGTTGCAGAAAAGCTCGTGCACGAGGCGGGACGCCGCGGCGTGCCGGTCAAGGTTTATCGTCCAGGCACCATCAGTGGACACTCGACTACCGGCGCCACGAATACCTACGATCTGCTGAACGCTCTTATCGTTGAGTCACTACACCTGGGTCACGTTCCTGACGTGGACGGTTGGTTCGCAGAAATGACGCCAGTTGACTTTGTCAGTGACGCCATTACGACCCTTGCAAACCACAACGACCCCGATCAAATTGTGTATCACGTTGGCGATTCCAAGCCCCCTACAGCAGCCAAGATATTTGAATGTCTGCATGAGCTCGGATATGACACCAAGAAGCTCGCGTGGAATGACTGGGTTGCCATGTGGCAGGAAAAGCGCAGCTCCAACAAGGGAGACGAGCCCTTTACTGTCGACATTCTCCGAGGTGGTATGCCGACGGTCGAAGCACTGCAGTGTGTGATGGTACTCAAGGATGATAAGACACAAGAAGCGCTTGACTTGTACGGTATGAAGCGGCCGAAAATCGATGCCGCTCTCTGGAACACTTATGCCAAGCACTTCTACGCCCGCGGTTGGCTGCCTCGCCCGCCGCGGCAGAACACCAACGGTACCAATGGCGTGAATGGTGTCAGCTTGAAAACAAAGGGCCGCCTTGCCGGCAAGGTCGCTGTTGTGACGGGTGCTTCGTCTGGTATTGGGGCAGCAGTCGCTGCTGGTCTCGCCAAGGAGGGTGCGCATGTGGCCCTTGCCGCGCGTCGTCTTGATGCGCTGGAAGTGATCAAGAAGAAGGTTCTGGTTCACGGAGGAAAGGTTGTCACCCAGAAAACGGATGTTACCGAGAAGGAAGACGTGGAATGTTTGATGAAGACTGTGGAGGAGAAGCTGGGTGCCATTGACATTCTCGTCAGCTGCGCCGGCGTCATGTACTTTACCATGATGGCCAATGTGCAAACGGACGAGTGGGAGCGCACCGTCGACGTCAACTGCAAGGGTCTCCTGCATTGCTTGTCCAACACGGTGCCCGGCATGCTGCAGCGTGGCGGCGGGCACATTGTCGCCATCTCGTCGGACGCCGGGCGCAAGGTGTTCCCTGGTCTGGGTGTCTACTCGGCCAGCAAGTTTTTTGTGGAAGCGACTCTGCAAAGCCTGCGACTGGAGACTGCGGGCACTGGCCTGCGCGTGACATCGATCCAGCCGGGCAACACGGAGACGGAGCTTCTGGGCATGTCGACGGACAAGGAGGCGCTGAAGAAATTCGGAGAACCGACGGGCGCCAAGGTGCTCGACCCGAGCGATGTCGCGTCGTCCATCGTGTACGCCGTTTGCCAGCCGCCTCATGTGGCAGTCAATGAGGTTTTGATTGAGCCGCGCGATGAGCCCATCTAGTGCAGTGAGTGGGTGTTGTCTGTGTATGTGGAGGAATAATCGGACGTGTACTGTTGGACGTGTACTGTTGGGCATGTAATGTTGAACTGAAGTTATCAATTTGATCAGACATATGCAATACGTTGTGAGAGTGAAGGCAGTTGCATCAACAGCTTGATGACGCTTGACGGCTGCTACGCCTCACCGCTTGTCTGAAGAGTAGATGGAGATGGCAATGTCCCCCTGTTCTGTGTCTCATTACAAAGATTCCGCGCCCTGATGGTGGACCTTGAAATTAGACTGTTCTAGTCCGACAGGGTATGCTGTGTCTTGTGTCGGCCGGACCTCTTGTTGTCGACCTCTTCAACAGACGTTTGACCATATGAATTGATGGCTAAATCTCGTAACTAGTGAAACCGAGCGAGAACTGCCATTTGTTATAAAAAGCTCTCGTGGCCAATATCACTACTCTTGTTCTATTGCATTTGCCATATACTCCGTACCTAGCTAGTAATGATAATAGCACCTAATAAATTACACAAAGAAATCTTGGAACCGCCCCTCACTGTCAAAAGAATGGCGAATATTAATTCGGATCCGTCGGATTGATGGCCTTGGTCGCGCCAGCATGCGGGCTATGTACGAAGTATACAATGCAGCATTGTGACAGACAAACAGTACATGACTAGCATGGTTTCGCGGCAGTCGTTCGATTCGAGGAAGAATAGCAGGCATGCCACGAAAATGCATTTTATTATTCAACATTTCACAATGACTGGAAGTGACATGCTGACATGCTAGTGAATAATACGACTTTGCCCCTATTGTGCCCAGGAACCCTGGCTTTTGTGCCTGGGCGGCGAGCGGGCCTACAGCGCTAGACGTCATTTTGATAACTAGCATTACGACACATACGGAGTACAGGCTACGGGATAAAGCAATATTTGGAGTTTCTGTATTGCAATTTCCCTGACGGACTTTGGCTAACTATGAGGCGTAGCTGCATGCGGGGATCTGTCAGTGGCTCGGTTGGCTGTCGGTGTCGTCTTCTGATTCCTGCACATTCTGCTTTGGCATTCATTCCCTTCTTTTTGATTCAAACAAAACGGTGGCGCTGACACTGAAATCATTGACATTACGGCCTTGCAAAGGTGACGGGTGTGTTCTCTCTTTAACGAAAGGTGTAGCCAGACGACCATTCTTCAAGAGACACAGTACCTTCGCTCGCTTTATAGGTACGAACCGAGTGTGGGCGCGGAAACGGATACTAGATACCTACTAGGATGCCATCCAAGCGGACAGCCGTCGCTGCCGCCGCGGCGCTGCTCTCCATGGGGGGCGCCGTGGCCGACCAGCCCATCTATACCGTCAAGTCGGCGTACGCAGCCGTGGCCAACGAGACGAACGGGCTCCCGCAGCAGCGATTCCGATCGAGCGACATCATCGCCCCTGTGCTGCAGGTCAACACGTGGGACAAGACGCAGACGGACGACTCATCATACCTGTTCCTCAGCGGCGCGTACGGGCGGCACAAGGCGGCGCCGATGATCCTCAGCGGCAAGGACCTCAGTCTCGTCTACGCCGACCAGCAGTACGACGAGGTGTACGCGTCGTCGGTGCAGACGCTCAACGGCACCCAGTATCTCACGTTTTGGGAGGGCCCGCGGCGCGGCGGCAACAGTAGTCGCGCGGATGGGCACTGGCTCATGTACGACGGCACATATGCGCTCCAGTTCAACTTGACGGCCAGGGGCTCGGGGGCGATCCGCGACGACATGCCCGCCATGCGCGTCACGCGCGACAATACGGTCCTGCTGCCGCTGTACGAGACGGTGACGGCCGACTGCTCGGCTGTGGGAGGGCCGGTCGACGCGCCGCTGCAGGACAGCGGCTTCCAGGAGATGGACCCGGCAACGAACAAGGTCGTTTTTGAGTGGCGCGCACGCGAGCACTTTGACCTGAACGCTTCGTTTGCCCAGTACGACGCGGCGTTTGGCGTCGGCTCCCCGGGCGGATTCGACTTTTTCCACCTCGACTCGGTCGAAAAGGTACGGAAACGCTGACCCCTTGGTTTCCCACGTTTGACAGAAAATGCTCACACACACATCATGGCCCTCTAGGCGGACAATGGACACTACCTCGTCTCCAGCAGCCACTTTTCCATGCTCGCCATGGTCGACGGCCAGGACGGGCACGTGCTGTGGACACTCGGCGGCAAGCACAGCGACTTCCGCGACGTCTACGACGGCGGCAACGCGACCGACTTTGCCTGGCAGCGCGACGTCCGGATGACGGGGCCCGACGAAATCACCCTCTTTGACAACCACGTGCGCTCGACCGACCACTGCCGCGGACCCTGCCACTCCAGAGGCTTGCGCCTGCGGCTCGACCACGCCGCCAGGACGGTCGCGCTGGTCGCCGAGTGGCGGCACCCCGACGACGGCGGCGGCGGCGTCGACGCGGGCCGCATGGGCGGCGTGCAGCTGCTCGGCGACGGGCACGCCGTGGTCGCGTGGGGCGACAACCCGGCATTTGTCGAGTACAACAAGGCCGGGCAGCCGGTGCTGGACGTGCAGCGGGGTGTTGCCGGTGCTGCCGCCGGGCGCTTAGAGCGTGTGAGTCGGCAGCGGTGGCACGGGGCACCGTCCTGGCCGCCGAGCGTGGCCGTGGACGCGCCGTCCAAGAGCACTTCGGGCGCGACGGTATACGTCTCCTGGAACGGCGCTACCGAAGTTGCGGCATGGGCTATTGTGAGTTCCCGAATGCCTCATATTTTACCACCCCATTTACTAACCCTTTTTTCACCAGCTTGCCTCGGACACGGCCGACACCGTCAGCCACTACAAAAACGTGATTGCGCACGCGAACCGCACCGGCTTCGAGACGCACATTGCGCTCGACGACGCCGTCGCGCGCCGCTACATTGGCGCCGCCGCCATGTCCGCCGCCGGCGACGTCCTCGGCGCCTCGTTCGTCTACGACATGCACACCGGCAAGGCCGTCATGCAGGCGAGCGGCATCACGACCATTCGCCCGCCCGTCAAGGCCACGGCCGCCGCCGGCGCCATGGGCGGCTCCATCTTTGGCTTCTCCATGCTGTTTTACATTGGCAACTACTTTTGGCGGAAAAGAGGCGCCGCGCCGTCGGCCGAGGAGCATCCGAGCTATGAAAAGGTCGGCGGTGGCAGCGCTGTTTAACAGGTCGTGGTGAAAAAAAGTCGTGGCATCTGGCATCGGTTTACATTTTCTTTTCTGGCGTTGAATACCAATTGCATTCTTTTTTTTTTTTTTGCCTGGCGTTGGATCAAGGCAACGACATCATCTAGACAGACACAGTTGGTTGAGTCGGTTCTCTTTGCCTGTTATCATTCACTCATTTCCATCGGGCGGCTATACTTCAATATTTTGTTAATATCTACCACATTCACTTCTCTCCTTTCTTCGGGGATTTTTCCCTTGTTGCTCTCCGTGTATAAGCGCCGTTACCGAGGGACCGACTTACTGACTGTGCCAAGCACACGTGCCCGCACCATCATTCTAGCGGCAAGCCACCCAATTGCGCAATAAGATGACTCCTGTGCTGAAAACCTCACACTGGCAAGCTTGCCGACTTTTCGAGGCGGTGACTTTGGACTCTGAAAACTCGAGCTGGACGCGACAATGTTGACACCACGTGAAGGCCGGAACTTGAAGGCGCGTTTATGGGACAGTGTGAAGCACAATTGGAGTCTCGGATTCACCTCTTTCGGCGGTCCCCCTGTTCATTTCAAGATTGTAAGTGGCTCGCCCTTCGGAGACGAGGCACGACTTTGAACGCAGACACTGACTTGTCGCAGTTCCATACTCTCTACGTCGAAAAGCTGCAATGGATCGACGAGCAAATCGTACGTAGCAGCATCTCGGCAGCCCGACTGCAGCAACTCTGACAATGACCCCCCCAGTATCAAGAGCTCTTCAGCGTCTCCCAGGCGCTCTCCGGCCCGGCCAGCACCAAGATGCACTACTGCATCAACCTGCTGCACGACGGCCTCCTCCCGGCCGTGCTGTGCTTTTTCCTATGGAGCCTCCCGGGCGCGCTCGGCATGTTTGGCCTCGCGCTCGGCGTGGGCCGCATCGGCGCGTCGCTGCCAGCGCCGGTCTACGCGCTCCTGTCCGGGCTCAACGCCGCGACGGTCGGCATCATCCTCCTCGCCGCCGTGCAGCTCTCGGAGAAGATCATCACGGACAAGATGACGCGGCTCCTGGTCTTTGCCGGCGCCGCCGCCGGCCTGCTGTACAACGCGCTGTGGTACTTTCCGCTCCTCATTCTGGCGGGCGGCATCGTGGCCGTCGTGCACGATTTTCGCTGGCTGCACAAGTCGTTTGCGGCCGCCGTCCGCGTCATCAAGCGAACCGGGCGGCGCGCCCCGGGGGACCAGAGCGAGAGCAGGCACGTCGAGATGGACGGCTTCGGCGGCGGCGGCGCCCGCCCGAGTGACGTTGCGGCGAACCACGACGTGGTCAGCGACGAGATGGCCGGCGCGCGAGCGCTGCCTCTGCAGACGCAAGAGGGCAGCGATGAAGACGCCCGCGTTGTCCCTGCCAGCCACCAGCTCACCATGTCGTGGAAGGTCGGCCTGGGCATCATCGGCCTCTTCCTCGTGTCCTTTGTCGTGGTCATGGTGCTCCGGGGCACGGCCAACGCGGCGCGCGCCTCGCTCGCCTTCCGCTTCTTCGCCAACATGTACCTCGCCGGCACCATCATCTTTGGCGGCGGGCCCGTCGTCATCCCGCTGCTGCGCGAGTACGTCGTCGCCGAGGGCTGGGTGCTGCCGCGCGACTTCCTCATCGGCCTGGCCATCCAGCAGAGCTTTCCCGGCCCCAACTTCAACTTTGCCGTGTACCTCGGCGCCCTGGTCGCGCGGAACAATGGCTTCTCCCCGGTGCTCGGCGCCGTGCTCGGGTTCGTCGGCATCTTTGCGCCGGGGCTCGTCATGGTGCACGGGACAATGGGTGTTTGGGGCGCCGTGCGTGGCTCGCCGGGCGTCAAGTCCTTCCTGAAGGGACTCAATGCGGTTGCCGTGGGCATGATCTACACGGCCGTCTACAGGATCTGGCAGATTGGCTACATCGCCGAGGGGTTTCAGCAAGGGACAAGCATGGCGGTCGAGCCGTGGTGGGTGGTGGTGACGGCGACGTCGTACGTTGGGGGCTACTGGTTTGGTCTGAACCCGCCTACGACGATCCTACTCGGCTGCGTAATGGGACTGATTTGGTACGGAATTGTCTCCAAATAGAGAGGTACTATTGATCAATCTTCGAGAATCAACTGCGCCGCTCTTTGTGCTACAGCGTACAGAGTAGACATGGGATGCGAAGTCAGCGGCAACGGCAAAATACCAGCATCAACAACACGAAGATTCTTTGTTCCATAGACCCTTTTAAAGTTAGTCGCTTGGTATTTTCAAACACTGGTAATCACACTCACCGCAAGCGTGCATCTACAACACCGCCGAGCGCTCGTGGCAGCATGGCCGTTGCTCCAATCCAGTGACTTGCTCCCAAGACGGTTTCCTGTAGCCACCCGAGATACTCTGCATCTGTCGCATTTGGACCTAGGGGGGGATATTGGTACGCATTCTCAACAATATCCTCAAATGCCTTGTTGGAAAACAGATTGCGTAGTCGCCTGGCGGTTGCTACTCCCACTTGCTGATCGAAAGTATCGGTCAGGAAACGAGGAGTAATGATGGCAGTCTGAAATGGGTCAGAGGAAGCAATATGGATATGGCCTCTGGAAAGGGGCATGAGTGGCCAGAATGGGGTGTTGAGAGATGTTGCGTAGCTCTCCGCCACGACCTCTGCAATGGGTACTGCGATGGGTCAGCATGAAACCACTGCTGCGGAGGTTGGGATCGAACTCACGTCTGTTCTCGAGAATAAGCTCAATGGTCGTATTGAGGATCATTTTAGCTCCTTCGATGTTCACTGCAGCGCCAGAGCTCACCAAAGCCTGAGCTCGTGACTCTAGACTGGATGGCTCTGCAAGAGCTGCCACCATAGATGAGGCGCCTTGGCAGTCATCAGCTCATGAATCCAATTGGCAACAGGATAATACGTACCAGTCTGCCAGATTTGGTCAATATTGACTAGGGAGATCTCTGGACCAAAAATGTGGCGACCATCTATCAGGGAAGTGTCATTTTGATAGCGCTCTGAGACCAGTGCCGACGCGGCCGATCCAGGTTGGTCCTTTCGGAATTAACTTTGAGGCGAACGTTTCGATTGGGTATATTTACATTGAGATTGGCACCCACGCCTGGAAGATCAACCAGTAGCTGTACTTTAGCGGCTGCCAAAATCTCGCGACTCCCAATTCCTGATCGCTCCAGAATCGGGGCACTCCCCAACGTGCCGGCCGCCAAAATGACACCTTTCCGGGCTCGTACTGTATACTTGTTTCTGTGCCCGTCTGTAGAAGTAGCGTCGGTGAAGACCACCCCTCGAGCTGTTGTACCATGGTCGAAGAGGATTCTGGTGACTGTGTGGTTTGCCAATACTGTCAATCTCTGTCGCTGCTGCGAAGGCGCCCAAAGAAGCGCATCTGCTGCAGAACACCGACGCATTTTTCCTGTCGACGTCTCTGGCCAGATGGTCCAGGACGTAGATGCAGATATGGAGGATGTTCGGTTAGACAAGTCATTTCCTACGCTCAAACCCGGGAATACCTCCGGAAGTGCTTCTTTATATAGCCGTACGGCCCGTGGTATTCTCATCGGCATCTATTCTCCTCGTTAGCAAATTCTCTCGGCCGGAGCTCGTGCCTTACTGGAAACGATGTATTGACCAACCCGTGGTAGCCATGTACATCTGGATCGTACGATGCACCTTGCAAAACCTGCTCTTTAGTCGGCGGTATGTTGCGCTCCGCGGCTTCCATCAGCTTGTCAACATCAGCAGTGCTCCATCATGAACGCCAGTGTGATTCCTTACTGGTTCAAGCGTTTCCCAGTTCCAACCCGGATTTCCCAACGTTTCAAGCCTGTCCATTTCGGCTCGAGTCGGCCTATACCACACCATCCCGTTGACTGAAAGTGTGAGCAACTGTCTTTAGTCAAGCGAGGCGACGTACTAGAAGTCGAGCCGCCAATGCAGCGGCCTGCAGAAATAGTCTGCGACATCCTGTGCCCGTTGTCGTCGTATCGTGGATAGTTCCAGTTGCAGAACACGGGCGGGTAGGTCAAATCGTCGGCGTATCGGACTAGATTGTTCCATGAGCCGTCTGGGCCGGCCTCAATGACCAGCGTAGAGTGGTTTTGGGCGCTGAGCTAAAGGACCGCGTGAGAATGCATCCGGGAAAAGCGAACCCGCCCAGTAACACGATACCTTGTTCGCAACTACCAGGCCAGACAGACCGGCGCCAACTATCACATAGTCAAAAAAATTGCCATTCGCGATTGCAGGCTGGTCAGTAACCACGGTCGCAGAAACAGTATTTGCCGCCAGCAGAATACCCGGCAGGGCAGTGATCAAAGCGGTGCGCATCACGAAGGAAGGTTGTAGACAGATCTTGGCTGGATTGAGCACAAGAACGACATTACTCTTTTCAAGGACCTACATATGCCATTATAAAGCACAATTATATTTAAAATAAACGATGATTGATATTATACGCTATGATATTTATAAGACATAATGACATATCAGGCTAATACTGCCAACTAGTTGCCTTGCCGTCTTATCCGGAGTACAGGGAGCTGAAGTAGTTAGACCCGCATACATTGTTAGCTGAAGACAATCAGCTTGTTCACTGCAATGTATTTGCGCATATCTCTTCACAAGCAGCAGCGATCCTCTCCGTTTTGGGCTTGGAGGAGCGACAATGCAACGGTCGCGGTCAGCTGTATAACAGCAGCGGCGATATAGTGCGGCGAAGTCGAGGCAAGAGAACCTGCAGTATTAGTCAAGTATTATAGCATGCATTGCAGAACCTATTGATAATAGCGAATAAAGAAACGAAAAAGGTATAGTAAGAATCCGACCATTTGTTCGTTGAGACTGTTGCAAGTACACCGTGCGTAGTTAGCAGTGCTTGAACCACTACGCACTGTCCTTCTGCCCTCATTAACACGCCCCCCACTTCTTTTATCATCGCGGCCGTTTCGCTCTTTCTCGGCTTTCGGCATTTGCCAACTGGGTCACCTCCGCATCGCCCGAGCCAACTTCGCGATCTCGGAATCGCGCGTTTGTGCAATTCGTTGATCCAAGACATAGTATAGGGCTGCCTGTGTGACTCTCGATGCACCATGGCTGACGGTGCCGCCGACGATGGCGGCGTCAATGACCTGACGCCGGAAGAGGTCAGCCGCATCATCCATTCCCACCGCAAGGTGCGCTACGGTAGGCTCGCTCTCCCACGCCGTTGCTCGGATATTTTTATTCGTCTTGAAATTGTCCGAAAAAAATGACAAAAAAAAAACTGACGCGGATTCGATCTGTATAGGGACCGCCTGCTGGCCGTGCCGACAGCGTAAAGTAAAGTGCGACAACAAGCACCCATGCGAGAACTGTGTAAGGCGTGAACATCCGCAGCTCTGTTCATATAAGCCGAATCGCGCCGCGGCACCAAACAAACCCGGCAATACCGCCTCATCGGCACCCGGCAGCCGGAAGAGACAGCACTCGGAGCCGGAGGAGGAGCAGGAGCAGGAGCAGGAATCGTCTCGCAAGTCGGATCGTCAAGAGAGCTGGCCGCGAGCCATCGGTACGACTTGCTCGATTAATACCCGCGAGTGCGCATTTCTAACGTGAGTCGTAGGGAACCTAGATGAAGCAGAGCCCGTGAGCGATCGCTACGTCGGCCAGAACAGTATTCCCGCGTTGCTCCGTGAGCAGTCTACACCCAGCGACAAGAACGATAGCGTCGACTTTCGAAGAGACATGAGGTCCATACTGGGCCTGGACAATTCCGCGCCCTTTCCGCTCATGTCCCAGCGGCACTTGCACCGCATAGCACAGGATATTTCGACCGAGCTCCCTTCGGATCGAGAAGTCATGCGGTAGGCCCATCTGATATCAAGCTCCCGACGCATCTCGCTGACGTGAATGTAGACTATTTCGGTCGTACAAGGAGATTCCGCAGCCATTTTGGGGATTTGTGGTCGACATTGACGATTTCGAGTCGAAGCTCATGGTGTATCTAGAGGAACGCTCGCGCAATGCGTCAAAACCAAACACTTCGAGGCCTGTGTCTGCGTCCTGGCTGGCCATTCTCTTTGCCGTTTTGGCAGTCGGCTCTCAGTACCACGAATCGCCATACCACATCCGCACTCGTGATTCTCAGAAATACCTACAAATCGCCTTCCACTTCCTCCGCCTCGCAAACTTTCTGTTACGGTAAATTGGTCCCGTCGGTTATTTGTGCAAAAGGAAGCGCTAACACAAGACACAGGCCGTCTTTCGATTCCATCCAGGCGTTGCTCTTGATGAGCTTCACACTCCTCAATGACATGAAGGCTGAAGCGTCTTGGGCGCTCACTGGTCTGACGTGCCGGCTAGCACAGTCATTGGGACTTCATCGACCAAATGTCCCAGACACGAACGAAAATGGCGAGCCCAATATAAAGGAGACTACACGAAGAAAACTGTGGTGGAAATGCGTTTGGCACGACACCCTTACGTCTCTTTCTTTTGACAGGTAGGCGAGGAAGAATCTTTGTTTGCTGAGATTGTGCGACTAATAGCTTGGTAGATCACCAATGACAAATTTCCCAAGTTGTTCAATTCCTGTCAAGATCCAATCATCGGGCGGCGAGTACGCATATCTCGAGATGATGTATCATCTTATCGAGATCATATCGAGGCGTTTGAATCCAGACGCCATGGCCACGCCTTCGTATGCTGAGATAGTAGAGAATTGCGACACGGTCGAAGCCTTGCGCACTCGAGCATCCGCGCATATGAAGGACAAGGACAAGTGCAAGACGGCACTTGACCGTCTGCAGTATTTTGCCATTCGACTGCACACATCCTTTGTCATCTCAGTGGCCTGCAGACCAGCACTCCGAAGAAACTGCAACCTGGGGCCGGAACAGAAAAAGACACTCGCGGCAAGATGCGTCGTCAACCTCACCGAAACCGTCAAGATGTTTCTGGCCATGCACCAGCTGTCCGTCATCCCAACACGCAGCTGGGCCTTTACCTACCACGGTCTCTCTTCTGCGCTCCTGCTCGGCATCTTGTGCGACACGCGAGCCGACCCCGTGGTGCGGCAGCTGCAAGGTGACCTCATTGCGGCTCTCTCAGCTACGGCCGCCAAAGATGTCAGCTCGCCGGAACCGCACGTCGTCCGCACGGACAAGGATATCGAGCTGTCTGGTCCGCTGTGGCGCGCGCTCACGGCGCTCAAGAGCATCTACGATCACGGGTCCATTACAAACACCTTTAAGCGCGACGGCGAGTCGTCTGCCGGCGGCAGTGGCACCCGCACGCCGGCGATGCAGCTACCTCCTGGTGTGCAAGGCCTGCCGCTATATCAACAATACCGCGTCATCCCGCCCGGTTCAGATCCGCGCGAAGATGCGGCGCTGGCAATGGCGGAGATGCAAAACGGCGCATCACTTCAGGATTTTCAAAAGTGGCGTACCCACCCCCATTTACCTTATGTGACTCATTTTGGCTAATATTCATTCTTCAGCTCTCTACCTGGAACGCAGCAAGTGCCAATGCCGGTTGGCTTTGATGGGCTCAACGCAGAGGGGCCGCAGCTGATGGCGCCCATGGATCTATACGAATCCATCTGGGGAGGTATGTCGTGCATGCTCACACCCCAAAAATCTGAGTTGACTACTAATGTGTCGTGGGTGCACAGAATCGCCAGATCCTTGGAACCCTGGCGCCGAGCCCATGAGTTTTGACTTTTTGGCGCAGCCTCCACCAGGGCAGCCGCATCATCAGCTGTACTTTTGAGCAAGAGAGAGGACCCTGTGATGTAAATTGCATGTATGTGTATACTGTTGCCCTATGACAAGATTTGTTGAATGGAAGAACTACAGTGGTGAGCAGAGGGCAAATGTCTTATTTCCGGTTTTCTCTTTCTTCTTTGAGACCCCCCGTCATCAAAATCGTCAGTGCTCTCTTTGAGTCGTCATCAGCATTCGCAGTTTGTAAAGCTGCTCGCATGCCATAATCGGATCGCCAGGTAGTAAACAAGAAAACCGCCAGCAGAAAAAACAAAGCAAACGGTTACGGCGCGCGGCTTGCGTGCGTAAACCGGGGCAAAGTTTCCCACAAGGCGTTATCAAGTTGACCAAAGTTTCCCGACGACTTGTGTGTGCTCATCATTCGATTTGTTCCCACCCCCCGCCCATACAGATGATGATGAAGATCTTGTCGTCCGTCCACCAGGGATGAAAAAAGGCAAGGCGAAAAAAGAAACCACGAATTTTGAAATTCCGAATAACGCCAGTTCTATGCTGTTCTGTGGTTTTGTTTATGAAATCATCTCGTAAAACATGTCGCAATAATAAATCATTCTCATCGCGTAAACTCTTTTTTTTTTTTTCTGCTCCGTCAAAGACTTGTCGTATCCTTGTGTTCGAGAGGGCGTTTCTATTTCTTTCCTATTTTCTGGACAGAGATTATTTCTTCTTTCGAGACGTGCTAGACACCATTTGCTTCTTGAGGTGCTTGGGAATCTTGTCCTTGCGCTTCTCACGCTTGGCCTCCTTGACGGCCTGCTTGTGCTCGCGCTTCTCGTTCTTGTCCTCGAAGCGACGGCCGCGAGGAGTGCCCTTTTCGAAGCGGCTCTCGTCGTCCTCGTCAGAGTCGGAGTCGGAGCTGCTGCCGAGGGAGACGCCCTCCCCGGAGCCCTCCGCGTCGGCGTCGGCGCCGTCCTCGCCGCCGGCCTTGTCCTTGACGACCTGCTCGGCCAGAAGGTTGCTGTAGACGAGGTCCTTGCCCTGGCCCATGCGGACCTTGGCGGCGTCCTTTTCAATGTCGTAGACCTGCTCGAGCGTCTGCGGGATGTACTGGTTGCGGAAGACTTCGTTGTCGACCTCGATGCGCGCGGCGTGGTCCTCGTCCTCGGCGGCCACGTTGCTCTCGTACAACGTGTCGATGGCGGCGGACATGGCGGGCTCCTCTGTGGGGCCGGCGCCGGCGGTGATAAAGTCGAAGATGGCGCGGTCGGCGAGCGTATCGACGCCCTTGCGGCGGAAAAAGTCGCCGACGTTCTTGATGTCCATGCGGAGGAACTCGAGCGAGCGCGGGTGGTCGGGCTCGACGCTCTGCGAGACGTCAATGATGTAGAGCTGCCCGTCGTGGTAGAGGATGTTGTACTCGCTCAGATCGGCGTGGACGAGGCGGCAGACCTGGTACATGCGGCGCATCAGGCCAAGGCACTGGACGTAGAGACGGCGCCACTGGTCGTCAAGGTGCTCGCCGGTGAGGACGGCATCGCGCAGGCGCGGGTACGCCCAGCCCTTGTGGTCGCCAAGGAAGCCCATGACGAGCACGTGCAGCTTGAGGGCGAGGGGCTCCGGGCAGGGGATGCGGGCGGCGTGGATGCGGCGCAGGTTGCGGTACTCCTTCTCGGCCCACAGCTTGACCATCTTGCGGTTGTTGCCCTTGTCGAAGCCGCCGCGGAAGCGGTGCTCGCCGGTGATGTAGCGCTCGCGGTCCTTGAAGACGAGGATGGCCGTCTTGTAGACCTTGATGGCGCGGTGGGTGGGCGCGCCGGTGGCGTCGTCGATGTGGACGGCGCCGTACACGTTGGCCTCCTTGCCGGTGCTGATGGCGCCGTGGACCTCGCTGACGAAGCCGCGGTTGATCATCTGCAGGAGGATCATGCGCGTGCGCTGGTCCAGGACCTGCTCGCTGGTGGCGCGGTCGGCCTTGTCCTTGGTCTTGTCCTCGGTCTGCTTGACGTCGTCGAGGCGGATCTTGCCGGCGTGCTTGGAGAGCGCCGAGACCTGGTCGTCGATGCTGGCAAATGTGTTGGCCGAGGGCTTCTGCTGGTTGCCGCGGGCGAGGGGCACGCCTCCGTTAGGGTTGTGCTGCCGCTGGCGGTTGTAGGACTTGGTCAGGTCGCCCGAGGCGCCGTCCCAGTCCCCGGTGTCTACATCGTTGGCGTCGTCGTCGTAATCGTCGTCTTCTTGGAAGATGTCGTCGAGGTCCTCGTCGTCGTGTTCAGTCGACTGCGGGGCATCCTGTCGTGTGCGCAGCTCGGCGGGGATCTCGTCGGTCTGGTGGTAGCCGTTATTGGCGGTGTAGGTATATGGGGGTTCGTGGGGTGCCGCGGGCGATGCGGTGGCATCAATGAGGGCCGCCATGATGTCGTCGTTTGCAATAAAATATGAAAACCCAGATTGAATCAATGTGTTTGTGGAAGTGGTTGGTGGTGGTCAAGGAAGAGGCAACACCGCCTTTTTTATCTTATCGCGATAATTTTTTACGCTTTGCCATGGAGGGGTCGAGGTCAAGGCCTGCATGGCAGCCCAAAGCGGGACAGCCGTGGGGGCTAGCGGGGTATAAAAGATAAAAGAGTCACTGTGGATGATGAGTCTTGGGCAATTGGGCACTTATCAAGGTGTTTGGCTGCTCAAGAGAATTGATATCGCTATTATTATTATTATTATTATTATTATTTTGGGGAATTTACCACAAATCAACACCGAGACTTGATCGTGTGTGAGTCAAACGTCTTGCGCCAGTCAGCTGTATAAACTTGACCAACATCCGACACACATTCTCGTAATAATAAATACTACTCACAGTAAGAGAACCTTGTCTCTTCTTCGTCATCCGGAATCTAAAAGCAACCGCGTGAATTTATTATAGTTAAATATTACATTTCTGACCTTTATTGTCAGTGAAAGAACTCTACACAAATTCCAACCATAATAGCGACAAATAAAAGTATAAAGGCTGCCGAGTTTCGCAAAATATTCCCACTAATGAGCAGCACTGCCCGACACTGACTTATCAAGCACTACATGCTTGTCCGACTTGATCACTGTGGGCAGTTCCAAGTCCGATGAGGCAGCAACCATTTCCACTACCTCAACCTCGACCTTGAGGCCAGAAAGTTCAGTCACACTAATGCTCCCGCCATCAGGCTGACTGTGTTAGTATTTAAAAAAAAAAAAGTTTGACAAAATATGAATCACTCTTACCTTGCGAAGATTTGCGCTGATTCGCGTCTGGATCCGGCGGAGTAGCTCGTCATCCGCAACACCACCGAGCTTTGCCGAGGCGATGGCATCCTTGAGCGAAATTGAGTCATAAACGACACCCCGCTCTGGCATTTTCATAATGGCCATGCTGCCGGCGCGCCACTTGTCAAGAAAGATTTCAATTTGGCAGGGCCGCACGGGGAGATAGGCCACATCAACGGCGATGCCAGCGTAGAAGCGCTTGTAGCTGCCTTTTGCCCTCACTTTCAAGGCAGCGTGTGCCCTAGCTGCCATCGACGTCGTTGTAGAAGGGGCGATGCAGGCACCATGGCCTGGTTGTGAGGACGATGTGGTGAGCGGGCTGCTAGTTTCCGCCGCCGTGGACGAACTGACGGTAGAGCTACCTGTATTCTCAGAGGGCTTCGAAGACGTCAAAATACTGGTAGTTGTGCCCTTGGGCTGAGGAGGTATCGACTGGGTGTTGCTGGTTTCTATCGACTGCTGGCTGGTTGTTACCGCCGATTGCTGGCTAGTTGTTACCGCTGAAGTTGTCACCGCCGAAGTTGTCACCGTCGAGGTTGTTACCGTCGACTGCTGGCTGGTTGTTACCGCCGACTGCTGGCTAGTTGTTACCGCCGACTGGCTAGTTGTTACCGCTGAAGTTGTTGCCGCGGAAGTTGTCACCGTCGAGGTC